CCCAAAGAGGGGTGTTAACTGGAAATGGGGGAGAACAATGCACTGCGCCGGCCTGGGCCGCCCGCAGGTGTGCCTGCCATGCTGCTGCCTACTATGCCGGACAGGCAACCGCATGCAGGTGCACGAACAACCCCCCCAACCCAGTTCGACTCGGTCGCTTCCTGCATGCGGATTCTACTGGTGCACGCTCACGTGGCCTCTAATCACCAACAGCCGTGGGTCCACGAACACGCAATAGCGTCACTAACCGGCCTCGACCGAGCCGTAGCCCCGCTGTGGCTGTAGAAACGCTGATAGCCAGCTGGTCCGCGGCGCCCACAACCGCGAAGGTCCCCTCGCCCGTAAAAGCCCCCTACTCTGGTCTTGCTCCGTGATCTCCTCGTCCGAAGCCAGGGACCCGTGGACCTCCAAATTCCCGAAGGCCGGCTAGCTCGCTGCAGCGCCGCAACACCAGAGGCGGCGGGCCGCAGCTGCAGGGTCGCTGTCAGGTCCTCTCGTCCTGCACATCCGCCTGCGCCCCCGGCTGCAACAAGGCCGCTGCGTCGGTGAGGGTTACTACTCTGAGAATCCCCCACCACCCAGTCATGATCTGAGACGACGCAGCAGTTGGCACCGTCCCACGTGGGCGCGTGAGGGTCGTACAGCTCCGTGAGCCCGGCTGCTGTTGAGGTTATCATGGTGGCTGGAAAAGTGATTCCCGTGCCGCAGCGTTGCGAGAGGTAGGGAAATGGACGCCGCACTGACGCCATGCTGTCTTGCGCGGCGGTCTGTCGCCAGGCCCGTGCCAGCTGGATTGGACCCACGCATCTGCCGCATGTCTTCCTCTCATTTGCCTGCGAGGAGGAATGGGGCGCTAGGGGAAGGGGGGCAGCGTAGAGGGGGGGAGCCGCGACGCGCGCGGCCCGCTTTGGCTGCCGAGGCGGTCGGCAGCCCGAGGTAACCAGCAGGAGGTCCCGCACGCCCGGTGGCTTCCAGAAAAGAACACATCAGTACACAAGGCCTCGGCAGGTGGTCACGGCAATATACAGGTCATGGCATGTGGTCAAGCCAATACATAGGTCACACGACACAATGCAATGCCCTTCTCGCGGCATGCACACCCTTTACGCTCGCGGCGCAGTCGGGCGGGCCCTTCTCGCGGTACCTGCGCCTCGTCTCCCCCGACGGCAGGGTGACAACACACGGTGCAATGCCCTTCTCGCGGCACGCACACCCTTTACGCTCGCGGCGCAGTCGGGCGGGCCCTTCTCGCGGTACCTACGCCTCTCTCCCCCGACGGAGGGGTAACAACACAGCGCAATGCCCTTCTCGCGGCATGCACACCCTTTACGCTCGCGGCGCAGTCGGGCGGGCCCTTCTCGCGGTACCTGCGCCTCGTCTCCCCCGACGGCAGGGCGACGACACATCACGCAGCCCCCTAAGGCCTGTCGACCGGAGGGCGGGACTCACCATTGCAGTCGCTTTCAGAAGCGGCGGCGCACCCGCCGCTGCCTCATCCCTAAATGAGCTGGGTGGCTGGGCGTGCTGCCTCCCCCTGCACCCGCAGGGCCTGCGGCGAGTGTCGCTGCGAGCGAACACTGCGTGCTGTGCGGCCCCTCGGACTCTGGAAAGCTGCGGAAATCGACGTATGGATGCCAGCGGAGTGCCGGTGCGGGCGCCGACCCGGCAGTCGAAGAGCCTTGAGCTAGCGTTGCGGAGGCCGTGAAGGCGCGGAAGAGTTCCGGCTGCCATAGTTTACCATAGTTCCGTACCTGCCATAAACTGCGTTTCATTGTCACTGGTTAGCGCAAACCGAAGTGACTGCAGGGCCTGGCTGGCGCGGCTGCGGTTCCGAGCTGTCATGGCTTCCACGTTTCTCAGCATTTGCACATAAGGCTGCGCGAGCCCAAACGTGCGCGTAGTTCTTCGTTATTTATGTTGTTGCGGCATGGCTGGTACTGTATGGCTAACGGACATTGCGGAGTTGCGTTGACCTATTTAGATGGGCCTCAGCCGCTTGGGGGTTCTTTTCTCTGCGTTGTTACAGGAGGCCCTGTCTGCTGCCGTAAGAGGTGCATAATCGGGCGGGATTAATTTGGATTAGGCGTATTGCTAAACTAAAATCTTACGGAGGCGCCTAAAGATCAACCAACCGCGGCCCTAAACAGCCAGCAAGTAGACAGTGTCAGCAACACAGGAGTAAAGAGCCAGTAAGCAAGTCAACTCCAGCAGTAAACAGTCAACCAGGAACGCCGTACATCGACCTGATGCGGGCTTAAGGCGCTCCAAAACCACATTTTTGCTTGACGCCAAAATTAAACATACGAAGTATGCGGTTTCGGAGGAGCGAAGCGAAGGGATGCATACCCCGTTCCCGTCACGCTCAACGGGATCCTTTCAGCGCCCTTGTTCACGGCTCGGCCTTTATTTTGAACCGTCCAGCGTAGCGTTCTTTTGATGTCACGCTGGGATGCGAATCGGATAGCGGAATATTCTGTACTAACAAACAGACTTCCAACCGCCTTTTCGCTTGGGATCCTTGCCTTCGCCGCTTGGCGCGCTTTCCGTCCTCGTCCTGCCGTGCGAATTTAGAAAAGACAAAAAGTCGACAAAGGAAGAACAGGACCAGTTTCCTGCACCTTGCTCGCACGGCAACTTTTGCCGAAGCTGCGGTACTCGCGACACCGCACGTGCACGTATCTTTAGTTGTGCGTAGATACATTTGTAAATAGTTAATTGGAGTAAAAGCATAGTATCGCACTTCCGTGCTGTATTGAAGGCGAAGCGACACGACCGGCGTCCAGTCGGTGTGCTGCTACGTTACACCGGCTTCTTGTTGAGCCGTACTCTCCAGATGTCGAGTTATCAGCTCTCCTGGGTTAGACAGGGCCGGTTTGGACGGTGGGCCGGGTCGGTGACGTGCCTCGCGATTTCTGGCCCGCAGCAGCAGCTGCTGCGCAGTTGGTCGTCCTTCGCGGGCACGCCGGTCTTCCCGGCATGCTACTTACTAGCAAATGTGCTGCTGATAATTGGGTGGTTGAGGCAGTGCGCCGTTGCTTTGGCCCCCTTGTTGCGGATTCGGCGGACGACCTACGCCTCATCAGGACAGCGTTGTGTACGACCCGAGATGGGCTCCTTCGGGCCGCCGGCTCGCCGGGTCTATTGAAGGGTCTACTGGTGCAGTTGCGTGCCGTTGGCCAGCCGGGGCGCGTCTGGGCGTGCGCCCTACTGCTGCGGCTGCAGAAGAGCGCTCCTCGTCACGTTCTGGCAGACTTGCAGGAGGTGTGCTGCTCGCGGTTTGACAAGCATGTTTACCAAGCTCTGTCTTTCAAGAAGCGAAAGGGCATACCGTACCCGGAGGTAGCGTGTTACCAGTTTGACGCGGCTGCTGTGCTGCCAGTAATGCCGGGAGTATTGACAGGCGACCCACGGCTAGGTCAGCCGGCCACGGGCCAGGCGCCGGTAACATCCCCGCTGACTGGCGTGCCTGGGGTGTCTCGCACGCCGCTCTTAACACCTGGCGCGCCGCTGGGCTCCTCGGGTGATGCAGCGGCCGCGGCGGCGGTGCCGCCTGCGGCGGCGGCGGCGAGGAGCGGGGGCTCGGGGCTAGGGGCCCTGCTTGGTGTGCCTGGCGCGTTCCCGGTGCCACTCTTCGCGCCTGGTGCAGCGGTGACGGCAGTGACGCCAGCGGCGGTGGCGGGGGGGAGGGGCTTGGGGCCGCATGGGCGGCCCCAGTGAGAAGTATGCGGTTTCGGAGGAGCGAAGCGAAGGGATGCATACCCCGTTCCCGTCACGCTCAACGGGATCCTTTCAGCGCCCTTGTTCACGGCTCGGCCTTTATTTTGAACCGTCCAGCGTGGCGCGCTTTTGCTGTCACGCTCTTTGATTCGTGATCTTACCAGATTTTCAACGGTCGGCCGCGCTTCGGGCGTCGCTCGTGCCGTTGAAAGGAGTCGTTTGCTTCCGGGTTTGTCTGAGTTTGTAAAAGGCTAAGGCTATAATGCGTAGCCAGTGTGGCTTCACGTTGGCTTCATCGCGCTTCGGTCTCGCAAGGAACACCACGCCGCTTCATAGAACATAAAACGCATAAAAAGAAAAGATGTCCTAAAAGTATAAACGTATATATGAACTTACGTAAAACTAATTCATAACGGCGCCCAAGCCACGCCACGTGGGCGAGGATACCAAAAACACTCAATTGCCTGGAGAGTAGTCCTAGCCGAACCTCTGGACTGGATTGCTGCTGCCGTCTTTCGTTTCGTTGTTAAGTGTAGAGTTACCGCTCCTCGAGCCGGGCACCATGGAAAAGGATGACCAAGGTGTGTGTGGCGGGCGCAATACTTCCGGTGATTCTGGCGCTGTACCAGCCTTCCCTTGGGTGTGTCGCAGGAAAAGGTCCCCGCAGTGGCGCCAGCAGCGCCAGCAGCAGCGCCGGCGGCAGCAGCGGGAGGGCTGGGATTGGGGCATGGGCGTTCCACAGCGCTGCATGTACAGCAGAACGACCTTTTGGGTGCACCAGCGGCGGCATCGGCTGCAGCCAGGCAGGCGCGCAGACGTGACAATGCAGCGTGCAGGCTTCAGCGGAGGCAACTGATGGCAGCAGCTAGGCAAGCTCGCCAGCGTAAGCGTTCTCGACCTGTGGGTGGCTTGTCTCACGATGACTACCTCGAGTCCCTTTCAGGCTGCCTCTGCTTGCCGCTTTTCCGTCACGACAATCCAGCTGTACCTGAGCTGCCGACGTTCTTAGAGACACAAACGTCTGCAGGACTTGCCAGCAGGTGAACAGCCTCCCCAGATACCGTTTTCGGAGCAGGCCTGTGGCCTCGCCGAGTTCGTTCGCGACAACATGCCATCACGGGTGTGTGCAGTCTGCAGCGAGTGCAAGTCCGCTTCAGAGGTCCGGGCGCTGCAGTTCAGCGAGATAGCTGGCGTTGAGCAGCTACGTGCTGACATGCGGCGGACTGCGGCTGTGCCTGGTTGCGCGCACGTTCTGTATTGGCGACGTGTCAATCGGCGTGACTGCAAAAACCCGCCGGATCCCGTACTGCCACGCGGCTACAAGGCCGGTGGTGGTCAGTCGGGCAACGTCGGCGTAGTTGACACATCCGCTGGCGAGGACAGCGGCGAGACCAGCAGCGGCCTTGACGACTCTACCGATGATCGGCCGTCACGCCGACAACGCTGCGACATAGACCGTCCTCCGACGTATGCGCCGCGGGTAGGGGTACGGCTGTGTGACGATGATCCCGTGGCGGTGGAGGTGCCGTACTGCATGCGCGCGGAGACGGTACTGCCTAACCGAACGATGAACGTTTCAGCGGACGGCGTGGAGCGCTTTACGGTCTGCTCGGAATGCATACAGGCCTTACAGGGTACGTTGGGTAGTGAACGCTATGGTAACATGGGGGCCGTCTGTTTGCGAAGGTTGTGATCACTATTAGCACCGGCATGGTGCTATTTGTTTTCATTACAGATGATGGGCTGCCTCGACCGGGCCCTGGCACTGTACCTCCGTCTATTCCCATGCCTCTACTGACATTGAACGCCCCTGTCACTGCCCTTCACCAGGTGGGCGGATTCCAGATGGGGCGCTGGCTCGGTTGGATCCCGGTGACGTACCCCTGTAAATCAGCATGGTCATTCGCTCGTACCGCTGACGCATCTGGAGAGCTTGGTGGTGGGCCTCGCTCGCCCTCACATGCGGCTACTCGTTGTGCGGCAGCCGGGTACGCCCAGCTGGCGCGCGGTGGATACCTTGCCAGCGGCGTTGCGTGGGCATACGCTCGCCTTTCCAAACGACGTGCCCAGCGAGCTGTACGCTCCAGAGGATCTGCCGTCCTTCATTCAGGTCGTGCTAATTGATGCTGTCAAAGATCGTGCCGACCTTGAGGCCAAAGTGCGGCAGGCACCATGCTTGGAGATGCGGGGCCTGGCTATCGCTGCATGGGCGGAGTGGGCCGTTCACGTGAATCCAATGGCTCAGGTGGACCACGCTGCACTTCAGCAGTATCGCGCTCTGGGTGCGAAGCCGACGGTGCCAGAGCCGTTAGTGGCGCACGCGGTGGCTACAGATGACCCAGACACGGCAGCGGTCATGCGCGCTGCATTTGAAGGGGATTGTGCCGGCAACGCTCAGGTGCGGCAGCAGCAGGATGATGTGGAAGCGGCGACGGAGGGCGCGAATGCAGCAGGCGAGGGGCCTACCTTTTCCATCTGCAACGCAATGGTCCGAACGTGCGCATGAGCAGAGAAGCTTGTTTTGACTCATCCTTGTTACCAGTTGTACGTCCGACGTCGCCTGGGACCGTACATTTGTAGGTGGTCGATCGCCTGGTCCGGATGCTGGTCAGGAGCCAGCGCCGTCTGGTCGTACGCCAAATATCCCGGTGACAGGTAAGGACCTGATGTGCATTGCTGCGCGTGGAGGGGGGGTGGGAGACAGCGTCTTTACCCATACCGTGCTGTGCCGCCATGCAATCACACACCCAAGGTAACCCTTCCGATGACGCCGGGCAACATCCAGCGGGTGGCTGTTGTGCCTCTCTAACTCCAGCTCCAGATTAACTGGAACTTTGCAACTTTAATCCTAAATTGTTGCCGACCGCGCGCATGCAGGCGTCTTCGCTTGGCCGTCGCGAGACAATTGAACCCGGTTGCACGCTTGGCAGAGAATACCTGCCGGCCGATTGTACGGAGATTGACTCCTTATAACAGCAACATACCGCCCATACATTTGTCGTCTCCTCCCGTTCCACACCACATACCCAACCTAACTTTCAGCTTACATAACTCACTTCCCTTACCGAGCTACGGGTCGCTCCCGCCGAAGGCGGGCCTTACTTGTTTGTTATCTTGCCTCGGATGGTGAGTCAAACCAAACCGCTTGCCAACGGTACGCGTTTAGGCAGCCTGCACACTCCGACCAGCTTTCTTTTGCAATTTGTGCTTACGCTCACACGCCTCGCAACCGGTTTCTCGTAATGAATAACGCTCGACAAGCTTACATGTGTCACTTTTACAGTACCACTTTACGGCCTAAAATTGGATTCTGCACTTGGCTCTCCTCTCATGCCTATACCTTGTTCCTAATATTACCAGCCCATCCCGCATCTTCACGAGCCGGGGCGCTGCGCTTTGAGAATTGGCCGTTGGCGCCCGAAAAACCGTTTTTGGTCTGCCCTTGAATCAAGTAAGACGTTCCCCTAAGCCGTGGCTTGGAAACAAGGGAGCCTAAGTGATACCCCCGGGCTTAAGGTCCTCACTTGGGCCTCACTTTGTCCTATTTTGGCAACAGCTGTTAAGATGCAGAACTAGGGCGAGTGTCTCGGTAGGTTTCTTATGTGTTCATTGCGGTACAAAGTTAAGCGATTCCTTCCGTCGAACAAGGCAGCGATGGAACCATGGTGTCATGTTGGCCTGTCGTGTTGGAACAGTGTATATTCGATATATAGAAGGCATATGGCATTTGTTAGGAAGCGGAAGTTACACTGGAGGACAGTAGCTGAGACCATCGTCAGACGTACATTCTAACAGGGCGTTGACCGCCCTACCCTATTTTTTACTTCCATCTTTTTCTGTAGCGAATATAGGCTAAATGTCTGTTTAGCGGCCTTCCCTACATGACGCCCGACCTCTGAAGCTCGTCCAGTCACATGGAACCAACCATCCGCAATCTCCTTTGAAATAAGCCTTGTTGCCGGAAACTTTTCAATAGGATGGATATTTTGTAAACAAGTTTACATAGCCCTTCGTATAGCGGGGAGGCGAGTAGGAGTAAAATGTAGCGAAAGGTCGCGGTGATGGTCTCTCTCTTCCTTATTTTAACTTATGCCGGCAAGTTTTCAGTAGGAAGGGTTTGTCACAAAAAGAACGCGGCCGGAGGCCACGCGGCTTTTGCGATTCAACAAACGGAAATAATCAATTCCGGGGACCATCGTCGCGGTTTAGGCATTTCGAACCTGCTCTTGAACTACCATTATTAAGCTTGCTATGACCTATGGTAAGGGCAGTAACATAGGATGATGGAAGGGCTACCGGTTTGACGGCCATGTGGACTCCATTGTCAACTAACGATCAGCACCAAACTCAAAGCGCTCTGCCGCGTACAAACCGAATCAGGCGTGTAAGTGCAACGTATAACAAGAAAATGCCGGTGAAGTGCTGTCTGTACATACGCACATTGTTTGGCTGGTATCCTTGACTGCTGCATGCATGCTACTCCCTAAGTGACCCTTGATTCTACATTCCTCCTACACCAAACTCCCTTACCCACTATCAGCTGTCAACTGTATCCCTTCGTAAACCAGATGACTATCTTGGGCACGTGCATGCAATTTACTTCACATGGGTTTCATGCATTCATCTACATACATGCGTGCTGAAGAACACCCCCCTACCTGATTCCTGCAGACTTCCTTCCCCATTACCAGCCGTGCAACTTTGCACATACCTTTCTTCACGGTCATTGCCACATGTTGGGGTGCGCAATGCTTGACAGCATACTAACAGAAGTTGTGTGCTTCATACATATCCTTACCTGGGCGTGCTGCACTGTTTACGTTGTCCGAATAATTCATTTGCATGGCTGCATGACTTGTACCGGTATTACACCGTGCGGCACGATTTCTGAGGTTTATTTCTCAGCCGCCTGGCTGCTGAGCGGAGTGGGTTACTTGGCTGTGGCAACAAAGGTTATCTGAAGCTAAGCTTAATGGAATGTTGTGTTTAAGCACTTCCCCGCACCGCAACAAGAGACAGTGCAGCACGCCCGAGCACAGACAGTGCACACCAAGCTAGATACCCAAATCAATTGACTCCCTGTGCTCCTGCTGCTGACTGTACCGCCACGCATGACAACGGCCGCCATATGCCAACGAACCCATCCTGGCCAACAACCCTGGGGTAGAGGGTTAAGGAGTGCAGTCGCGCGGGCCAGAGGAGACCCGGACCACAAGCAAGGGCAAGGCAATAGGGAGAGGAAGTGCCGCTAAACAAGGGCTAACGGCCCTCACCAAAACCGCACCAAATCAGAGCAGCCCGCAGTTAGCCCAATCACAACCCCAAACACGTAACCTGACAGCCCAGGATGAATCGACTTCACCAGCTCACAGGGAGGGGCACTTCCCTGCGCCCGCTGTTGTCCCCCCTGCTTCCCAGACCCGACGCAACGCACGACCAAACCAGCAACCCAAACTGCTCTGCCGTGCAACTCCCTGTGGTGCCCGTTCGCCATCCCCTGCCCCCCCTCACACCTTGCACAGCGTGTCATGTTGGAGCGAGGCAGGGGTGGATGCGCTAGCCGCACCCCCCCCTGGAGCTGCCGGCTGCATGCTGCTGTTGGTGTCACTAACAACATGGACGCAACCCAACAACCACTGTCCGCCGCCCCCATATCCGCCCCTACCGTCTGCCATACCTCCTCCCCCTACGGCTGCTGCTCCTCTCCCTCCTTGTCCTCCTTCTCGCATTATCTATCCACTGCCTGCCCGCCCGCAGCTGCCTGGCTGCCTGCACCCCACCGTTGACCTCCGCTGTTCTTCCTTATGCGGACCCTTTCCCACTTCACTGACCTGCTCCCTCCTCCCCAATACCATAGGCTTTGCCGTACCACATTGTACACCGGGCATTCTAAAAACACATGCCTTTCATGTTCCACCACTTGCCCGCCGCAAGCCTGACACTAAATCTCCGCTCGTGTAACATCATGCCCATTCATACCGAGAGGCCAGACGCACAACCGAAGCCGCATACGAGCCATATGCTCCGAAGGGAAGCCGGTCAAGACACCGTACTGGTACGCCAAGCTTCCTAGCTTAAAGCAGAAAACAGGAAAGAATTAACGTTCCGAATTGTGAAAAGCCTTAACCCCTTACTTGAAGAGGGACAATTGATGGTCTATAAGGCCCATAGGGTTGTGCGTCGCACTTGAGTCGTTCTGACTCCCCTGTAATAGTCGCATACCGAATTATTTCATAAGGGTATAACTTCACGAGTCTCGAAAACGAATGCTTTCATAACTAGGTTCATCAGCATTTACCATGCCGCACTGCACGGATGGTAGCCACCCTGAGCTTAAAAATCTAAATCACAGTGATCTTGAGGACCTGTTTCCTCCTCTTGGTTCACTTCGTAGCGTGGTGATAGTTGGCGCCGGTGTCGCCGGACTCCAGACAGCACGGCAGTTCTTAAGGCTGGGATGCGCAGTTACCGTGTTGGAGTCAAATGATGATGTAGGTGGTGTCTGGCTGCGAAACTACTTCGGCTACGGGCTTCAAGGTAAGTACAGACGTAGACTCATGAGTCGCTTTCAAGGCCATTCGGGCAATAGCGGGCATTTGCTTCATTTTGCTGTCATCTTACCGCCCATCGTCTACAAATTGTAGTTAGTGAGCAAAGTGTAACTGTCAGCACACGAGCGGTTAGGAGTGACCGCATTCTTCTTTTCCTCGACAGCTTATATGATATGGATACTATATATGTACTATGACCTTTATGAATGCGTGTGTTTGTGCAGCATTATCTTACTAGCACGCGGCTGCTCATGGCTATGCCTATCTTGGCCAGGCCTAGGAGTGGCGTTGCTGACGTAAATATATAATAGTATGCAAGTCTACAAGTCTGGTGTACTGCAGTTGCCAAAGTGCGTAGTCTGCAAACGTTTGCGCAAAAGGCTATTCTTGGAGAAGTACATTATTCTTATCAGTGCGTCTGAAGCAATCGCCATCCCTTTGCGATCATGCCATGTCCTACATGAATCCCGCAGTCCCTTGGAAATCCTACCAGTTCCCCGACTTTCTGTGGCCACCACACCTGAGGCCTACGGACTCGTTTCCACCTGGCCCTGCGGTGCATGCTTACATTCGCGCGTATGCCGAACACTTTGGGCTGATGCCTTGCATTCGACTGGGGTGCACAATGCGTGCCATGAAGTGGCATCCAAGCAACCGACAGTGGGAGGTCGCCTACACGGAGACAAGCGCCACCAAGTCACCACAAGCTGCAGGATCGGACGCGCCCTCAAAGCTCCTGGCGGACTACGTGGTACTGTGCACCGGCATGTACTTTCGGCCCTTCATACCGGACATCAAGGTGAAGCCCTGTGACGTAACTTTGTGTTGGCAGGGATGGCCATGTCCCATATGCATTGTTGATAGGTATAACGGCGCCTGGCGTTACGCCAGGGCCTCCCGTGCAAGCGGTGAAACACGTCCTCAGTCCTCAATCCCACCTGTGCCGCCCCTGCCACCCCTGCCTCCTGCCCTTCCTGCCCGGCCCCCTCGTATGTCTCCCTGCAGAACCCGGGTTGCTTCCGAGGCCAGCAGCTGCACTCCTGCCACTTCACCGACCCCTCCCTGGCCCGAGGCCGCCGGGCGGTGGTGGTGGGCGCGGGCAAGACCGCCATGGACTGCGTTAGCGTGCTGAAAGACCCACGGGTCGGCGGAGCGGCGGAGGTGACGTTGGTGTACCGCAAGGCGCACTGGCCGATGCCCAGGAGCCTGGCGGGGGTGTCCGTTCAGCAGCTGCTGTATAACAGGTGTGAGGGTGGGTGGGTGGGTTCGTGAGATGGAGGAGGACGATGAGGAGGAGGGGGAAGGGGAAGGAAGGGGGAAGGGGTTGGCATGCTAGGTGGGTTGGTTCGGGTGGGTTTAGCGCACGAACTCAATCGCACGGGGGCGATGTGACGGGGCGCTGGGGGGAACCTTGACTCCCTCCATACGGCCTCCGGTATTGTGCAACCGGTACACTGCTTCATCCTTCAGGTGCAGTCACTCTTAGGAGACATTACTAAGGAACAGGAATGGCTTTCACGGTCCTCTTTGCCCCCTCCCATTCCCCGTTTGTCGCCATCCAGGGCCCTCCCTGCCATGCTGCCACCCTATTACACGGCTGGGCCGCTGCGGCGGGGGGCGGCGCTGCTGGCAGCCCCCTTGAGGCGCCTGTTCTGGAAGTCCCTGGAGGTGGGAGCGCAGGGCAGTTGTGCGACAGTTGGCGGGAGAGGTTGACGACGGATGAGGGCGATGGGGATGGGATGGGAGCCGCAGCTAGCATGGTTTAATGTACAGTGAAGAGGGCGGTGCGTAGTCATAGCAGCTAGCTGCATGGGAGCACTAGGAGGCACATGCAGGGACGCCTGGCTTGCAGCAAACCATCACCAGCAGCATCCTCATCATCATCAGCAGCAGCAGCTTCCTCTTTGAACATCCATCATGTTTGGCTTGCCCAATTCCCCAGTGCAATGCACCCAAGCGAGCCCCCTGCACTGCCCCTCGCTCCACTTCGCTCCCCATGCACATGCTACAAAGGGCGTCATCAATCACAAGTTCGGCATGTCCACAAGCAGCATCGTTTGCCCCAAAGTGGGACTGCCCGCTGACCTGTTCTACGGAGGCATAGTGCTGGACAGGCGGGCACACGAGCTGCTGGCTAACGGCCCCGTGGCAACCGTCAACGGTAAGATAACCCGTTGTTGGAATTACGCCGGCTCTTTGGTACTGTTAGTTACCCCTGCAGAACGGTACGGTGCTGTGCGGCAAGTGTCGTACGTTTGTGTGGCAACCATAGCCACACTGCACGTCTGCTCATTTGTGTGGGGGAGCCTCTGTGGCCCCGCTGGATTCTGTTTATTACGCGAGGGCCGGTGGTGACGTTCGGACGTTCATCTTTGGCAATTACAGTGCATTCCGTCTCACGGGCAGTTTTCTTAACGCACCTTGCCACATGCATGCCGTCCCTTGTAGGCGCCATTAGTCATTTCGTGCCGGACGGTGTCGTACTGCGGGTGAGTGAGGGAGCCGGGGACCAGATAAGTAAGTTTCGAACAAGGGAAGCTGAGAAAGGAACAAAATACATTTTAGCATTCTTCGTTCTGAACCACGTTCGGAGTTCAGGGGGGAGAGATGAACTGTGAATGTAGCCAGCGGCGACAATTTCGCCCTGGCTCCATGCTATGAGACCTTTAGCCCTGCATCTCTGCACTTTGAGCTGGCATCTGTATTTTGTACTCAGCTACGACTTACGATGCAGTTGAACCCCGCGCCCCACAGGACGGGACCTTCCATGCAGCGGATCTCGTACTTTTCTGTACGGGATATACCAAGTCGTACGACTTTCTGGATCCGGATCTCCTTGCGCGGCTTGACGTACAAAAGGACGGACTGTACTTGTACCGCAACATCCTGCCGCACAACGTACCACACATGGCCTTCATTGGCAGCGAGGTACGGCATGACGTTCGGTAATGGGGCGGCAGGGTGACGACCGATATCACTGGCGGCGCCGCTACGTCCTAACTTACTTTCTGCCCCACTCCCCCTTGCTCGCAACCAAATCTCCTGCTAGCTATAGGAGGGGGTTTCATCACGTACCCAGAACCAAGCAACACCCCATTCGGTGTCCACTTACCGCCGCTCCTTCATACATACCCGCACCTCCCGCGCTCTCCTCCAGGTCTCCACATACAGCAACATCCTCACGCACGGCCTGCAATCGCTTTGGCTAGTGTCCGCCCTGCTCCGCGCTGGCCGCCTGCCGCCCCGGGCCGCTATGGCCGTAGACGTACGGCAGCAGCAGCGCTGGCGGCGAGATGTGATGCCCCTACAGCGGAACCGTGGGTCGATCCTCATGCTGTACATGCAGGTAGGCAGGCGGGGGTGGTGACGACGGCGAATTAGGCAGTTAGGGGGAAAAGGTGGTCATGCGAGGATGGCAACGCATGGATGGTAATGGACGCCAGGACTATGCTGTTCCCCTTTTTGCAAGGTGACCCATGGGTCGGTCCCGATGCGCTCTTCTTCTCTCCCTCGATTCTTACTTTCCTCTCCCATGCATGTACCCCACGCAGGACTATCACGACCAGCTCCTGCAGGACATGGGGGCCAGCCCGCGACGCAAGCTGGCAGCGGCGTGCGGAGGTGGCGGAGGTGGCGGCCTCGTAAGCAGCTGCTTTGGGGAGTGCTGCGGTGCGTACTCTGCGGAGGATTACAGCGGGTTTGTGGAGCAGCAGTGGGGGAGGTTGGATGAGGTGGTAGCGCGGGAGGCGGGGAGGCAGCAGCAGACGCCTGCTGCTGCTGCTGCTGCTGCTGCTGGGAAGGGGGCCGTTGTGGGGGTGGAGGCGGGGTCGCAGGAGTATGCGGGCAAGGGCGTGGAGGCAGCAGGAGGGCTGGGTTCGGGGGCAGGTGAACAGCAGCAGCAGCCGCTGCCGCCGCAGCAACAACCTCAGCAGCAGCAGCTCTCCAGTGGCGGCGGCAGTGGGCCCCGGCAGGTGCCGGCGAGTGTGCTCCCGCCGCCACCCACACCGGACCTGTCGCCGCCACCGCCGACAGTAGCAACAGGCCCCAGCATCAAGCCGGTTGATGCTGCGAGCGCAACGGCTGCGGCAACCCAGCAGCCTCGTTCCCTGTCGGCACCGCGCAGGGGTCTCTCTCGCCTCGCCTCCTCCTCCATGCCCACCGCCGCCTCCACTTCTCCTACCTCTACCTCTCCCACCGCATCCGCCTCTGCACCCGCTTGCACGAGTGCCACTGCTGCTGCTGCTGCTGCTGCTGCATGCTTCACCACTTCTGCTGTTCCGGCTTTCCCTTCCGCTTGCTCCCTGGGTTCAGCCAGCAGCGTTTCCGGAGGTAACGGTGGCAGCAACTGAGGAGTTGCTTGAGCGTCCGCCGAACACCGCTGCTGCCGCTGCTGCCACTTCCCCCGCTGCTGCTGCTGCTGGGCGCGGTGGTGGCAACGGCTCCCAACTGCCCATAGCAGTGAACCTGGCGGGCCGTTTGCAGTCGCCAAAGCAGGGAGAGCGGCAACAGGTGGGGAGTCAGAGGGAGCAGGTGTATGTAGCAGGGTGCACGGAAGCTGTGAGCAGCAGGAGGTGCAGCAAGGAGGGGCAGGGGAGGCAGGGGGGCTGCCGTTCAATGGAGCTTCCGCCTCTATGTATCGTTGATTCATCATAGCAATGGCATTCGAGCACGTATGTAGAAGGATTGTCGTCAGAAGGCAAACAGAACAACGGGTGTGATTACGTCGAAAGAGAGGGAGAGGGAGAGTATTACGCTGAGAGACAAGATAAAGAAGGGAAATAAGAGTGAGAAGAGTCTACGGGTCTTGCCAAGCCGTGGGCAACGTGTCCGGTACCCGGTTCGCTCGATTTACTGTGGAGTGGTGTGGAGGAGTAGTAGGAGCAATGTCGGCGGGAAAACTGTGATTCCGTGGGTTGAACAGGAGGGGGGTCCCCTGCTGGTGTGGAGGGGGTGGACGGCGGGCTGTCAAGCTGGGGTGCGGCTGTTGGCTGGTGAGTGTCAAGGCTGTTGCCAAGGTGCCTGGTGGCAAGAATTTCAAGTTCCCCTAGGCAAGCAAGTAAGCAGCCGCCTGTTGATTCAGGTTTTCCTTAAGTTCGATTAGCATATGTACGTCTAAAGGACATTCATGCGAGGTGCTGCCATTTGTTTCCCGTCCTCGAAGGCAAGTTGATAAACTACTGGCCCCCGCATGCGTGCGTGTGCGTGCGTGGGGTGGCTGAGGGGTGTTGACAAGAGAGCTTGTTGCATGGCTGTGAGCTGCGGTCATGATTGTTGGTTGGGGCCTTACGTGTCGTTATGGCCGGCTGTTCATTACCCCCGCTGCACCGGTCGAGGGCCGGGGAATTCCATTCATGTCTGGGAGAGATGCGGGGCTGCCTGTGTGTATGTGTGTACGGTATGTGAAGCTGTACTACTGCCAAGCGTCATTAGCAGCCGAGCGGACAGGTGTGTTACAAAAACTGGCCGCAAGTCGAAACATACTGTGATTGCCGGAAGATTAGGCGTGTGTGCGTTATATCAACTGGACGCGAAACCTGGCAGTTCAACTGGACGCGAAACCTTGCAGTGTCCTTGGAGGAGCACTGGAGAATTAAGGATTGGAGAATTAAGGATTGGAGAATTGGTGGATTGGAGGTGCGTGTGTATGGCAATGGAGGGAGGCGTCCGTTAGTGCCACCACAAAAGAAGCACGTGTTGATGAATGGCAAGGTCGAATCGGTTCGTTCGATTAAAAACCATGTATGTGTTGATGTGTGGGGCGGGGTTTGACGGAGGTAGGGTTGATGTATGGCTTACTTCTTGATGTCGGATACCTACAGGGCAGCAGTTAGTTGGGCTGGTGGTTGATAGCTGGTTGGAAAGGCTTGAAGGAGTTGAGGGCGGTGAGCAGTTGCTGCAACAGCTGCAGCCGTTGCAGCATTGCCAGGAGACGGCAGCAGACGGCAGGCCGTGTGTGGTGTGATAGTTTGTTATGTTGTTGTGCGTTAGCAAGGCTGGCCCGGAGTGCGAGCGTATGTGTTGTATGAGTAAGAAGACTGGCCGCGAGTAGGAACGTACTCGTATTCGTACGTGTGTTATGTGGTAAGTAAACTGTGTTATGTGTGTACCGTATGTGGCAATTGTCAATAGGTTGCGACTAAAGCACGAGGGATGCAATGGTTGTGGCTGGGGGGTTCGGGACATCGGTTGAGGGGAGATGTTTTACCATGATGTATGTCTGTCCAATACAGTCCTATTAGTGCAAAATACAAAAGAGCAAAGGATCGGAAGTGGGGTGTTATTCCTCAACTAAATCCCAACTGAATGCTGCACGGGTACGGTGTTGAGCACAGTCATATCATGGTGCGTACGGTTGACATGGCGCATATGTGCAATTGTGCGGGCATCTGTGACCTTTTTGTGGGAGGGTAAAAAGCGACCCATGGGTCATTCGCTTCGTAAACAGTCTACTTGATAAGAGGCGTTTGTGAGTAGGCGAGGGTCTTGTTGCGAGAAAGAGGGGGAGATGAGTTGTGAAAGGTGAGGTGCCAGAGATTGAGGGCATCCGTACGAATGCGTACGGCTTCTGTGACGGCTTCCGCTGTTGGAGGTACGACGCTATACGGCCTTGTCGAAGTGAGCTTGATCAATCGAGCTGGTCATGACATATTATCCTCGGTTGTGTGCTAGCTGCAGCGGCTGCTGCTGGGGACATGCAGCCCTTTGTGCTGCCTTCTTTACTGTTGCGGTTGGCTGCCTTTTGTAGTGATGATACCCGTAGAACCTTCCTGATGTGCATATTGTAAGGTAAGGCAAACATCCATTCAACTTCCAGCATATACTTTGAGCGGCCAAAAGTAATGGCAGGTTGCAACAGTTAACATCCGTACAGTGCAATGGCGGTACGGTAGCTTAAGAGTACTACGGTGTTGCATAACGTGTCCTCGTCACGTTAAAGCTCGCCAGTAACAGCAATATGGGCCGTGCGCACTTAAGTCGTTAGGTGCTATGCTAACAACGTATAAACGCCGGTGCGGATCGGCCGGCATGCGCCCGAACCCGGACAGCCGCTCCATATCCAACGCAATAAGAAACACCAATGAAATAGATCTGGGCCTTTGTGAGATACCGTGGGGAGAATGTAGGCACACGGTAGCATATAAGGCTTCAAGCAACACCCAACATGCATGAGAGGTCTTCCCCCAAGTAGTCTAGCGTAACTCCCAATGAACTACAACTTCACACCATCCGTCCGGGGCTGCCATACAAATGCGATTCGCTTGATTTTGTTGGACGGGACATCGACAACATACGTCGCCATGCAGTCAGCAATCCCTCCGTCCGGCAAGCCGGTGATGATTTCCCGATCGACCACGACATTTCCAAGGACTATCCGAGCCAGTAACTCACAGTGCACCGGAGATTTAAAACGCTCCACATATCGAGGGCGCAATTCCTCCTTGCTGGAGGCTAAAGTTGCCCCGGTCAGCCCATCAGAGACCACCACGTCCTCTGTAAAGAGCTCCATGAAAGGTTCAACCTCTCTGGCATTGTACAGTTCCAGTTGGCGTTGCACGATGGCCGATGCCTCCTGCGCCATTGTCGCTTTGCAGGCAATCCTACTGCTTACACGGCTAGGAGCAGGAAGTGGTGGCACTGTGCGAAATGGGCTTCGAGTTTGCCGTTTATGCGGCAAAGCGCTTCCGAGCCTAGCGCTAAGAGACTGATAAGCCATGCTCAAAACGCGATGTTTAAGATCTAATTAGGGAGCATTATCTACGTTGTGAAAGCGCAGACATTGCTATGCGACGCAACAGAGATTGTACGGCCTTGTACGGCCGACGCTTATCGTCGTTCACTTTCTGTAATTCGCGACTTTCCTAGCGGTTCCCCACTAAGGCATATGGGTACCACCTGTTTCTGCTGCACCAGGGCAGGGCCGGATGTTCAGGACTGATAACCTGCGCGTTTTAGCGACGTTTGCTGTACTTTGCAGTACCGTCGTGATCCTCACATGTCATGCTCGCTGTCCGGGCATGGGCGAGCCTTTAGGTCAAACCTTCTATCCTCGTACGTACCCGGCTGGTGTCGTACAACCCGCAACCCGCATGGAAGTACTACACCAAAGCGGTGCCCGGCGTCAACCGCAAAGATCATCACCAACTTCCTTGCATAGTTACAGGTACCGGTAACCTCTTCCTTCGCCTGGTTGCCCAAACAAGCATGCTTGCCTGCCTGCCAGTCAATAACAACACGCAAGATGGCGTCAAGTCACCTTGCCCACTCTGTACATACCCCCAACCGATTATTGCTCCTAATTCTTATGCCTCTACTTTGTTAAAGACCTCGGCCTAGAAGTCGCAAGACACACCACACTGCTGAATTCGGCCGGGCCATCCCTGCTGCCCTAACCCGCCGAATAGCGGAATATAGACTGGCATGCGTTTAAGCTCACGCCAGCAAATGCGGTCTCATGCATGATATAATAGGGTCAAAAGCGCAGCAAGCAAAGCCGTACAAGGCTTGCTATCACGTCAAAGTACCGTACTGTACTGCTGCACCAGCACATCCGCAGCCCCGAAGTTACTCACCCACGGTGTGTTTGCAGCAGGTGCAACGAAACGTCGCATGTGTTGCAAACAGCAATCCCAAGCAGCCATGCACCAATTTATCCTTCCAAAAAGGAGCCAAACAAGCCAATAAGGCCTATAACGCCTGTAATCAATAGCAAGCCCAACCAGCCATGACAGGGGCTTCTCCAGCCCCCCTGTTGAAAAGCCCGCCCTTGCGTCCTTCAACGAAGTCCACAGACCTGTCAGCTCGTCCATGATGATGCGCCTGTTCCGTCATGCGTGTGTCACAAGGCGGTTCACACACCACCAGTTATTTTACCCCAAGCCGCCAGAGTGAAGCGTCATCAGCCTGCTTCGTGCAGTCACAGCGGCCACATACCCGCTTGCCACTTGCTTCACCTGCCACGAACTTGTCACAAAATCATGAACTCGCGCGCGTGGATCCAGTGTTGTCAGCCGGCATCGCCTCACACATTCGCACGGCTTTGCAACCTTCCGTCCCCGCACCCAACGTCGTGACAACCGATTCAAAAGCCTCCAACACAACTCGAGGCCTCGAACGTGTTGACACAAGCCTGGCGAATCGCAGACACAGAATACGACACGCGGCCAGTCCTGTCAATACATGCTTATTTACTCCTGCTGCGAACCCCGCACAGACGCCGTCCCCTACCACCAGTGCCAAGGTGCTCCGACAAAGCCCCCCTGTGCTCCCAGTCTTGCGCTTCCCCCTCCCGTGTCCTTCACGCCTGCTCTCCAAACCGCATGCTCATGTCCCCCCAAGTGCGCATCAGACCCCACATCGTCCCGTCCCTTGCAGCCATCCCATGCCTTCCACCGTTTCGGGACGCAATGCACGACACCCTCCAAGCAGCGGACTGCACACCCCGTCACCACCGCACAACTGCCGCCAGTTGTTCTCCCGCTGCCCTTCCGCTAGACGCAGGAGGAAAAGGGGCTTACCCAGCCCCCCGCACGCAGCCGCAACATCCATCACCACCACCACCGGACGTCAGGGCTAGCGTGTACAACACAATGTCGCCCCGGTCTCGTCCCGCCCCCTGCTACCGGTACGTGTCACCTGCAAACACCTGCTGCTGCTGTCATGAATGTCCGCCTCAACACGAATGCCATTGCGGTGCGCAAAACCACACAGCAGCACACCACCGCCCTCTGGCTGGCCGGCAGGCATGAATCAACAAGACCAGGATGAGAGGTTTGCATGCACTGCTGCTACCTGCGGGTCCGTAAGCAAGGCATGACAACCCCACTACCGCACCGCACAAGAACAACAGCAGCACCGCCGCCAGCAACAGCGAACGCTGACATACACATGTGCGCCCCGCTGCTGCTAGCGGCCTGCGGGGACCTGCAGCCCCTTGGGTCAATAAGCCAACCCAGCAGTTGGGCCAACGTCAGAAGATGGACGTGGAAAGAACGGTGGTTTGCCCCATGAATTGCCCCAAGGATAGTTTGCTTGGTCACAACACCATTCAACTAGAGTCTTCCATGCCCCGGCATGGAAGGCAAATGGCAGTCGGAGTACACGCTCGCACGGAAACACACACCGGTACAGCCCCGTCCCTCCTGGCGAACACGCACGGGCAACATGCACGCAAACGACTAACTAACAACGGCCACAACGATCATGCAAACAGAGCGCACTGGCGCTTTTTCGCAGCCGCCACCGCCACAACCGCCCACTACTCCACCTCCTAGCCCACACATGCGCTTCCAACAACGTGAGCAACACCCGACTGCTGCTGCCAACCCAAATGGTGCGTAGCTGCTGCTTGAAGCAAGCTGGCACAGTCATACAGCATATGCTTGCAGGGTCACACGGGGATCGGAGCAGCTCCTCCTGCCACCCATTCCCTCCATTCCATGTCACCGAGCAGGAAACATCTTGCTCTTGCGCGGGAGCACGAATGCGCGCACCGCTGCAAGCCAGGTGTGCCTCCTTTGCTTCTTCAGTGCCCTCCTGTAGTCCTATGCACACTACCGCAAGCCGCACGATGCAGCACACACCAATGCTTTCTCTCTCACCACAACTCGCTTTTCCCAGATCCACAGGACCCCTGTGCGCCGCCGCTATTGCACATGCATGCCTCTGGCGCTCTGGTCTACACAAAGAACATCACCATTCCTCTCCGTGCAAAGGACACTACCACACATCTCCGCAGGACTCCAACAAACCGCGCTTCAAAGAGAGAAGCCAGTCCCCTACCCCATGCCGCCACACCCCGCCAGTAGCAGCCCACCGGGGGCCGGAATGCGACAGCCCCCTCCCCCAGGCCGCCAGCCACATCACAACCCGGCCACCGACATCTCCGAACAGTCCTCCTGCAGTAGCCCGCCTCCCCCGCCACCAACACCAACAACAGCTGCAGCAGCTGTGACACCACCACCAACCCCAGCTGTCACACCGCTGCCGCCGCATGGCCTCCGAGGCTCCGAAACCTCAGCCCCATCAGCCTCGTTACCAGCCTCCTCGTAAGGGGGCTCCTCAGCAAGGCACGACACCTCCTCCAGCGGGGTGCTCTCTGCCTGCTGCTGGGGCTCGGGCTGCGGTTGGTGCGGGTCAACGGGTTGCTCCCAGTGCTGCTGCTGCTGCTGAGCATGTTGCTGCCGCGGCCCCTCCTCCTCCTGCTGTTCGTGTTGTTGCTGCTGCTGCTGTTGTGCCGGTGACGATGGCATGCAAGGCTGCTGCTGCGGTGGCTGCAGCTCATTCGAGGGCTGTCCTTCTTGCTGCTGTTGCTGCTGGTGTTGCTGCTGTGAAGGCGCTGGCGGCAGCTGCGCTTGCGAGGGCCGCTGCCGGCCGCTGTAGCTGCCAGCTGCTGCCGCCGCCACCGCCGCCACTACCGCCGCTGTCGCGCCCGCTGCCTCCTCCATGTCGGCCCCTGCCGCCGACCCCGCTGCCACATCTTGTGCCGCCTGCTGCTGCTGCTCGGCTGCATGGGCTGCGGGTGTCTCAGCCTCCCCATCCACAGCCTCAGCCTCAACGGCAGCAACCGCCTCCTGTTGGCTGTCACGGTGGGGCTGTAGCTGCTGTTGGTGTTGGTGTGGAGGTCCGTGAGGCGTGGTGGATGGCATGGCAGGCAGGGAGGGGTGCGCCGGCAGCGGAGGCCTAGTGGAGCCCGGTGCGGATTGCAGGGAGCGGAGCGGTCTGGGGGACGTGGCCTCCGCATCCGGCGGCACCACCATGCTCCATCGCTGCTGCGGGTCCTGCTGCTGCCCCTCCTCTTCCGGACTGAGGAGCTGCTGCTGCGAGGGCAAGTCCGGGCTGCTCCTGCTGTTGTTGGCGCCGCTGCAAGCGACCCGTGGGTCGGCGGTGGCAGCTCTCCGGGGACTTCTACTCACCTCACCCGGCTCCTCCACACTCTCCTCCGCTTGGCCAACGGGCCTTGGTATGTGTCCTCCCAGGGCAGCAGCAGGACTGCCTCCGCAGCCGGGTCGGGCCTCGAACAGCCGTTCTGGGGGTGCTTGAGGTGAGGAGACAGCGCAGCAGGGGGAGCAGGGAGCTGTTGATGCGGGAGTGGGAGCTGGCGTGCCAGGCAGTGACCCTGACGGCACCCGTAGCGGCGCCATTGGCGGCGACATGGAGGGAGATAGCGAGGAGGATAGGGAGGGGGACATCGGCGGCGGCGCCAATGGCGCCGGCATTGCCGTACCGCCGCCGCCGCCGTCACCGCCGCTGCCACCGGTCGTAGGCTGATACGCCGCCGTGGTCGGGGATTGCGACTGGCGACTGCAGGCGCTGTAGCTGCCGAACGCCTCGAGGGATCTGACGTTGCTGAGGACGCGGAAAGCGCCGCCGAAACGACCCGCGGGTCTGTCCCCGGCGTCGCTGTCATTGTCGCCGCCGCCTGGCCGCCCGCCAACGCTGTATTCCCTCAGACTCACGCCGCCGATCAGGGACGACGCCAGCAGAGGATTGGGGCCCATGCGGGGGCCCCCAGCGCACCCCATGCCACCATCCATGCTGCGACTGGGTATCCCAGCCAGCGCCGCCGCCAACACGGAGGCCGGCTGCACGTAAGCCCTGACCACCTCCCGCTGCGCTCGGTCACCGTCGTACAGCAGTACCGAACCGCGATGGAAACTGCCGTCATCGCACGACAGCACGGATTTATACTTGTCGTAGGGGGCCGTGTCGTCAAACACGTCGTACACTGATGACGATACGGACGTCGTACGAGAGGCGACGGCGCTGCCGCGACCGCCGCGACCGTGCACGCTGACGTCCATTGACGTCGACGAGCCGCCGCTGGCGGCGGCGCCGCCAGTGAAAAAGCGTACGGATGTCCCTCCGCCACCACCGCCACCGCCGCCGCCGCCACGTCCCCCGCCATTACGGGCCGTATCGTCGCCGCCAAAAACGCTGCGGATGGGGTTCGGCCAGTGCCACCGCAGACGCTGGGCCCGCTGGGGCCGCTCCGAGCGCGCTGGCGGCGGCGGCTGTTGCTGCTGCTGCTCCTGTTCTCCTCGCTCCTGGGGCGGCAGGCGCCGCGGCGGTGGCGGCGGCGGCGGCTTGTTGCGCAGCTTTGCGATTTCCGCGTCGCTGTCGCTGTCGCTGCTGTCGTCCACATCATCGTCCGTGTAGATGAAGTTACTGTCCGTGGCATCCCCGCCTGACCCGGAGCGCTCGTCCACGTTCAAGTCCTCATCTGATGAGGACTCCACCTCCTGCTTCTCTTCCCTAACCCGCCTGCTCAGCCCCTCCTGCAACTGCTCCTGCAATTCCCGCTGCTGTCGCTGCTGCTCCTCCAGCATCCGCAACCGCTGCTGCTCCTGCTGCTGCTGCTCCTGCTGCTGATGTTCCACCGAATCCTCCTGTAACCGCTGCCGTTCCTGCTCCCGCTCCTCCGGCCCTTCCTTCCCCTGTGCTAGCGGCTGCGGCTGCTGCGGCTGCAGCGACTGCTGCATTGCTGACAGTGCCCGCACCCCAGCAATACTGCCGCTGCCGCTGACACCTCCACCGCCGCTGCCTCCACCGCCTCCGCCTGCGCCCCCGTCCCCATCATCCGTGCCGGGTATCCCCGAGCCCATCGTCAGCAGCCCCCGCACCTTGGTCCACCAGGTGTCATCCTCCCGGTCGCGCTGCATGCTGCGCTGCGAGCGGCGGAAGCTCGCCGACGGCTCCAGTGCGCTCGGCAGCTGCATGCGCCCGCTCTCGCTGGGCACCAGCTTCAGGGCCGCCATCACCCGGCGCGACCAGGTGCCCGGCTGCTGGCGGCTGAGCCGCATGCTGCCGCGACCGGCGAAGGAGGCGCCGCCTACAGCGCCGGCGCCGAGGCCGCCAGTTGCGGCGGAGCCGCCGCCGCCACCGCCGAATGCGGCGGCGGCGGCAGTACCGCCACCCCCTCCGCTGCTGCCGAGTAGTGGATGGCCCCCTCCTGGGAAGCCGGAGGAGGGGATGCGGTCGCTGTCAGAGTCACCGCACAGGTCGCTGACCACCTCCACATCGCCCACGTCGTCATCGGACCAGCCGCCGGGGTAGATGGGGTACACGCCGGACATCGCCGCCGCCGCCGCCACGCCCATCGGCGGAGGAGGCGGCCACTGCACCCTGCCGCCGCCGCCGCCGGCCCCGGTGAAGCTGCTGCCGCTGCTGCTGCCGCCGCCGCCGCGACCAGGCGCGCCGCCGGCTCCGCTGATGTAGCCCATGCCAACGCCGTACTCCCCTTCGCCGGCGACGCTGCTCGCCCAGGTGATTTGCTGCTGTGAGGCGGAGGTCACGGGGGCCGCTGCGCCGGCAGCAGGGATGGTTCCAAAGGCGTTCAACATCAAGGGAGGCCGAGAGGTGGCAGTGGTGGGGCGCGAGGTGGCGGTGGTGGGACGTGAGGTGGGTCGAGAGGCGGGCCGGGAGGGCGGACGAGAGGCTGGACGGGAGGAGGGGCGGGAGGCGCAGCGGGAGGGCGGACGCGATGTGGGTCGGGAGGAGGAGGAGGCGAAGCCTGAGCGGGAGGCGGGACGCGAGGTTGCGGTTGTTGGTCGCGAGGTTGCGGTTGTGGGGCGGGAGGTGGCTGTGGTGGGACGTGACGTAGCGGTCGTAGGTCGCGAGGTGGGGCGGGAGGTGGCGGTGGTAGGGCGGGAGGTGGCGGTGGTGGGACGCAATCTGCTGCGGGAGGGTGTTGCCACGAAGGGCTCGGGCCCGTCCGGCCCCGGGCCCTCCCACTGCTCCGTCAGGTAGCGGCGGAGGGGCAGCGAGGTGCCGTCCTCTCCCGGCAGAGACGGAGTGAGCTCCAGGGGGGGCAGGTGTCGGGGAGGGTACACGCCGCCACCACCGCCGGTGCCGCCACCGCCGCTGGTAACGCCAGCACCGCCGCCGCTGCCTCCGGCGCTGCCGCTGCCGCCAAAGGTCCCGCTGGCAAAGGTGATGGCGGTGGCGGTGGCTGTGGTGGTGCTGGTGGCGGTTGTGGTGGTGGAGGGACAGAAGGCGACGCCCTTGCGGACACTGGGGTCGTCGCCGGCTTTGAGTGCGGATTTGAGGGGCAGCTGCTGCGGAGACGGGGTCGGCTGTTGTTGTTGGGGCTGTTGGGGTTGCTGCTGGGAGGAGGCTGCTGGGGGCTTTGGATGCTGGAAGGCCGGGAAGCCGACGCGGAGGGGCGAGGGGCGCGGAGGCGGGTCGTTAATGTCACTGTAGCCATCCGGGGAGAAGGTTTGTGGCCGGTCTGAAGACAAGCCGCGGCTGGAGATGCGGGGTGTTTGCGGGGATGGCGGTTCAGGTACGATGACGGAGGTGACCTGCGGGAGGCAGGGTGGGAGGTGAGGCAGGGTGAGTGCGGATGTGTGTGGAGAGGGGGGCGCAGTTAGGGAGGAGGAGGGCGGTCTGGTTGACGACGTTTGGCAGGATCTGGGACACATGCGAGTGGCTGAGAGGGCGCTTTCTTCCTCAGGAAGGGGCTAAGCCAAAGCGCTCGGGAGATGAGGATTATAGGGCAGTTTGCATGTCGGTGTGACCGAGCAGGCTGGGAAAAGCCTGCCACTTGGCGAAGGGTAGCCAAGAAAGGCGCTGCGGCAACGAGGGAACCCTAACGTAGCATGCAGGGATCGAGCTGTCGCTGTAAGCAGAATGCTATACAACATGGTCTTTATGAGCTACGCCACCATCGGACAGGGGGGCTAGTTTGAGCAACCCCATCCATCATGAAGGGCCGTCGAAGGCAGCTCCCGCTTCTACGGCAATTGACCAACCGGTGCAACATCCTCTTACCTGAGAACAAAGGCAGCTTCCAAACACCATTTGTTAGGGGTGGGGACGCCCTGTACCTGCGCAAGGCAATTCAAGAGTGAGCTTCGGTGCTCCACAGCCCGAGCCATAACGCAATTATTTTACAACCAGATGTAGGCGCTATACAAGCGTACCTCTATCCGCAGCTCGGTGGCCTTCCGCGTGATAGATGTGCGTCGATGGTAGACCACCACAGCGTAAAGAAGGCATTGCGGCTACATCAATATAAAGCGACTTTACTATAAGAGATTAGCAATGGCCGCGTCTGTGAATCTGCGTATAGAAGGCTGGCCGGGGCCACACTGGGCCAACTGCGGGTGAAGGTCTTTACTATTCAGGATAATGCGTTATCTTCGTCAGAGGTCTTATATATATAGCTTGCGTTGCGATACTGTAACACAAGACGCCGCGCGGATAGGTAAGGAGCTAGGCCAGCTGTGTACACACGCGGCGAGGCCGTTCCCTAAGGACAACAAGGAGTACACGTTTAAACAAACCTTTGCCCTTAGCAACCATTGTTTCCTATGGGTCGTCGTTCCCATTATTCCTCGTACGTCGGTTACCGTCGTGCATCCGCAGTCCCACCTATGACCTACGGGCTCCGTCCTTGTAATTTGACGACTCCAGGGGGTTACCGGATGCACTTGGCTGGCAGGCATCCCTCAACATGGCCTCCTTATCGAACATGCCACAATTGACATCCAGCCATGCATGCAAATGGGCATGTGTCGACCGCTCCTGTTCCAGAAGCCGCTGCGCTAAGCCCCTTCCGACACCGCAGACAGCTGTAAAGTGCTTGACACGCGATTCCATGTGTTCATCCTATCATGCTAAGTCCGCTGCTAGCCTCGAGCCCGCCTGCTGGGTCCATGGACCAAGGCTCGTCCTGGTCAGCGCTGTTGTGATTAGGGCAGGCTGGGGAAATTAGGCTATCCCGGGCTACCAGTTCAATAATTCCCATGTTCCCAATTGGATGGAACTAGACTAGGAGGCAGACATAGGTCGCGAGTACCGGTAGCAGCTGTGTAGCAAGCCGCCCGGTTGCCCCCGTCTGATACCTGTAGACGCGAGCTACCGTGTAGAGCTACAACCCATGCGCGTTCCTTTCATGTGCTATGCAGTATGCCAGTGATGACGAGCGTAGTGCTCGTAGCGAGTGTGATGGTTATGTAGGGCTTTGCAGGGCTTCGTACGACGTGCGCATCCAGCGCAGTGGTAAACCATGCGCCTGCGCAGATCCTCTTCCTTCTCCCACAGCTCTTGTTGGCTGCATTCTGAGTCACACCGATTGAGCACCTCCTCTAGTGTACGGCTTACTCGCGTGGCTTCAGTGGGTACGTGGATCCAGCGGGAGCATGCCTTTCAGGTACGGCAGGGTGATGTTCGGTTGGCCCTTTGGACTGTTTCACAGCGATAATGCATGAGGATCGTTCAGCCGCATGGGCAGCACCTTAAGGAATAATGGAGAGGGTCATGTGACAGGGAGTGTTATGTGGGGTTGTGCACCCTTCGCCAGCGCGGAGCGAGCAGACACGGCCCTTGGGTCGGGGCATGCCAAGTAAGTACTCGCTTCCTTTAGGATGATAACGTGTTAACAGAACAACTGTGTTTGTAGAACCATCCAACTAATGCTGATGGGAGGTAAGCCAAAGCTCTGAGATCGGCAATTGTGTCACAATCCCCGAATCGCATCGGAAAGCACATTGCCTGAAAACATAGCAAATTCTCAGTGTACCACTATAGAACTCTATAGTACTGGTTGTAGGTAAACGTGCGCTAGCTCCCTAGTTTGGTGGACCCAACCTGGGATACCTGTCCCTCTAGCCTGATACAATAATTATACTGTAGGTTTACTAGGGTAGGACTCAGATATGCTCAAGGGGCTTGGCCGGCACCAGCGGGCCGGCTCAGCACCAGGCACCACAAGCCATGCGGCCCGCTGTCCTCATCTCGTTAGCCATGGCCGGAGACAGCTAGTAGTGAATGCTAGAGCTGCCCGCTATGACAGGCGAAAGCCACCGCCTCCAGACTTGCCTTCTTTGCTGTTCGACCAGCGCATCGTCTACTTGGGCATGCCGGTGCGCCCGATCGGGGGATCAGCGGATGCTTCTCTGTTCACTGCAAGCTTTGATTCTAATTCAACCAATTGACCTACGCGCGCAGCTCGTGCCGGCGGTAACGGAGTTAATGGTGGCTGAGCTGCTTTACCTCGAAAAGCAGGGCGCGACCCTGCCGATCGAAATGCTTATTAACTCCTCGGGGACAACTCGACAAGATGGTGAAATTGTAAGAACGGCAGGAATGGCCTTGATGGTCGTCTCGACAGCCCTTGCATGACGGTTGTATGTCTCTCGCTTGCGCAGCTTGCTTTTGACAGCGAGGGTGTTGCCCTCACCTCCACGATGGGCTTCGTCAAGAATCCGGTGGGTTTCTGCCCGTTTTTGCTTCTAGGAAGCCTCTCTGCGTCCGCTTACCCGGCTCATCCCGCATGGCTGCAGATCTCCACCGTCAACATGGGCCTCGCAGTTGGCTGGTCCTGCGTGGTCCTTTCGTTCGGGCGGAAGGGCTGGCGGAAAAGCCTCCCCCACTCCCTGGGTAAGTCCAGCTGCGGGCATGTCTCCATCCTGCCTTTGACCATCTTGACCCAAATCCCTCCCAACCAATTGCCCAGCAATCCTGACCGTTCTCGTCATCTCCTTTCTTCCTTCCACCTGTTCCAACCTTTAAAAAAACAGCAATGATCCAGCAGCCGCGGGTGCCGCCCACTGGCCAGCGCCAAGCCATTGAGGTGCACATCAAATGGCGGGAGGTGCTGGACTACAAGCGGGAGCTGCTGCGCACGCTCTCCATCGGGACGGGGCTGCCGGTGGATAAGCTGGACGCGGTAAGGGACGGGAGGAGGGACATGGAAGGGGAAGAGGGGCGGGGAGGGAGAAGAGGGGCGGGGAGGGAGAAGAGGGGCGGGGAGGGGTGGAGACGGGGGCCTGGCGACGGTGCTTGACGGGCGGGAGCTTAGCGGGAGGGGGAAGAGGCGTCGGCAGCAGCAGCAGCAGCAGGCATCCAGCTGCAGGGACAGGGGCAGTGGTATCAGCAGCTGCAGGGGCAGGAGCAGCAGCGGCGCACGGCGGCACAGCACAGGGCGTGGAGTGTGCGCGTGAGTGGAGTCAGCAGCAGCGGCGGCGGCGGCAGGGTCGGAGGCAGGGGCCGCAGCAGCATTAGGGAATGCAGCAGCAGCAGCAGCAGACGAACAGCAGCAGCAGCATACGGGCGGCAGCAGCAGTAGCGGACAGCAGGAGGAAAGGGATAGGTGTGGCCGTATTAAAGCGGGTACAGCTTGCTCGTGTCTAGCACCGCCGCTACGAGCGGGACCCATCCCCACACCCACCTCCACCGCCTCCTACCCACCCTCTGAAACACCCCGCTTCCCAACCACAGCGATTCCATCGCCACCCAACAATCCCCAACCCACCCCCCTGGAAACACACACCCTCCCCCTCCCCCCCTAACCCCCCAACAGGACATGCAGCGCCCGCTCTACATGCGCCCCCGGGACGCGCTGGAGTACGGCATTATTGATGAGATCATTGAGCCCAATGCGGATAAGCAGGTGGGGGGCGGGTGTGGGGGAGCGGGTGGGTCAAAGTTAAGGAAAACTGACGAACTGAAAGACGGGGCTTATCCATGGGTTCTCCATGGGGGGGCGGGTGGGGGGGGAGCGGGTGGGGTCAACGAAGCACCGAAACACAAGTGAGGGCAGGATAAAGGGGGGTAAGGGGGGCCGGCAGGGCGCCGCAAGACATGGGTGGACTAAAGGGGGGTGGCGGGTGGCGGGGTGAGAGGTTGGGCAAAACACGCAGCGCCACACCACGTCGTGTGTTTCGTGTGAACACGCGTCGATGGCCGTTGTTACCTCTCGGTTCCCTATCCACGCCCCATCCCCATTCCTTAGCCCCAACCCGCGCCCCTCCCTCCAATCCCTCCCTCCACCCCACCATGCCCGCATTCTAATCGGCCAGCACTAGAAGCTTTCACAGCCCGTGACTCCCTGGTCCCCACCACCCGGATCTGGGATTGGGACTCTGTTGCTGCACTCATCATGGCTCCCACCCCCCTGCCCCCCCCCCGACACTACCGGTATCACAACACACATTGGATATTCCCCTTCCCACCCTGGCTCCCACCACCCCCCCAACAGGAGAAGGCTGCTGCCTACTGGATCAAGAGCGGGCGGGCGGAGGGCGAGGGGCGGCTGGAGCAGTGGACGGAGTACCTGAGTGCGCAGGAGGAGTACGCGCTACGGGACAGCTTCAGGAAGGTGGCAGCGCAGGTGGGAGGGGGGGTGGGGGCGGAGGCTGGGGCTGGGGGTCATAGGGTGGGGGTGGGGGTGAGGAATAAGAAAAGGCGGAGGATGAGGGTGAGGGAGTGGAGGGAACAGTTGGGCGCCAAACCCTGGCATACCATGAACTTTACCGGCTTGCCTAACCCCTCCCTCCCTCCCTCCCCCTCAGGACCTGCGAGCCGCCTACCGCGAGACGGCCCAGCAGCTGCTGTCGGGCAGCGCGCGGAACAAGGAGCAGGTGGGGGAGGGGTGTTTACCGGCGTAGGGAGGTGGGATGAGGAGGAGGGGCAGAAGGAAGGCGGTGCGGGGCAGCAGTGTCACGTCCACCCCCTGGGGGGGTGTTGCTCGGGGCTGGGGGGGCAGCGGTGCTCGCACTCGCCTACACCGCCCTGCCCCTCCTCCGCACGTGGAACCCTAACCCGCTTCCTTACCTCTCCTCTCCTCCTCCACCTCCCTCACCTCCGTTGATGCATTTATCTATATCCCCCCCCGCTCCTCACACGTACCCCACAGGTTGCGGGTCTGGCCTCCCGCCTCCCCCCCGAGATGCTGGTGCAGGGCGGCTCCGCGGAGGAGGAGCAGGTGGAGGTACGGCTGCCGTTCAGCCGCGAGGGGCTGCGTCTGGCGGTGCTGAACGCGGAGAGGTTCGCGGAGCGCAATGTGCAGCGGCACGTGCGCGCGCAGCAGGTGGCCGTACCTGACAACTGGCGAGCGAGCATTGAGCAGCAGGCAGCCGCCTCCGTCGGAGCCGCGGCTGGGGGGAAGGAGGAGAAGGCGGTTGCGGTGGACTACGATGCGCTGATGGCGCGGGTGGAGGCGATGGGCGAGGCGGAGTTCGCCGCTACGGACCTGGATGCGCTGGTGGAGCAGTTCAAGGTGGGGGAAAGGAGAGGAAGGGGAAGGGGAGAGAGGAAGGGGAACGGAGGGATGTCATGCGTTGATTGACAGCGGGAGGGGAGGGAGGAGGGGGGAGGGGGATGTGGCAGGGCAGGGTGGGGGGTGCGAGGGGAGAGGAGGGGGAAAAGGAGGGTGGGCGGGGCGGTGTGAGAGAGATGCGGTGGGGGGTTGCACGGGGCCCGACCATGCTGTGCTGGGGGGCTGCTGCGGGTCGGCACGCTGTTCCCTCACACGCTTGATACGCCCCTTCTATTCCCTCATTCCTCCCGGTGTCGCAGGTGCCCGTGTAAGCGCCCGCGTGGGGGGGCGCACGTGTGTTGGGACCGCATCTGCTCGGCGTCTGACTCCGTGCCTGGATTGCTGCTCGCATGGCCTCACGAGGCGGCGGCTGCAGCGGAGGGGCGGAAGACTAGCCTAGTGCCGGGGCACATGCGGGGGGAGGGGGGTCGGGAGGTATAGGTTGTAGGTAGAGACTGGTGAAGCGCTGACTTGGTTTGACTGGGTAGAGGTGTTATCAGGAGGGCGCCTGCGGGTAGGGGCGGATGAGGGAAGCGACGTGTGGCATGTGGTGGGAACAAGGGAAGGGGGGACTTCAGAGACCGGGGGGAAAGAGGAAAGAGAGGGGTTGCAACGAGTGTTCAACCGCCGTTTTTTTGCGTGCACGGCAACACAGGGAAAGGAGGGGTTGCGTTAGAAGGATGAGGAGGGAACCAAGGCCGGGTGTGCCGGTCCAATAGTTGTAAGCGAGTGCGTGTAGCTGTTTGCCGCGGCTGCCGTAGTAGAGTAGGTGGTAGCGGACTGAGGGCTTTGCTTATTGAGCGAACACAGGGGAGTGCACATGGCCGGATTGTGGCTCACTGCTTGCATGAAGGCTTTTCTCCCCTAACCTGACGTGGCGCGCCAGAGCTGCGGAGAACCATGATTTTGCGCTTTGGTAGAGAAGAGAAGATTAGGATGTCCATACGTACCCTGGATAAACCAAGACGTTTCTGTTACATTCTTGTAACAGTACAATACACGGCTGTTCAGCACCGTCACAGTTGAAAACCAGTGCAGAACGCCCTCTCCATTTATAGGTCAATACCTACGCCCCTCATCGCTTGTATCACTTCACACGCCAGCTCTTCTCCCCACCTCCTCTCAACTACCGTCATACGACAACCCCTTGCAATAGCGGCTGACCCCCTAAAGACACCTCCTATAATCCATGGATTCGGATAGAGTCGCAGGGTCCAAGTGCTGTCCAAAAAAGGTGAGCTGTCGGGCGCATGATAGCCGGGAAGCCAACCTCAGCGCATATATCAGCACGCACCCTCGTCCTTACAGCCCACTTGTCCTCCAACCAAGCTGAACAGACGAGCCAAGGCACGGCAATAACGAGAATGCCTTAAACTACGCTGCAACGACCATCCAGTGCTCACCCTCTTGAAGACGCATGCATGAAGATACTAGCGGACATTACACATATAGGATACGCACACATAAGCACATGCAAGGACACAAACGCACGTCGCACAAAAGCAATGCAATGAAGGAAGAATGTCCCCTCCTGGAGCCGGGGGAATCGCAGCCAATCACAGCTCCTGGAGCCAACATCCGGACAGACACTACCAAACAACGAAACCGTGCAATGTTAAGAGACACATGTCTAGTCCGGTCAAATGTCATTCAAACACGCAGCAAGCAGATGCGCCACGCTCGCTTAATCGAGATGGGATAGCCGCTGGCTAAAAGGAGCCGCACATGATGCAAGCAGCGTGGCAGCAATGATGCTCCTGAAGCGGCCGCAACTCCAGCCGCTGCCCCGTTCCCCATCCAAGCCGCGAGGAACCGCGTTCCGTTGCTAAGGGGCCGAGCGCCCTTACTTTGCGTGCTTAGCAGCGAACTCCTGTGGGCGTACGGCAAACACGCGAGGTCCACGTGAGGAAATGAGGAACAGAATAAGGGACAAGTGCGGGGTTTGCGGGGCTTCTAACCATGTAAAGCGGTTCTCCACACCCGGCCAACGGTCACCGTGTTGGTGCGCAGGCCAACCCCCGAAGAGACCCAAGACCCTCATCTCACCCTCGATTAGACCCAAATCCCGCCATACATCAGCTAGCCCCCAAAAAGCCGAGAAAGCAAGCCCCCAGAGCCCGTCCAACAGTTCCTACCTTCATGAAGGAGGCCAGCTGCTGCACACCCTCAATGGGCATGGCGTTGTAGATGGAGGCGCGCATGCCACCCACCGAGCGGTGGCCCTTGAGTTGGAGCTGCGGGGGAGGAAAAGGGGTTGCAAAGGGGATGTTGGCCAGCTGCATTGTTGGATAAGAGCGGTAGGACATGTTGCGGCAAAGACCCACATCGGCACGGCATTTCTTCCCCCTTCTAACCCTCCACACGCCCTTGCCCACTTACCATGCCGGCCTTCTCAGCCTCCTTAATGAAGACCTTCTCCAGGTCTGGCTGCGACGGGATGGTGAAGGGCACGTTCATGAGCGAGCGCACGGCCGGGTCAACGGGGCTGTTGTAGAAGCCGTTGGAGGCAGCAATGGCGTCGTACAGGACGGCCGCCTTCTCCTCGTTGAGCTTCTGCATCGCCTCCAGGCCGCCCAACTTCAGCAGCTTCTCGAACACGAGGCCGCAGATGTAGATGGACCAGCACGGGGGCGTGTTGTACATGGAGTCGTTCTCGACATGGATCTTGTAGTCAAGCATGGTGGGCGCCTCAGGGCGCGCGTGGCCAATCAGGTCCTCACGAATGATCACGATGGTCACACCAGAGGGACCAACGTTCTTCTGGGCGCCGGCGTAGATGATACCGTACTTGGAGACGTCAATCGGCTTAGAGATGAAGTTGGACGACATGTCGCTGACCAGCACGCGGTCACCGACCTCGGGCGTGGCCTTGTACTCAACCCCACCGATGGTCTCGTTGTCGCAGTAGTGGACGTAGCGGGAATCGGGGCTGAGCTTCCAGGCGGAGGCGGGAGGGAGGGACTTGTTGTCGCCCTTAGCAGCGATGTTGACATTGCAGTACTTCTTCGCCTCCTCAGCAGCCTTCTTGGACCAGGCGCCAGTGATAACGTAGTCAACCGTCTCACCAGCCTTCGCCAGGTTGAGCGGGATCATGGAGAACTGCGTGCTGGCTCCGCCCTGGAGGAAGAGCACCTTGTAGTTGGACGGGATGTTCAGCAGGGTGCGCAGGTCGGCCTCCGCCTTCTTAATTACGCTCTCGAACTCCTTGCCACGGTGGCTCATCTCCATAATGCTCATACCGCTGCCCTGCCAGTTGATCAGGTCCGCCTGAGCGCGCTCGAGCACATCAACCGGCAGGACGGCAGGCCCAGCCGAAAAGTTGAAAACGCGCCCGTGTGGCTGGACAGCAGCCGCAGACGGAGCTGGCATGGCAACGGTGGCCTGAACACGGACGGTAGGGACCCTGGCGACAGCTGGGCGGGCGGCCGAGCGGCGGCCGGCGGCCGCCTTCATCTGTTGCCGAAGCTGCATGGTGACTGAAAAGGAGCTGCTGAACAACAAGATGGACAACAACAGTCTCCGTCAACACCTGACTATACTCTAGCTTATCTGAGGGCGCAACGACGTGTAATCCGTTGAGCTACGGGCCAGGCGCTTTTATGTACGAGGCCATCTTTGGTACGGCTCATGCTTATGAAGGACTGGACTTAACAAACAAAATAAACCTAACCAAATTACATATCTTGCTTCTGCTGAAGCTGTTTGTGGGTAAAGGGTGCCAGCCGCTGTAACCTTCATATCACACAGTTCACCAGCAGCGCTGCTAGGTACATGAATTTGTAACAGTTAGGATATCACTTTCAAGCGCGCGTTGAGGTCCCTGCCCTGCAGCGGCGTGCAAGCTCACCCATCCCGCATGCGACTAGGCCCCCAACAGCCCAGCGACGCGCAACCAAGAAGATCCAGATAACAGTTGCGCCCCGTTGTCGATGGACCGCGATTTATTAGACCTCGGCGCATGCGCTGGCGCCCCCAGGCACTGCAGCATACACAACAGTCCCCAATGCAAGGCTGCTCTCACGCGCCAGCATTGTGCCTGCCATCTCCCTCCTTATCTCCAGACGCTTATAACAACCTTCCCCTCAGTCATATTGGCAAGACCCCGCAAAGCGCATTTCAGCGAACGGAAGTAAGCTCAACCGCAAACCAGCACAGCGTAAGCACCCGCACGTAAGAGTCCCATAGTACAAAACATGTCATGTACGGCAAACATGGTCTGGATAACTCGGTCGTCCCCCATTTGCATTGCCGGCGCACAACCGCAACACCACAAGGCCGTTGACAAGGTCTACAGGTTTACCACGCATGGGGTCTCCCTCCGCCGCATAACGACAGCAACACCGCCAGCACGAATGGCAAGAAAGGGGTTTCCACACAGTGTATCGTACACTCACATGGCGCCTTTGAGCCGCACAGCCACCTTCCAAAACAGATACCAAGAGTTCAATGACAGTCACCAACCCCTGACCGGCGAAACTAATTAAGAGCGCATACGATGTGAAGGAACAAATGAGGCGACTTCAATAAGAATACCACACCGTCATGCTTTTTACATGCGCCTGGGAACGATTCCAACACGTAAACATGTCGCAGCACTCCAAAGAAAGGGCCATGCCGGGCCACTGTGCTATATTCCTAAATTACACCAACTTAGCCCCTAGCCAGCTACCAGGGGGGTACCCCAAAGCCGGGCTGGACCCCATGCACACATGCCGCACGCACGCAAGTGTCGCAGCGTGCGCCTGCTCCAGATCCGGATCCAGATCCAGGAAAGGTTTATAAGGTGCAGTGCCGTGCATGAATCAACGCCCTCTGCACAATACAACTCATAGCAAAAGACGCCGCCACCGCTGCCACCTTGCATCATGTTACGGTAGGTTACCGGTAAAAAAACAGCAACCCAACGTGCCTTGCGTGCTTAGCAACCCTGCCACCAGCAACCCCCCCCCCCGCATGCCTCCTGCCACCAGCAACCCCCCTGCATGCCGCCAGCGTTGCGCTGCCCCTCCACGCCGGGGGCACATGCCGGTACTGCCCCCAGCTGCTAAATGCCGCCACTGATGGTGGCTTCCGCCAGCAGTGGGTCAGCAGCCTCCACCGCCTCCACCTCTTCTATCGCCTCATGCGGCCCCCCACCCCCTCCCTGTAGCAGCGACAGCGCTGCCAGCCGCTTTGCGCTGCTGCTTGATGTCACTGCTGCGGCGGCGGCAGCGGCGGCCTCTGCGGCCCTGCCGTGCAAGGGCGGTGAAATGGGCACAATCTCAATGCCCGTACCGTAAGGTAAAGACGTACCGGCACCACCACCACCAGCCGCTGTTGCTGCTGTAGTTGTTGCCGCCGCAGCAGACGTCGTCGCGGACGCGGGGGTTACTCCCACGATCGTCCTCATCGTCAGTGGTGAGGCAAGGCCTTTCGACGGCTGCTGCTGTGGCTGCTGTGGCTGCTGCCGCACTGCCTCCTGCTGCTGCTGCTGCTGTTGTCGCAAGGCCAGGAGGGACTGCGGGGGCCGCAGCAGCAGGTGTGGAGACCAGGCACCCGTGCCCGCAGCAGCCGCAGCAGGGGAGGAAGAGGCCGCGGCGGGGTGCGGGGAGTCATCTGTGGGGGAGGTTACCAAGGGGAGGTGAGGCAGGGAGTGGTGGGGAGAGCTTCCAGCGCCACTGAAGGGAGAGCCGGGGACCTCGTCTGGGGGAGGTTGTTGGGAGGGAGGGGTGGGGAAGGGGACGCGAAGAGGGGGCAGGGGGAAGGGAGGGGGTACCGGGTAAGTAGCGGGAGGGCAGCAGGGAGGAGGGCGACTCGTAGGGCGTGAAGACCGAACCGAACCAGTTAGGAGGAAGTGAGGGAGGAAGGGTTAGTACTGGTACTGGTAATAAGTTGGCGCAGACAGCGCGCCGCTGTTCACATTTATGGGGCCGGGAGAGGCGCGTGACATGCAGGATGCCCGCCCAGACTCGGCTGGTGGTTATCGCTTCAACCAAGCAACACTGGCGACCGCTCGCAACCACTCGCGACGCGCACACCTGCCAAACCCGTGTAGCTGCCGCGACCAGCACCGCCGTACAACGTACGTGGCGACCGCGCCCCTCCACTCCCAGGACGCTGATGCTGCTGCTGCTGGGGTGACGGCGGCGGGCCCCTCGCATGCCCGCCAGCTGCAACACCCAACACCGGCTCTGGTGCCCCCTCCGCCGCCCCGCCGCCCCCACCCTCGCCGGTGAGGTAGGAGCGCGGGCCACCGCCGGAGCCCATACCGCCGCCTAGGCTGATGCCGTCACTGCCGCGACGCGGCCGCGACTGCGGAATCGCCGCCGCCGCCGTTGCCGTTACCGTTGCGGGAGTTACCGTTGCTTTGGCCGCACTCGGTGCACTCGTACGGGCAAAGGCTAGGGATTGCATGACGCCAGTTGCACGGACCGCAGCTCCGACACCTCCTCCGCCTCCTCCGCCACCGACTGCAGTGCAAACCTGCTCCCCGTCTGCCCCCGACAGCGACCCAAATGGCAGTAGCGGCGAAGTGCCATCCGCGGTGAGCAGTTTGGGTCTCGGAGCCGGTGTTAGCGCTGAGCTCGCGTCGATCCATGCAGCGGCGGTGGTGGTGCCGGTGGAGGTGCCGGGTGCCGTACGGGGTACCCCAGATGCCGAGGTGCGTGCAGATGGCAACGCCGGCGGCGCCAGCGTCGTGGAGGTGCGCAGCGGCGAGGGAGGTACGGAGGTACCGCCGGTGGCGGACATTCGCGGCGCTGGCGACACAGATGCCAGGTGAGCTACGGAGATACGCGGCGGCGAGGGTGGAGGCGGCAGACCCGGCGCGGAAAGGCGCGCTGGCGGGAACTGTGCCGCTGAGCCCGCTGACGACAGTCGCGGCGACAAACCCGCCGCCGCCAGACCAGACGCGGACACACGTAGCGTCGGCGCTGCTGCCGCCGCCGCCAGGGACGTCGGCGGCGACGGCCGATCGCCGCCGACGCCGACACTGGCGGCGGTCAGCGTCGTCGGCCCCAGCCGCTGCCAATCCAAAACTCCGCTGGGCCTGCCGTCGGGGCCTAAGCCGCTGGCGCCGGCAGCGCCGGTGTTGCTGATCCGCGGTGGTAGGTCCAGGGTGCTCGAGAAGGCTCGGCCGTTGCCCCGAGGGGAGGCGATGGAGCCGGGGGCGGGGGGCGGGGGTTCGGAGTCCAGGCCTCCTAGGGTTAGTGCCAACGCCGGCATGGGCGTGCCGCCTGCAGTCAGCGGCGGCAGCTGGCGGCCGGCAGAGGTAAGGCGGGAGGGCGAGGTGGGGGTCGATGGATCGGAGGCTGCTGCTGCGGAGACCATGGCTGAGGAGGAGGAGGCCGCGGTGGCTACGATCTTAAGCGGGGGTGCAGCTGTTGGAGGCGAGGATGCTGTGGCTGGAAGAGCGGGGATGCGAGCTGAGGGGGGGCGCCGAGGGCTGGTTGGTCGCTGCGGGGAAAGGGGCCGAAGAAGCGATGAAAAGGAAGATGGTTAGGCAAACATGTGGATGCGGTGACTAGGGAATGCTTAGGGCTGGTGCTTTGTCCTCTGCATCCTGCGCCAATCGTTGACCCCCTTGAGCTTACCAACGCTTTTCACGGCTCTCACTTACGTTTATGGGTCGCTGGGCGGCGTCGGGCAACCGGCTTAGGTCCGTAAATACCAACATCTTGCGCTCCGGAGGCTGCGAGAGCAAACCGGGCAGGGATCACAGACGCCAACAAAATGGGCACAGCTGCCTATCCCCGAAGACGTGACGGTATGAAAATCACAGACCCACATAGATAGATGCCGGGAAACGTTAAAGTGCTTACAATTCCGGCAAGGCTGCCACCGAGGCTTCCGTAGCGCCGGATGACGAACCATATGATCCCTGTTAACACTAAGACGCCACCAGCAACGCCGAGGGCAATTCCAACAACCTTGCCGACGTCCGAATGGTCGCCATCCTGAAGTAGGCCCCGCATGTTGGGAAGCTACTACATCAGGTCTTGTGCACGGCCACGTTATACATATGAACAGGAAAAAAGACATGTTTGAAGGAAAATGGCATACTTTGTAGTTAGTAGTTGATACGACTGCATCGGCGGTGCGAGCCAGAGTCTCTGATGCATAAGCAGCAAGTGGGTGCCCGTGTTATTCAACTTCTCATCAAGATTTATTTTACTGACGAAGAAGTAAACGAAGAAGTGAACGACGTGAACAACACGTCTATCTGCCTGCGTTTTATAACTCCCTAATGCGCATGCGGCTCCGCGCAAATGGTAATCCCCCGTCCCTTGCAGCCATCCCATGCCTTCCACCATTTCGGGACGCAATGCACGACATCCTCCAAGTAGCGGACTGTGCGGCCACCACCGCACAACTGCCGCCAGTTGTTCTCCCGCTGCCCTTCCGCTAGACGCAGGAGGAAAAGGGGCTTACCCAGCCCCCCGCACGCAGCCGCAACAGCCATCACCACCACCACCGGACGTCAGGGCTAACGTTTACCCCACACCGGTCTCGTCCTGCCCCCTGCTACGTGTCACCTGCAAGCACCTGCTGCTGCTGTCATGAATGTCCGCCTCAACATGAATGCCATTGCGGTGCGCAAAACCACACAGCAGCACACCACCCGCCGACAGGCACGAATCATCGAGACGAGGATGAGACCACTGCTGGTTTGCATGCACTGCTGCTACCTGCAGATCCGTAGCATGGCATGACAACCCCACTACCGCACCGCACAAGAACAGCAGCACCGCCACCACCAGCAACAGCGAACGCTCACATACACGTGTGCGCTATGCTGCATGCTAGCGGCCTGCGGGGACCTGCAGCCCCTTGGATCAATAAGCCAATCCAGCAGTTGGGCCAACGTCAGAAGATGGACGTGGAAAGAAAGGTGGCTTGCCCCATGAATTGCCCCAAGGATTGTTTGATTGGTCACAACACCATTCAACTAGAGTCTTCCGTGCCCCGGCATGGAAGGCAAATGGCAGTCGGAGTACGCGATCGCACGGGAAACACACACCGGTACAGCCCCGTCCCTCCTGGCAAACACCGGCAACATGCACGCAAACGACGAACTACATCACTAACGACATCAATGGCCACAACGATCATGCAAACAAAGCGCGCTGGCGCTTCTACGCAGCCGAAGAGAGAAAGACCTTTTAGATTTCTTTCTCTCTCCGTCTTAGACGAAAAGATTAACTGCTGCCGAGTAGTGGATGGCCTCCTCCTGGGAAGCCGGAGGAGGGGATGCGGTCGCTGTCAGAGTCGCCGCACAGGTCGCTGACCACCTCCACATCGCCCACGTCGTCATCGGACCAGCCGCCGGGGTAGATGGGGTACACGCCGGACATCGCAGCCGCCGCCGCCACGCCCATCGGCGGAGGAGGCGGCCACTGCACCCTGCCGCCGCCGCCGGCCCCGGTGAAGCTGCTGCCGCTGCTGCCACCGCCGCCGCTTGCGACCAGGCGCACTGCCGCCGGCTCCGCTGATGCAGCCCATGCCAACGCCGTACTCCCCTTCGCCGGCGACGCTGCTCGCCCAGGTGATTTGCTGCTGTGAGGCGGAGGTCACGGGGGCCGCTGCGCCGGCAGCGGGGGTGGTTCCGAAGGCGTTCAACATCAAGGGAGGCCGAGAGGTGGCAGTGGTGGGGCGCGAGGTGGCAGTGGTGGGACGTGAGGTGGGTCGAGAGGCGGGCCGGGAGGGCGGACGAGAGGCTGGACGGGAGGAGGGGCGGGAGGCGCAGCGGGAGGGCGGACGCGATGTGGGTCGGGAGGAGGAGGAGGCGAAGCCTGAGCGGGAGGCGGGGCGCGAGGTTACGGTTGTGGGGCGGGAGGTGGCGGTGGTGGGACGCAACGCCCGCAGCTGCCCGGCTGCCCACACCTCACCGTTGACCTCCGCTGTTCCTCCGCAGCAGGGGGGGCGTGGACTGGAACTAGGCGCCAGAGGAGGGAGGGGCTTGCGACAGTGTGGCGAGAAGAGGGAAGCAACACATACGACCTCATCGGCTGCCGTCGCGACTTGCATGCAACATGGGAGGGTGTCCATACTTCACTCCTAACCCCAAGTCCAGAACTGCAAGCCAGCTCCACACATCAACAAAGGCCGGAGGATATGAGACGACCTGGCGCGGCTCCCTCCCAGCAACATCCTTGCCGCGCCACATGCAGACATGCTAAGCAGCGGCAGCACCGAGCGCACCAGCAGCGAAAGAGCGGGGCAACTCGCATGGCTTGCGTTGCATGAAAAGGGCGGAAGCAGGGAGCGTAGAATGAGGGAGAGGGCAAACGAGGGAGAAGGCGAGGGCAAGACCCCGACGACGAGGAAGACAGGAAACGTTTTAACCTAAACCCACATCTCTCCTGCCGTCCGCACAACCATGCGCACGTAACCCCCTACTTCCCGTTCCCACTAGCTCTCCCCGGGCTGTGAACCCGCCTGATGGCATGATGCTGGGGGACAGCATGGCCATTGAGAAAGCAGCAATTCCAAAATCAAGCAACCAAGAAGCTGAAGACCAGGCCCCCTTTCCAAACGAAGGGTTGCCCTTACTTCCCTAGCTAGGACCGCCCTCTCCTCACCAAAAGCCGTGCGCTCGCATGGTCATCTGCTATCTGACGGCGGCGCAGACGGTGCTTCTAATGCAAACCAGGCGAACACTATGCCGCTTCAGGCAATTGACGGAGGCAATGTCCGTGCTCTTCTGTAAGCTTAGCGCGTGCTGCGAAGGCCACGAACTCACAGATGACCTAGCTGTAGCTGTCGCAGCTGGCTGCTGGTCCCCCGCTGACGACACTGCGGCAGCTCAATGAGACATAATTTCACTAAGCGTGGCCAGAGAACCATCAACACGGAAAGAACGAGATAAGGCAGCGCAGCTTTGCATACGTGAGTGAAGCGCCAACAGTTCTGTCTCCCTGCGACCCTTTCTTTGTTACTGCACCTCTTGACCGGAATGGTTCGTGAGGTAGTGCGGTTGGGCTGGAGGGCCCTACACCGTACCATGTAATCATAATCGTAAGCATGCCGTACATGCCCAGACTATGTAAAAAGCCCGGGAAGCCCAGACCATCAAAGGCGATAGTAAGTCGTTGGCCGACACCGGTTCTAGCTTATATTTATCGAAACGTACCCTGATTTGATTACCGATATTACCGGTAGGCTTCACTCGTCGGCCAATCTACCTTGGCTGCAGCGCACGCCTTCCAGGTAAGAACGACCTCGGCCGGCAATCCTATATTTGTTCCAGGCTTATGTTTTAGCGCTAAAACATAAGCCTGGAACAAGTATAGAATTGCCGGCCGAGGTCCTTCTTACCTGGAAGGCGTGCGCTGCTGCCAAGGTAGATTGGCGAACGAGGGACTCTAACACCGGTAAGAAAATCAGAGGATTTAAGGAGCGACATACATGCCGACATGTCGGCCCGTTATGGAAGTTAGAGGGCGAGCAACGTAGGATGGAGGAAAATCAGATTGCCATCCTCGCCACATCCTCCTCCTCTTCCCTGCTCCCTCCTGGTTCATCTCTCACCGACGTAACCGCTTTGCATCCCTGATTTCCCGCACACAGGAGACCAAGAGGCGATGGAGGCTACGGCAACGCTGCGCGATGCCGTGGAGCAGGCTGCCGACCCGGAGTGCAGGCTGCAGGTGAGTGGCGGGTACAGGGTGGACGGGGCGTGCGTAAAAATAAGGGGCCGCGAGGCGGAACGTACTGCCGAAAGATGAAGTCCTCCCACCAGGACGCGTGTGCAGGACGTGTGTGCATGCCGCACCATCAAAGGGTTTGCTGTTGCTACTGAGCTATTAGGGGTCCACATCTCCTGTTTCCCCTCATCCTAATAAACATCTCGTACATTTCCTTTCTCCTGCCTGACCCTGTAGACGCCAGCAACTGAAAGCGGCAGCGCGCTGCCGCTGCTGCTGCTGCTGCCACGCGCGCTTTCGTCCTTCCTTTCTTTCTTTCGGCGTCGCTTTCTGTCATCGGGGGAGCTTGCAGCGGTGCGGCAGCAGCTCGCGGAGGAGAAGGAGCGCGCTGCTGCGTTGAGGCTGCAGCTTGAGGCGGCGCAGGCGGTATCAGATGCGCAGACGCGGCTGGCATTCGTGGAGGCACGCGCCGCGGCAGCCGAGGCGGAAGTGGCCAAATGGCATGAGCACGTCGAAATACTCCATGCATACATTAGGGACGGCAAGCCGATGGAGCCGTGGCGCATGAAGGCAGTGATGGAGGAGTGATGGGGTAGGGGGCAGGGTGGGGTGGCAGCGGGGAGCAGCAGGGTTGTTGGTGGGGATGGCAGCGGGGAAGAGCTGCTCGCCACTCTCCAGGGAAGTGGGGTGAAGTGGTGGGGAAGTAGTGTGTACAAGAACAAGCATTTGGGATAGGTTCGCATGTGAACCGCAAGTACAAGCAAGTACCCTGGCAAATGTATGTATGTTCATTGTGTACTAGCTGCTGCTGCTGCGCATGCGGCTGCTGCTAGGTAGTCTGTCATAACAGTGTATAGTAGCGTGGGAGCAGGCTTGAGTGTTTGTCGCATGGTAGTAGCAGGGAACAAACAAGTGGTGAAGCGGTCTGTGGTTTAGTAGGGTATGATGATCGGTCTTTGACTGTACTGTGTGCTGTGTTGGACTTGGGACCCTATCTATACATACTATCTGTACATAGAACATTCCTGACTAGGTTACAATGTAAGACCTTGACCGCTCCGTTACACCTCCTCCCCTCCAGTTAGTTCCCACCAGCCGACAACTGCACCTCCAGCCATTAAACATAAACCAGCAAGGCAGTGCCGCTCTGTTATGTTCCCGCGAGTATAACTTCACGAGTCTGAAAACGAATCGGCAATGCGTAATATGGCTGTCGCGATGGTTAACAGGACAACTGCTAAGGTCGAATGGTTGCAACAGCCCTTTCATTGTACGACAGGCGGACCAATGCTTTCGCACGCCGGAGGTTGTGGTATAATGTTCACACCAAGAGAGAGCGAGAACACCAAGCTCCATTGAGTATGTGATTACCGGTATATCACCTCGGTTCTGTATCTTGCTTCCGTGTAATCGATAAAAATCGTATATATCAATGGCAGCTCATAGAGAACTCTTCCAAATGTTATCTTGAAGGGGAGGGAAAGCCGTTGAGAGAATGGCGAAGCAACCTGCAATAGTTCAACACCTCAGGGAGGTGTTCAGCCGGAAAGTCCTCAAGACGTTAGGCTTGATCCTTGCTTGGTAAGCTTTACGCTCTGTGCGTGGCTGTCGCTTGGTTTGGCTGACCCACTCATGGAACCCATTCGGCTGCCACACAGGTATGTTTTGAGCACAGGACTGTCATTATACAACAAGCAGTTGCTTGGCACAGGGCATGGCCTTCTTGGGATGGGGCAATTTCCAGGTAACTAGACTGCTGCGGGCTGTCGTCACCGTTGCTCCATCCAGGCCCCCTGACCAGGCGTTGCGCTATGATGCCTGCAGCCCCGCTGCTCATGACGAGCGTCCAGTTTGCATGTCAAATGCTGCTGGCGAGGCTCGTCTTCTACTTGGGGCTGGTAGAGAGGACAATTAGCAATCGCAGGATGGCTTGGAGTGATTACCTACGCCTAGGTGAGTACCCTCACCTTCTAGAGGCCGTCGTCGTCAAGGGGTCACAGATTATAGGCATCACGGGGTTCGCAGCATTTGCGGCTTCTCTACAGCACCCGCTGTCGATTATCGTCCCAATTCCCAAGCTCCCAGCCATATCTACTTCCTCGCACCCACCTATCACCGCATCCCGCGCAAACCTCAAATCCCTTCTTTCTTCCTTTTGCTGTGCAGTGGTGCCCAACGGCGTGATCACGGGTCTTGACATCGGCTTCAGTAACACCAGTTTGGCCTTCATCAACCTCTCCTTCTACACCATGTGCAAATCCACGGTGCCCATCTTCCTGCTGTTCTTCGCCTTCGTCTGGGGTATTGAGCGGTGAGGGTGGGGAGGCCTTCGGGAGGTGGAAGGCAGGGTTGGGGTGTGGTGGGGTATGCATTGGGTGGTAGGAGGAAAGATTGAATGGGGGGAGCGCTGACGCGATGTGGGTCGGGGCAGTTGTTAATGAGTTCCGGTTACGGCGGTGCATGGGCAGCTCATTCCGATGTGGGTCGGCAAGATTATTAAGAGTTTCGGCAGCGCACGGGCAGGGGAGCTGCCAGCCCGATGTGGGTTGGCACAGATTGGCTTGGCAGGGCCTTGCTTGAGAGCCTTCACCCGTCCCTACCTCCCTCACCCACCTCCCTCCCACCAGCTCGTTACTTACCTCGTCAGTTTCCTTCTTCTTACCCACCCCTCGCTGCCCACCCACCCACCCCCACAGCCCCAGCTGGGAGCTCCTGACGGTGGTGGGTGTCATCGCCGCGGGCCTGGCGCTGCTGGTGCGGGGCGAGGCGCAGTTCCAGCTGCTGGGGTTCGGGCTGGTGATGACGGCCTCCTGCCTCAGCGGGCTGCGCTTCACGCTGATGCAGGTGCTGCTGCATGGGCACCACACATCGGGTGAGGAGGGGGGGGAGAGCGGGGGGTGATGGGGTGAGGAGGGGGGGGGAGAGCGGGGGTTGATGGGGTGAGGAGGGGGGGGAGAGCGGGGGTTGATGGGGTGAGGAGGGGGGGGGAGAGCGGGGGTTGATGGGGTGAGGAGGGGGGGAGAGCGGGGGTTGATGGGGTGAGGAGGGGGGGGTGAGCGGGGGTTGATGGGGTGATGCTTCTGGAGTTGTTTGCAACGGGGCTTGAGAGCTCCGGTTTGAGCTGGCATGGTCGCATGGTCTGGTGGGATAGTACCACAGAACCTACCTGGAATGTGGAAAACGTGGCGGCTCGGCGGAAGCATGACTGCCTGGCCCCACCCATCTGAGATCCGCTCTTCTCTGCTCCTCCCTCCCTGCCCCCAACCCCCTTCTCCCCCCCAGCCGCCCTGGGCGGCCCCCTGGAGGTGTTGGAGCTGCTCACGCCCGTCATGAGCGTCACAGTGCTGCTGTTCAGCCTGGCTTGGGAGGAGCTGTGGCGGGTGCTGCCGGGCTCGCCGTACTTCAGCGGCGCGGGGGTGTGCGCGCTGACGGGGCTGGTGGTGGCGGCGGGGGCGGGCATCGCCTTCCTCATGGTGTGGACCGAATACCAGGTGGGGCGGGGGGGAGGTGGAGTGGGGGGTGGTGGAGGGAGATGGAGGGAGGCGCGCAGGTGCCATGTTAGATGGGTGGGTAAGGGGGTAGGAACTGGATGGGTGGTTAGGTAGCGCTGTCGCAGCCGGCCCAAGTTTCCCACCGCGGGAATGAAAGCCCCGCTCAGTTTCTAGCCCCCGTTTGGATGGGAAAAGAGACCCTTACGTGTCGCTTTGGTGCATCCGTTGCGCGTCACCCCTCGCCTCGCTCCACCCTCTCCCTGGCCCTCCCCTCCTCCCATCCCCGCCCCCTCCCCCACCCAGGTGATCAAGGAGACGTCAGCGCTCACCTTCATGATCGCAGGGACGGTGAAGGAGGTGGTGACAGGTACGCGGTGTCGCGATGTGGCTTCGGACGCTGTCACTACGTCGCTGTTACGTCGCGGTGTGTCGGCCCTGCCTGCATGCGTCGGCATGTGGGTCGGTCAACCAGCCCTGCATGCGTCGGCTTCCCCATTTCCCTCACCATCATTACACAAGCTATCTGTCGATACCGCACATGGTACACGTGTGCTTCGCGGTACCGTTCGTCTTGAAACGCGCGGCACCCAGCACGCCTCACCTCCTTCTCACCTCCCTCTTCCCCTCCTCTCCTCCTTCTCACCCCCCTCCCCCCCCTCCTTGCAGTGCTGGCGGCGGTGGTGGTGCTGGGCGACCAGCTCACCCCGGTGAACGGGCTGGGGCTGGCGGTGGTGATTGCGGGAGTGCTGCTCTTCAACTACTACAAGTACAGGTGCGCGGGCGGATGCGCGTGGGTGGGCGGGAGGGCGTGCGGTCAGGCGCTTTTAGCATGTTGCATGGCCGTGCGTGCGGCCGTACGTGTGTTGGAAGGCGTTGCGTGCTCCGAACTGCACTGCACCACCGCCCACACGCCTGCCGTACATGACATGCTGCACGGCACCCTGTCTGCCGCTTAGCGCTCCGCCCGAACTACCGTACATGCAGGAGCGGAGGAAACGTTTAGCCGCCACCGCCCTCTGACGCCCTCTCTCCTCTCCTAACCTCCTCTGTCGGCCCTCTGCTGCCCCCGCCCCGCCCCGCAGGAAGCTCAAACAGGCGCAAGACGGCCCCTCGTACGCCGCACTGGAGGCCGCAGCCGCCGCCAAAGACGACGATGCGGACACCTCCGAAACCGGCGGTGGTGACGATGACGGTGTGGAGAGCGGTGGTAAGGCGCCGCACCGGCGGCACCACGTGGTTGGGGCTCTTGGAGGCGGCGGAGGAGGGTCCTCCGGGCAAGGGCCGGTGTCCGCCGCTGCTGTTGCGGCATTGTCGGCGGAGGCAGCAGCAGGTGCAGGCCATAGCGGTAGCGGTAGCCAGCAGCAGCAGCAGGGCCCTCCTGGACTGTTGGCAAGGGTTCTTGCCGGGTTAGCTGGGCCGCCCCGTAGCAGTAGCAGCAACGGCAACTACTCTTTAATAGCAGCGTCCGCCTCCTCAGCGACGGCAGCTGTAGCGGTAGGAGGCGGGAGAGGCGGAGGCGGCGGTGGGGGGCTGGGGCCTTCCCAAGAGCTGCAGGAGCTCAGGTTTGCCCCCAGGGTCGGCAGCGGGAGCGGGCGGGCGGAGGAGGGTGCCATGTTGCTGCCGAGGCTGCCGCCGATTGCGGTGGCGCCAGCACGGGGGGTGGGGGGGCGGGGTGCTGCGGATGTGGTGATGGAGGTGGCGGAGGAGCGGGCTGCGGAGTCGCCGAGTAGCGCAGGCGGGTCGGCGACTGCGGGGGGTGTGTTGGGGCAGGGTGGGTGGCAGCGTGGGGCTGCGAAAGGGGGGAGGCGGTCAGCGGGTGCAGTAGCAGTGGCGGGGGCGGGGGCAGGAGGGGGAGGTGAGCTGGAGCCCATGTTGCCGCTGTCGTACAGTCCCATGCGGTGAGGGGGGGAGGGGGCATGATGGACCCGCTGCTGCCCTGCTCACTGTTTGGGAACCGTCCAGGCTCCTTGCCTTGGGCGGCGTAGGCAGCGTGGTCCCTTTTATCGTCTAGGTGGCGACTGGAATGCGTAGGTAGATGGGTGGATAGACGGTTGGTGGAGGCTTCGGGACCGAGTTTCGGGGCGCCTTTCTCGCGTGGCAGTGGTGAGGTGGCGGTGGTGAGCGAGGGGTGCGCTGAGTCGTCTGCGTGCATGTGCATGTGCTGCCGCATGCAGGCAGAGTGGACACGAACCACCTAGGGCATGCGAGGCTTGCCATAAAGTGAAGACCAGGACGCAACGGGAGGTGCATGCAGGCTCTCCGCGAGAGTTAGCATTTGCCGGGAGATGCCATGACACATGACAAGCTAGGTAGCTACCATGCAGCCCTAACGGACCTTTCCAGGTGCACCAAGGACCGGGAAACTCGTTCGCGAACAGCAGTAACCTAGAGTTCGGCGAGCACATGCCTTGACAGCTTCCGTGTTTGGCGTTTGTTTGTCTGCTGGTTGGTGTGGGGTTTTAAGGATTCGGAGCAATGCTCGGTGCGATGGTGCAACTGGTGCTTCAAGTTTTCATGCAATGCATGTTTGTTGTCCAATGGTGTTTGGTATGATGGTGCCTTTCCTGTTGCGATACATGGTACTGCCGTACATGTCCCCCGTGCGCGTGTGTGTGTTTGCCTGTTGTGCGTGTGGCTTTGCTTTAATTATGTTGTTACGAAAGTACGGCACTCGAGTGGTACGGTTTTAAGCTGTGAAACTCAATGTGTATCGACCCCGGTGAAACTGTATGGAGCTACGGACGGTATGGGAACCGGAAATACCTGGAAGCTGTTAAAAGCAGCTGCGCGGTGGTTGCAATCTGACAAGCGGGGAACCTGCTTAGAAGCCTTCTAGAATCTTATGGCGGCGCGGTTCCCATAGCCCTCGATTGCGTTGATAGGTTGACACCATCTGGGTGTCGTGCGCTTGTACCAATGGGGTGTTGGCGTGTCTTACAGGGGTAAGAACCGGTAATCGCGCGCGTGGTGGAAAGCCTTCACCCGTCACCTCATGTCATCAACCATCACCAATTTGACGACGGAAACTCCATGATTTCACCCAACTCCTGCTGGCCTACCATCTACCATAAACCCGACACGCAAAGAGAACAACCAAACTAGTAACGACAGTGCTGAATGACCAACAGCCATGCATGCAAGCAAGCTTCCCCAGCCCCGTGGATGCCCCTCCTTCCCTCCTTAACAGCCGCACGCCGCCCTCCACACGCAACTACCCGATAAACCACCACACCGCCATCACCACACATGCGCGCGCAGCAACGTAGCCGCCCCAACAGCACTGCTCGACCCAACTAGCTCCCTCCCAACAACAACCCCTCCCCCTCAAGCCCGGTTCTCCAGATCCTTCACCTTGTAAATCCGTACAATCCAATGCTCACTCGTGAAGCATTCGTACAAATGATCCAACTTGACATCTTTGTTGCCGATCTCGTATCCCCGGACCCTGTCGTACCCCGTACCCTTGCCGTGCTCCGTCATGATGTTCCCAAAGTCGTAGTACGACAGTTTGTACATCAGACTGTTCAGCATGGTGGGGGTGCCGGAGGCGCCCACCGTGTAGTCGCCCTGCGTGTGTTGCGTGTGTGTGTTTTGGGATGTTGGGGGGGGGATGTTGGGGGGAGATAATGGGGGATGGGGGTTTACCCTAGCAAGGTCCCAGCCACCCTAACCCAGTCCAAAAACACACACGCCTGCCAGTCAACCCCTCCCCCCTTCCCCCACCCCCCCAGCCGACCCACATTGCTCAGGTAGTCCGCCTCCTTGACCTGCGGGAACACGCCGCCCCCGATGCGCACCATCCACAGGAACTTGTTGATGTCATCGGAGCTGTAGCCGCTCATGCCGCCAAAGATGACCAGCGCGTAGTCCACATCCAGTTGGCGCATGATGCGGTACGCCTCGCTCTCGTTGCTGGCCATGGCACGACCTGGGGGGGGGGGAGAGGGGAGAGAGGGGGGGGTCAAAGACCGCACACCATACCATAGGAAGCCACAGGTTAGGGCAACGCAAAGAGGGATAGGTGGGGGAGGTGGGAGGTCGTGTTGCGGGGGTGTGGTGGCCCTGAGGGTAGGGAGGGAGGGGGCAACACAAGCGCTTCCCGCGCCGCTCCCTTACTGCGCGCCAGCCGCCCTGCTTCCCCTGCTCCTGTTCGCCTCAGGGTTAGCTACCGGGGTAATCCCTCCCTTCCCCTCCCCACCCGCACCTCCCACCCCCACACGCACCCACACTCACCCACTGTCGCGATGTGCGTGTTGTTCCAGGTGTTGTTGTCCACGATGACGGTGCGGTTGGCCATCGCGGTGATCTGGTAGCCGTAGTCCCACCAGCTCATGACGCGGGAGCCGGGGGGCGTGTTGTGACGCAGCCTGGGGAGGGGGGGGAGGAGGGGAGGGGAGGGGGGGAGGTAAACATAAGAAAATTGGCGAACTGTATGGGTGGGAGAAGAGGGAAGGACTATGTAATACACAAACCCGCGGGCCCTTTACAGCCCGACTCGAGTGGGAGAGGGAGAACGGCCTAACCCGTAGGACCCCTCCCCCCTCCCAGCCCCCCCCCCACCAGTAGTATGCCTCCCTGAAGTCGTCCAGCACATGCCGGTGTGGCCCCCAGCCGCTGATCAGCACGATGGAGGGGCTGGAGTAGGCCTCGCTGGTCACCCAGTTGCAGTGCGACGTGTACGACACCAGCCCCAGCGCCACCAGGACCAGCAGCAGCGCGTTGGGGAGCGGCTGGTGGGGCAGGGCGGAGGGGTCGGAGGCGGAGGAGGAGCCGGAGCGCCTGGGGGAGGAGGAAGAGGGGGCGGAGGGGGTTTGGCAAGGGAATGCGATTGGTTCTCGCACATGCAATGCTCCCCGCATGTGCCTGTCCCGCCCCCCCACTCCCCGCATGTGCCTGTCCCGCCCCCCTACCCACCAACTCCTTTCTCATGCCCCACACTCACTTGGCCGCTCCGCGCTTCTTGGCGTCGGAGCCCTCCTTCGCCCCGGCGGCAGCAGCGGAGGCGGAGGAGGCAGCGGGGGGTGTCACCGGGTTGCGTAGCTCGCGAGTGGCGGACTGAGGGTGAGGGAGGGAGGGAGGAGGGAGAGGAGGGGTGTGTGTGTTTGGGGGGGGGCGTGGGAGGGGTGTTTGGAAGCGATTGGAGGGTTTATGATGAGAAGCAGGAGAGAAGAAGGCGCAGAGCAAGAGCGATTCCCGCCCCCGCCCCCTCCCTCCTCCCCCGCTGCCCCCCCCCCTCCCTCCCCCCCACCTGCATGATGGATGACAGTGATATGGCCGACAGCAGTACGAAGGCGGGGGCGGCGACCAGCATCAGGCGCACCATGATGCCTGGGGGGGTGGGGTGGTTGGTGGTTGGTGTAAGGTAAGAGAAGAGGCGGAGGGATGTGAAAGAGGGATGAGAGTATACGGTATACAGAAACGCGAGCCGTGTCCAAGGGAGGCTCGCTGCACCCTACGTTCCATCCTCCTTACCCTACCCCGCCCTACCCTACCCCATCCACCCCTCCCCTACCCCGCCCTGGCCCCCCACCCCACCCGAGAAGTAGATCGCCGTCAGCGCAAAGGTGAGCAGGAAGATGCTGCCCTCCGTGCGCCTCTTGAAGCAGAAGTACAGCCCCGCCGGCGCCGCGAACACCATCCCATGCAGGTCGAAGATGTAGGAGGCCCAGGTGGTGGGCTGGTGCTCGGACACGGAGGCCACGATGGGGATGAACTTCTTGGCGTAGGTGGGGTCCAGCAGCGTCCAGAAGCTGGGGGGGGAGGGGGCGGGGGAGGGGGGCGGGTTGGTGTGTATTGAGGAGGGGAGCGTGTGGGCCCTCCAGTAATGAGGACGAACAGGGAGAGAGAGAAGAGAGGCCCGGTAACCCCCTTTCCTTCCGCTCCCCCCTACCCTGCTCTCCTACACTAGTCAACACCAACTCATTGTCACCCACCATCCCTCTCCCCTGCCCCTCACCCGCCCCTCCCCCCCGTAAGCTTCCTTCTTTTACCCTCCACCCATCACCGCCCCTCCCTTCCCCCTCCCCCATCCCTCTCACCGGCCGGTCCAGGGGTTCAGTTTGCCGCTGAGCAGCAGCCCCGCCAGCCCCACCGCCCCCACCCCGCCCGCCCCCAGCGCCGCAGCGTACACCAGCTGACCGAACTGCCGGGCTCCCAGCTTGGCGCGCAGGAACACAAGCAGCTCCCACACCTGGGGGGAAGGGGAATAGTGAAAGAGGGGGGAAGTGGATCCAGGGAGTAGTGGAAAGTGCAGCAACGGAGTCCCCATCCGCTGACTCATGTAGTGAGCGCATTCGGAGACGCTGTTCTACAAACACGCAACTCCAGGAGGGAGGGAGGGAGGAGGGAGTCCAAGTCCGGCACGTTCCCATGCTAAGGACTGTCAGCCTAGTCCAGCTTTCCCGCCGCCCCAGCAGCAGCAGCAACAGCAGCAGCAGTAGCTAGCCAGTCAGGGCACACACCTCTCTCTCCTCTCCCCATCCGCCGCCCCTGCCCCCACTTCCCCCTTCCGCCCCACCTGCAGTCCCACAAACACTCCGTTGAAGGAGAGCAGCTCGGTGGACAGCACGTGGTTGAAGCCGATGAAGCGAACCTGGGGGGGGGGGCAGGAGGGGAGGGAAGGGGAGGGAAGGGGAGGAAGGCAGAAGCAATGAACAATAACAGCAACGAGAGCGAGAGGTGCTTTCCTACTACGCCCACGCGCGGAGAGCGGCTCCTCCTCCGCCACCAGCACCAGCACCAGCACCCGCCCGCCTGCCGGTGTAGTGCGGCGGACGGGAGGCAGGGCCGCCCAGGACAAACGGCAGCGGGGCAGCGGGGCCACCGCACCCGCCGGGGGCGCGCCCAACACACATCCTGGCTCCCTCCCCCCGCTCGTCGGCTTGTCTGCCAACCTCATTCAACACATTGGGTATTCTTCTTTTCCCCGTCCCACACACCTCCTGCCCTCCCCCCCCCACCTGCATGGCCAGCAGGCTGCCCACCACCCAGAAGGTGGTGTAGGCCAGGTAGAGGCGGCGGGAGTACCTGGGGGGAGGGGAGGGGGGAGGGGGGGTTAGGGGCGGTGTAGTGCAGCAGGTGCAAGGAGCGAGGCGGGGTGAGGAAACCCCACAGCAGGGCAGCGGGCGCATACCGCCGTCACCGCTGCTGCTGCCGCCGCTGGGTAACATGAGGAGAGTATTACGTAACGGGCATGGAACCCACCTATCCACACCTCCCATCCCACCCCCATCCGCACCCTATGTTTGCACCCCATGTCATACACCTCATCCACTCTCCCACCTCCCACCCCACCCGCCCCCCACCCCACCCCCCGCCCCCCCCCCACCCCGCCCCCCACCCCGCCCCTCTCACCTGCCGCTCACAAACATGACAATCACATACAGCGGGATGAGGTTGGAGATGAACACGTAGGCGCCCCAGGAGGCGGCCATGTACAGGTATGCCAGCGCCGCCAGCACCGCCGCCGCCACCGTGCCCCGCTGTACGGCACGCACCCAGAGGTAGAAGGTGGCCAGCAGCGCGAAGATGGCGACCGCCTCGTTGTCGAAGGAGCCGGCCACGGAGCGGGAGATGTAACCTGGGGGAAGAGGAGGGGGAGCGGGGGGAAGAGGAGGGGGGTGGTTGACAGAAGGGGATTGAGAGGAGGGGGCTGAGAGGAGGGGATTGAATGGGGCTGCTGGTGCCACGGCCCGCCCCGTTAACCCCACGGCCCCCTCGTGACAGCCCACGGAGCGGTTGGTGCTGCACCGGGTGTGCGGTGTTAGGTGATAGCTCGTAGGTAGCCGTCAAACTGGGACGCCCTAATTTAGACACCCGATTGCCTTTATCTAACCCGCGGTTCCCTTAAGAACCCTCCTCCCTCCTCTCCTCTCCTCCTCCTTCCCTCCTCTTCTCCTCCTTCCCTCCTCTCCTCCCTCCTCCTCCCCCCTCCCTCACCCGGCACAATGGCCATCAGTGCCGCCGCCACCAGCCCCGTCTCGCGGTCCTTGAGCTCCTTGCCAAACAGGTAGGCGATCATGGCCTGGTAGGGGGAGGGGGGAAAAGGGGGGGGAGGGGGGACGGGGACGGCAGCCATGTGTTTCGTGCTTCGGGTGACAGAAGCTGTCACAGACCTTTGCCGCGCTGTGGTGTTGGTTAGCACCGACAGGCCGTAGCAAGTTGTCATTGTCATGGATGGCGCACGTACCGTGTTTCCAGCGAAGAAGGGCGCCGTGAAGACGCAAATGTCCCTCAGCTTAATCCAAGCTGTGAGGAAGCTGGAGATCTTGTAGAGCAGTCCCGCGGTAAACATGAGGCCAGGGTACACCGTGCCTCCGACCACGCGACCCAGCGGATGCCATGATTCGGCATCGAACCAGTTCCAAAACTCGTAGATCCCCTCTTGCACAAGTTTAATCGTGCTACGGTAGTTGAAGTATGGATCAAACTCGTGGATGACGCTCTCATACCGCAAGACAGAGAACTGCGATCGGGTGCCAGTCAACAAGCGGCGCAACGAGGTAAGAGAAGCATAGCTGAAAAGGCAGCAACTGCTTCAACGCTAAGCACGGGTGAGGTGGGAAAGTACGCAGCACAGTAAGCTAATGGGACACCTCCAATGATCTCAGCTATACTGTCCTACCAAGCGGATGCAGAACGCCAGCAGATAAATGAGGATCAACGTTGTCGAACGAATAAGCAGCTCCTGGGACTTTGGCTTCATAAGATAGCGCTTCGCCGTCTCAAAGAGTGATGCGTGCGACACATACTGCTCGTGCCCAGGCACGACCGTTTTCGCGACCGACATGGTGTTCGATTTAACTAGTCCCTCAGTTGACCTATTAAAGGTGTGGGAGTAACCCCCAGTTCCCCGATGGGTGTTCACGCGCTGAGCATTGTGTGTAAAATCGCCAGCCGCCTACGTTCATGTAGGATGTAGCGAAGATACAACGAACAAGCAATTAGCTTGTAACAAACCGAAGTCCGCGCGACGACGCAAGTTGGGCCGACATGTACTACACAACGAACAAGCTATACTGAACGACGGAAGGCGTCTGTACCTCTAGCCAAGTTGTCCTCCTACCATTACGCCTACGTTTTCCGGATACGTGTTCCTTCCACCAACCGTCGACCCTTAACGCCCGTTGCGCATCACGCTACGCGACGTATAAACGCAATTCAGCACAGGCATGGCCCGCAAGAAGACCTCGCAGGGTCGCAAATCTAAAAAGAAACACCCCAACGGCGGCTCAGCTGCAAACGCGCCTGCGGATGCCAGCGCACCTCAGCAGCACAAATCCCCCCACGGAGTGCAGTACGGCCGCGGCTCCGGAACCGGATCCAACGCCGGTCCTGTTCCAAACCTGTACTGGGGCTACGTAAGCATGGAGCAGCTGCGCGCCTGCCCTCGCTTCGTGGGCCTCCCGGATCCGGCGCAGCTGCTGCCGCTGCCCAGCCTCGCCGCTGCCAGGTGGGCCATCAGGGGTGTGAGGAGGGGGCGGCCCAGATGGACGCGGAGGCAGGCCTGGCCCATCCCCTGTCCTTCTGCTCTTTACCTCTTACCGCCCTTCACTCTCGGCGACCATAATGCGGCACACACACCCTTACCCCGTCCATCTCCCGTCCTTCCTCTTTCCCTTCCACCCCCTCCCTTGTTAGCTCGTTAGTTGCCTCGTCAGTTTCCTTATCTTTACTACTACCTCCACCCCCCTCCCGGCCTGCCTCCCCCCTCCCCCCAGGTTCCTGCGCCAGTCCTCCCCCGCCTGGTCGCTGCTGCACGCCCCCGGGTGCGGGCTGCTGAGCACGGGGCGGCTGCGGGACGCGCTGGGGCTGCGGGAGGCGGCGGCGGCGAGGGTGGTGGGGGGGAGACAGGAGGTGGGGGGGGGGTGAGGGTGGTGGGCGGGAGGCAGGAGGTGAGGGGGGTTCAAAGACCATACCAAAACATAGGAGGGAGGGCGGTGAGGGCGGTGGTTGTGGAGGGATGGGGTTGGCGGAGGCGGTTAGGGTGTTAGCAAGGTGTTGGGGGTGTGTATTGGGCACCCTTGCCTGTCTGACCTCATGCCCTCTCGCAGTCCCCGACCCCCCACATGTCCTCTCCCCCCCACCCCCCCACCCTACCCCCCCCAGAGCAGTCACGCCCCCCTGCTTGCCGCCTACCACCATCTGCGCCACCCGGCGTCACCCGAGCTGCTGCAACAGCTGAGCGGCCTGCTGGAGGGAGGGGCGCTGGGGGGGTTGGGGAGCCACCTGCAGCTGGGGGGGCAACAAGTGCAGCAGCAGCAGTTGGAGGGGCGGAAGCAGTCGCACCCGGTGGCATGCTTACCCGAGCGTGCGGAAGGCGGGGCCGCTCAGCAGCAGCAGGCGGCAGCAGGGAGGGGCAGCAACGGCAGCAACGGCAGCGGCAGCTGCTACCGCGGCAGGCTGCTGGCGGCGTTTGCTGCTGCCGCTGCTGCTGCCGGAAGGCCGCTACAGACCCATGGGTCGTCAAGTCCAAGCCCCACCTCCTCCTCCCGACACGCCGAGGACGCGGAAGATGAGGAGGAGGGAGAGGCCGACAACGCCGAGGAACGCAGGGGTGAGAAGGGGTGAGGGTGTGGGTAGCGAGGCCCAGGAGTGGGCAGGAACGAAGAGAGCGCACCAACTGTAATGATGACTAGCCCGCAGTCAACCCGCCCCTACCTCCCTCCCTCCTCTTTCCGGTGAACTACGGTCAGGATCAGTGTTTCCGCGGCTTCGTAGCTCTAACCCCTCCCCTCGCCCCTCCCTCCCTCCCCCCCCTAGCCCGCTACCGCCGCTGCGCCGCCGCCCTCTCCTGCGGCGGTCTGTGCGGTGTGCGGTGCGCCTGGGGTCAGCTGGCGGAGGGGGCGGCACTGGCGGAGCTGCTGGGCCCCGCCGTGTTCCCCTCCCCCGCCACCCGCCTGCACGAGGTGGGGATGTGCGTGGCGGAGGCGGAGGAGGTGGCGGGCGTGCTGGCGGCAGCGGGTGGGGCGGGTGCGGGTGGGGGGAGCGGTAGCGTCAATGGTGGTGGCGTGTTTGCACCGTTGGTGGGCTCGGGGCTGCTGCCCCCGCTGCCGGCGCTCGCGGCCTCTCCTGACGCGCTCATCTCCCACCGAGTGCCGATTGACGACCCATGGGTCGCGGAGGCGCTGCACCGGGAGCTGCGGGAACACAGCGGGGCGCTGGCGGCGGTGGCAGCGGTGGCGGCGGCAGGGGGGAAGGGAGGAGCAGGGGCAGGAGCTGTGACTGCTGCAGTTGCAGCGGCAGAGGCAGAGGCGGCAGAGGCAGCGGCGGCAGCTGTACGGCGATCTTCTCAGCGGTTGAGATCGCGATTGTTGGAGTTGTTGGGTCGGGTGGAGATGGCTAAGGAGGAGGCGGTAGGGGAGGAGGAGGAGGATGGCGGGGTTGAAGGCGAGGCGCAGGGGAGTGGTGGCGACACGGACGGCGGGGACGACGAGGCACTTGCGGACGGTGGGGATGAGGAGGAGGGCGGTTGCGACCCCGTTGCCGATGGAGGTGAAGAGGACGGAGAGGACGGGGGTGAAGGAGGAGGAGACAACAGCGGCGGTGACGGGGGTGACGGCAGTTCGTCAAGAGGAGAGGAGGATGGCAACCTGGACACCTCAGCTAGAGCCGCCGCCACCACCGCCACCGCCACCGCCGCCGCCGCAGCAGCAGCAGCATCGGAAGCCGATGGGTTGACTGCCCCGACTGCAGCGGCCTCCCCCATACCCGCTTCCTACAACCTCCGTCCTGTATCTTCCTCCTGCTCCTCCTCCTCCTCCCCCTGCTACCCCGCCCAGCTAGCTGCTGCGATTCTTGAGAGCCGGCTGCCGGTGCTGCTGGTGTGTGGGCGGTGCGGGAGCGGGGACGGGGGCAGGCAGGAGGAGGATGAGGAGGAGGTGGTGGCAGGGAAGGGGGATGAAGAGGGCAGTGGTGTGCGGGGGCTGCCCCCTGCTGGTTCCCCTGCTCGTGGGGAGGGGGAGGGAGGAGGCGGACAGCCGCCGAGGCAACCGGTCGGTTGGTGCTGCTGCTGCTGCGGTGGTGGTGCTGGTGGTGCTGACAGTGGTGGTAGCGGCGGTGGCGGCGGAGTGAAGACTGGGGAGGCGGAGGGGGCGGCTGCTGGGGAGGCGGTGACGTCGCGCGGCGGTGTTGTTGGAGGGCAGCGTTGTCCAGTGGGGGAACAGCCTCAGCCCCAACCCCAGCCTCCCTCCCAGCCCCCCCCGGCCTGCTTCGCGGTGGTGCGGGAGGTGGTGGAGGTCAAGAGCTCCTGTCCGTACGGCATACGACAGGTGGGGGGCGGGGGTAAAAGAAATGCATCCAGTGTGGGGGCTGGGGTGGGATGGTTGGGGTGGGATGGTGATTGGAGCCACCATCGTCCCCCCGTGAGCCCCTGAGAGGGAGTGGACTTGTGATTACCTGAGGGGTAGCGGTGAATTGCGGTGATGTACCACCTTCACCCCCCCCTACCTCACCCTGTGTATGTTGACACCTTATCCCTCAGTCGGTTAGGTGCTTCCTCTTTACTCCCCTCCCTCCCACCAGGTTCGCCGCGGCGGCAGGGGCCGGCTGGTGTCCGAGGTGGTGCTCAGCGACCCGGGTCCGCGCACCCGCCTGCCGCCCGCCTGGGTGCCGCAGCTGCAGCTGCACATGCTGGCGGCGGGCTGCGGCAGCGGACTGCTGGTGTCCAGGTGGGGGGAGCTGGGGGGGGGGTAAAGAAGGGGGGCTGCATGCGTGCGTGCGTGGGGGTTCAAAGACATAGCGAAGCATAGGAAACCACAGGGGCAAAATAAGGGATAGGAAGCGGCAGGGTGGTTAGCCTTCCTACCGCTCCTAAGTCCGCGGTGCGTGCATGGGGGCCGGGGGGGGGCAGGTTACCGGCTGCAACATGGGCAGGGGGGCAGGTTACCGGCTGTGTGGAGCACGGGTATGCATGCATGCATGCAAAACGTGTGCGCGCCTGGGGAGACGCATGTGCAACTTTGCATGCATGCATGCTTGCTTGCATGCGTGATGCGGAGGCGCGTTAGTGGCTGCAGGGGCGGACGGTAGGAGCTGGCCTGCCCAGCCTGAAGCCTGATGTTGCTGCTGGCAGCCTCTTCACACTTCCGCCCCTCCCCCTCCCCCCTGCCAGGTCCGCTACCAAGGGCTGCACCGTGTTCCGCGTGATGCGCGATGACGCCTACCTGGCCCGCATGCTGGGCGTGCTGGCGAGGTGGGTGTACGGCAGCGCCGCAGCCGCCACGGGTTTCGTGTGTATCGTGTACTTCCCGGTAACCCCCCTCCCCTCCCACCCCCCCCCCGCAGGTTCCACTCTTCCTACGTGCTCCGAGCCCAGCCCCCCCCGCCCGACATGTTCAATCGCCCGCACCCCGACCCCGCATACGCCGCATTCCTGGCAGCCACAGCACGCATCGCGCGCAACGCAACCCCCCTGCTGCGGACCTCAGGGAGGGGCGCGGCTGGAGGGGGAGGAGGAGCAGGGGGGCTGGACCGGGATCAGGCGTTCGTGCGGCGGGATGACTAAGGAGGGGGTTGGCGGTCGTTGGTGGTCGTGACGCAGCTCTGCTGCCGTGGTGGTTGTAAGCTGACGGCCATAGATGACATTTACATGCGCGCACGTGCGCTGTCACTGTGATAAGAGTCTGTAAAGCCGTACCACACGTGTTTCTGGCAGTTGACTGCCCGTCACTTTCTCGCCCTCACCACCGCTGCAAAGTACAAGAGCCCTTCTGGGCCAGCGCTGTTCACCGTGACCCTTTTGCACCCTATGTACGTACCTCTTGGCACCCCTCTAAAGCCACGTTCCACACGCCCCCGTCCGCCTAAACCGCGGCTCCTTCCCAGCCTCACTACACGAACCTCGCACCCCGTTATCCATGCGCGCCCCGCCCCGCCCCCTAGTCACGCTGCCGCTGTTGCTGCTGCCAGTGGCCGCTATACTGCCACCGCCGCCAGCGGTTCGCTCCTGTTGCAACGGCGGCCCCCGCCTCACAGCATGAAGATGAGGTCGTTGTTGCGGCAGCCGTCCCCCACGTACAGCGAGCCCCACGTCAGCTCGTTGGCTGCGTAGTAGAAGAAGTAGCCGGGCCACAGCAGGGAGCGCACCTGGAGGGCGGGGGGGGGGGGGGGGGGGCGGGGTACAGAGGAAGGAGGGGGAGGGTGTGGTTAAGGGATAGGGCAGGGTGGGATGGGGTGCGCGCAACTCAGGGCAGGGCACAGCCGGGGCGCAAGGGAAAGACAAGTCGGGGTACGGCAAGAGCCCGCACCCAGCAGCGTGCCTCCCTCTCCTGCCATTGCAACCCTGCCACCGCTAACCCGTACACCCCGCTCCTCCCTACCCGCCCTTCTACAACATTTACATCCCGTTGCGAGTAACCCCATGAGTCTTACCCACCCCTCCCTCCTTCCTTCACCACCCGCCTCGTTTCCTTCTTCTTTACCCCACCCCCCTTCATTACCCCCCCCCCCTCCTCGCACGCACCTGCGCCACCCCCTTGAATGCGTCGTAGTGTACGCACCATGTGCCCCGCAGGTCCTGTGCCAGCGTGGCCCCCGAGCCGGGCGCTGCGGAGCGGTGCTGGTAGGACTCGAGCTTCTCGGGGTAGGGGCAGCCGGCGAACAGGCGGTTGGGCACCACCTGGGAGGCGGCGTTCACGATGGTGGAGTTCTGGGGAGGGGAGGGAGAGGGGGAAAGGGAGGAATGTTGAGAGAGTAAAGACCCGTGGGTCAGACGTTGCGTTCCCAGACGCAAGCCGAGAGACAGGTCAGGTTGGAAGGCGCGGTGATCCGCCCCCAAAGCACCAAGCTTTTAAGACCAGCTTCAATCCGTTTAATAGGTATAGAATGGTCCAGGGCAGCCTACGATGAGCGAAGTATTGTCAAGGAAAAAGCTCATGCGCGCCCTTGCCGCGGCCTGAACGCAAGTATTATATATACAACAATATGGCACCACGCAGGTGGTCCCTGGTGTGTTCTTCTTAGGCTTTGCCAATTGATGGCTACCGGTAGCTCGCGTGTCACGATGGTGCGTTGCAGATTGTTACGGGTCAATCGGAAACAAAAGGCACTCTGCGCAGTTCCAGGGTCCCAAGACTACCGCGAGCAAGGGAGCAAGGCGCAGCCAGAGTGGGTGTGCCGGTAGCATGCGCGACATGCCAGCAGGTAGGAAATTGCTTGTGCGCTCCATAAATACTAGCACCAACGTATAAAATTCGGCGTTATGTACACCACATGAGCTGTGGCCACGAAAAGCTGGTGACTGTCGTATTGGATGTTGGCTCTTGTTGACCAATCAAACTTTTCAGGTAACTCCCGCAATGTATAAGCAAGCTTAATCCTTATAGACCGCCTTGATTATCGCTTTGTATCACATTAACAACTCAACATGGAGAACCTGCCGCTCAAGGACAGCCAGCTGCCGATGCCAAGAATTCAAAATGTGCTTTGCGGACTTAGCATGTCCGCTTACGATACACTCTACAAGCACCTAAAAGATGAAGGAAGCGTGGGCGTTGCACGTCTGGCTTTCCACGCGCTGCGTGATGCTATCGACGTCTGCGTGCGCGACTTAGCGCTACATGTGAACTATAGGCATCGGCGACCATCGGACGAGGCCTTGGCGCCCTCTCTAAGGCGCTGGCCCTGCTGTGAAGCTATCCGGCTGGAGCTGCGCCAGCTCGATGCGAACATCGTCAGCCCGGAGGACATCGCAGAGCTGGTGGCGCTGCTGTTTGTAGACGTGCCGCTAGCAGCCAGGCAGCGCATCAAGCGATTCAAGATCAACTGGGACGGCTGTGTGGACATCCAGTTGGCTGTAGCGCAGCTGCCGCTGTGGCTGCCCGCCCTGAAGGAGCTGGACCTCTCCGACGATTGGCCGCTCCTGAACGATTCCCCACGGCGGATGCAGAAGCTGATGTACCTCGCTCTTTCGAACCTTCACAACTTGGAACGGCTTATGCTGCCAGGGTGTAAGGCGCTGGAGGGTGTGGGCCACCTTGCGGCATGCAGCAGCCTGACAAGCTTAGCATTTACCGAGCCGTATATGATTGGGAGATTGCCGGCGCACAATCTGACCACTGCTCACATTAGTGAGTTGTCCAGGCTGCAGCAGCTGCACTTAATGCATTGCAACCTGCCAGTCGACAAGGCGACAGGCACGTCTGAGATGCTGCAGCTGCTGCTGAGCAGCTTGCCGCCCTCCCTGCGGCACCTGCAGCTTGAGGATTGCGTGATTGACGGCTCTTTTCAGGACTTCGACCGCACGCAGACCTTGGACTTCCAGCTAGAGGAGGGCCAGCTGCGGCTCATACAGCTAGATTGTACCGACCTTGAAAGTCCGGCAATGCCGGTACTCCTGCGCAGCATCCCACAGCAGCAGCAGAAGCCACGTCTGGTTATCGGCGAACTGCTCATAGAGTATGATGAGCAGCTGTCCGATGAGCAGCTGGCCGGTTTTCGCGAGAAGCCGCTGTGGGAGCACTTTGCAGCTACAGAGGTGAAGGCCATGTGTGCCTGCCATGAGATCTATGACTGCTATGGGCGTGTGGCTGCAGTGCTTCAAGCGGCGGACTTGCTGGGCCCGCCTCAGGAGTTCCAGTTCGAGGTCCTCGGTGACTTTACGATAACGGTGTCGCCTTCCGGCCCTGCACTGCTGGATGGCGACATGCAGCAGTCGGGGCTGGCGGCGGCAGGTGGCCGGCGGCCGCTGCCCTCAGCGGGTGAGCTGCTGCTGAGTGTGATGCGGCGTGCAACGGCAGCAGCGGCTCAGGATGCCGGCGGGTGTGCTGGCAGTGGCTCGTCAGGGGAGCATTTGCTGTGGGTGAGCGGCCCGCTCCTGGATCAGATGCTTGAGGGGGACGAGGGGGGGTGGCCGAGGGCATCGATCGAGCGGTGGATGAACAGGCTGGAGGATCGGGCGGTGCAGTCGACGGGGGATGGCAGCGAGCGCTGCGTGGTGTGGTACCAAGAGCTGCCGGCTGCACGGGCAGTGGTGATGCAGTGCGACGAGAAGGCGGCAGCGGAGGCGGTGGAGGCAGCTGTGAAGGAGCTGGCGGTGGAGGCGGGGACGATCGGGGCAGCAGCAGAGGGGCTGGAGGCGGCTGCACCGCTGCAGGTGCTGCGGCTCTGGTCTCGGAAGAAGTCTCCGAGGGGCTTCATCGGTTTTGGCTGCGTGCGTGACGCCTTTATAGAGGTGAGTGCGTCTACCGGCAAGTCAGGGGGCCAGATTTTGAGGCAGTCCGCGGCGTTCACGTGAATGCCATAGTCACGTGCATGCGGACGTGAATATGATTAACAGGGTACCGGTATTGCAGCATGCAAACCTGCCACCATGCATGCTGTCAACCTCCCACATGAAGGCCCCACATGCTCATTACATGTGAAAACCTTGCAGCAAGGAACCCCAAACGCTGCGGCACCTCACTGCCCCCCCCCACCCGCCCACAGGCCATTCAGCATGCGTGGGACGGCGCCTGGGAGCCCAGCGTAGGTGGCATCGGGCAGAGGCGCTTGGGGTGGCTGCTGGCGCTCGTCGACGAGATCTGCTCCCGGGGCCGGACAGTACGGACGCTGTAATGACGAGTCGTGCTGGCGGTTGGTGCACTGGCTGGGGGTGGAGTGGGACGGGATACGACCGTTTAGGGTTGGGGTATGTAATGCAGGCGTGGGTTAAGGGCGGTGTCATGTACGGATGCAGGAAGGCAGCAGGAGGACGTGGGCTGTGTGCGGGCGACGCGTAGGTTTTCTTGTAGCAGTGAAGTGCATGCAATAGGTTAATGAGTTAATACTGTTAATAAGTTCCATACTGGCAGGGCAGCAATTGTCGTGCGTCTAGCGTGCTGGAGATAGGTAGCTGTGAAGCTCCCTATTCCTGCTGTGCTGGTGTCGGGTGTGTGTGCCAAATGCGGCGCTGCTGTGTATATGTATGTTTGGGCATGCATGGCAAAGAGTCGCGGATAACACGGGTGTGAGGCTGCAGGCAGGGTTCCTTGCATTCATGTATCATGTTCCTTCGCACCTTTGAACCTGTGGAAGGGTGCCCCGGGAATGGGGTTTTGAGCTGTGCGAGAGGAGGAGCAGGAGGTGGTGTTAGTTGGCTGGATGTTTGCTGGAGTTCACCACGCGTTCAGGGCGTTCCCGTGTTCCATCGGGTCCCCGTCTTTGAGCCCTCGTCCTGCCAGCTGTCTTGGTTGTCAGTACATGCTGGGGTATGTGACACAGTGACACGTGGCAGGTGTCACAAAGACTGAGACGTTAAGCTGTCGGCTTCGCGCCAGGGGCTCCACCCAAAAATGGGCACGTGATTGCAAAGCGGGAGGCCAACCCTCTGCATCCTCTTCATTCCCTCCCTCCATTAAGCCTCAGCTGAACTAGCTGGACGGAAAACACCAAGCCCTGTCTACCTCCTTTCCTTGGTGTCTCGCAGCTAACCGTATATGCGCTTGTTTACATGCAACGTGTGACTCCTCCAGTGGCCAGCAAGGATGCACGCGGCAGACAGGGTGACACGCCGTGAAACCCCACCGGTATCAGTACATTTCCATCTGCACAGTGCACACCGTTTGCCACCCATGTGCCATGTCCCCTTTACCGGTATCCTCAGCTTTACTGCGCAACTGCAAACATGCTTTACTGCTCGTTGGAAGAGCGTGCGCCGCTGACACCGCCAGACAAACAAGACATGTGTTTCCCAAGAGCAAGGCACGATGTGGGACAGATGTGATCCTCCCCCCCCCCTACTCCTCCTGACCTCCTCCCCATCCTCCGCCTCCCTGTTATCGAGGCGCAAGCCGGGGATTCACTCCCTGCCGCCACACCTGCATGGGCCCCTTCCCGCTTGGGTACCCACTACCCGGGCTGCCACCCTGCTCTTCAAGGCAGTGGCAAGGGGCCCATGCGGGTGTGGCGGCGGGGCTTAATAGGACCCGGGGGCCTGGTGAACGTAAGGATGACAAGGAGCTGGGGAATGAGAGGAGGATGCGAGTGACCAAGACATGGTCCTAGAACCTACACCAAGAATAGCTTCAACAGTAAGGAAGTGCTAGAAAGCGCGTGCAACCTAAAAGCACTACGTGATATATCTCGGTGCGCTCGCTCGCAGTGCAGCGACTGGGTCTCGCAAAGCCAAAACAGGGCTTGCTTCCTTGGCTTGCTTCATCAACATATATGATATAGTACAATTGCAATGAACTGCTTACTTGTCGCTCTCGCAACGTGCTTCCTTGTCAGTTAGTGCTCTATGGGCCTTGTTTCATCTCGTCGTACGATCGCTGTCAGTGTGTTAGCCTCAGCGGCCGCATGGCGCTGGTGATGTGCGTTGAAGTAACCTTACCTGTACGCTCTTTCTCGCGACAACCTCTTGTCAGCTTGAGTCGCGATGGCCTCTCTCGTGCAGCGCCCCGTCCTCGGTGCCCGCGTGGCTGCTCAGCGTCCCCGCGCTGCTGCCCGCAAGTACGTGCTATATTCACTGGAGGTTAATAGGTTATATGCATATAGCGCTTTAAGATAAGGCTTTTTGCGTTAGCTAGGTTTAGGTAAACCATGGCTATGCAACGGTTAGTTATGCACGGGCGCTCTTGCTGAAGCGGGCGTGACGCCATGGTAGCCGTGGGGCTTTGGGATCCAGGGTTTTGACACGACATGCGACGCGTGAAGCCCCCTTTCCGCTGCCTGCCTGCCCCCCCCCCACTAGCCGCTCACTCATTTCCACACTATGCACAGGGCCTGGCCATCACAGGCATGGCAATGCTTCCAGATGCGCCGTCCCTGCACTCTGTCATCCACAATCCCCGCACCCACGTTCTCCCTTCCTCTCACCCTTCCCGCCATACCCCTTTCCTGTACCGCCCCCTCCCGCACCCCCTCCGGGAAGTCATCGGCTTGTTTGCTATCCTCATTCAACACCTTGGGATTCTTCTTTCTCCCCCACCCCCTCCCCTGCAGCCGGCATCGCCGCCATCGCCACCTTCGGCCTCAAGGGCTCCAAGGACGGGGCGCTGCCCATCACCAAGGGACCCCAGACGGCCGGCGAGAACGGCAAGGGAGGCAACCGCGGCCGCCTGTAAACCACCAGCACCGCTGCTGACCATGAGGTGATGAGGTCTGGCATGATGAGAGAGTCGCTGCCGTACGTGGCTGTAGTGCCATGTACGACGTACGGCTCTCAAGGGCTGTGCATGTGCAGGCGTGGCCGCATGCATGACACGGAGCCCTGCGGTCGTCTGTTGTCCTGGGTGCGTGGTGATGTGCGGCTTTAGAAGCGGTGTCGTTGGGGGCCCGGAGACGCGGGTTCTGAGGGATGGAGCGACGCGTGTGTCGGGGTGTGTGTGTGTTTTTGCATGAGGTAGGGCGGTTCCTCTTCCTCTTGAGAGGAGGTAGGGTCGGAGGGGGCTCGGGGGCGGTGTGGTCTCTCTCTCTCTCCCCGTGAGGGGGCTGTGTCCTCCCTGTCAGTTGCCCGTGGGTGCGGAGTGCAATCTTGAGCTAGTGTTAGGCACCCTTGCCCGTCTGACATGCCCTCTCGCAGTCCCCGACCCCCCACATGTCCTCTCCCCCCCACCCCCCCCACCCCCCCACCCCCCCCCCAGAGCAGTCACGCCCCCCTGCTTGCCGCCTACCACCACCTGCGCCACCCGGCATCACCCGAGCTGCTGCAACAGCTGAGCGGCCTGCTGGAGGGAGGGGCGCTGGAGGGGTTGGGGAGCCACCTGCAGCTGGGGGGGCAACAAGTGCAGCAGCAGCAGTTGGAGGGGCGGAAGCAGTCGCACCCGGTCGCATGCTTACCCGAGCGTGCGGAAGGCGGGGCCGCTCAGCAGCAGCAGGCGGCAGCAGGGAGGGGCGGGGGCAGCAACGGTAGCAACGGTAGCAGCAACGGCAGCAACGGTAGCAGCGGCAACAGCAGCTGCTACCGTGACCGGCTGCTGGCGGCGTTTGCTGCTGCCGCTGCTGCTGCCGGAAGGCCGCTACAGACCCATGGGTCGTCAACTCCAAGCCCCACCTGCCCCTCCCGACACGTCTTCAAGCCGGTAGCAGCGGTAGCGACAGCAGCAGCAGCGGCAGCAGAGGAGGAGGAGGAGGAGGCGGAAGAGGAGGAGGAGGGAGAGGCCGCGAACGCCGAGGAACGCAGGGGTGAGGAGGGGCGAGGGTGTGGGTAGCGAGGTCCAGGAGGGGGCGGGAATGAAGAGAGCGCACCAACTGTAATGATGACTAGCCCGCAGTCAACCCGCACCTCCCTCCCTCCCTCCTCTTTCCGCGGCTCAGCGTCTCTAATCCCTCCCCTCGCCCCTCCCTCCCTCCCTCCCCTAGCCCGCTACCGCCGCTGCGCCGCCGCCCTCTCCTGCGGCGGTCTGTGCGGTGTGCGGTGCGCCTGGGGTCAGCTGGCGGAGGGGGCGGCACTGGCGGAGCTGCTGGGCCCCGCCGTGTTTCCCTCCCCCGCCACCCGCCTGCACGAGGTGGGGATGTGCGTGGTGGAGGCGGAGGAGGTGGCGGGCGTGCTGGCGGCAGCGGGAGGGGCGGGTGCGGGTGGGGGGAGCGGTAGCGTCAATGGTGGTGGCGTGTTTGCACCGTTGGTGGGCTCGGGGCTGTTGCCCCCGCTGCCGGCGCTCGCGGCCTCTCCGGACGCACTCATCTCCCACCGAGTGCCGATTGATGACCCATGGGTCGCGGAGGCGCTGCACCGGGAGCTGCGGGAACACAGCGGGGCGCTGGCGGCGGTGGCAGCGGTGGCGGCGGCAGGGGGGAAGGGAGGAGCAGGGGCAGGAGCTGTGACTGCTGCGGTTGCAGCGGCAGAGGCAGAGGCGGCAGAGGCAGCGGCGGCAGCTGTACGGCGATCTTCTCAGCGGTTGAGATCGCGATGGTTGGAGTTGTTGGGTCGGGTGGAGATGGCTAAGGAGGAGGCGGTAGGGGAGGAGGAGGAGGATGGCGGGGTTGAAGGCGAGGCGCAGGGGAGTGGTGGCGACACGGACGGCGGGGACGACGAGGCACTTGCGGACGGTGGGGATGAGGAGGAGGGCGGTTGCGACCCCCTTGCCGATGGAGGTGAAGAGGACGGAGACGACGGGGGTGAAGGAGGAGGAGACAACAGCGGCGGTGACGGGGGTGACGGCAGTTCGTCAAGAGGAGAGGAGGATGGCAACCTGGACACCTCAGCTAGAGCCGCCGCCACCACCGCCACCGCCACCGCCGCCGCCGCCGCAGCAGCAGCATCGGAAGCCGATGGGTTGACTGCCCCGACTGCAGCGGCCTCCCCCATACCCGCTTCCTACAACCTCCGTCCTGTATCTTCCTCCTGCTCCTCCTCCTCCTCCCCCTGCTACCCCGCCCAGCTAGCTGCTGCGATTCTTGAGAGCCGGCTGCCGGTGCTGCTGGTGTGTGGGCGGTGCGGGAGCGGGGACGGGGGCAGGCAGGAGGAGGATGAGGAGGAGGTGGTGGCAGGGAAGGGGGATGAAGAGGGCAGTGGTGTGCGGGGGCTGCCCCCTGCTGGTTCCCCTGCTCGTGGGGAGGGGGAGGGAGGAGGCGGACAGCCGCCGAGGCAACCGGTCGGTTGGTGCTGCTGCTGCTGCGGTGGTGGTGCTGGTGGTGCTGACAGTGGTGGTAGCGGCGGTGGCGGCGGAGTGAAGACTGGGGAGGCGGAGGGGGCGGCTGCTGGGGAGGCGGTGACGTCGCGCGGCGGTGTTGTTGGAGGTCAGCGTTGTCCAGTGGGGGAACAGCCTCAGCCCCAACCTCAACCTCAGGCTCCCCCTCAGCCTCCCCCGGCCTGCTTCGCGGTGGTGCGGGAGGTGGTGGAGGTCAAGAGCTCCTGTCCGTACGGCATACGACAGGTGGGGGGCGGGGGTAAAAGAAATGCATCCAGTGTGGGGGCTGGGGTGGGATGGTTGGGGTGGGATGGTGATTGGAGCCACCATCGTCCCCCCGTGAGCCCCGTGAGAGGGAGTGGACTTGTGATTACCTGAGGGGTAGCGGTGAAATGCGGTGATGTACCAGCCCCCCCCCCCCCTACCTCACCACCACCTCCCCTACCTCACCCTGTGTATGTTGACGCCTTATCCCTCAGTCGGTTAGTTGCTTCCTCTTTACTCCCCTCCCTCCCACCAGGTTCGCCGCGGCGGCAGGGGCCGGCTGGTGTCCGAGGTGGTGCTCAGCGACCCGGGTCCGCGCACCCGCCTGCCGCCCGCCTGGGTGCCGCAGCTGCAGCTGCACATGCTGGCGGCGGGCTGCGGCAGCGGACTGCTGGTGTCCAGGTGGGGGGAGCTGGGGGGGGGGTAAAGAAGGGGGGCTGCATGCGTGCGTGCGTGGGGGTTCAAAGACATAGCGAAGCATAGGAAACCACAGGGGCAAAATAAGGGATAGGAAGCGGCAGGGTGGTTAGCCTTCCTACCGCTCCTAAGTCCGCGGTGCGTGCATGGGGGCCGGGGGGGGGCAGGTTACCGGCTGCAACATGGGCAGGGGGGCAGGTTACCGGCTGTGTGGAGCACGGGTATGCATGCATGCATGCAAAACGTGTGCGCGCCTGGGGAGACGCATGTGCAACTTTGCATGCATGCATGCTTGCTTGCATGCGTGATGCGGAGGCGCGTTAGTGGCTGCAGGGGCGGACGGTAGGAGCTGGCCTGCCCAGCCTGAAGCCTGATGTTGCTGCTGGCAGCCTCTTCACACTTCCGCCCTCCCCCTCCCCCCTGCCAGATCCGCTACCAAGGGCTGCACCGTGTTCCGCGTGATGCGCGATGACGCCTACCTGGCCCGCATGCTGGGCGTGCTGGCGAGGTGGGTGTACGGCAGTGCCGCAGCGGCCAAGGGTTTCGTGTGTATCGTGTACTTCCCGGTAACCCCCCTCCCCTCCCGCCCCTCCTCCTCCTTATCACACGGTCAGTTCGTTGTTTCCTCTTTACCCCCACCCTCCCCCCAGGTTCCACTCTTCCTACGTGCTCCGAGCCCAGCCCCCCCCGCCCGACATGTTCAATCGCCCGCACCCCGACCCCGCATACGCCGCCTTCCTGGCAGCCACAGCACGCATCGCGCGCAACGCAACCCCCCTGCTGCGGACCTCAGGGAGGGGCGCGGCTGGAGGAGGAGGAGGAGCAGGGGGGCTGGACCGGGATCAGGCGTTCGTGCGGCGGGATGACTGAGGAGAGGGTTGGCGGTCGTTGGTGGTCGTGACGCAGCTCTGCTGCCGTGTTGGTTGTAAGCTGACGGCCATAGATGACATTTACATGCGCGCACGTGCGCTGTCACTGTGATAAGAGTCTGTAAAGCCGTGCCACACGTGTTTCTGGCAGTTGACTGCCCGTCACTTTCTCGCCCGCACCACCGCTGCAAAGTACAAGAGCCCTTCTGGGCCAGCGCTCAACGCTCAAGTAATGTAAACAGGTGGATGGATGCCCCTCACCCAACATCTAGGTTATCTGCCCCACTGCAACGCCTCATCTGCTACCCAACACCGTGATCCTTTTGCACCCTATGTACGTACCTCTTGGCACCCCTCTAAAGCCACGTTCCACACGCCTCCGTCCGCCTAAACCGCGGCTCCTTCCCAGCCTCACTAGACGATCCTCGCACCCCGTTATCCATGCGCGCCCCGCCCCGCCCCCTAGTCACGCTGCCGCTGTTGCTGCTGCCAGTGGCCGCTATGCTGCCACCGCCGCCAGCGGTTCGCTCCTGTTGCGACGGCGGCCCCCGCCTCACAGCATGAAGATGAGGTCGTTGTTGCGGCAGCCGTCCCCCACGTACAGCGAGCCCCACGTCAGCTCGTTGGCTGCGTAGTAGAAGAAGTAGCCGGGCCACAGCAGGGAGCGCACCTGGAGGGCGGGGGGGGGCGGGGGGGGGCGGGGTACAGAGGAAGGAGGGGGAGGGTGTGGTTAAGGGATAGGGCAGGGTGGGATGGGGTGCGCGCAACTCAGGGCAGGGCACAGCCGGGGCGCAAGGGAAAGACAAGTCGGGGTACGGCAAGAGCCCGCACCCAGCAGCGTGCCTCCCTCTCCTGCCATTGCAACCCTGCCACCGCTAACCCGTGCACCCCGCTCCTCCCTACCCGCCCTTCTACAACATTTACATCCCGTTGCGAGTAACCCCATGCGTCTTACCCACCCCTCCCTCCTTCCTTCACCACCCGCCTCGTTTCCTTCTTCTTTACCCACCCACCCCTACACTACCTCCCCCCCTCCTCGCACGCACCTGCGCCACCCCCTTGAATGCGTCGTAGTGTACGCACCATGTGCCCCGCAGGTCCTGTGCCAGCGTGGCCCCCGAGCCGGGCGCTGCGGAGCGGTGCTGGTAGGACTCGAGCTTCTCGGGGTAGGGGCAGCCGGCGAACAGGCGGTTGGGCACCACCTGGGAGGCGGCGTTCACGATGGTGGAGTTCTGGGGAGGGGAGGGAGAGGGAAAAAAGAAATGTGGGAGGGAGAGGGGGGGGAGGGAGGAATGTTGAGAGAGTAAAGACCCGTGGGTCAGACGTTGCGTTGCCGCAACACCCGTGGCTGTGTGCTAATTCCTTTCCGCTTCCCATCTTCGCCCCAATGCCCGTCCGTCTTCCCCTCTACGCGCCAACCCCCCCGCTTGTGCCTCCGTAGTAGTGCCACTGCCGCGCCGCATTCCCGCCCCCAAGCCCACCGGCACGCGCCCCTTACCGTTGGAATCACGGACGTGGCCGCTGTGATCTGGTCAACCCGGAAACGCAGCACCGACAGCTCTGGAATTTGAAATACAAGCGGCTTGGGCTCCTCGTCCGCATCAGGGGAGGGCTCCGGAGCGTTCGGGTCCTTCTCCTCCAGCTCGTAGTTCTTTGCAGCATCGCCGCTCAGCTGCCCCTTAATCCGCGCACATCGGATGGCCGTCTCCGCGTCTACGGGCTGCAAGTCGCTCCACCGCGCCCCGTCCTGGCTGTAAAAGTACTTCGTCTCGTAGACAGCCATGCCATCCTTACTTGTTGCCATGTTGCAACCTTCCGCGACCAGGTAGTCCTATGGGCGGTGTGTGTGACGCCATAGTACTTAGACATCTTGTCGCTTATACAAGCCGAGAGACAGGGTCAGGTTGGAAGGCATGCGCACTTGCCTTGCCATTAAGCGCGGTGATCCGCCCCCAAAGCACCAAGCTTTTAAGACCAGCTTCAATTCGTTTAATAGGTATAGAATGGTCCAGGGCAGCCTACGCTGAGCGAAGTATTGTCAAGGAAAAAGCTCATGCGCGCCCTTGCCGCGGCCTGAAAGCAAATATAATATATACCTGCTGTTCAGCTGGAATTACGGCTCCACAGCTAGCTAGGTACTTCAGAACCAACGTGATGTTGGGCTCCAACTGCACCATTCTGTCGCGCCGTAGGAAATCGTAAAGGTCGGTACTCTTCGGTAAATAAAGCAGAAAGGACAGGTCACGTTCACCGCTGTTTGTGCCCTCTGTCACAGTTTGGAAGCTTAGAACCGGTGGAACGTACGGCATGAGCTCCGAACCTTTGCGAACTGTGGAGAACGCAGCGAAGCACGTCCGTAAAACAGTGTGTACTTTCCTAAAGTTGCAGCTTCTTGATCTGTGACAGCAAGGCAAGGAACATGTAACATGCTCGCCTGGGTCAGATGGCGCGCAACATCACCCATGCAGAGATGGGCCGTGCCAGTCCTTTCGCCATCAATGTGACGCCGCGGCGGCCGCAAGTCGTGAACACAGGATGACTTGGCGTCAGAGGCACCATAGTTGACAGGGGGGGTCAGCTTTCTGAAAGCTGGAAAAGACCTCTTTCAGTACAGGAACGTTTTACTACCACTGGAGCGCTCCTGTAACTCTACGGCACCAGTTGACCTAACACACCTTGCTACGCGGACGCTAAACCCCATTGTTTACTGTTGGTTAATTGAGCTTTCGTTGCATGGCTAGAGGAGCTCAGAGCCCCTTGTCCAGTCGAGGCCGGCTGCCTTGTTCACCATGGCGTACATAGCGTACTCACACATTGCACACAATTTCAGGTTACACCTGAGTACTCCGTAATGTCTTATCATGCTTGATAGCACCCATGCACCAAGCTACTGACCCTGCCACACGGGAGTGCTATCAGGGTCCCGCGGGTCGTTAAGGCATCACCTACATTACTAGCAGGATGCGGAGGACAGGCTCGGCATGTTGGCATCGTGCTCAGAAGGACTTCGGGCCATTGCAACGTAACGCTTGTGTGTAAGAGCTGTGGTCGAGACGTCGTGAATGGCCCATGGGCCATCGGTCCACCATAATAGCATATCAATAGTCAGCATTCAATGCAAGGCACACAGATGTACACGCAGCTAAGTGCCCGTCCACGAGTGAAACCTACAACGGAACACAGCGTCTATAGGGTTATTGCCCCTGCGATCCCTTGTGTTCCGTTTCTCCTCAATATGGCAACACGCAGGTGGTCCCTGGTGTGTTCTTCTTAGGCTTTGCCAATTGATGACTACCGGTACCGTAGCTCGCGTGTCACGATGGTGCGTTGCAGATTGTTACGGGTCAACCGGATAAATAAGACACTCTGCGCAGTTCCAGGGTCCCAAGACTACCGCGAGCAAGGGAGCAAGGCGCAGCCAGAGTGGGTGTGCCGGTAGCATGCGCGACATGCCAGCAGGTAGAAAATTGCTTGTGCGCTCCCTAAATACTAGCACCAACGTATATTAATTCAGCGTTATGTACATCACGTGAGCTGTGGCCAGGAAAAGCTGGTGACTGTCGTATTGGATGTTGGCTCTTGTTGATCAATCAAACTTTTCAGGTAACTCCCGCAATGTATAAGCAAGCTTAGTCCTTATAGACCGCCTTAATTATCGCTTTTTTTTATCACATTAACAACTCAACATGGAGACCCTGCCGCTCAAGGACAGCCACCTGTCGGTGCCAAGAATTAAAAATGTGCTTTGCGGACTTAGCATGGCCGCTTACAATACACTCTACCAGCACCTAAAAGATGAAGGAAGCGTGGGAGTTGCACGTCTGGCGTTCCGCGCGCTGCGTGACGCAGTGGACATCTGCGTTCACGAGGTATCCTTAAATGTTAACCTTAGGCATCAGCGCCTATGGGATGATGCCTTGGGGCCCTCTCTAGAGCGCTGGCCCTGCTGTGAAGCTATCCGGCTGAAGTTTCGCCAGCCGGATGCGGACATCGACAGCCCGGAGGACATCGTAGAGCTGGTAACGCTGCAGTTTGCAGACGTATCGCTTGCAGCCAGGCAGCGCATCAGGCGCGTCAAGATAGACTGGCACTTGGGGCGTTATGTGGACATCCAGTTGGCTGTAGCGCAGCTGCCGCTGTGGCTGCCCGCCCTGGAGGAGGTCGACATCTCCGACGCGTCGCCGCTCCTGTACAATGCCCCACGGTGGAAGCAAAAGCTGATGTACCACGCTCTTTCGCACCTGCAGAACCTGGAACTGCTTATGCTGCCAGGGTGTGCAGCGCTGGAGGGTGTGGGCCACCTGGCGGCATGCAGCAGCCTGACAAGCTTAACATTTATCAGTCCGAATCCGGATGCGGTGTTGCCGGCACCCAATCTGACCACTGCTCACATCAGTGAGTTGTCCAAGCTGCAGCACCTGCAGCAGCTGCGCTTAGGCGGTTGCACCCTGCCAGTCGACGAGGAGGCGCACACGTGTGAGACGCTGCAGCTGCTGCTGAGCAGCTTGCCGCCCTCCCTGCGGCACCTGCAGCTGCGGAAATGCTTGATTGACGACTCTGCTCAGACCTTCGACTTCCACCTGGAGGAGGGCCAGCTGCGGCTCGTACAGCTGGATAGTGTCAGCATTGATAGCCTGACAATGCTGGTACTCCTGCGCAGCATCCCACAGCAGCAGCAGAAGCCACGTCTGGTTATCAGCCGACTGTGCGTAGATTATGATGAGCTGCTGTCCGATGAGCAGCTGGCCGGATTGCACGAGGAGACGCTGTGGGAGCACTTTGCAGCTACAGAGGTGAAGGCCATGTTGATCAGTGACGGCTTTGAGGGCTGCCATGAGACCTATGACTGCTATGGGGCTGTGGCTGCAGTGCTTCAGGCGGCGGACCTGCTGGGCCCGCCTCAGGAGTTCCAGTTCGAGTTCGCTTTCGGTGACTTTACGATAACGGTGTCGCCTTCCGGCCCTGCACTGCTGGATGGCGACATGCAGCAGTCGGGTCTGGCGGCGGCAGGTGGCCGGCGGCCGCTGCCCTCAGCGGGTGAGCTGCTGCTGAGTACGATGCGGCGTGCAACGGCAGCAGCGGCTCAGGATGCCGGCGGGTGTGCTGGCAGTGGCTCGTCAGGGGAGCATTTGCTGTGGGTGAGCGGCCCGCTCCTGGATCAGATGCTTGAGGGGGACGAGGGGGGGTGGCCGGGGGAAGCATCGATCGAGCAGTGGATGAACAGGCTGGAGGAGCGCGCGGTGCAGTCGACGGGGGGTGGCAGCGAGCGCTGCGTGGTGTGGTACCAAGAGCTGCCGGCTGCACGGGCAGTGGTGATGCAGTGCGACGAGAAGGCGGCAGCGGAGGCGGTGGAAGCAGCTGTGAAGGAGCTGGCGGTGGAGGCGGGGACGATCGGGGCAGCAGCAGAGGGGCTGGAGGCGGCTGCACCGCTGCAGGTGCTGCGGCTCTGGTCTCGGAAGAAGTCTCGGATGTGTTTCTTCTATTCTGGCTGCGTGCATGACGCCTTGCAAGAGGTGAGTACGTCTACCGGCAAGTCGGGAAGCCAGGTCCTAAAGCAGTCCGCGGCTTCACATGAATGCCATGGTCATGTGCATGCGGACGTGAATGCGGCCGCTGGTATGATTATCAGGGTACCGGTATTGCACCATGCAAACCTGCCACCATGCATGCTGTCAACCTCTCACATGAAGGCCCCACATGCTCATTACCAAGGAACCCAAAACGCTGCGGCACCTCACTGCCCCCTCACCCACCCGCCCACAGGCCATTCAGCATGCGTGGGACGGCGCCTGGGAGCCCAGCGTAGGTAGCATCGGGCAGAGGCGCTTGGGGTGGCTGCTGGCGCTCTTCTACCGGATCTCCCGCCGGCCAGAACCGACGCTGTAATGACGAGTCGTTATGGCGGTTGGTGCACTGGCTGGGGGTGAAGTGGGACGGGATACGACCGGGGTTGGGGTATGTAATGCAGGCGTGGGTTAAGGGGGGTGTCGTGTACAGATGCAGGAAGGCAGCAGGAGGACGTGGGCTGTGTGCGGGCGACGCGTAGGTTTTCGTATAGCAGTGAAGTGCATGCAATAGGTTAATGAGGTTATACTCTTAATAAGTGCCAAATGGCGGGGCAGCAATTGTCGTGCGTCTAGCGTGCTGGAGATAGGTAGCTGTGAAGCTCCCTATTCCTGCTGTGCTGGTGTCGGGTGTGTTACCCTGCGGCGCTGTGTATACGTTTGGGCATGCATGGCAAAGAGTCGCGGATAACACGGGTGTGAGGCTGCAGGCAGGGTTCCTTGCATTCATGTATCATGTTCCTTCGCACCTGTGGAAGGGTGCCCGGGGAATGGGCTTAAGAGCTGTGCGGGTTAGTTGGCTGGATGTTTGCTGGAGTTCACCATGCGTTCAGGGCGTTCCCGTGTTCCATCGGGTCCCCCGCTTTGAGCCCTCGTCCTGCCAGCTGTCTTGGTTGTCAGTACATGCTGGGGTATGTGACACAGTGACACGTGGCAGGTGTCACAAAGACTGAGACGTTAAGCTGTCGGCTTCGCGCCAGGGGCTCCACCCAAAAATGCGCACATGATTGCAAAGCGGGAGGCCAACCCTCTGCATCCTCTTCATTCCCTCCCTCCAGTAAGCCTCGGCTGAACTAGCTGGACGGAAAACACCAAGCCCTGTCTACCTCCTTTCCTTGGTGTCTCGCAGCTAACCGTAAATGCGCTTGTTTACATGCAACGTGTGCCTCCTCCAGTGGCCAGCAAGGATGCACACGGCAGACAGGGTGACTCGCCGTGAAACCCTACCAGTATCAGCCCACTTCCATCTGCACAGTGCACACCGTTTGCAACCCATGTCCCCTTTACCGGTATTCTCATCTTTACTGCGCAGCTGCAAACATGTTGGAAGAGCGTGCGCCGCTGACACCGCCAGACAAGCAAGACATGTGTTTCCCAAGAGCAAGACTCGATGTGGGACAGATGCGATCCTCCTCCCGCCCCTACTCCTCCTGACCTCCTCCCCATCCTCCGCCTCCCTGTTATCGAGGCGTAAGCCGGGGATTCACTCCCTGCCGCCACACCTGCATGGGCCCCTTCCCGCTTGGGTACCCACTACCCGGGCTGCCACCCTGCTCTTCAAGGTAGCGAAAAGGGGCCCATGCGGGTGTGGTGGCGGGGCTTGAATAGGACCCGGGGGCCTGGTGAACGTAAGGATGACAAGGAGCTGGGGAATGAGAGGAGGATGCGAGTGACCAAGACATGGTCCTAGAACCTACACCAAGAATAGCTTCAACAGTAAGGAAGTGCTAGAAAGCGCGTATTTATCTCGGTGCGCTCGCTCGCAGTGCAGCGACTGGGTCTCGCAATTCCAAAACAAGGCTTGCTTCCTTGGCTTGCTTTCAAAACATATATGACATATAGTACAATTGCAATGGACTGCTCACTTGTCGCTTTCGCAACGTGCTCCCTTGTCAGTGGACAGTGGGTGCCCTGTGGGCCTTGTTTCATCTCGTCGTACGATCGCTGTCAGTGTGTTAGGCTCAGCGGCCGCATGGCGCTGGTGTTGTGCGTTGAAGTAACCATATCTGTACGCTCTTTCTCGCCACAACCTCTTGTCAGCTCGAGTCGCGATGGCCTCTCTCGTGCAGCGCCCCGTCCTCGGTGCCCGCGTGGCTGCTCAGCGTCCCCGCGCTGCTGCCCGCAAGTACGTGCTATATACACTGGAGTATAATAGGTTATATGCGTACAGCGCTTTAAGATAAGGCTTTTTGCGTAAGCTGAGTTTGCCAACTGGCGCATTGGTGCGTGCAGGGCAGTGACCGTGCGCGCCAAGTATGGCGAGCAGTCGCGGTTTGTCGACCTGCAGGTTAGTACCAAATAAGTTGGCGCGTTGGCCACGATTTCAAGCAGGCGTGCAGCGCGCATGCTATGCTGCTGCTTAGCAATTAATACGCTATAGCAACGGCATGTGCTACGCGTCGACCAGTGTGCTGAACTTAAACAGTAAAGGACTGGAGTCGTAAGCATCCTTGTTGATTCAGCCTGGTTATGACCCTTAATGCGATGCGCTCAGGACATGGAGAACACCACCGGCGCTTGGGACATGTACGGCGTTGATGACAAGAAGCGTTACCCGGAGAACCAGAGCAAGTTCTTCACCCAGGCCACCGAGATTTTGACCCGCCGGGAGGCCCTGCGCGGCTTTGTGGCCCTGTGTAAGTTGGGGAGGGGCCGGGAAGACGAAGGGAGTGGGTTGTCGGTATGCGCTGGCGAATGAAGGGTAGCGCTATTCCACATTGTTGCACGGCACGGTGCACCCTCTCCCCTAAAACCCCGCTTGTGCCGAGTCCAGCGGGCACTCCAAAAGAGAACTGGGCAGTTTCACCCCACATTGGGAGTTGAGCGTGGGGGATTCCAGCGGAAATGACCTCCCGCTAAGGGAGGCAAAGGCATCAGGAGGGACGATGCTGGCTGGAAGGCGGGTGTTTTGGGCTGCCATGCCGGACACGGGGGGTTGAGGCGGCGTGCGGTGGGTTACGTAGGCGTAACATGGCAGCCTGTTCCATGAAGTGAGAGGGCCGCCCGGGAGGACTTGCTAGAGGGGCTGGTTGGCTCAAGGCAAGGGGAACTCAGTACCGAGCAGCCAGGGTACTCAGTACCGACGGAGCGCATTGTTTGACTGATGACGGGGGTAAACCATGGTTATGCAACGGTTAGTTATGCACGGGCGCTCTTGCTGAAGCGGGCGTGACGCCATGGTAGCCGTGGGGCTTTGGGATCCAGGGTTTTGACACGACATGCGACGCGTGAAGCCCCCTTTCCGCTGCCTGCCTGCCCCCCCCACTAGCCGCTCACTCATTTCCACACTATGCACAGGGCCTGGCCATCACAGGCATGGCAATGCTTCCAGATGCGCCGTCCCTGCACTCTGTCATCCACAATCCCCGCACCCACGCTCTCCCTTCCTCTCACCCTTCCCGCCACACCCCTTTCCTGTACCGCCCCTTCCCGCCCCCCCGGGAAGTCATCGGCTTGTTTGCTATCCTCATTCAACACCTTGGGATTCTTCTTTCTCCCCCACTCCCTCCCCTGCAGCCGGCATCGCCGCCATCGCCACCTTCGGCCTCAAGGGCTCCAAGGACGCGGCGCTGCCCATCACCAAGGGACCCCAGACGGCCGGCGAGAACGGCAAGGGAGGCAACCGCGGCCGCCTGTAAACCACCAGCACCGCTGCTGACCATGAGATGATGAGGTCTGGCATGATGAGAGTCGCTGCCGTACGTGGCTGTAGTGCCATGTACGACGTACGGCTCTCAAGGGCTGTGCATGTGCAGGCGTGGCCGCATGCATGACACGGAGCCCTGCGGTCGTCTGTTGTCCTGGGTGCGTGATGATGTGCGGCTTTAGAAGCGGTGTTGTTGGGGGCCCGGAGACGCGGGTTCTGAGGGATGGAGCGACGCGTGTGTCGGGGTGTGTGTGTGTGTTTGCATGAGGTAGGGGTCGGAGGGGGCTCGGGGGCGGTGTGGTCTCTCTCTCTCTTTTCCCGTGAGGGGGCTGTGTCCTCCCTGTCAGTTGCCCGTGGGTACGGAGTGCAATTGTGAGCTACCACTGTGTAAACTGGAGAAGAAACGTTATTTAGAAGAGTTCGACAAAGTGCATTGGAATACGATTTCGCAGAGGCCAATGCTTTGATGGGTTGCGTGTGGTTGCTCGCCATGAGGCGAGATGAATCGCGGCTGCTGGGTGGGGGGGCGGTGTTGGAGTCGCCCCGAAGGGTGTTAGGGATGCAGATCGCTGTTTAAGGAACTCCAAACGCGACAGGTGTCTTGTTTCTGTCCAACACTTACCAGCTGATCCCTGCAGCCCCAACACCCCACTTGCCGGATAATAAGCAAGACTCAAAAGGCATATACAAATTTGCAACGCTGAAGCAGAATGAGCTGAGAAATACATGTTTAGGGCTGGAGGCAAGTGGGCTTGGCGTGGTTGGGACGCATGCGCTGCCTGTTCCAACTCCCACGTGTGTAACGGCTAACACGCACGGGGACAGGACATGAAACGCTTACTGATGGCGCATACATGGAAGCCAGGTACCGCTTCTGTTTAGATCTCCATTTTGTTGCGATGGGGTGCAGGGTAATGCGAAAAGCTTCCGTTTATCCTGGGAAAAGTGAAATGGTACGACATATGGCACCGGTTTTACGGGCTCGCTGGCCACGATGTAGAGCTCTTGAGCCCATCACCGACGAGAGCTTATCCGCCTAGGTATTTTGTGCATGATGGCTAGCGACGGGCACCTACTTGCCCGCTTCCTCAGGCAGTACGCCTTCGGGAATTGGCCGATAGAAGCCGCCGACCTAATGCAGGAAGCGCATATTGTAACCGCTGTCATTACGTAGGGTAGAGCAGTTGGCAAATTCTTTAATTTTAGCCAGTAACCGGCCTCCATCACCCCCATCGCAATGTTACCTTTCTGGCGCCGTTGGCGATTTCTTGCCCAGAGATGATGGGCCACTTTATCGTGTACTTCATGGTCGGCCTTGGTCCTTGTTGGTGGCTCCTCGGGCAAGAGGCGGGCATTGCCATCATCGGTGACAACGGCAAATCGCAGCGCTGGCGCACTTCTAGGTAGGTATTCGTCGAGAGACGAAGCATGTTGGGCCTATGAAGTGCTGCCTTTCTCGGCGAGCTTGCTGTGTTGCGGCCGTCACATAAGCGGGGGGGATCTCCTACCTCGGCCCGCACGCTGCAAAAGCGTTGCCCCTGAATGAAGCAAAAAGCTCTTATTTTCTAATCCTGATGGTTCCTGTCGCACGTGTCCCAAGAACATTGTTGGTTGGCTGCTGAGCCGCTCGCACATGTCTCCCGCATCCCCACAGGTGCAACTCCCCGGACTTCTCGTCTGTCGCTACCGGTGCCGAGTTCCTATGTAATTGATGACAGCCCTCTGACTCAAAGGTGAGTGTGTGGTTTGGAATACCAAGAGCTAGGAAAGCAGTTGCGAGGGGTGTTGCTGGCAAAATGTGTGTTAGGCTGGGGTTTCAGGCTGCATGCTGCTCCCTACGCGTATACACGCAGCGTACCGCGATCGCATAAGACGGGAAAGATTCAGGACAAAGTGAAAGAGATCTTGCAAAGGGGAGCACGCTATACGTTGCTCATATAGGGGCAGCCAACATGCTTGGCAATATTGATTAATCCAAAGTCGTCCAGGAGGCACCCGTAGTCTCAATAGCAAACGTCTTATTGTCTGCAGACGATACCCAACAACAGCTTCACAGCGTCCTAATATGCGGTATTTATGTGCTCATGTATAACCTGTATCTGCCTGGCATCTCGCCTGTGCTTCCACCACCGTAAAACACACACGACAGTTCTGGTCCTAACTCCCTAAACCTGGTGGTATGTATCAACAAACAAACATGATAAGAAGCTGTACAAGTTACGACCCTGTACCCTGTGCTACGTGCGCCTCAGAAAGCACAGTCCACACATACCCTGAGCGCCCCGCACGCTGGCGCCATGTATACACTAAGCCTGATCTAACTGCTGAACTGACCTAATATGGCAATGTGCATCGTAACGGAACATTGCCCGCCCAACAACTATCACTCTTCGCTCAAAAGGCATCTGCAACTTCCTGTCCCCCACACACAATGACAGGTCAAGTGCGGTCGATGAAGGTCGATAATCGCCGCCAACGAGGGGGGCACTCGTGAGCGGGGAACTTGGTCAGATGCGTCAAGGTGTCTTCAAGGCGCCGTCAGGTATGGTACACATCAACTGGCCTTGCAAGTGTCCGTCGCCCGTCGTCGTAAAACGTAGTAAAGGTCTTGTCCAAGAAGAAGGTAGTCAGTTCGTAGCCTAGAAGGTCTTCGGTCGTTGTCAGGTCTTGTCGGTTGACTGCACATGTCTCAGTGCCAATAGCGGCGATGGATCCTGCGCTGCGCAGGTGGTCAGGCAATTACTGCTAGCTGGACCAACCGGGCGCCGGCGCTGTTGTAAAGCCGGCCTCGTGCAACGAGTTGAAGTCCGCGGGGTTAACGCCGGCCAAGCCATTGAGACCCTGCATCGCCTCTGCCGTCGCGGCGAAGTCTTCGTGCGTTGCTGCGTACGCAGCTGCTGCAGCTGCTTCGTCCTGGTAAGTAGCATCGGGCTGGTTGGCGAAGTTGGCGAAGTTAGCGGCAATGTTAAGGGCCTTGAGCTGATGGTTAAGCGAATTGAGCTGCTTCGGGTTGACCGCGGCCGCAGCCGCTGCTGCGGCCGGCAAGCCATTAGGAAGTTGAAGCCCAGCAATGTTATAGAGAGAAGAAAGCATAGCCGCGTTGCTGACCCCGTTGACTCCGCCGTAAACATCGTAGGTTGGCATCGCCGGCACCTTGGACGAAGCTGCGTTGCCTGGGCTGCCCGCCTGGGCTCCTTGACCTTGGGCGAAGCGTTGCTGTGGATAGTTGCCGTAAGGATTGGGTCCCAACGGTCCTGCTGGAGCGGGCGCGGGCGGCTGGCGAGGGCCGGGACCGGGACCAGGGCTGCGAGGGTTGTAGACCCCGTAGTTGTTGGCTGCTGCGCGTCCGTTAAATGGCCTTCCGTAGTTGCTGTATGGAGGAGGATAGGCAGGGCCAGGCGGTCCATAGGGTGGAGGGCCGGCGAAATTGGGGCCCCGATGCGGACCGGCAGGGTAGCCTTGAGCTGGGCCGCCGCGGTGATGCGGCGGCTGTCCGTAGTAGGTGCTATGCATACGAGGATTAGGAGGCATTTGGTCCCGTGGAACTGCTGCTTTGACCTCAATAGGCTTGTCGGCAATGGTCTGGACCGCGCCATGGCTGAAAACGCGCTCAACAGCGTCCTCCTCGGCGAAAGTGACGAAGCCGAAGCCGCGAGGCCTCTTGTTCTCGTGGTCATACATAACCACTGCATCTTCAACGGTTCCAAAGGTGCTGAAATGGGCTCGCAGCTGCGCTTCGTCCACACTAGGCGCTAGGCCGCCCACGAAAATTTTCTTGGTCCGCTGTGGCACAGAGCCCTGCTGCTTATCCTCCGGCGCCTCCTCTTTGGGCACAGCCTTTTTGGCCTCAACCTGTAGGGCCAAAATAAGTCAACAATATGGCCAGGAAAGGCGCTTAAGTCCGTAACTGCTCGCACCTCTCGCCGGTCAATCATGTGCTTGTTCGCCACCACCTTGTCCGCAACTTCCGGACTCTCAAAGACCACGAAGCCAAAGCCTCTAGGGCGTCCATTGTTGCGGTTGTAAGAAACGAAAGCCTCGCGAACTGACCCAAAGTTCTCAAAGTAGGACCTAAGCTTTTCACCCGTTGTCTCCCAGCTTAGGCCGCCTATGAACACCTTAGCGCTTTGTTTGTCCGTCATTTTTTACCACACATAGTCTATGCGAGTTGGGTCAGCAGGTCCAAACAGTGACAGGACTGCAGTCGGGGAAAAAGGTTTCCCTGGAGCGATCTTGGGTCGGGCCCAAATAACGCCATGGCGTATGCGTGCACCGCAGAGCTGGGTTACAGGTGGACGTAGTTTAACGAATTGCTTTTAATAGGCCTGAGATAATTCCGGCTGCTGTCATACGCAGGTAAGTAGACAAGCATCTATGAGTCCATCCCTGGGCCTGACGCCAAAGACACCGATTCTCACCTAGATTTAAGCCCCTTTGCGTACAATCTATTAATTTAGCTGCAGCTGGCTTCCGGGGTGCGTCGCGCGCTGCTCACTCTTCCCTGCATGCCGTTAACAGTAGCCGGTTGTTAGCTTCCTTAGACGCTAATTGCGGAAAGCGTGCGGCATGCGTATCTATTGGAATAACAATGACCATTAGGCGCACGGCAAGCTTTGGAAACCATACATTCCCTGTTGCCGACGAAAGGCCGACGCCATTACATTAGTAGTTGCCGAGCCGTTTGCCGTTGGGAAGCGCGACAGCGCACACTCAAAGCCCCAAAAACGTATCTTGAGGCACTTCTGCGTTCGATAGATGCTAAGGGCCAAACTGTAGGCACTGCTCACGGCATATGTGCTCTGTACTCGCAGTCGACTCCGCTCGCGAAAACCGCGCGTGGTACGTCCTCCTGTTTACTTACGACTCGTCTTAGCCTGTTGGGAACCTTAATATCACGTCCATGCAGCAGTAACGTAACCAAAACTTACAAACCTGTATCATAATCTAACTGCTGCTTCGTCGCTCGCCACTCCTCTCAACGCACCGAGCTCTAGGTTTCCGCCGCCACGCCCCCCCGCCTAGACAGCCACTGATCCCCCGCAGGGCCATATACCCCGCGTAATTCCAAGCCAACCCACCCACCCCGCTCCTTGCGTTGCAGCCACAACGTCCTGGACTCCTTCTCCCCTTTACCTGCTGCGCACACCCTCGCCTCCCCCTGCCTGCCCCTCCTGCCGGCAACCCTCCAGCCCGTCGTGTCAGGGGTTTCGCTGAACTACCGGTATTGTGATAGGTCCGCGGACATCGGTGGTGCTCAGATGTGCGCTGATGGAGAGGGGGAAAAGAAGGATACCCAATGGGTTGACTGGGAAAGGAGGAGGGAGGAGAGGAATCAACACGGACACCCCTGATGCTACCGGGGCCCTTGATGAGGTAGAGGGCCCCCGGGTGGCTAGTCACGCACCACCCCTCAGGCAACGCAGATGGATGGAATGTAGCTATTAGGTGCTTTGGGTTTGCAGCTGTCAGCTCCCTCACGCGCGGAGCCCCACGGAGGGGCCCCACGGCACAACCAACACACCTCCTTCCTAGCACCTGCGGCCAACCTGCGGCTCCCTTCTCACCCCTCGACACGCAAACACACACCGCACGCAGTCCCTTCCTCCTCCACCTTCTGCACTCAGAGCCACGCCCAACCGGACAACACGAAACACCTCACCGCATCACTCCGCGCTGCGCCCACGCCCCGCCGTACCCCACTGCATCCTCGCGGCTCAGATTACCTAATCCCTCCCCTCCCCGCACACACAGCGCTACGTCAGGCCGCCTCAACCCCCCCACCACCACCCCCCCCACCCCCACCACCACCCCCACCACCACTACCCCTCCCAGTCGACTACACGGGGGGCTGCCAGCGCCACCGCAGGCGCTGCTGCTGCTGCTGCTGACCCGCATCTGCCCCCACCACCCGCAACCTCCACCTCCTCCTCAGCTGCCCTCGCCGCCACCCCCGCTGCTGCACCGCCGCCACCGCCCCCGCGGCCTCCGACTGCCGTACAATGCTCAACAGCTCTCGGTACGATGATCTCAGGTAGGCTGCTACAGCCGCCGCCTCCTGCCGCTGCTCCTCTGCAGTGGCGGTGGCAACAGCGGCAGCGGTGGCCGCAGCAGCTCCGTTGCGCCGGTCGCTGCCCCTGCCGCCACCGCTGGGGTTGCGGCTGCGGATGCCGCTGTTGTTGCCTCCTCCCCTCCTCCTTCCATTCGCCTGAATGACGCCACCGCCACCGTCACCCTCGCTGCCGCCACCGCCGCCGCCACTGCCGGCAGACGCTAGTATGTCGTACTGCCTCCGCAGCAGCGCGGGCACCTGAACCTGTGGGAGTGGTGGGGTGGGGGTGGTGGGGGTGGTGGTGGCGGTGGGAGTGGTGGGAGTGGTGGCGGTTGCGCAGGGGCATGGAGGGTGTCAGGCAACGTGTGAACGGAAGGAGCGGACAGAGGAGGACCCCCGCGACCTCACATCTCGCACCTCGCTAACCCAACGCTCCGCAACCCAAAGCGGCATCACGTACGGCAGCACATGAACGGCAACATGCCAACAGGCGACAACACACAGACTGCAGCAGCGGCAGCCACAGTGAAACCACCCTCTCCCTCCACCCCCTTTCAGCCCTCCCTCCCTCCCCCTGCCTCCCCCTCCCTCCCTCTCACCCTCAGCTCCCGCATCAGACTGCCCGGCAGCCTGACCTGCCCCGCCCCGCTGCTGCTGCCGGCGGAGGCGGGTGAGGTGAGTGAGTAGGAGGAGGAGGGCGGTCCCCCCAGCAGTGCTGCTAGCCCACTCAGCGCCTGGGCCGCATCCCGGGGGGAGGCGTACGGCAGCTGGGTGCGCAGACAGCGAGCGGCCCTGGGGGGGGGAGAGGGGAGGAGGAAGGGGGAGGGAGGGAAGGAACAGGGCCAGGTCGGTGACGATGAAAGGGCGGGGAAGGGAGGGACGGACGGAGGGAGGGATGGTGGGGTTGGCAACGGTGGGCAGGGGGATGGAAGTGGATAGGAGGAGGTGAGCATGCGCCGCTCCCCACCCCAACTCGTCTTCCCCCTCCCCCACCCCTCCTCACCTGTGCAACCACCCCGGGGGCGGCGCTGCCTCCAGCCGAGCTAGGCCCTGCAGCAGCGCCGCCAGGTCTCGGCAGCGGAAGGCGGGCAGGCGGGGGGCTGCATGGGGGCAGGGGGGAGGCAGGGGGGAGGCGCGGGGCGGGGAGGGTATTGTTGAGGGGGGGTTAGGTGATGTTGGGTGAAGCCGGGTGCTAAGCTCTCTATCATGACGCCATGAGGGGCGGAGCGTAAGGAGGCTGCCCAGGGGACTTAGCGAGGCCATCTCACCAACAAAATACCCCCTAGGGCCCCTACCCCCCCCCCCCCGACTGCCAACTCCTACCCCCATTGTTTTGCCCTAACTTGTGGTCTCCTATGGTTTGGTATGGTCTTTGACCCCCCCCCCCGACCCACCCACTCCCCACCTGTCCAACGGATCAGCTGCCGCATCCACCTGCCCCCGGGCCGCGCCTCCAGCCGCCCCAGCCCCCCCACCACCGCCGCCACGTCAGCGGGACGTAACACGGAGTAGTGCCAGGATACACCCCGGCTGCTGCTGGGGTTGCTGGGGCTGCTGGGGCTGCTGGGGCTGCTGGGGTTGCTGGGGCTGCTGGGGTTGCTGCTGCCGGCCTGCTGCTGCAGGTGTTGCTGCCGTACGCCCCCGTGTCTTGGCGACGTCATGGAAAGATAGCAGAGCCTGTGGGGGCCCGGGGGGTGGGCGGCGGGGGCCCGGGGGGCGGGTTATTGCAGCATGTGGCTGGATTGCAGCAGCCGTGGCGATTGACTTGCAGTGGGGGGAGCACACACAGCGGGGGGAGCAGCAGCTTGCAATAAGACAGGACGCAGCAGCAGCAGCAGCAGCGGCGCTCCATGTGTAGGAGGGAGCCCCTGCACGAACCGGCTAAACAGTACCAGTCTGCCTCTCCACCTCTTACTCCCGCACTCCCTCCCGCAAGATGTATTTCCGCCCCCCTCCACTCCCCCCCACCCCTCTCCCCTCCTCACCCCAGCAACCTCCTGATCAGGCAACGCGGGGGGCGGTAGTACATCTTGCTGTACGGCGCTCTCGGGGTCATTTGCCCGTACGACCAAATCAGTTGCGCCACCTGCCGCATGTCGTACGCCGGCAGTGCGCTCACTGGCCCCCTCTGCTGCTGTGGGTGCTTCTGTGGGTGCTGCTGCTGCTGCTGCTTGCTTTCCATCCCCTGCTGCCGCTCCTGCTTCAACCGCTCCTGCTGCTGTTGCTTCCCTTTTACCCCCTTCACCCCCTGCTGCCCCTGCCCCTGCTGCCCCGCTGCTGCCGCCGCCCCCATAATCCTGCCGGTGGCTGCAGCCAGCCAGGAGGCGGGCGGGCGCAGGCGCAGGCGGGCCAGACTGGCCAGCAGCAGCGGCAGGGACTGGGGAGGGGGGGGGGGAAGAGGGGAGAGGGAGGGAGGAAGGGGTAAGACAAGGTAGGCGGTCGGCTGGAAAGGTGCAGCAGCAGCAGTAGCAGGGTAGCATCCCATGATTCCCATCGCACCCGCCATCCCGCAGCGGACAACGGCGCCCCACCTCGTTCCCTTTCACCCCTCCCCCCCATGTCTCCCCCCCAACCCTCTCACCCCCCCCCCTTCACCACCCACCTGCAGCGGTAGCTCCCCCAGCCTCCACCACAGCACCCGCACCAACACCTCCGCACCCTCGGGACTCAGACGCGGAGGCACTCCTCCCCCTCCCCCTCCTCCCCCTCCCGCTGCCACCACCTCAGCCAGCTCCCCCAGCGCCGCCAGCCCCCACACCAGCGCAGCGGGGGACATGCACCCCGCCGCAGCCAGCACACCGCCGTACAGTCTCCGTACGACATGGGGAGCCACGTAGCGCTGACCCGCTAGCAGGCGGGATACGGCAGATGCGGCGTACGACACCTCGTTGGGAGTTAGGAGGTGGTTGGGGAGTTGGCGGTTGGCATTGGGAGTAGTGCTGTTGTACGGCAGTGGGGATTGTTGTTGGGAAGGAGGAGGACAGGGAGGAGCAGGAGGAGGGGCTAGGGTTGGAGGGAAGTAGGGATGCGGTTGCATGGCGGCAGGAGCAGCAGTAGTCGCAGTAGCACCAGCAGCAGCTGGGAAGGAGGAGGAGGGGAAGGGAGGAGTTGTGTGACCGTTACCGCTGCGGGGCATGGCGGCGGTGTACAGCAGGGGTGATGCCGGAGGTGGCTGCCGGCGCTGCCCGGGGTGTATTAGCCGCTGGGTGCGGTTCCGGGTGCTGGAGGCGACTGCTGCCACTGCTGCTGCTGCTGCTGCTCTTCCCGCTGTCCCTTCCTCTCCTGCTGTCCCTGCTCCTGCCGCCCCTCCTCGCGCGGGTGTCATGCCCGCTGCCGCCGCCTCCACCTGCAGCGACAGCGCGTGCAGCAGCGACGACTGCAGCACCGACAGCCCCGGGGCCGCGGAATGTGAAAGGGAGGTCAAGGGAGGTCAAGGGAGGTAGGTGAGGAGGGGGAGGTAAAGGGAGGTACCAGGTAAAGGGGGCAAGGAACACGATGCATGCATGGGGAAACAGAAGTTTGTGTAAGAAAACTGGCCGCGAGTAGGAACGTAGAAGTGTGTGTGTGGGGTGGCGGGGGGGCAGCGGGGGCGGGCGGGATAGCGGTACAGAGCTAAAGCGACACTATGGTAACCCCAACCACATCTCCCCCAGAGCGAGAAGCATCCCTCCCCCTCTCTCCCCCTCCCGCTCCAACCTCACCACGAATGCGGGCCCCAGAGCTGCTGGGCGGTCGAAGCTGACCTCCACCGCCAACCGCAGCGGCAGGGAAGCGGTGGTGGCAGCGGTGGCGGCAGTCGCACCTCCACCTGCCCCACCCCTGCCCTCGCCCCACCCCTCCTGCCCCAGTAGCTCCAATCGTGCCACACATGCGGCCTCCCAAGCAGCCCAGGCGGAGGCGGTGGGGGACAGGCAGGAGGAGGGGCAGGAGGCGGAGGAGGGGGAAGAGGTGGGGGAAGAGGTGGGGCAGGCGGCGGCGGGATTCGCAGCGGTGGTGGAAGACAAGTGCGTGGTCCCCCCTTCCAGCGGGGGTGTCGGGGTGGGGGTGCGGTCAGGTGGGCTCCCCGGGAAGAGTCGCCGAGCGGTCCGCAGCGGCCGCAGCGCCTGGAGCAACCAGCATGGGTCGCATACACATGCGGGTTGAAGGGGTTTGGGTTGGGGGAAAAGGAGAGGTGAAGACCGCGCTGGTTGGCTGGAGGAGTTAGTCAGGGGCGAGCGGACACCCCGTCAAACCCGGTCAAACAACACGAGCAAACAGGAGGTGGCAGGCATGAGAGGTACGTCAGTTGGGTTAACAAGCAGCGCGCAGGGGGGGGGGGCGCCCCCGCCCCCGCACACGCATGTCGGTGCATGCAACCCCGGGGGCCCCACCGGACCGGGGCCGCCCCCCGGTGCCGCAGAGCTGCCTGGGAGCAGCTCCTCCCGCCCCTTCCCTCCCCCTCCATCTCTCCCTCCCTCTTCTCCCCACGGCGACGCCTTGTCACATAGCTCATTAGTTGGCTCGTCAGGGAGCAGCTCCGCCCGCCCCTTCCCTCCATCCCCCCTCCCCCTCTCACCTCAATCAGGTCCGCGGCAGTACAGCCCGGCGAGGCGAGCCAGGCGGTCAGGGGCGACAGGCAGGCGCATAGAGCGGCCGAGTAGGGGTTCCCCGTGTAGGGAAGCTGCTCCTGCTGCTGCTGCTGCTCCTCTGCCACTCCTGCCCCTGCCCCTTCCCTAAGGGCCTGCTGCTGCTCCTCCTCCGCATCCTTAGCGGCGCTGTTCGCCTGCCGCGCAGCCAGACGTGCCAGACAGGTGAAGAGCCGCAGCAGCAGCCGGGGGTCAGCAGCGGCAGCGACAGGGGGAGGAGCAGGGGCAGGAGGAGCAGGGCTGCTGTTGACCCGCAGTGCACCGCTGTCACCACCAACACTGCTGCCCTGCATGCCGTTGCCGCAACCACCGCTGCCGCCACCGCCACCGCTACCGCTGCCCTCCTCTATCCCCCGCAACCGCCCCACCAGCAGGTCACACAGTCGGGCGGCCAGGGGGGCGGGTAGCTGAGGGGGGCGGAGAGGAGGAGCGGGAGGAAGTGCGGTAGGGCCCTCCGAGGTGGTGGAGGCAGGTGAGGCAGACGAGAAGAAGGCGGGTGGTGGTGGTGGTGGTGGTGTGGTGAGGAGGGCGAGGGCGTCCGCCAGCAGAGGCAGCGGCGGGGGCGGGCGGCTGGGGGGTCGCTGCAGGAGAGCCTGGAGGGGTGGGGGAGAGGGTGGGTAGGGGGCAGGGTTAGGTTGGGTTTGGCGGTGAGGGTGGATGCGGAGTGGCCTGGCTGAAGGGGTGAGCCGTGAGGCACATCTGTGGAGGGTGGGGGGTGAGGCAACCCCGGCATGCAAGCGACCGCCACGGTAACCGCCAACCGGTGCAACCGGTGCAGCCGCCAACCGCCAACCGGTGCAACCGGTGCAGCCGCCAACCGCCAACCGGTGCAACCGGTGCAGCCGCCAACCGCCAACCGGTGCAACCGGTGCAGCCGCCAACCGCCAACCGGTGCAACCGGTGCAGCCGCCAACCGCCAACCGGTGCAACCACATAGCGCACACCACTCCAATAGAGGAAGGCAACAGCAACAAGGCAGGAAGCAACCCCGGCAGCAGCAGCAGCAGGAACGGGAACAGCAGCATCCCACATCCCCAGTCCGCACAGCTCAGCTCACCTGGATCAGCTGCACTCGCACGTCCGTGCTTGCCCCGACCGCCCCCTGCTCCTTTTCCGCCTCTTCCTTTTCCGTCTCTGTCTCCTCCGCCTCCTCCTCCCCCTCATCATCACCTTCTGCCTGTGCCCCTTCCGCCTCCTGAAGGCGAGGTGTATCGTCCGGGCTGTGCGGTGCTGCTGCTGCTGCTGCTGCTGCTGACGACAACGACAACGCCGCAGGAGCAGGAGCAGGAGGGGAAGCAGGCAGCAGCAGCAGTGCGCGCATGAGGGTGGAGAGGTGCGAGTCGGGAAGGCGGGGCAGCACACCGGCTCGGCTGAGCTCCTGCGGGGGGATTGGGAGCAGGGGAGAGGAAGGGGGACGTGGTGAGGGTGCGGGGGAGGAGGAGGAGAGGAGGCGTCAGCAGCAGCCCCCACTAGGACTGTGTCACCACCGCCCTATCCGGCAGTCACCCGCGCCCACCCCCAGCACCCCCACCCGTCCCCAGTGCACCCACCTGCACCACCGCCGCTGCGAGGCCCCGCACGCGCCCAGCCTCCTCCTGCCCCCGCTGCCGCCCCTGCTGCTGCCCCCTCCCCTGCTGCTGCCCCCTCCCCTGCTGCTGCCCCCGCCGCTCCTCCTCCCGGTGAAGCCCCAGTGCCAGATACAACCGCAGCAGCTCCACCCGAGCAGCAGCAGCCTCCAGCACCTCCTCCTCCTCCTCCTCCGCAGCAGCAGCAGCCCTCCTGTCCACCGCCTCTTCCCCGCCTCCTACACCGCCCCCCATATACCGCTGCTCTTGTCGCAGCGGCAACAGCAGTTGTCGCTCCACCGCTGCCGCCACCGCTGGCCGCCAGAAGCGAGGCGGCGCCAGTAGGGGGTGCCCGGAGGGCGGGGAGGCGCCCGAGGGGAAGCAGCCGCTGAGGCTGCTGCTGGTGCCGCTGCATGCATCTCCGTCCCCTCCTCCTCCCCCTCCTCCTCCCCCTCCTCCCCCTCCTCCCCCTCCTCCCCCTCCTCCCCATGACGGTTGCTGCCAGCATGCATGTTGGGAGATGTACGGCAAGCGCTCAGCCAGCTGCAACAACTCCACCAGCGCTCCGAGACCAGCCCCACATCCCCCACCCGGAACCCCACCGCCTGTCTCGCCTGCTGCTCCTAACCCGCCCGCGCCTACCGCCCCCACCCCCACTGCATGCTGCTCGCTTGCTGCCCCCACTCCTGCCGCCCATCCCTCCGCTGCTGCTGCTGCTTCCGCCGTGGCCCGCCACCACCACCGCAACCATGCATGCGGCAGGGGGGAGGCCAGCGAGGGGTCGCCAGCACCCTCCCTGGCTTGCTGCTGCGCCCCTCCCTGCTGCTGCACCCGTCCCTGCTGCTGCTGAGGCAACTGCTGCGGCGGTGGGGGCGGTCCCCTGTGTGCAGCAGCGGGCCCCTCCACCACCCCCACCCCCTCCACCCCCTCCACCACCCCCACCCCCTCCACCACCCCCAGCCCCAGCCCCAGCCCCAGCCAGGCTCCCCCCGGGTAGAGCCGCTGCAGGGCCCGCATGACAGCACACAGCTGCGGCAGTTGGAGAGCGGGGGACTGCTGATGGTGGTGGTGGTGGTGGTGGTGGTGGTGGTGGCGGTGAGTTGAGGTGCTGTGGTACGGTGGGAGGCGCGGTGGGAGACGCTTGGCCGGGGAGGCAGCGGCGGTGGTGGTGGTGGCGGTTCCGACCATGAAGCCATGCAGCCAGGAGGTGGAGGGCCAGCAGCAGGAGGAGGAGGAGGAGGAGGAGGAGGAGGAAGGGGGTGTGGGTGTTACAGGGGTCGAGGTTGAGCTGCAGGAGGAGGAGGAGTCGGTCGGCCACAACGCCGAGGGGGGGCCACGTGAGGGCGGGGAGGGGGCGGTGCCGCAGGGCGGAGAGCGACGACGGGGCGGCGGCGGTTGGAGCGACGACGAGGGCGACGGTGGTTGCGGCAAGGGCGGTTGCAGCAGCAGCAACGACACGTGCTGTGGGTGCTGTTGCTGCTGTTCATGACGACGATGGGGGTCGTGATGCGGCGGCTGCTGTGGTACCGCTGGTGGCATTGGCCCCGCTGCTGGTGGCAGAGGTGGTGCAGGCGGTGGTGGTTGCCATGACGGCGCGGGTGCTGGCCGCTGCTGGCACGCAGCTGACCCCGCCTCCCCCTCCCCCGACCCCTCCCGCAGCTCCGCGAGCCCCCCCGCCACCTCACACCAGGCCCCGGGGGACAGCAGGTCGGGGCGGGAGGGCAGGCAGGCGGCGGCAGCAGCAGCAGGAGGGGTGCCACCAACACTTGCACCAGCAGTAGCGGCAGCAGCAGCACCAGCAGCAGCAGGGGCAGCTGCAGGGTGGGTGCATCCCGTCAGCCACTCCAACAAAGCTAGCGCAGCTGGGGAGAGCGGCGGCGGTGGTGGTGGTGAGGATACGGATGGCGACGACGAAAGACACGAGGAGGAGGAGGAGGAGGAGCAGCCCGCAGGAGAAGAGCTTCGCCACGTCCCGTCTCGCGCCGGCTTCACCCGCTCCGCCTCCCTGCCGGCCTCCGCCTCCGCCCCAGCACCCGTCTTCCCCGCCGCGACCTCCTCCACCAGCCCAGGAAGGGCCACCTCCAGCAGCAGCCGCTGCAACACCTCTCCCGCACCCAGCACCCGCAGCGGCCCGCCGCGCGACTGAGTCGCTAGCAACCGCCCCAGCTGGCGTGTCAGGTCGTACAAGCCGCCGCCGTCGTTGAGGTTGTGGTTGTTGAGGTGGTTGTGGTTGTCGTTGTTACAGCAGCTGTTGTCGCCGTTGCTAATGCCGTGCCCCTCGTCGCTACCCCCGCCGCCGCCAGCACCGCCGCCGCAAGGCGTGTGAAGGTGGCGTGGACGCGGGTGTTGCCGGGCGAGGCGGCGGCGGCGGCAGAGGAGGAGGTACGACACGTCCCGCTGCAACAGCAGCAGCAGCGCCCGTGCGGCGAGTGGGGTCGGTCGCCAGCCGGCGTCGGCGGCGGCTCCCAGCACACGAGCCCATTGCGCCGCCGTCAGCCGAGTCGTCGTCGTCGCCGCCGGCGGCGGCGGAGATGCGTGGGGGGGCAGTCGCGATGATGACGTCATCGCGACCGCCGCCTCCGCCGCCATTGACACTCCCGCATCGCTTATTCCGCTAACATCGCCGCTGCTGTCGTTGCCGTCGTCGCCGCCGCCAGCAGCACTACCAGCACCGCAGATGCCGTACAGCGCACGTACGGCTCCGGCGGCCCGGCGCACTCGCAGCTCAAATCCCGTGATGAAGCGTACGGCAGCCCACGGCGGCGGCGGCGGCGGTGCTGCCGCTGTCGCCGCTGCCGCTGCCGCCGCCAGTGCCTGTGGTGGGGATGTCGCCGCTGCCGCGGACGACGACGAAGGCAGTGGTGACGAGGGCGAAGGAGCGGCGGCGGTGGTAGCATGCTGGCCGGTCACCTCACCTCGCGACGACCGTTGCTCTTCCGCCGCTGCCGCCGCCGCTGCTGCCGCCGCTACCTCTCCCTCGCAGTACGACAGGAGCTTCGCAAGGGCCGCCGCCACCTTCCTCTCCGCCGCCGCTGCTGAGGCACCAGCAGCAGCAGGGCCACCGCCGGCGCCTCCGCTACCTCCGCTGCGCGCGTCACGCCTAGCAGCGAAGCGGGGCAGTCGGGGTCGCTGCGTTGTCTTCTGAGGCTCCTCTTGCTGCTGCCGTACCTGCTGCTGCTCCTGCCGCTGTTCCCAGCCCCCAGGGAAACTCCGCCGTGACGACTGCCGCCGCTGCTGCTCCTGCTCTTGCTGTCTTTGCGGCGGGGGATGTTTACCCTCGCCCCTCTTTAAGCGGTGTGGTTGCTGCTGCAGCTGACTTAGTGCAGGCGCCGTACCCGCTGCTGCTGATGCTGCATTTGCTGCTGCAGCTGCTGCCACGTATGGCCGCAATGACGACGAGGACAGCAGCGTTGACGGCCGTGCTGTTGGTACTGCTACAGCTGCTGCAACCTCAAGCCGGTGAGGTACAGCTGCTTGTAGCTGTGCGGCAGCTGCTTGCCGGCGGCAGCGGGAGCAGCAGCAGCGGCAGTAGCAATGGTTGCTGGAATGAAGGGGAGGAAGCGGTGTGGGAGGAGGGATGGCTGTAGCAGGTGATGGGTGGGGTGCGGAGTAGAGGGGGCAGTGGAAAGCGGCCTGCGGGATGGGGGAGGGTTGGCAGAAGGGGCAAGGGAATGGGTTAGGGGGGAGGGGGCAGATCTGTGGATGGCTGGGCTGCAGGGGGGAGACGTCTGTAGTTCCGGGAAAAGGACTTGGAACAGATAAAGTGGAAGGCCTAGCGCGATCATGGAAACAAGAGGCTGTCAGCACATGAGCGAACGGGCGTATGGTAATGCTTTTCGAGTTCGCGATCGTGCGCAACAAGAATTAGGCGTGGAATCGGGGGTGGCTTCAGGCCATGGCGCCGAGTGGAGGTCTACGGTAAGATTAGCCGTCCAACAGTATTCAATTATGTGTATTGAAGTCATTGATTGGGTGTAGGGTCAAGGTTGGATGCCAAGACGCATATGTATGCGGTCAGAAACGACACAATGCTTGCCATGTTGGCGGCTCAGCTCCAAGCGTCCTGGCTCACAGCCTCCAACCACGAGGACGTTCGTGTCCGTTTAGCGTAAGACCACATTGTCGGGATTGGCCGATGCTAAAGTCCAATACGTCATTCCTGGTCTACGGACGAATTGTTTTGCAGCATGTAGAGGCTGCAACAGTTCCATTTAATTAGCACAGGTGACACAAAAGCTGCTATCATCAAACTAGCAAGCTGCTTCGCCAACTGCCTACTAGCGCTTTGTACGAGTCGCCAACCGCGCACCAAGGCGATTGTCACGATGGCCCCCATTAGACGCGGAAATGTAAACCTGATAACCACGAATATGCGTGTACGTTTATGGTCCCATCTTGTCAACGAGCAAACTACTTAATGCCTGGACTTGGCCATACAGCCGCTTTGCTACCAGCTTGGCATGGATAATAATTACCAGAAAACAAAAGGTAAATAACGTCTCCTTGAAACACCATAGCGCGAATGTTAGCATACGACGACTCGCCAAACTTGACTAGCCTACGCAGTATGTACGCAAGGACACCCGGCGAAACAGGGCGAAGGAGCAGTAGCGTATAGTGAATAGCATAGATTGGAGGTCGGGCAAAAGCGACAAAGCGGATGGAGGGCAGCGTTGAAGTCAGTGTCAAGCAACGAACCCTACCGGACTATTCCAAGGTAGGTTCGGCCGCATCAACAGCACACAGATCATGATTTTACAGCGTATTTCTGCTTAAGAAGGGGGCTGCCGGCGTGTGACGTTGTCCATCCGCGCCCCAACCTGACACTTCCGCTGGTTCATTATGCGAACAGAGGATTGCGGAACGTTCACCATCATCCAGAGTTCGTGAGGGTCCGGACCTTACTAGCATTCTCGCAGATGCGTCCTCGGTCGGTAAGTCACACTTTTCCCATTGTAGATAGTCGTCCATCGCTCCTTAAATCCCTCTAACCTACTACAAATCTCCTCCCTGCATTACCCTTGCCTACAGACGAGTCTCCTCGGCCGTCATATCAGACCCTTTTCCCTCCTGACGCCTCCTCATCGCCTGGCGGCATCCCTCACAACGCCTCCATGTCCACCACCACAGCCTTCCAAACCTCAGACCCACCGCCCTCATCACCACTTAGCCCCGCCCATCTGCCGTCAACAACAGCACAACAAGCAGCCAGTCCCCCAGGATTCCTGGGCGAACCGCCCTCGTCGCCATCTCCAACAACCTCCATGGCTCACCCATTCCCACCACCCGCCAACCCACTAATCCTATCTACCACATCGCCGCCACTGTCCCCAGCGCCACCCCAACCGCAACCATACGACTCCCCTCAGCGGCAGGTACGGCAGCAGGGGCCGCCGCAGCAGCTGCAGCAGCAGGGGCAGCAGCTCTGGCGTATGCTCTCCCACCAGGGCTCCCGACAGCAGCGCCAACCACCACCACAACAGCAACAACAACTGCCGCCGCATCAGCCTGCTCCCGCCACCACCAACAACAGCAGCGCCAGCACAACCTCCCCCTGCGCACCCGCACCCTCACCCTCCCAATCCAACCTCCCCTCCTCCCACCGCCACCGCCGCCACCATCGTCACCGACACCGACCAACACAGCAAACCCCCGCACCCGCACCCGCACCACCGCCCTGCACTCCACTGCCCTCCCCGCCTCGCGCCGCCACTGCTACCGCTGCCACTGCTGCGGGTCGTGCGGCGGGGGTGGCGGCCCGCTGGCCGGGTGCTCGCCTGCTGCGGGGGGGCGATGGGGCGGGAGGGGGCGATGGAGGGGGCGGGGGCAGGGGGGGCGGTGGGGCGGGAGGCGGAGGGGGGCGGGGGGATCTGCCGCGGAGTGCCACTGGGAGGCTGTGGGGCGCCATGCGGGGCAAGGGGGCGCAGGTGGGGCGGTAGGGGTGGGAGGAGGGAGGGGAAGCGGGCTGTGTAGGATGGGAGCGTGGGGGAAGAGGGGGTGGAGCTAGGAGGGGTGTGTGGGGTAGGGGCCGGGGGGCTGTGGGGCAGAGGTGGGGTGGGTGGGCAGCAGCAACACGTGAGGAAAGCGGTTGGAGGGGAGGGGTACGCCCGCGCGTACCGAATGAACTGCAGTGGCTGCCCGTACCCGCCCTGCTTCTGCACCCTGCCGCCCAGCTGGGGACCGCTTCACTCGGCCCACCCACACGCCCCGCCCCCCTTCACCCCCTGCTTTACCCCCGTGCAGGTTGCCCCCTCGCTGAGCCGGCTGGCCTCATCCCTCAAGCACGAGCTAGACGAGCGGGAGCAGGGATTGGGTGAGGGGGTGGGTGTGGGGGATAACAATGAACTGGCCCCACTCTGCCTGTGCATGTGCATGGCAGCCCCCTTCTCCCCTGGGTGGGGTTTCCGTGGTGTTGGATCGGGTTACTGGGCGGGTTGGTCCACTGGCGGCAGCGCGGGTGCCTTCATTACCCTCCCCTCCCCAACCCCCTCATTCTTTCCCCCGCTACCCCTCCTGCTCGCTCCGTCCTCACAGCCCTGCTGTCCCCCGCCACTCGCGCCTGGTTGCACATCACCCAGTACGGCACCCCGCTACCCCGGGAGGGGGCGGGCGGGGAGGGGGGAGGAGCGGGGAAGTCGCAGCAGGGGGAAGGCGGGGGGAGGGGGCAGCTGGAGCAGGGGGAAGGGGAGGGAGCGGGGGAGAAGGGGTACGGCACGGCGGGGGCGGCGGGGTCAGAGGAGGGAGGGGGCGGCACCGGGGGGAGGCAGCAACGCGCCAGCGGCAGCGGAGCGGTCAAGTGGAAGGACGAGGCGGGGACGGGAGGAGACGGAGCAGAAGGAGGGGGAGCAGGAGGGGGAGGAGGGGCGGCGGCAGGAGCAGGGGGAGGCGGGCGGCGACTGGCCCACTGGCGGCCCATGTGAGTCCTGCAGAGGGGGCAGGCACCTGACCTGCCTTGCTTGCTTGCCTGCACGAGCTGCGTCGTTTGCTTGCCTTGCATGCATGCATGCCTGTATGTCTGTCCAATGCAGCCAGGTTTGGGAGCGGGAGGCGGGGGGGGAGTGTCAGGCTGTTGGTGTTGACTTGTCGTTAGGCCGCCCCGCCCTTCCAAACCCCCCATCCTGACCCCCCACCTCGCCCCCCCCCACCCTCCTCCCTCCCCCAGCCTCTCCCACATGCGTCAGGCGGTGTGGACCGCCATGTCGGACCCCGAGTCCTCGCGCACCGCATTCGCCATATCGCTGCTGGTGAGGACGTGTGCGTCAGGACATGTGTGTTTTGGGGGGGTTAGATGAACCGTGAGCCGTGGGGAAACACTGACCGTGGCCGTGAGGGGGGGTGGGTTAGGGGTAGTGAAGAGGCGCTGTGGCGCACTGCTTCTGGGAGGATGAGGGCTACTTGTGTAGGCGGCGGCTGGACGCGTGGTTTCCTATGGTTCGTTATGGTCCCTTCACCCCCCCAACTCTTTCTCCCCCCCCTCCCCCTCCCCCCTCCCCTCCCCCCCAGATCATGTGCTCCATCCTGCTCTCCACGCTGGCCTTCTGTCTGGACACCGTGCCCGCCTACAGCCGCGAGCGCCACCCCGCAGCCTCGCGCGTGTTCAGAGTGGTGGAGGCGGTCACGGTGCAGGTGTTTGCAGCGGACTATCTGGTCAGGTGTGGGGGGGGGGAGCCAAATGAGAACATAACCAGAACCATGGGAAACCACGTGTTAGGGCAGCGGCAGGGTGCCGCAATGCAGAGTGTTGGTGTGGAGGGGGAGGGTGGCCGCCGGTAGGGGCACACACACGGTCACTGTACCGGTGTGTGTTAAAATAACTGTGTGTGTGTGTGTGTGTGTGTTTGGGGCCGGGAGTGGGGTGCTTGGAGGCTTGGAGGAAAAGGTGCAAGAGGGGGACAAACCCCTGTAGTCACCCGCCTGCCTTTCCTGATCGCCTCCTGACCTCCCGCCCCCTCTCCCCCCCCTCCCTCCCAACCCCCCCCCTCCCTCCCCCCCCAGGCTGCTGACCTGCCCCCGCCGTCTTCCCTTCCTGGTGTCGCCCCTCAACGTGGTGGACCTGGTGTCGGTGGCGCCCTGGTACATCCAGACGGGGCTGCAGGACAGCGGCATGGAGGTGCGGGATAGGGGGGGGGGAGGGAAGGGGGGGAGGGAAGGGGGGGAGGGAGGGGGGGTAAAGAGGAAGCAACTAACTGACTGAGGGATAAGGCGTCAACATGGGTTGCAACATGTGAGCCAGCCCGACCTGCCCAGCCCGAATTAGCCAAGCCAGTACGTGTAATGCACTTACCAATAAATGAAGGCTTACCGAAGCCAGAGCAAACAGGGAGGGGGGGGAGGGGAGGGAGGTGCTGCTGTTCCGGATCACCGGCTCCCTGCATGCATGCATCTGCATCCTAACCTTGAATGCAGCCTGCCGTGCATGCGCCCTCCTCCTCCTCCTCCCCCTGGCAGTGAATCCCTCCTCACCTCCCACGTCGCACCCCTGCCCCTTCTTTCCACCTGCCCGCCCCCCCTCCACCCCCCGGGCCCCCCTCAGGGCACGACTGTGTTCCGGGTGCTGCGACTGCTGCGGGTCTTCCGGGTGCTCAAGCTGGGGGCCAGGTGGGGGGTCACAGAGCACACACCATACCATAGGAAACCATAGGTTAGGGCAAAGCAAAGAGGGACAGGAGGGGGGGGATAGTGACTGCCCACCGCCCGCCGCCCAGCATCTCCCGCCTTGCCCCATGGAACCCCCCCACCTGCTCCGCCCGCCGCCCTCCGCAAACCCTGCCCTACCCAGCCCTCAACCCCTCCCTCCCCCTCAGGTACCGCAAGCTGATGGTGGTGTGGGCGGCGCTGTCGCAGTCGCTGGACGTGCTGGTGCTGATGGCGTTCCTGGTGGCCATCATCGTGGTGGGGGCAGCCAGTCTGGCGTACTGGGCGGAGAGGGGTGAGGGGGGGAGGGGGAGGGAGGGGGCGGCAAGTCTGGCGTACTGGGCGGAGAGGGGTGAGGGTGGGAGGGGTAAGGGGGTGAGGGAGGGGGTGAAGAACAACAGGAAGAACAGCCGGGGGTAGGGGAGGAGCAGCTGCAGGCTGCATATGACCCCTCCATGTGTAGCCATTCCCCTGTCTGGAACTGTCACCCCGGGCTGCTGCTACCGGTGTCAACCCGGTAAATCAATTTGCATGTCCCCCCCCCCACCCGCCCCACCCCCCTCCAGGCACGTACGACGAGTCAGCGCAGGCCTGGGTGCGCTACGTGGGCCCCGAGGGAGAGGCGGTGGTCAGCCCCTTCGAGAGCATCCCCGCGGGCTTTTGGTGAGGGGGGGGCGGGTGGTGGGGGGGGCAGGCTGGGGTCATGAGGTGGGGCTGGGGGACGTGTCTCCGCATGGCTCCTTAGCGCCCTGACCTGACCTGACCTGACCTGTCTTCAGCTCTTCACCGCCCTGATCCCCTCTTCCCCCTCCCCCCTCCCCAAACGCATGGATTCCCTCCCCTCCCTTCCCCCCCAGGTGGGCCATGGTGTCCCTCATGACGGTGGGCTACGGGGATGTGGTGCCGCTGACGCTGGGGGGGCGGCTGGTGGGCATGGCCACCATGCTGTGCGGTGAGGGGGACGAGGGGAGAGGCGCGGGGCGGGAGCCTGTGTGGGGGAGGAAGGGTGAAGGGTGAAGGAAGCCGCGCAACAAGCACCCTGTGCTCGCCCCAACTCCTATCTCCCTGGTCCTCCATTACATAGTGCTGGCTTGGCTTATTCGGGCTGGGCGGGTCGGGCGGGTCGTGGTGGCTCACGCGTTGCAAACCATGATGACACGCCTTAAACACACGGCTCGTCACCCTCTTTACCCTCCCAGGCCTGCTATGGTCTTTGAACCCCCTTCCCCTCCCCTCCTCCTCCCCCTCCCTCCTAAAATCCGGCCTAATGCGGAACATGTATCCCTATTAATCCCCCTCCCTCCCTCCTCCCAGGTCTGCTCGCTATCGCGCTGCCAGTGGCTGTCATGGGAACCAACTTCAGTGCCGAATGGGCCGCATACAGCCGCAAAAACAGGGCCAAGCGCCGACAGCAGCAGCAGCGCCGACAGGCCGCCGCCACCTCCTCCGCCGCCTCGCTGCTGCTGCTGGGGCTGAGCGGCACCGGCAGTGGCGGCAGCAACAGCGGCGGCGGCGGCGGCTCCAGCGCTGCGTCAACCAGCGGGGGTGCGGCAGCTGGCTACTCCTTTGCAAAGGCCCTCGCCGCTGCTGCTGCCGCCCGGAGAGCGGGCCTGCTGAACCGTACCTCCAACATCTCCTCCAACGTATCTGGAGGTAGCGGGGGCTACGGTGGCGGCAGTGACGACCGCAGCGTTCGAAGCGGCTTCGGGCTGGGCAGCGGCTTCAGCGGCGGGCTGGTGGGGGGCAACACCCACACGGCTCGTTTCGCTGCGCTGTTGGCGGTGGGCGGTGGCGTGCTGCCGCCCTCCTCCGCCGCCGGAGCTGTGGCTGCCGCTGCGGCTGCGGGCACCTCCCCCCGGGTGGAGGAGCTGGGGGAGGTGCTGGCGGCGCACTGCTTGACGGTAGCGGATGTGCAGGAGATGATGCAGGAGGTGGGGAGGGGGAGGAGGACGGGGGGAGGGGGGGAGGATGGATTGGGGGCTGGGTGGGTCTCTCATGCAATGCATAGGGTACTTTTCTCTTCCCACCTCCGCCGCCCCTTGCCCCCTCCTCCCCACCTCCCGCCCCCTTTCCCCCAGTCTCTGACCAAGCTCACCACCCTGCGTTCCGAGTGGCGAGAGGCCTCCGAGCTGCGACACGCGGAGTTGGCTGCCGTACTAGCCAGGTACGCGGCAGCGGCTGCCGTACAGCAACAACGGGAACAGGAGGAGCGGGAACAGGAGCGACGAGAGCAGCAGCAGCAGGGGCGGCATGGAGGGGGGCACGGGCACGGGCACCACGGGGAGGAGGGCAGGGGGCGATCCTGGCTGGGAAGACTGGTGACGAGGGGGCGACGAGAGGGCAGCAGCAGCAGCAGTAGCAGCAGTAGTACTGATAGTGAAGAGGGCAAGGGAGGCAGGAAGGATGGAAGCCGCCGCCGCCGCCGCAGCAGTAGCAGTAGCAGTAGCGGAGACAGCAACAATGGGGGCCAGCATCAGCATCAGTCTTGGCTGGAACGACTGGTATCCCGACGACAAGGGAGCTCTAGCAGTAGCAGCAGCAGCAGCAGTGGGAGAAGCAGTGGTGGTGAGGCGAACCGACGACAGCAGCCGCAGCGGGGGCAGGGGCAGCAAGAGGAGCCTCAATTCTGGCTGGGGCAATTCGTCTCCAAGCGGCAACGGGAGGCACCGGCGGCGGCAGCGGCGCAGCCACCCCAGCAGCAGGAGCAGGGGCAGGAGCAGGGGCAGGGGCAGGAGCAGGGGCAGGGGCAGGAGCAGGGGCAGCAGCAAGGGGAACCCGGGGCGCAGCAGCGGCAGGGGGCGTCACGTCCGCACTCAGCAGCAGCTGGTGGCGGTGGAGGAGGGGAGGCGGCAGCAGCTGGAGGGGAGACCGCACACAGCCGGGAGGGCTTGCAAGGGCCGGAGCGGGAACCGCCCCAGCACCCTCACCCACCCCACCAACGGTCCCCCTTGCAGCAACGATCCCCCCACCACCAACAGCGGTCCCCCCATCGAGGCGGCGGCTGGGGTGGTGCAGCGCTCGCCCCGCGCCACATAGCTGCTGCCAGGGAGGTGCTGGACTGCTTGAAACGGCTGGGGGCGGGCGGGGCGGGGGGCTCGCGTGCGGGGTCGTCTGGAGGAGGGGCAGGAGGGGGAGGCGGAGGCGGAGGTGTTGGAATGGCGCCCTTGGCAGGGTGGGGCGGGAGTGCGACAGGAAACCAGCAGCAGCAACAACAGCAACAGCAACAGCGGCAGCAGCAAAGCGTATCCGGTCACGGGCTCGGCGGCTCTGCTGGCCCTCCTGCTGCTGCGGCCCCTACCCCGGCGGTCCTGCCACGAACCTACACCACCCCCTCCGCCTCAGCAGCAGCAGCAGCACGCCCCACCCCCTCCCTTGCCGCCACCGCCGCAGCATGGGGGGAAGAGTCCGGGGCGGCGGTGCCCACTCCGGTGCTGCCCCTGCCCCTGCCGCAGCCCTGCGGGGGGGTTGCAATGCGGCGTCGCAGTTTTGGCGGCACGGAGGGGGAGTGGCCGGTGGGGGAAGGAGCAGGGGCAGGGGGAGGAAGAGGAGGAGGGGAAAGGCGGGGGGCTGGGCCGCCAGATCTGAGTAGACATCAACAGCAGCAGCAGGGTCAGGGTCAGGGACAGGGAAGCGGTGGTGAGGGTGCTTCTGCCACCTCTAGTACACAAGGAGGAGGAGGAGGAGGAAGTGGGGGCGGCGGGAGTCCGGGGGGCCGCAAGTCCACAACGGGAGCAGCGGCAGGGGCAGCGGCAGGAGCAGCACCAGGAGCAGGGGTGGCAGCAGGGGCTGCTGGTTGCTCTGGTCAGAGTGAGGCGCTGGCGGCCAGGCTGAGGGTGAGGGTGAGGGGAGTGGGAGTGGGCGGCTGACCGGCACCGCAGTTGGAGGTGTTGTGTGGTGGGCCGTGGGGCTGTGCGGGATGCGGGATGCGGCAACTGGCGGTGTGCGTGTGAGCTAGGAAGGCGGGGCGCGAGGCAAGGAGGGGGGAAAGTGTATTGGGCAGGTGCGGTGGTTATGACCGCATCTTCAGCTGCAGCATGGCTCTTCCCAACTACCGCAAACCCTTTCACCTTCTCCACCCCTCACCCCCGGCGGACCTCAGCCCTCACCCCCCAACTCCAAGTTTCCCCCGCCTTCTCACCCCTCACCCCCTCTCCTCTCCCACCCCCTCCCACCCCCCCAGTCCGCCCTCCGGGAGCTCCGGAGCACTCCGCTGCACGACCGCATGATTGAGTGGGTATGGGGCGGGGGGGAGGGGGAAGCGGGGGAGGGGCCGGGGGCAGTGTGTGTGTTAAGAAAACTGGCCGCGAGTCGGACGTACTGGCAGCGTGTTAGGAAACTGGCCGCGAGTCGGAACGTGCTGTGTGTGTTTGCTTGTGTATTGAGATGCATGATACCGCCACCGCATGTACCTATCATGTGTGCGGGTGTGCCTCCCGGTCTGCCCCTGCGACCCACAACCCATCCTGCCCCTCACCCCCTTTCCTATCCCTCACCCCCTTTCCTGCCCCTCACCCCCTTTCCTATCCCTCACCCCCTTTCCTGCCCCTCACCCCCTTTCCTATCCCTCACCCCCTTTCCTGCCCCTCACCCCCTTTCCTATCCCTCACCCCCTTTCCTGCCCCTCACCCCCTTTCCTATCCCTCACCCCCTCTCCCCTCCCCCTCCCCTCACCCCCTTTCCTATCCCTCACCCCCTCTCCCCTCCCCCTCCCCTCACCCCCTTTCCTATCCCTCACCCCCTCTCCCCTCCCCCTCCCCTCACCCCCTTTTCTCACCCTCACCCCCTCCCTCCCCTCCCTCTCCTCACCCCCCTCCCCTCCCCCCCTCCAGTGAGGTGTACGAGTCGCTGGCGCTGCAGCAGGAGACGCACCGCCTGTGGACGCAGCTGAGCAAGGTAGCGAGGGAGGGGGGAGGGGCTGGGGAGTGTGTGGTGGCGGCTTTACTGCAGTGTCCGCTCTCTTTCCTTTCCTCTGGTCCTATACCTCACCGCTCGCTTGCCCTCTTCTACTGCACCTTGCGCTCCCTCCTTCCCTTCCCTAACCGGGTGCCGGTAACACGTCTCTCTGATCTGCCCTATCGTCTATGCCTCCTACGCCCCCTGCACCCCTCCTATCCCATCCCTACCCCCTAATCGCCCGCTGCATGTGTCATGAGCTGCAGCACACACCCTCCCATGCACCCCCCTCCCCCCACCCCCTCGTCAGTTCTTCCTTATCTTTGCTCCCCTCCCCCACCCCCGCCACCCCTATCCAGGTCCTGCGTGCCAGCTCGCTGCTCCGCTCCGCGCTGCTGCCCGAGAGCCTGGACGTGCTGCGGGCGCAGTATCGGCAGCTGGGCCAGCAGGCGAAGGAGGTGGGGAGGCGGGGGGGTAGGGTGGAGATTTAGTAGGAATACTCATTCCGCATTAGGCTGGATAGGAGGAGGTGGGGGAGGTAAGGGAGGGGGAAGGAGGTGAGAGGGGCATGCCCTATCCTGCCATGGCTTCCTCCTGTCGTTCTCTTCTCTAAAAGCCTGCCCCACCCTTCCAGTCCACTGCCTATCCACCTGCCCTGCCCTGCCCTATTTCCCCTCCCCCTGGCTGCCCCTCCCGTGTCCCTCTCCCCCTTCCGCCCCCTCCATCCCCCCTGCCTGCCCTCATCCCTCCCAGGCTGCGGAGGTGGTACGGCGGCTGGAGGCGGTTGAGGAGGAGCTGGCGGCACTGGAGGAGCAGCTGGGGAGGAGGTGAGGGGCAGAGCCTCCCGACGCTCCCCCTCCTCCCTCTCCCTTCCCTCCTCTTCCCCCCTCCTCTGCATGCCTGTCCTGCTCCTTTACCGCTGCTCTCCGCCCGGGGCCCTGCCTTGCTTGCCATCGGTTCACTGTGTTATCTTAGGGTTTACCCACTTCACCTTGTTGCTCCCTTCCTCCTCCTTCGTTCTCTGCCTCCCCTCCTCCACCTCCCCCCCCTCCCAGCGGTCGGGAGGTGGTGATGGATTTCGTGTCGGAGCTGTCACTCTTCAAACGGGCGACAACACGCGCCGCCACCAACTAACAAGGCGGAGGCAGCAGCAACACCCGGGGGTCAGCGGAGGCCACCCGGGAGGGGCCAGCAGGAGCCGCATCCTGACCGTATAGGAGTGCTGCGGGGCTGTGATGCCGCTCCATTCAAACATGTAGGCTTGTACAACGTACACTAGGGAGGAGCTGCCAACTTACCCTCCTAGATTGCCTGTTGCCTGGTAGACCAGGGGCTGTAGGCCTGCAAGGAAGCATAACGCAAAGAGAAAACTGCTGCAGCTGCAGCTGCAAAGAATGCGGCAAGCAAATAAAAGGGACCTGCTGCAGTGGCTGCTGGCCCTACTTGGGGAATTGAACTAGCTAGATAGCTACGTTGGCAGCTTGCGATGGGACAACCCTGTGTTGGTGTCATATGTCGGTACTGGAGTTCTTGAGCAAACCACGTTGTTCCCTTGTTGGGTTGCTGGACTACCCCCGAGTGCCGGTTAAAGTGCCGCTAGTATGGTAAGCTGCTGAAGAGTGCAGTCCATGAAGCCCGACCTAGCGTGTGAACTTCCCTCCTGGAAGCGCGCGGTTAACTGCTGGAGGTGGTTGGTAATCGTACGCACACTGCATTAGAGCAGTACGAAATTCATCCATTATCACGCCGCATCCATTTGTACCGGTATGTCCCGCCCCAAGGGGGAGTGGGGGCGTGTGACGTGTCATGTGTGTGGGTGTGGGTGTCAGCACCAGTGTGTGGGGGGGTTCGACGGTGGTGAAGGTGACCGGCAGCAGCCACCATGCTGCCGTACCGCCGTACGTAATTGGCTTCATTCCTGCGTCCGAAGGGCATAACAGTGGGCCCCCCCAACCGTGCCTGCTTTCCGATTGTCGGTACCGGTATAGTGTAGCACTTGTGGTGTAGCGAGAAGGACACGTATCAGATAGTTAACATGTATTGTAATATCGGTAAATTGCTAGGATAGAAGGGTGCTACTTCGTAGGGTTTCTCGTGCCGGTCGCTTACTGCAATAGTAGTATACCGTATTTAAAGTACTCTAGTTCTGCATGTGAATGCATCCCACACCCACTGCAGTCGGTAGTCTTGCTGTTGGGCAGTGGTGGTTGTGTTGTGTTGTGGAGGCCGACACTGCTAGCTAGCATCTAGGGTACCGTTATCTGTTAGCTCGGGCGGTGTCTTTCGTGGGTGCGGTGTATGTGTGTTGCGGTGTTAAGAAAACTGGCCGCGAGTCGGAACTTACTGTGATTGCTGTGCGTGAGAAAGAACGAAAAGGCGCTCTGTCTTCACTGTCCTGTGTCGGAGCAGTGGGCTGCCATAGCAGTTTTAACTTGTAAGCCACCTGAACCGGCCCATGGGTCACGGGCGCCCAGCGCTTGCATGAATGGCCTTTTGTACGACAGTGAACAATGGTACATGGTGACCCGTAACGCACAAGATTAAAAGTCAGAACCCGGATTTGGCCTTCCGCCCGCTCATCACAACCGTTTACCCCACAGTGCTAACCCGCGGCAACATCTGTGCTTGCGATGTGATGGATGGCGGTGTGGACATCAGGCTGGCGAGTTTGCAAGGGTTGCGTGAGCGTAAGGTCTTTTGTATGCCATAAAACATATCAGAGGCCCAGGTCAATCGCGAGCAGGCTGGGTTCGGCAAGAGCCGCGCTGCGAACGTGGTCAAGCCCTGCGGGGCCATGCGCTTCACGCAGGACATCCGTTGTTGCGCGTCAATCGCAGCAGCTCGCTGGTGCAAGGCTACGATGGCATTTACGACTTCCTCGGCAAGATGCTGCAGTTGGTTGCTCCCGAAAGAGAACCGGCCAGCATGGGCTTTCGGTGATGGACACCGAACCCTGGTCGCGGCACAGCCAAGCCTCGGTCGCCCTAACACATCTGACCAATTATTGTTGCAATTAATAAAGCGCGACTGCATTCGACTGTGCCGAAGCGGAAGGCTAGACACCACGGCTTGCGCGACAGCTAGGATATCTTCGGACCGAAAGGTGTCAGGAAGCCGTGCCCACGTTCGCTCACATGCCCATTACAACATACGCTTGAGCAGCAGCTAATTGGTGCCGCTGCACTTCACACCCGCCAAAATGGGCATTGCTCCACTGTACTATAGAAACCTGCCGTTATCAAACTATCGAATCGCCATACCGTTCCTAGTCGACGCTAGGGCAACGAATTGGTTTACCGTGATGAATTCATTATGTATTTAAGGCTTTGCCTCAGCTTCCAATGCTGGAAAACATGATGTTGTCAGCGACCTATACAGCAGAACGCAATAACTATTTGGGGCTCTAACACCTACACCCATGTATGCTTCGCCGCGTTTTGTGGTCATCATGGTATCGTTGTCGCTGACAACTACCGCATTGCTACTCGGCGCATGGTACGCACTCGTCGCTTCAGGTGACCAGGTAAGACAAAGTGCTGCTTGCCGAATTCCCTGCATGCACAAGTCGCTTTTAGGTTTCCCTTTTGGTCCTGGCAACCGTTTGTCTTCTAGCCCTACAACATCCCCTTCCACATCCCTGTCCCGCACCCCATCCGATCAACTTACTTTTTGCTTCCCCTCGCGTCCTCAACTCCTTCTCCCCCTCCCCTGCCTGAACACATAGAGGCCTGGCGTCAGCCTGGGGTGGACGCGGCTGCATCAGCCCTCGCAGGACCCTCATTACCTCAACCACCATTACAACAGTCACAACGGTCTTCATCAGCAGCAACAGCGCCACAGGCCCCGACAGCAGCAGCAGCCAAAGCAGCTGCCCAGCGGACGATTAAGAGGCAAGGAAGCCGCTGCCGCTGCAGCCAGCGCTGTCCACAAGAACGGCAAGGGCAGGAGCAGCACCAGCAAGAACAGCACTAGCAAGGATAACGTCAAGAAAAAGAGCACCAGAAGCAGTACCGGCGGCAAGAACAGCGGCAGTGGCAGCAGGGCGAGTGGCACCAGCAGAAGCCCCTACAAGAGGGCCAACAACAACGGCAGCAGCAGCCCTGGAGGCTCCTGGACTCTGACGCCCCAACCCCACCCCCATCATGCCGACATTGCTGCCCCAGCCCCAACAGCATCACCACCGCCACTAACAACACCACTAACGATACCACTAGCACCTTCACTTGCACCCGCTGCTATTCCGCCAACCATCAACGACACCAGCAGTCACTACGACCGCTATGCCGTACTCATCGACGCTGGCAGCTCCGGAACCCGCATCCACGTGTACCGCTACCGCAGCAGCAACCGTACGGCAACACCCCCCGTACAGCACCCCTACCCCGCCATCGAGCTGCCCGGCCGGGTGTTGCGAACCACCCCCGGCCTCTCCTCCTTCGCGCCCTACGGCGAGGGGGTGCGCGAGCACCTGCGGCCGCTGCTGGCCTTTGCCCGGGCGCACGTGCCCGCCCCGCTGCGGCCCGCAACCCCCCTGCGCCTGCTGGCCACGGCGGGGCTGCGGCTGCTGCCGGGGGGGCAGCAAGCGGCGCTGCTGGCGGAGGTGGAGGGGGCGCTGGCGGAGGCGGGGTTTGGGACTGCGAGGGCAGCGGCAGGGGCAGGTAGCGCACCTGAGGAGGGGGGAGCAGCAGCACTGGAAGCAGCAGCAGCGGAGGGCGGGCGGGCAGCAGCTGCCCCTGCTCCCGCCCCCCCTGCTCCCGCCCTGGCCCGCGTGCTGAGCGGTGTGGAGGAGGGGCTGTTCGCGTGGGTGGGGCTCAACTACGCGGCGGGAAGGTTGCAGGCGCTGGCGGCAGGGGGGGAGGGGAAGGGGGAGGGAGAGGGGAAGAAGGAGGAGGGGGAGGTGAGGAGGCGGGGCCGAGGTGGCGGTGTGGCCACACTGGCTGTGCTGGAGCTGGGCGGGGCGTCACTGCAGGTGGGGGGGAGGGGGGGGGGGAAAGCGTCAGTAGCAGGCGCGTTCGCCGTATGGTGTCAGTAGTGGGAGGGGGGAGCATACACACCAGCGGGGGGCTGTAGCTTTCACAAGGTGGGGGTCGGGGGTGTAATGACCACTCTGCTGTCAGCCCTGTCCAGCCCCTTTCCCACCCATTTTACCAAACCCCTCCCCTCTCCCCCTTCCCCTCCCCCCTCCCCCCAGCTGACCCTGATGCCCTCCGAGCCCCTGCCGCGGGGGCTGGGATACCGACTGGGGCTGCCAGGTGGGGCGGAGGGGGGGAGGGGGAGGGGCGGATAGGAGGGGGGCCGGCCTACCATTGCTCCTAAGCCTGCCGCTCGTGCTGGTAATGCTAATGCTGCTCTGCACCCTGCACCGGCCCCCCTGCTGCCCCTCTCCCCTTCCCCCACTGCCGTACACCGCCCCCACTGCCCCAGGTGTGGTACGGCCGCTGTACACGCACAGCTTCCTAGGGTACGGACTGCAGGTGGGGGGAAGTGGGGGGGGGGAGCGGTGGGGGGGAAGTGGGGGGGAGGGTTGATAGGTGTTGCAGCGGCAGAGGGAGAGGCGGCTCACCCACCGGGGCATGGCAGCGCCCTGCGGCTCCTCACCCTCGTGTGCCGCCCTGCAGCAACCCACATCCCACACCCCACATCCCACATCCCACACCCCACATCCCACATCCCACACCCCACACCCCACATCCCACATCCCACACCCCACATCCCACATCCCACACCCCACATCCCACACCCCACACCCCACATCCCACACCCCACACCCCACATCCCACATCCCACATCCCACACCCCACACCCCACACCCCACATCCCACACCCCACATCCCACATCCCACACCCCACATCCCACATCCCACACCCCACATCCCACACCCCACACCCCACATCCCACATCCCACATCCCACATCCCACATCCCACACCCCACATCCCACATCCCACATCCCACACCCCACATCCCACATCCCACATCCCACATCCCACATCCCACACCCCACATCCCACACCCCACATCCCACATCCCACATCCCACATCCCACATCCCACATCCCACACCCCACACCCCACATCCCACATCCCACATCCCACATCCCACATCCCACACCCCACATCCCACATCCCACATCCCACACCCCACATCCCACATCCCACATCCCACATCCCACATCCCACACCCCACACCCCACACCCCACATCCCACACCCCACATCCCACATCCCACACCCCACATCCCACACCCCACACCCCACATCCCACATCCCACATCCCACATCCCACATCCCACACCCCACATCCCACATCCCACATCCCACACCCCACATCCCACATCCCACATCCCACATCCCACATCCCACACCCCACATCCCACACCCCACATCCCACATCCCACATCCCACATCCCACATCCCACACCCCACATCCCACACCCCACATCCCACACCCCACACCCCACATCCCACACCCCACATCCCACATCCCACATCCCACACCCCACATCCCACATCCCACATCCCACACCCCACATCCCACACCCCACATCCCACATCCCACATCCCACATCCCACATCCCACACCCCACATCCCACACCCCACATCCCACACCCCACACCCCACATCCCACACCCCACATCCCACATCCCACATCCCACACCCCACATCCCACATCCCACATCCCACACCCCACATCCCACACCCCACATCCCACACCCCACATCCCACACCCCACATCCCACATCCCACATCCCACACCCCACATCCCACATCCCACATCCCACACCCCACATCCCACATCCCACACCCCACATCCCACATCCCACATCCCACATCCCACATCCCACATCCCACATCCCACACCCCACATCCCACATCCCACACCCCACATCCCACACCCCACATCCCACATCCCACATCCCACATCCCACATCCCACACCCCACATCCCACACCCCACATCCCACACCCCACACCCCACATCCCACACCCCACATCCCACATCCCACATCCCACACCCCACATCCCACATCCCACATCCCACATCCCACATCCCACATCCCACATCCCACACCCCACATCCCACACCCCACATCCCACATCCCACATCCCACATCCCACATCCCACATCCCACATCCCACACCCCACATCCCACATCCCACACCCCACATCCCACATCCCACATCCCACACCCCACATCCCACATCCCACATCCCACATCCCACACCCCACACCCCACACCCCACATCCCACATCCCACATCCCACATCCCACATCCCACATCCCACATCCCACACCCCACATCCCACACCCCACATCCCACATCCCACATCCCACACCCCACATCCCACATCCCACACCCCACATCCCACATCCCACATCCCACATCCCACATCCCACACCCCACATCCCACATCCCACACCCCACATCCCACACCCCACATCCCACATCCCACATCCCACATCCCACATCCCACACCCCACATCCCACATCCCACATCCCACATCCCACATCCCACACCCCACATCCCACATCCCACATCCCACATCCCACACCCCACATCCCACACCCCACATCCCACACCCCACATCCCACATCCCACATCCCACACCCCACACCCCACACCCCACATCCCACACCCCACACCCCACATCCCACATCCCACACCCCACACCCCACATCCCACACCCCACATCCCACATCCCACATCCCACACCCCACATCCCACATCCCACATCCCACACCCCACATCCCACACCCCACATCCCACATCCCACATCCCACACCCCACATCCCACATCCCACACCCCACACCCCACATCCCACACCCCACACCCCACATCCCACACCCCACACCCCACACCCCACACCCCACACCCCACATCCCACATCCCACACCCCACATCCCACACCCCACACCCCACACCCCACATCCCACACCCCACACCCCACATCCCACACCCCACACCCCACATCCCACATCCCACATCCCACATCCCACATCCCACACCCCGCATCCCACATCCCACACCCCACACCCCACACCCCACATCCCACACCCCACATCCCACATCCCACATCCCACACCCCACACCCCACATCCCACATCCCACATCCCACACCCCACATCCCACATCCCACACCCCACATCCCACATCCCACACCCCACACCCCACATCCCACATCCCACATCCCACATCCCACATCCCACATCCCACATCCCACACCCCACACCCCACACCCCACATCCCACATCCCACACCCCACATCCCACATCCCACATCCCACACCCCACACCCCACACCCCACATCCCACATCCCACACCCCACATCCCACATCCCACATCCCACACCCCACACCCCACATCCCACATCCCACACCCCACATCCCACATCCCACACCCCACACCCCACATCCCACACCCCACACCCCACATCCCACATCCCACATCCCACATCCCACATCCCACACCCCACACCCCACACCCCACACCCCACACCCCACATCCCACATCCCACACCCCACACCCCACACCCCACATCCCACACCCCACACCCCACACCCCACATCCCACATCCCACACCCCACACCCCACATCCCACATCCCACACCCCACATCCCACATCCCACACCCCACATCCCACATCCCACACCCCACACCCCACATCCCACATCCCACACCCCACATCCCACACCCCACATCCCACATCCCACATCCCACACCCCACATCCCACATCCCACATCCCACATCCCACATCCCACATCCCACATCCCACACCCCACATCCCACATCCCACACCCCACACCCCACATCCCACATCCCACATCCCACACCCCACACCCCACATCCCACATCCCACATCCCACATCCCACACCCCACACCCCACACCCCACATCCCACATCCCACATCCCACACCCCACATCCCACATCCCACATCCCACACCCCACACCCCACATCCCACATCCCACATCCCACACCCCACACCCCACACCCCACACCCCACATCCCACATCCCACACCCCACATCCCACACCCCACATCCCACATCCCACACCCCACATCCCACATCCCACACCCCACACCCCACATCCCACATCCCACACCCCACATCCCACATCCCACACCCCACACCCCACATCCCACATCCCACATCCCACATCCCACACCCCACACCCCACATCCCACATCCCACATCCCACATCCCACATCCCACATCCCACATCCCACATCCCACATCCCACATCCCACACCCCACATCCCACATCCCACATCCCACATCCCACTCAACACCATTCCCCCGGGGCATGTCGTCTGGTTTGCTTTGTTTATTTTAACACCTTGGGAACTCTTCTTTTTCCTTCTTTTATCCCCCTCCTACCTGGCCCCCCTGCCCCCAGGTGTCCTGGTTCAGGGAGGCCTTGCTGGTGCAGCAGCAGCAGCAGGGGGAGGAGGGGGAGACAGGGGAGGGGGAGGAGGAGGGTGGTGGTGCCACCGACCCCTGCCTGCACCCGGGGTGAGTCGGGAGCGGGGGTGAAGGGGCTGCGGAGGGGGGGGGCAGTGTGGTTGAGACATGCAGCAACGCCTACCCCTTCCCCCGCCCTACCTGAACCACCCCCTCCCCCTCACACCGCCATCACACCGCATCAACAACCCTCCCCAACCCCAGTCAGTGCCAGTGTCAGTGTTTCCTGGCGGCTCATTTTACCCAACCCCGGCTCCACCCACCTCTTCCCCCCGCCCCCCCCAGCTACACCTCCTCCGAGGGCGGTCTGCCCGGCTCCGGCTCCTTCACCCGCTGTGCAGCCCTGGCGGAGCAGCTGCTGGGGCTGGGGGGGCGGGGGGAGGGGGGCGCCGGCAGCCCCACTCCCTCCTCCCCCGCCAACTCTTCCCTTCCTGCGCTGGGTGGTGGCGGTGGTGGGGGCGCCGGTGGTGGCGGTGGTGGCGCCGTTGGTGGTGGGGGCGCTGGTGGTGCTGCTGCCTGCCGCTACCCTCGCTGCTCGCTGGGTGGGGAGTACCTGCCCCTGCTGGCCCCGCTGCAGGAGGGGGAGGGGGAGGCGGGGGAGGGGGGCTCCGGAGCCGCTGCCGCCTCCCCAGCCGCCTACACACAGCCGCTCATCATGGCCACAGAGAGCTTTTACTACACCGTAAACGTGAGGGAGGGGGAGGGAGGGGAGGGGAGGGGAGGCGGAGGAGGGGGAGGAACGGGACAGGGACACCGAGCTACGGTGGGAGGGGGAGGGACAGCCACCGGCAGCAGCAGCAGCACAGGAGCTGCGGTTGCACTCGCCTGGTGTGTGCCGCAGCGGCCGTAGGCCCATGCACGTCGCCATACACACACACCTGTCCACCTTGCGGCCAGTTATTTTAACACACCTGTCCACCTCTTGACGCCTTATGTGCCCCTCCCCCCTTGCTGCACACCTCGCTCCCTCCCCCCCTCCCTCCCCTGCCCCTCCCCCCCCCCCAGCGCCTGGGCCTGCCCCCCTCCGCCTCCCTGCCCGCCCTCCGAGCCGCGGGCGAGCGCTTCTGCAGCCGACCCTGGGAGCAGGTGGAGCAGCAGCTGGTGCTGGGGGCAGGTGTGAGTGAGGACCACGTGCTCAAGGTGTGTTTCGGAGCCGCCTACATCCATACGCTGCTCACCCGGGCCTTCCGCATGGGCCCCCGGGAGGAGGGCCTGCTGCGCTTTGCAAACGCAGTGGAGCGACCGGACGGATCGCAGGTGGGGGGTGGGGCGGGGGGGGCAGGGGAGGAAGGGGTGGGTGGGGGGAGGCCGGGGAAGTTGGGTGGAGGCAGGGGAGGTGTCCACTGCTGCTTGAAGCTGGTGCTGCTGGTGCTGTGGCGGGTGGATGTGGCGGGCAGCGGTGCACGTGTGCGTGTGTAGTTGAGTAGGACAAGAGCAAGCCATTGGGAGAGGTTCGGCAGCGGTGCGCGTGTGCGTGTGTGTGTGGGCAGGCGGGCCGGGGATCATGATGCGGTGCGCCTCCCCATGTCACTCCCCAGTCCCCACCCCTTCCCCACGGCACGGTACCTGCATGGCATCCCCACGGCTTTGCCCGGCCGCATGGTTCCCTTGGTTTGGCTCCTTGATCCCCCCATGCATGTTGCCTCCTTCCCCCCCCCTTCCCCAATGCATGTTGCCTCCTTTCCCCTCCCCCCCCAGGTTGAGGTCAACTGGGTGCTGGGTGCGCTGCTGGTGGAGCTCATAGGGGCGAGCGTGGAGCCGTGGGGGGAGGAGGGGGAGGGAGGGGCGGGCATTGTGACACCTAGCTCCTCCAGGGAGGGGGAGGGAGGGGCGGGCATTGTGACACCTAGCTCCTCCAGGGAGGGGGAGGGGGAGGCGGGCATTGTGACACCTAGCTCCTCCAGGGAGGGGGAGGGGGAGGCGGGCATTGTGACACCTAGCTCCTCCAGGGAGGGGGAGGGAGGGGCGGGCATTGTGACACCTAGCTCCTCCAGGGAGGGGGAGGGAGGGGCGGGCATTGTGACACCTAGCTCCTCCAGGGAGGGGGAGGGAGGGGCGGGCATTGTGACACCTAGCTCCTCCAGGGAGGGGAAGGGAGTATCCTCCACCTCATCCTCGAGTGGGAGTCGGGTTTCGGAGCGCAGCCAGGTTAGGGCCGTGGGCGGGGGCGGGGGCACGAGGCGCATGTTAGCGGCGGTGCAGGTGCTGGCGGAGGAGGTGGAGGCTGGTGGGGGAGGAGGGCGCACGGCAGCAGCAGCAGCAGCCGCTGATGCCACACTAGGAGGGGGAGGAGGAGGGGCATTAGTAATGGTGGCAGCTGTGGTGGTGGTGCTTGTCGTACTGCTTGCCGCGCTGCTGGGGAGTGCGGTGGCAGCGGCCTGGAGGAGGAGGGGGATACCCCTGGGGGCAGCAGCCAGCACCGACACTAGCGGGAGGGGCGCATGTGCATGAGAGACCGGGGGTACCGTACGACGGATAAAGAGGGATTAGGGTGTTAGGATTAACCGCATGAAAAAGTGTTCTCATCGTAAGAGGGATGGCAGCTTCTGAGGGGGGCGTTGGTACCGGTGGGAGGTGCCGGTAGGAAAGGGGAGAGCGAGGGAAGTGAGGGCGAGCAGGCGGGTGTCTAGTGGGCCTTGTGAGGCGGGGGTGCGGTGCGGTGCATGCGGGTGTAGGGCGTGAGGCGACCGGCGAGGAGCGCCGTGTTTGGAACGTATGATTGTTGACAGCTGAGTGAGGTTTTGTAGAGGACTGCGGACACATGAGACAAGACGACTGAGCCGTGTGACATGTGCGCGAGTGTGAAGTGATGAAAGCTGGCTGCGGCAAGCAAGGACTGATTGTGTTTGGTGTGTGCTTGCTGTTGAGGGGTATGTCGTACATGGCTAGGGGGGAGAGTGCCCGCGCCCGTGACCTCGTTAATGCCTCCATGCTGACTGCTGAGCGATTGTGATGTGTACGGCAAGGTGAGGTAAGAGGGATATGAAGGAGGAGCATTGTCGTGCGTCCAGCGCGGATAGGTGCCGGGGAAAGTGTGGAAGGTGGCGGCTTGCTGTGGGCTCCATAGTACGTCCGTCGGGACGTGGCTGTGCAAGGCTTGGTAAGAATGGCAATACCAGTAACGCCTTAAAGCCGCATGGAGCCTCCCCTTCTGTGTCAACTTACAACCCCAAGGTGTATTTATTGCAAAGTAATGTGCAGACATGTCCTGCTTGTCAACCGGTCAGGGGATGGTTACATGCCTTTTCCAAAGTCAGTTTGCAACGTGCATGTGTAAGTCGGAGGCTTCCTTTCAGAGCGACGTCTAGCGGAAACGACCTCTATAGCCTTGGTAGCGTCGCAACCGGCGTCGACCAGTTCCCGACGGATACGGTTAGCAGCGTACTGTACTACAACGGTGATGGCAGCACCGGCTTTCCAAAGCACTTTTCCTTTCCTCACTCGTCTTTGATAGATGCGATAGGTGCATGATTAGTCGCGCAGGCATATTTATCAACAAACTTCTCGTAATCTAGGCCTACCGCACCTAAGGAGCAAGACTTTCTCGGAAAGACCTCACGTTACACACGGCAGTGACGTATTAGTAATTTTGAGTATCTAACAGAAGTAAAGCGCCATGCCTCAGGTCTATCGGGCGATTCGCCCGATGTTTAAGACAGACCGGTGGCGCATTTGCCGCGATGACATAGTTTACATTCTTAGTGGCCACGATAAAGGCAAGACTGGTAAAGTGCTAGAAATCTTCAAGGACACGAAGGTGCCGCAAGTCATCGTGGAGGGCCGCAATATGGTAAGAAGCACTGCTCCCAAGTAATCGCAAGCTTTGGTCTTACTTTAATTGTTTCCGTTGCAGCGGAAGAAGAAGATTCGCACCGGGCACGGCCCCGACGACTTTTTCGTCGTGACAATGGAGGTGAGTATTTTCAAGCGAAGAATCCACATACAAGGCCTCTCCTCTGCAACCGTGGGGGTTCTCTCACGACAAAGGACCGAATCTAAACCTACCTATGTAGTTCTGCTGCCAGGGTCGTCGCCCCAGGCAACCGCTCAGCCATCTACCTCCAGTCCACATCCAATCATTACCCTCTGCCTTACCTCTCCCCACTCTTCCCTCTTTCCTTCCCCTTCTCCCCCACCTCCGCCATCAGGCCCCGCTGCACTACAGCCAGGTGCAGCTGCTGGACCCCAACACCAACAAGCCGGTGCGGGTGGTCTACATGTACACACCCGAGGGGGAAAAGGTGCGGTAGCGGGGCGGAGCACATGCTTGCATGCGGCAGGGGCGGGGCCGGCAGGGGCAGGGGCAGGTGAAGCGTGCATCTGCTCTGGCCAAAGGTCGGGGAGGCCGGGTGGGGGCGGCATATCCATGTTGACACCTGTTGGGCCAGCTGCTGCCGGGGGGCTGCCTGCTGCTGCATGCACGGTCCCAAGGCCTCGAGGGGGGTTCCGGAGCGGCTGCTACCGGTAGGCGCAGTACATGCAGGCAATCCCGGGTGTTAGAGCAGCTTGCTGTGGGAGCGTCTTACAGGGTGCCGTTACACCGGCGGAGGGGGTTCCGGCGCTCCAGGCTGCGCCTCCCCTCCCCTCACCGGTCCCCTCTCCATCCCTCCTCCCCCCCCCGCTCCATCTTCCTCCTTCCCGTCCACCTCCCTCCTCCCTGCAGGTGCGAGTCCGCAAGGTTCCCAACCCCACCGTCAACGACATCCTGCCCTCGCCCTCGGAGGAGGAGCCCGACCCGCGGGTCGGACTGGGTGAGTGTGGGGTGTGTGTGACGGCGGGTGGGTCGAGGCGGCACGGGGTGGAACGGAAGGTGGGATGGCGGGCAGCAGGCGAGGGGAGGGCAGGCAGGGTCGAATGCTGGCTGAAGGGTGGAAGGAAGGAGCAACCGCCCTGGCATGGCTTTCCAACACTCACTCGCCCTTCTCCCTCCCTCCCTCCTCCCTCCTCCCCAGTGGGCCCCAAGGACACCCCCGCCCAGCTCGCCCGCCGCGCCTCCTACACCCCCGCCGCCGGCTTCCCCTTCCGGCCCCGGCTGCTGGAGAGCATCTGGGCGGACATGCACCCCCCCGAGCTGGAGGAGGAGGAGGAGCAGGGGCAGGCGAGCAGCAGCAGCAACATTGGAGGGAGCAGCAGCAGGCAGCAGCAGCAGCAGATGAGCGCGCGGGCATACTGCACGGGGGCAGCGGGAGCAGCAGCAGGGGAGGCGACGTGGGTGGGGGCTGGCTCCCTGCATCAGCGGGCTCCGCTGGGCGGGTCGGGTGTGAGTGGTGGCGGGTTCGCGTTGTCGGGCCTGGTGTCGCAGCGGGGGCTGCCCTGGGCGGGTGGGGTGCGGAGAGCAGCGGCGGGGTGGTGCTGGGGGCTGTAGGAGGCCGGCGGTGGGGAAGGGAGGAGGAGGAGAGGGGGGAAGCATGCGCTGGGGACGGGGGGGTCGACATGGGCAATGTGTGCGTGCGGGCAGGGGGCTGGGAGGGGGTGGAGAGGGTGGTGCTGAAGGATTTAGGGGGCTGGGGAGGGGTGTAGAGGGCCGGGTCGGGGGGGAAGCGCGGCGATGCGAGGTAGGGTTCGTATGCTGTGGGCTGTGGGGCGCTGTATTGGCCTGATGAAGGGGTTACACGGTAGCGCAGTGGGGCTCATCAGGCTGCGGGCGGGACCCGTGTAATGTCTTGGCTGCGATGACTGCGGTAATGCGGCGGGCGGAGACGTGAGGGGATGAGGGGCTGTGTAGGAAGCGGAAGTTACACTGGAGGACAGTAGCTGAGACCATCGTCAGACGTGGCTGTGTAGGCATGTACGGGCTGTGTGCTGACGTGGGTGTTCCGGAGCTGCGTGTGCCTCGGAAGGCGCGCGCCGGCGCGCGCATGTGAGGGAGCAGCCGCAGCCGCAGTAGGGCTAAAGCATGTCGGTTATTACATGGCATGCTAACATGCGCCTCTCACAATGCAACGAGTAATCCACAGTGCAGCCAATAGCCCACAATGCAACCCAAACCGTCTGCTGGGGGGCATGCATGCCCCACCGCGGCGTTTAGGGTGCACAAGGCCACACCCGCATGTGCCAGAGTGTCACCTCGGACCGCCCAGTGGGCTTCGGCAGCTTCTCGCACTCCTCCGGCAGCACACACACACACACACCACTGCACTGCACCACATCACTCACCACTGCACTGCACCACATCACACACGGCCGTGCCCCTCTGCTGGCCTTTGCCTGTTCGTTGCACGCATCCCATTGCACCGTCGTCTTGCTCTTAGACAACGCTACAGTCGTCTTGCTCTTAGACAACGCTACTTCTCAGTGCGGTTCAGCTGACCGCTGCAGCCACAGCTCAGTGCCTGCTCGACCACTCGCGCCGGTTGTGTTGTCTTTGTTTTCTGCATTTGCATTCATGTTGTGTTGTGCTTGCGTTCGTCCTGTCTCACATGCCATCCTGCTTTGCCGTACATTTCGCACTTCGATCTAGGTCCATTTTGTCTCTAACTCTGTCCCCCTTTTCCTCGCTCTGGTTCATGTTCCTGCGCATGGCATTACTCGCATTACTGCAGCTGCTGGTACTGGTGCTGACTACGGCGCTTTTGCTCGCAGGTACGCAATGCGCGTTTGCACGCACGCATGCACAGCATTGTGGTGTCTCGTCTGCGTGACCAGAGCGGGGGCTCCCGGCGTCGAGTTGGTCAGCGGGCTAGGTACTCAGCAGTAATTAGTTTTTCCCGACACCATCAGCATCACCGACATGCGTCGTCAACCCGCCACTCTTCTTACATCCAGCACCCGCGTTTTAAGCAGTTATTGAGTTACGTTTCAGGTTTGTTAATCTCTGCTTTGCCTCTGTTTTGACTATACTCGCGGTTCACATGCGAACCTATCCCAACTGCTTGCTCTTGTTTCTACTCAACTACACACACACACACACACACACCACTCGCGGCCAGTTTCCTGCTGACCACACAGCTGAGCTCCCAGGCAACACGCAACACACATATGCTAGGAAAGCTATACAGGTGCACGCTTGCAGCCCTTCGTCTCAAGTCCCCTGTAGCAGCCTTGCACAACGTTCCCAACGCCCCTCTAGCAGTGCAGCACACACACTGACAGAAGCCCAACACCGCCACCCGCCCCTCAGTCCTCACACTTCCTTGCACCCTTCTTTTCCCTATCCCCTACGATCCCGACACCAGCATTTGGAACCAGTCCGTATGCCGTACCGGCCGCAGATCCTCATCCCCCGCCAGCTCCTCCTGCCGTACAGCCCCACACGCCAGCAGCCCCCGAAACACCTCGAACGCCTCCGCCTCCCCCCTTCCGCCCCCGCCCCCGTACGGCCCTGGCGGCCCCCCAGCGGTTGAGCGGTTGGCGTCAGCGCTGCGACGTGCGTTACAACCTGGGTTGCGCTCTCGCACCGACAGCGCGAGAGCGCAACCCAGGTTGTAGCGAACATCGCATCGCTGACGCCACCCTCCCAACCGCTGGGGGGCCGCCAGGGCTGTACGGAAGTACGACACAGCGGCCCCCGCGTGCTGCTGCTGCTGTTGTACGGCTGCTGCTGTAGCGGCGGCGGCAGTGGCGGAATCGCCTTGGGTGGCAGTAGCAGCAGCAGTGCCGTTCGCGGTGGGGGCGACGGCGGCAGTAGGTGCAGCAGCAGCAGCGGGTTGCGGGAACTTGGTAGCGAGCCGGGCGAGGGTCAGGTGCACCTCCCCACACCCCACCTGGCAGGGCGGCGACGAGAGGGTGAGGGTTGTGGTGGGGTGAAAGAAAGAAGGATACCCTATGTGTTGAGCGAGGCTGGCAAGCAAGCAGACGAGCTCGAGGGTTGTGGGGCGTGACGGGGTTGGAGCAGGGAAGGCAGAGGGAAGCACAATCAACACCGCAAACTAGCGATTAAGAAATAACGGTTACCGGTCCTTGCCCCCGGTACCCACCAGCGCCTCCGCTTCGTCCCTCCGAAGTCTCAACGCCGCTCCGTAACCCTCCTCCAGCGCCGCACGCAGGTGCTCCTCAGCCACCCGCCGCCAGTGCTGTACGGCAGCACTCGACCCTGGTGTCGTACTCGCTGTCGTACCGCTGTCGCCATCCGTCATCATGGCTTCGGATGGCGATGACCCATGGGTCGCCGCAGTCGCCAGCGCCTCCGCCGCCTCCCCCGCCGCGGCTCGCACATCTCCCAGGCTGCACAGCGGTTGCGGGTCGCCCCGGTCGAATGAGGCTGCGTGGTTGAGGCGGCTGGCTGCGGCCTCTAGCAGCGGCAGCCGGGCGGCGGGGTCCTGAGGGAAAGAAGGATACCCAATGGGGAGGGCGGGGAGGAACAGGTGGGGGGCAGCAGGGAAGGGGAGGGGTAGGACCGGGTTGGGTATGAATGTGGCAACCCGTGGTATTACATGCGGGGCGGGGGCGTGGCGGGCAGGGAGGCGTTGCTCAGTACTGGGTGGGGGAAAATTATATAAGAAATGCAAACAACTAAGTCCCAATCCCAGTACTGGGTGGGGTGGTGGGGGTGGTGGTGCCGTAGGGCGACAGTAGAGGGCAGTCAGTAAGCCAGTGCGCGCACGCATGCACCCCTCCCTTCCCCTCTCCCCCCCCCTCTCCCCCTTCCCCTCTTTCCCCCCCCCTCTCCCCCCCTCTCCCCCCCTCCCCACCTGCAGGCAGCCCGCCATGCTCAGCAGGCCGGCCCCCCAGTTGCACAGCAGCCCGGGCAGGTCGTCACCTGGGGGGGCGGGCGGGGGAGGGGCGGGTGTGATTAGGGGATGGCAGGTTTATGGGAGGGGCGGGGGGAGGGGATTAATATGGTTGGAAGATTCCGCATTAAGCTGGATTTTAGGATTGCGCATAGCCATTTTCGTTGGGTTAGTAGCAGCACACAAAGTAAAAACCGTGATAAAGCTCCATGACAGGGCAGGGCCTCGCAAGGCTCCCCAAACAACCCTGTCACCCAAGCGAGCCATTGCATGCAGGCTCACCGGGGCTGCAGGTGTGGGAGACCTAGGTGCATGGTGGCGTGCAGACTTACCAGATGACCATGAACGTAGACTAGTGTATAACAGGGGAAGGGGGGTTAGCAACAAGGCATTGCCTAATGCGATCCTATAGGTAGCGACGTGCGTGTTATGACAGTTTGCATGCATGCATTACGTATCCGCGGTAATACTCGTGCTCCGCGAGTATGTTAATAGGCTGTGCCACCGCCTCCTGGAGGTTGCCGACGTCCCTGCTGAAGGCGCTGGAACCGGCTGTGGAATCCTTGCGCTGAGCGTATCCGTTGGCTGTCGCTGATGTAGATGATGCCGCAAGTATCGACTGGCTGTTTCAGTAGTCACGTTTCGAAGCTCATCGGGCGATGTTGGAAGACCTTGATAGCCGGCCAGTCTCGTTGTTGCCGGTACGTTGAAGTGAATGGGCTTGTTCGTCGATCTTGGTGGCGATGCCGCGCGCGATCCGTAGTCCGTCGTTGTAAGCTCCAAACCCTGCCCTCCTAAACCCCACACTTATGCTGATGCGTGTGCAGCTGTGATTCTTGTAAGTGTAGAAGCATCTATATAATTACGTGGCAAATAAAGCGTGTTGGAATAAGGCGCGATTGGTACTTGTCTCATAGTCTCCGCTCTCCGCAAGGGGGATGCTGCTGCTGAAGAGTAGAGCTGGGCGACTTCCCAGACCGCGGTTCCCCGGTAAACCGGACCGAAGCGGGAAGTCTTTTGAGTGGGGATTAATATGGTTGGAAGATTCCGCATTCAGCTGGAATTTAGGACTGCGCATAGCCATTTTCGTTGGGTTAGTAGCACACCACAAAGTACAAACCGTGATAAAGCTCCATAACCTGGCGGCTGTGCTGAGATCATCAACATTGGACGAATCCCTGACGAGCTATAAGCTGGCGCCTGAGCTCCACTGCATTGCTGTGCGCAAATGCGCTGTAAGCTGTGGCTGGTATGCGGCTGTGTGCTCCTAAACATCCCACCCGCCCGCCCGCGCAAGTGACCCCTGGGTCGAACTTTAGCCCAGCCCACCCACGACCGAACCCGACTGACCTGCGTAGCAAGGGAAAATGGTGCAACGAAGACGTACCAAATTTCGTTGATAGTGAGCGAAAAGCGTCCAGAGACACAAGAAGGCGGCGCGACGAGCGAACAGAAGGCAGGCATGCGTCCCGGTGCTGTGCTGGTGCTGCGAGCTGCGCTGTATATCGACGCAGGCTGTATGATGATGAAGATGGCTGGCTTATCATGATGAAAGAGACGGGACTATGCCGAGACTTAGTATTTATGCGAAAGGTGGCGATGAGAAGTACGGCATGGGACGAGCATGCGTAATTTAGCGCAAGCGCAGTATGGGTATTATGATCTAGATATGCAGGGGGTGCAAAACGTGCGGTGCCAGTGAAATGACAGGGGGAGGGGAGGGGAGGGCAGGGTTAGGGGAGGGCATGAATAGGGGAGGTGCGGGAACCCTATCGCCCACGCCCTCTTGACCGGCCACTCCTACCGACAAGGCGTCCCCCTCACCCCCTCCCCCTCAACTCCCTTCCCTCTCCCTTCCCACTCCCCTCCCCCTCCCACCCTGCTCCGAGTCACTCAGCGCACACGCCGCCTCGTACGCCGCCAGTGCGCCCGAGAACTCCCCGCCCGCCTCCGCCTCTCGAGCTGCGCACCACTCGGCCGGGGATGGGGCAGCTGCAGCAGCGGGACCAGCAGCAGCAGCAGCGGCGGTGATGGCTGCTGCCACGTCAGCGGGTTGCGGCGCGTCCCTCACCGCCCGCGCCACCGCGTAGAGGCAGGTGCCGCTCTGGACCAACACATCCCCCAGGTTACCCAGCGTCTGCAGGGAGCGGGGGGCGGGGGGCGGGGGGCGCGTGAGGAGAGGGGTGTGTGTTGGCTGCGGGTGCGGATGCGGGGGGATGATGCGGACTGCCCCCTCCCCTCCTCCTCTACCAAGCTCTCCTTCCCCTCTCCCCTACCTCACCCCCTTACCAGCGCATCCTCCTCCCGCGCCAGTGCCGATCTGTAGCACACCGCGGATCCCCGGTAGCACCCGAGTGCGCTGTCGTACAGCGACAACCAATCCCCAGTGGACGGCCCGGTCGCCGCCGCCGCCGCCGCCACTCGCGACGCTTCCTCTTCCAGTCGCTCGCCAATCGCCGCCAGACAGTTCCCCGCATTGACGCCGACGTCGGGGGAAAGCGCGGCGGCGGCGGCCGTGGCGGCGGCGGCAGCCGATGCAGCGGCGGCGGTGAGTGGGGCGGCGACGGCGCTGTCGGCAACGGTTGCGGTTACGGCTGGGGGTGCGGGCGTTACGAGTACGGCAGCCGGGTGGCATGCTGCGAAATGGGATGCTGCGGTGGTGAGGTGCTGCAGAGCGGCTGCGGCGGCCTGGGGTGGGGGGTTTGGGTGGGGGCTTTGGGTGCGGGAGTTGGGCTGGGGGGAGCATGGGCACGTGGTTGGGATAAGAGGACATGCGCAGCCAGCAGGGCTGGAGCACGCATTCCAACACACACACACACACACACACACATCCCCAACCTTCCACATGTCCTCCCATCCCCGACTATGCTCCCCCCCTCCCCCCCCCGCACCCCCCACCCCCCACCTGCCGCTCCCCCTCGGCGCTCAGCTGCGGGTCAGGTGCGGCGGCGGCCGCCTGCGTGAGCGCCTCCCCAAGCAGCTGGTGGCACTCGGCCTGGGGGCGGGGGGGGAGGAAGAATACACAATTGGGGGGGCCGGGGGAGGAGAAGAGGGGTTAGGGAACGTGAGGGGTAAAGAGGAAGCCACTAACTGACCGTGTGATAAGGCGTCACCATGGTTTGCAACAATTGTGAGCCACCCCGACCCGCTCAGCTCAAATGAGCTGAGAGGAGTGCGGGTAGCGCAATCCTCTCACGTGTAAGACAACACGGACCCACCTCCTCCATCTATTCCGTCCCACCACGAACGCTTCCTCTTCCCAACCTCCCCTCGTCCCACTACGAACGCCTCCTCTTCCCAACCTCCCCTCGTCCCACTACGAACGCCTCCTCTTCCCAACCTCCCCTCGTCCCATGTCTCCCGCTATCCACCATGTCTCCCTCCCCTCACCAGCGCGGCGCGCATGTCCACAGCCTCCTCCAGCGTCACCACCGCACCGCCGCCTCGGCCACCTCCCCTGCTAGCGCCCGCTGCGGCTGAGGCAGCAGCGATACCTTGGGGAGATGGCGCGAGCCCGAGCCCTAGCTGCTGCCGCTGACGAACCACAGCGCTCAGCGCCAATTCGTACTTTGCAGCCGCTGCTTGGAACTTGGAAGCGGCTTCCAGGCCCTTGCGCCGCTCGCCTTGCTGCTGCAGGTTCTCGGCATCTGGTAGGAGGGCAGGATGCGCACATGTCTAGTTGCGCCAGAAAGTACCGAGTGAGACGCGAGTGATTTTACATCAGATTACCATAAATCGACGGGGATAATGGGTATTATGTCACCGCTGGCCACAACACGGCTGTCGAGTGCGGCAGTATACCTTGCGAGCGACCAGTGAAAAGTGAGTACGATCAGAACCGCTTACTAATTGCCTACCATCAGCAAGCTGTCGGGGTGAAGGATCGCCAACATGAGCGTTGCTTGTCGGCCCACCATGCCGCCTGGCAGAAGGATTTCGATCTCCACGTCCCATACTACGGGCAGTTTCTCCAAGCTATTACTTAACGCGTCTTGCATGCTTTTTGGAGGCCAACAGACCATGTGCCAAGTCAGCGTTCTGTACGAATCCAATGCGCTGCAACACACGCCAGTTAAGCGATACTCGCTGTTGTTTACGCAGCTGCTTTAAGGTGCTTAGATTAAAGCGCTTGTCAGCATATTTAGTTAATTACACAGCGTCTTAATAGAAGGTTCCTACACAAGCTCGGCAATTGGAACCCCATAGCTCAAGATTGGTCGTGCGTAGTCGTAAATAAGCCGGCCAATGAAGCATATATGATCTACCCGTCTCCGTGCGCTCGTTGGTAGGAACTGACTCCCTACAATGCCAGGACCCGTTTTGACGCAGCGCGTCGCTAGTGCCTCTAGTGGGATTTCTGGGGCCCTGCCTTCTCAGACTCTGAGATCAGGACCGACAACCTCCAGCGCGCGCAGTTCTGCCAGTGCTGGGACATCCGCGTCCGGCGGGATTCGTCGAACGGCAATCGATTTTTTGGTCGCCCCTCCGCTGGTTCCTTTGGCTATGGAGCTATCCGGGTATGCCCTGCTGTATTACATCTAGGCACCGCTTTGTCGCTTTAGGTGGTTATGCCGTGCGGGGCCGTTGGCCTGCATTTTCGCGCGGGATTGCTCGGCCAGCTACTCGGCCGAAGCCTTCTGACAAGTGGCGGCTTGTGACTGAATTGGTGCTGGTAAACAATATACAATTATGTCTTAACGTCTTTTGCGATAAGTCGTCCTTAGCGCCGTTCGGATCTTGCGCGCAGGCATGATAACAGCGACGAACTTGGAGCAGCGCCCGCCCGCACGTTAACTAGCATTCCAGTCATAGCAGCAGAATCTAAACAACATGCTACTACACCTTCGCCGGCTACGTTTCCTGCTTCGACGTCAAACTGTGAACAGTCCATGGACGAGCAGCAACTGAACTCTGAAGAGCCGCAGCAGCAAGGTCCTGAGCAACACTCTCAGCCTTCGTTCTCAGAGCTTCCAGCAAGCAAACCAGCTGTGAGCGCGGCTGCGGCGGAGGCGGCGGAGGCTGCGGGGGCGACGGCAGCAGCGGCAACCGCTAAGCCCCCAGCCGCCGCCATAACTGCCGACCTAGCCCACGCCGGCTCCCAGATACCCTCCCCATTCCCATCCCCTCCACCGCCGTCACCACCCCTGCCATCCACACCTTCCTCCTCATCCGTCTTTGCAAAACCAGCCTACGAGTCCCCTCCCTCCCCCACCGCCTCCACCGCCTCCTGCTCCTCCGCCGCCTCCCTGAACCTCTCCGGCCCTTGCGCCTCCTCTGCCGCCTCCGCCGCCTCCCCCTCCAGCCGCCTGCCCTCCTCCCCAGGCGCCACCGGCGGCGCCGGCAGCGCCAGCGGTTTCTGCGCCAGCTCTAGCCCCAGCGGTGTTGTCCCCTTCTCCTTTACTCCCGCAGCCTCCGCCTCCACCGCCGCTGAGCCCGTTGCTGAGGCCCCCACAACGGCTGCAACAGCAGCGGTTGCGGTGCCTTCCAAGGTCAGCAGGGAAGGGTGCGGATGCGGCGGATGCGACGTCGCCTGCCATTGCAGCAACGACGCCGAAACCCCTCACGTCGCCGGCGGCGGCGGGGCCGCCGCCGCCGCCGCCGCCGCCCGCACCGCTCCGCAGCCGGGCAGTGGAACCCTGCCAAGTGTGCCAAGCGGCAGCGGCCGCGGCGGAGGCGAAGGCTCAGGTGCCGGCGTTGAAGGCGGCGTCCCCCCTGCTTACCGACCGCCAATGTCCGCAGCACCCAGCGTATCCATGCGGGCAGGCGAAGAAGCCCCAGCGGCGGTGACGGCGGCGGCAACGGGCATGGTGGCACCGCCAGCAGCAAGTTTTGCTATGCCGCCGCTGCTGACGTCAGCCATGCCGCCATCCCCGCCGACGGCGGCGTCAGCGGCGGCGGGGCCCTTGTCCCCCACCGCCGCCGCCGTCGTCGTTACATCGCCGACGACGACCTCGGGTGCGCTGTCGGTTTGCTCGTCCGCTCGTCGGTCGTTGCGCGACCAGAATTCCGTTACCATCAAGGCCACGACGGTTGTGAAGGACGCTGCGGGGGCGATCGATAAGATCCTGTCACGTGGCGTGACGGCGCTTGTGACGGCTCTTCGCTCCGAACAACGCCCGCGCGAACAGCACCCACACCCACACCCGGGACACCACCACTACCGGGGTGGCGGCGCAGCAGCAGCAGCAGCGGCGGCGGCGGCGGCGGCGGCGGGAGGGCCCATGTCGTACACAGGGCCACCGCCGCCAGGTGGCCATGCGGCCGCTGGGGGGTCAGCGGCGGTGGCGGCGGCGCCTGCCGGCCCTTCGTCGCCGTACGACAGCCTTAATCAGGTAGGATACCAGCTCGAGAGGGCGAGAGAGCGGTGTCAGGGGTGCTGCTGGTACGGCGGTTGTTGGTGGTGGCCCTGTGTACGGCCCTGCCGGCTGCCTCTCATACATCAAGTCACAGTACACAGTTCCTACACTCGCGGCCAGTTTACTTAACACCGTCACCCTGCCGTCACCAAACAAACACCGCCGCACGATTGCCTGGTTGACCCTGTTGCCTGACCTGACCTCATCTCTCCTCTTTCCATTCCTCTCCATTCTCCTCTCCACTCTCCACTCCTCTCCTGCTGCTGCTCCTCCACCACCTTGCCCATTGCTTTGCCCTAACCTGTGGTTTCCTATGGTATGGTATGGTCTTTGAATCCCCACCCCGCCCACTCGTGTGCGCACAGGCTGTGAAGGCCATAGCTGTTGCTCGGCAGTACGCTCGGGAGACGGGGCCGCCGGGCGCGGAGGTGACCTTCCTGCCCTTCCACAGGTGCGGCTGGGAGGGGGGCGGGGAGGGAGGGAAAGGAGGGGAAGGGGGCGGGAGGGCTGTTGCAGTTGCCGTATTCGTGCCTACCGTACGGTATGCGCTCCCTACGGCAGAGCTAGGGCCTTGGGTGCAAGAGGAGCCATGAGGGGGCACGGGGTGCAAGAGCGCTGTGTGGGTTGGAAGGGAATGCTGACCACCTGAGGAGGACTCCGCCCGCCCCATCCAACCATAGCTCTGCCAATGCGGCCTCCCTCCACCCCTCCACATCCCTGCCCTGCTCCCAACCACCCTCCCTCCACCCCTCTGCCCCCCCCCCCCTGCAGATACAACTCCCACGACCGGCCCGACCCCGGCCGCTTCGCCTTCCTGGTGTTCCCCGTACGGCAGGGCCTGGGTACGGAGCTCAAGACGGCGGATGAGACGGTGCTCAATGTGGCCCGTGGGTCGGACCCGCACAAAATGGCGGGGGCCATCATCGCTGTGATGCTGGACAGGGGGCAGGTGGGCGGGCCGGGGGGGGGGGGGAAGCTTGGAAAAGAAGAGTAGCCACCGAGCCTCGCCGCGTTCGCTGTCTCCGCTTCCTTCCTCCCATGCATGGCCCCAACCCCTTCCCGCCACCAACCCTTCCCGTTACTCCACCACCCCAATCTCAACATGCACCCACTCATCCCCACCTCCACTTCCTCTTCCTCTTCCTCTCCTCCTGCACCCCCACCCACCCACCCACCCACCACCACCACCCTCCGCAGGCGGTGATGAAGGCCGCGGGCTCCGACGCCATCTTCGTGGCCATGTCGGCGGTGGTGGACGCGCGGCACCGGCTGGTAGCCCGACACGGCTTCGACCTCATGCTGACAGCCAGCTGGACCACGGAGGACACGGTGGCGGCCATGGGGCGGGAGAGCAAGTTCCTGAGGTGGGGGTGGGAGGTGGGGAGAGGGAGCGACCCATGGGTCTGCGTGGTGGTATACCGTGCCATATCCAGCTCCTGCGCCCCGCCGTACATACCTTGCCTTCCCTTACCTCTCCGTCACGTACCTTCCCTTTCCCCTCCCGCCCGCCCGCACCCCCCTCGCAAACACACACACACGCACGTGTCAGGTTCAACATCCTGAAGACGGAGCCCGCGGGCCCTCGCAGCGGGGTGCTGCCCGCCCTGCCGCACCCGGCAGCGGTGTGAGGGGGGGAGAGGGAGGTGGTGGTGTGGTGAGGCAGAGGAGGGGGGGGGAGGTGAGGAAAGGGGAGATGAGGGAGGTGGTGAGGAGAGGGGAGGAGGGGAGGACAGCGGGCAGCTAGGGCGGCCCGAGGCCCGAGGAGGGGGAGGATGGGCAGGAGGACTTTACAACCCGCAGCAACGGCGACAACGGCAGCCACGTAGCGGCCACCATGGCAGGCAATGACAACGACAACCGCAACTTGCAACAGCATGCAGCAGCTTACTGTTTTAAATAAGAGAGCCCATTTCGAGCCCTTAGCAACACTTGAAATAAAGATGGGGAGGTGTTTTTTGTTGCTGAGAACTCGCAACTGACTGGCGGGGTGGGTACCGGGTGGGTTACTGCACCCCTCGAACCAAATGCAACCATACGCATTCAAGTTTTAGACGGGGGATCGGGGCGGTGGGTTTGGAGGAGGATGGTGGGGGTGCGCAGGTGGGGGCATCCCCTGCATGCATGCCTTTACGGCGTTAAGGGGAGTCGCGCGGCGTTTACGGGCGACGGTGGTGGTGGTGGTGGTGGTGGTGGTAAGTAGTGATGGTTTCTGGATTGCTTGATGTTGTCACCGAAATATAGCGTTCCTGTACATTTTTGTTGAGTTGGTGTTGATAAACAGCATGCCCGAGGGTTTATCGTTACCGTTGCGTTGATTCCGTTGCAACGGTAACGACAAACCCTCGCATGGATGGGCGAAGGAGTTGTTCACACGCATAACACAATACACACATAATTGCACATACTAGGAAACACGATAACGCCGACGCTGCAATGCATGTAGGGGGGAGGAGGAGGACGGCGAGGGAGGAAGAGGAGGCTGTGGTTGTGTTACGAAAGAAGAAGCGAAGGAAGTGCGGCCGATGAGGTTGGAATTGAGTATTGACGATGCTATGATGGCAGTAATGGTGGCAGCAATGTCGATGAGGCTGATGCGAGCATTTTTTTACAATAGAAAGCATTAAGGTTTTGTTTCTTAAATATGCGTTTTTATGCGTCCTCTATGGCGGTAGCGGAAGGCGGCAACCGGGGTCCTATCCTCCCCGCCTACTTGCTTGCCTGCGTGCATGCCCGGAGGCACATTACGATATGAGAACTGACACATTACTTCCCTTTCCTGCTTATTGGGCTCAACCCTGCATGCTTGTTTGGCTGCGTGACGTGACATGAAACATGAAACACATTGACCCACACCACGACACGGCGTACATGCGGGGCAGCGCGGGGCGGGGCCGGGCTGCTGGTATTGCTTTACCGGTTGCAAGCAGGGCTCGTGTGTTGCTGCATGCATTGCTGTGGAGGTGGCGGCGGTGGTAAAGGTGGACACAACCACCACCATATGGAAGTCGCTGCGTCTTGGTGCTGCTGGGTCCATGTGGAGGCTGTATCAGGCTGCGCCGGCTGGTTGGCTGGTTGGTTGGTAGCTCGCGGGTGTGCAGCTGGTGGGTTGGGCGAGGGCTGCCCCCGGAAGGTGAAAGTTGGTTGGGGCTGGAGGTGCAAAGAGTTGGGAGGACGGGGAGGAAGTGCAGGAGGGGGGGGGAGGGGCAGCGGCCTGCGGTTTGGTGTCGTGGTGTCATGGTGTCATGGTGTCATGGTGGGCTGTTGGGCAGTGCTCTTAAGGAGCAGTCGAAGGGCGCGGAACGTCGGGTGGGTGGGAGGCTGCTGGTTGGGCTTCAGCGGTGCTAGTACTGCGGTGTGAGTGCGCAAGGGGATTGAGGGGTGGTGGTGTATGGCTGTGCGAACTGTGGTGTTGTTTCCTGGCCCTGGCGCTACCTAGCCGGGGGGCGTGTGTGGGGGGTGCTGTTAGCGGGTTGTAGGGGTGTTTGGTGTTTGGCTGGGTGAGATGTGAGGACAGGCGGTGAAGCGTGTCGAGTGCGAGGTGGGGTGGGTGCGGGTGTGGGTTCGGAGTGTTTCCGGGCTGTGTAGCGGGAGGGGCGGGAGGCGTCCTTACGCCCCTTTGCAAGCTGCAGACCACTGCGGCGGTGATGGTTCATGGGAAGGTGTGAAGGAATGCGACTTTGCAGACCTCGTTGTGTGTCTTTGGCGCCAGCAGACTGGGCGTGAGACTTGCTGGGTTTGTGGAGGAGAACGGGAGCCTCCGGGGCGGGTTGTGGAACGAGAACTTGAGATGTGTGGTGTTGGTGGTTGAGGGACACTGAGGGGGCTCTGCAGGGGGCTCTGCAGAGGGCTCTGTCGTGTTGGGGGAATGGATGGGAGGTGGATGGAGGTTTTAAGGTTTAATGCTACGTCTGGGTGGCGGGTCGCCCTGTTGGGGGTGGAGGTGGAGGTGTTGTTGCTGCTGAGCGGTGCGGTTCATCAGGCCGCTAGATGGGTGTTGGAAGCACGCGGCAGCACCCTCTTCAGGGCGCGAAGTCCGCGAGGGCCTGAGAGACCCATGGGTCGCTCCGGGCGCTTCCTTCCAACTTTCCTCCCTGACAGCAGTGGCATGGGGTTGCTGTTTTGTGCGGTGTATTGAGTGCAGAGCATCTTAGGATTTGGGACAGTATATGCGGCGGGAGACTGGCGCGGGAAGTGCAAGGTGGTTTGCGGGATGTGACGCGGGGTCGGAGCTGCTGCGGAGTAGGGGCGCTTCTTCTTCCCCTCTTTCCCTCTTTCCAGTACACAGCTGGCTGTATCTAACGACTGTCCATAGTCCAAGCTAGCGGCGGTTTGTGCCGGATGGAGCGGCAGGGAACATACAGTGGCTCAGTAGCGGGGGCGGCGGTGTTGGGTTGCTGCGGGGAGGTAAAGAGGAAACAACTAACTGACTGAGGGGTGCGCAGGTGCGCGGTTGCACCGCACGCGGCACCCAACGAACCCACACGGGGCAGCTGCTGCTGCTGCTGCTGATGCCGCTGTTGTTGTTGTTGTTAGCTTTGATAATAAGTTGGTGCCCCCGTTAGGCGGGCCGTTAGTCGTTGTTGGTTTCTAGGCTTTTGTATCGCTGGTAGGGTGCCGTATCTTGGCCCTGTCCGTAGTAGGCCGCGTCTGGTATTCAGTCGCTTAGAGCCTGTATAGCGCTGTAGCGGGAGGCGGGGGTTTTAGGGTTTCCTGTAGAGAAATGCGTGTTTTTCTCAGGCCTTTTATGTTAGGCGGGGGCTGAAAGGGAGAGTTCTGCTGCGCTTTCTTCGCAAGCCATCCTGGCGTGCTGAAAAGCAGTGGAGTCGTTCAACCGCTGTCGACTTCTATTGGCTTAGCCAGTCCCGATGGAATGTGGTTCTGCAGTCGAGGAAAGGGGGAGTGGGTTAGTTTGTGTGCCACGTTCATGGGTGTGGGTGTCGTACATGCTTTTCGCTCTCGCTGCCGTACATTGCTACATAGCTGTTTAGATGAGAAGAGAAGAAGAAGGTGAAGAGGGGCTCAGCCGCGCGCGATCCACTTGATTGCGTTCGCTCGTACTGCCGCTCAAGTACATATGTGTTTGCCGTACAGTCAACCACCCCGTCCTCGCTCGGGCTCGGGCTGTCTCGTGTGTGCCTTCCTTCCCTGTGTTTGGCGCCTAGTGCAGCACGAATGTATATACAAGGCAGGGCGCGGAGCTGTTGTGTGTCTCTTTCTTTCTTCTTGGCTCTCTCACTAATTGGTCAGGGCAGGAAATAGATTGTTAGGAAGCAGGAGGCGGTTGATAGTGACCGGCAGTTTGGGGTTGGAAGGAGGTATAGCAGATGCTGCGCTCCCTTCACGCACATTTTGAGGCCCTCCCTAGACGTTATTTCCTTGTTTGTGTTGGCAGGAGCTTCCTTCAATAGCTGGTACTTGCTAGGCGGCGGGAAAGCATGTTTCCCGCGTGTTTGTTTGGATACGGTAAAAAGAGCGTGTGGCATGGAAGCCTGAAGACGCCTGATAGTAAGCATTTGTTGCCGTACGTCTGGGGATGTCGTACAATGGGGGTACTTGTCGTACAAGTACATGGGGAAGGCTGTACATGGGGAAGGCTGTACAGGGGCTGACGGGCGCAGCAGTAGAGCGTTGTTGCTTGCTGCTGTCGTACACGGGCGATGCTGATGGTAGGACACATGTTGTGTATATAGCATATTTTGGGCGCATGCCGCTAGTTGAAACACGTTCAAGCCGTTAGCAAGGGAATTGTTACTGATATGCTCTTTGTAGTGATTTGATTCTGTAAAACTGTTAGGAGTAGTGGCTATAGCACGTCTTTAACGAGGAGTAGAGGATAACAAGATAGGATATACCGTTGTAAGAAATCACGCCGTGAAGGCGTGATGCTGCGTTTGTAAGCAAACCTATGTGTGTAGTATCCCACGACTGCCAACAGTGGGTCGCTACATAACGTGCTACCGTGCGCACGCTGCGCTGTCAAGCCAGGATACCAGCTGCGACGTACCCAGGTACCGGTAGCTTACAGTACGGTCCAGCACACACAAAGCCCCCGACGTACGGCACACCTCTCGCAGTGTCCCGAGGCCGACGAAGTCGTGTTTTTACTGCAAACCAACACAAACACACGTGTCGTGTACCACTTGTGACGTTCACAATCACAGTACGTTCCGCCGTACAGTACCTCGCGGCCAGTTTCCTTAACACACGTGTCGTGTACATACGTCTACACTTTTAACCTCTACAGCTTAACACGCGCTATCACCGTTATCGAATGTCCGGTGAGTCACGACCCACATCGCCTCGTGTACATGCAGCGTGCGGTGGTCACGTGTGCGCGCATCGGGCATCGCCTCCCATGCAATGTATCTATGTATGCCCTGAAAGCAGGAGCCGATTACCCGAGTCAACTGCCATGCTCTATTCCAGCCCCAAGCCAAGACATCACCCCCTCTCCTTCTCCCACCACAATACAATGCACCCTATGTTCATTCCGCATCCTGCTCCTCCTCGGCCCCCTCTTCGTCCCCTTGCGCCTCCTCTTCCCCGCCAGCAGGCTCCTCCCCAGCCGCCTCCTCACCCTGCCCCTCCCCCTCCTCCTGTCCTCCCTCCCCACCGTCCTCCTCTTCAGCCGCCACAGCAGCAGCCCCCGCCCCTGCTTCCCCTCCCTCGCTACCCCCCACAGCCAGCGACGGCTCTCCCGCTAAGCTCCCAGACCCCGGCTCCTCACCGTCTCCTCTACCAAACGCACTGCCCGCAAGACTCGCCTCCGCCTCTGCCTCAGCTATCACCTCCGTATCCGGGGTAGGAGACCCTCCCTCTCCCGCCAACCCCGCCCGTGCCACCGCCTCCGCCGCAGAAGCCCGCGCCGCACCCACGCTAGCCCGCATCTTGGGCCAGATCCCCTCACCCTCTTCACCCTCACCCGCCCCCGCACCGTCCGGCTGCTCCCCGCCCTGCCCCGCATCCCCCCCGCCCTCCGCGCTGCTCTGCAGTGCCAGCTGCTGCTGCATGAGCGCCTGCAGCCGCTCCTGCTCGCGTCCCTCCCGCAGCGCCCGCACCTGCTGGCGAGCCAGGAAGCCCCGACCCGCCGCCTGGATGCGAATCACCGCCACCTGCTGCTCTACCGTGTAGTCAGACCGTACCTCCGCAGCCGCTGCAGCGTCGTCGTCTAGAGCAGGTTGCTGCAGCTGTTGCCGCATGGCTGCTACCTGCTTGCGAGCCAGCGCGCCACGTTGCGCCGCCTGGATACGTGTGACCGCCGCTACTTGCTCCTCCGTGTAGGATGAGGGGTCGAACTCCTGCGGCGCCTGCTCCTCAGCAGACCCCTCCTCTCCTGCTGCTGCCGCTGCTCCTGCCCCCTCCTCCTCCTCCTCCTCCTCCTCCTCCGCAGCGCCACCCTCCACTGCCCGCTGCCTCTCCTCCCGCAGCTCCCGTACCTTCTTCCGGTCCAGGTAGCCCCGGATGGCGGCCTGGCAGGTCACCACCTTCTCCTCATCCACCTCAGCCATCAGCCGCCGCAACGCCTCCCCGCGCTCCCGCATCGCCGCCACCTCCTTCCGCGCTCGGTGACCCCGGCACGCAGCCTGGATGCGAACCACCGCCTCCTCCGCCTGATCAACGGTGATGCCAAGACTGGTCAAGTCAATGACGGCAGCAGCGGGGCGGGCGGCGGCGGCGGCGGCAGCTTCGCCGCCGCCGCTGTCGCCGGATTCGGCGGCGACAGACGCAGCGTCGGCGCCCGAAGCGCCCCCCTGTACGGCGGCTGTGATGCTGGCTGCGGCCGCTGCCACGGCGGCGACGGCGGCGGTGTGGGTGCGGGAGATGCCCAGGGCTGCGAGCATGACCTCTCGCTTGTCGGGGTCGGTTTCGGAAAGGATGGCGCAGAGCTCCGAAACCGCGGAGCCCATGAGGGCGTCCACGCGAATGGTGGCTGCATCGCGGTCCTCGGGGCGGCGGATCAGCTTGCCTGCGTGGGGTAAGAAAATGGAGGTTTAGCGGCCGCATACATGGGGATATGGCGGGCAAAGGGAGGAAGCAAGCGAGGCAAGTGACACACAGCGCGACCGTGTTACAAGTCTTACAGCATGCCTCCTACTCTAGTCAAGTGAGGCTGCAAACAAGCATGGTGGTCAAGTACGACAGGTCGTTGCTAAGGAGACGGCCTTCGTCCAACCTACCGTATAGCCGCCTTCCGTCCGCACTCAATCCATCCGCCAGCCGCAGCTCGTCGATGAGCTCCTGCCGCCGCATGCGCCCCTCGTACATGATGTTCTGCGCCGCCCGCCCGCGCAGCAGCCGCTGCAGCAGCACCACCGCGGCGTGCTGGGGCTGCTGCAGCGTGGCGGGCTGCGGGAGCTCGGGCGTGGGCGGCCGCTCCACCGCACGAACAACCCGCCGAGCAGGCGACGCGCCGCCCAGCATGCCGCCGCCGCTGGAGGTTGCAGCGGAGGCGCCGGCGCCGGAGGCGGCGGCGGCAGCCGCGGCGCCTCCGGCGCCGCCACCAGCTGCTGCAGCGGCCCCGCCGTAGCTGCTGAGCCCTCCGACGCTCTTGGTAGTGCCAGGCATGCTGGGAGTCCGCGCAATCGGGGGGCCAGCAGCACCGGCACCCCCGCCAGCGGCGCCACTGCTGGCGCCGCCGCCGCCCCCGCCGGCATCGTCCTTTAGCGGCGCCGGCCAGCAGTCTCCGTAGCCCCTGCCCGCTGTGAGTTTGGAGGTGTCGAGCAGGTCGTTGATGGACTTTAGATCGCGCTGGATGGCCGCCTCCTTGCGCTGGGTGTAGTTGAGGCGGGTGGGGCGCTTGGGCGCCTCCATGCGCGGGTTCAGCAGGCGGGCCGGCAGGAAGTTCTCCAGATCCACCACGCCCTGAGCAGGGGGAGGGAGGAGGAGGAGAGGAGCGAGGGTTGGGAGGTGCATGGTGGTACGGCAGCAAGGAATTGGGTATGAAGTGGTCTGGCTATACATGCACGCACTCACGCATGCGCGTACTGCCCTGTCAGCTCACAGGTCCCAACCTCCTCTCCACTACCCCTCACCCCACCTTGAGCGTGCTGGGCTCGTAGCCCTCCGTCTCGATCTCCTGCCCCAGCGGCTTGGACTCCGGGAAGCGCCCCTCGCGCTGCAGCGGCGCGTAGGTGCCGCTGCCAAAGTTGGCGTAGCGCTCCACGATGGGCGGGCGGTGCAGCTTGCGGTGCTTCTCCACGTACTTGCGGTTCTCGATGAGCTGCCGCATGGTCTTGATACGTGTGGCCTGGCGGAGGTTGGGGGAGTGGAGGGAGGAGAAGGAGGAGGAGGGGAATGAGGAGAGCGGCATGGTGATGCGGTACGGGGCGGCGGTGTAGCAGAGTTCTGTGGCAGAGCACTGTTAAGGGCGCTGACGGCAGCCCCATGGCGCCATGGGCCTCCGTTCACCTCACCGAAAGCCACCCGTGCTCAGGGTCCCAAGCCTTCAGTCCCTTAGGCCCCACAGCCCCCCCTACCCCGGGGTCAAGCCTCGTCATACACTTCGTCAGTTTTCCCATTTTCTACCCCCCACATGGCCAGCCTCCTTAGCACCCCTCCCCGCACCTGCACATCCGCGAAGATGCCCGCCTTGGCCTCCAGCGTGGCCTGCTTGCGCTCCTCCACCCGCTGCCGGTGCTCCTCCTCCAGCTCCTCCTCGCGAACCTGGGGGGGAAGGGGGAGTGGGGAGGAAGACATGATGATGGGTGATGGGGAGGGCAAGCCCGCTATCAGTATCATGCCCCCTCCCTCAGCCCTTCGCCTTTCCTCCTCCCCTCCAGCGCACCCATTCCCGCACCTGCAGCGCTAACCCCCCATTCCTAACCTTTCATGCCGATCCCTCTCCTGCGCTCGTCACCCCGCACACCCCCCAACCCAGCACCCCTCCCACCTGCAACGCATTGTCCAGTAGCGCCAGCCGCTGCTCCTGCACCTCCAGAATCTCCTCCTCGCGCTCCGCCCACTCGCGGCTCTCCCACTCCTCAATCATCTTCTGACGCAGCGGCAGCCGAGCCACGTCATCGATGGGCGGCAGCGTTGCTTCAAATGCGCGCTTGGCCCGCATCTTGTCGATGCGAGTCACCTCCTGCAACCCCGCTGGCAGGCCGTCGCCAAAGGTCATGTCGCGGAGTTGTAGTACCTCCGGGCCTTCTGTGTGGTGGCGGCGACTCAGGGCCTGCTGCTTGGCGGTGGGGTGCTCTGGGATGACGTAGCCCGGTTCCCAGGGCGCTGTTTGCGCTTCATTTTCACGGTAGTCGGACTGCGTGCCAATGGTTTTGCTGCGGGGTTCTGACATGATTGCGGGTGCTGTGGCGTTGAGGTCCTGGTATTGAGGGAGGGGAGGTAAGGGGCCCGGGGACTGCTTGACATGGATTTCGGCTGCGGCCAGCAGCGGCCTACGGAAGTATTTGGGACGGTGCGGTCCGGATACCGCCAGCGCGTCGCTGCGTTCCTGGATATCCGATGGATCATGAGGCTGCGGATGGAAGTTACGATCCACGAACGCTGGCAGCCGATCAAGGTTTTTGAGCCTGTGAGGGCAGGGGGAGCGTACCCGGTATGGGGAATGCGGACAAAGCAACAGTTCCGAAGCCGCGTAGAGATACACGGCTAAGCTTAAGTTCTATATGTAGGATACGGGTCGCATTGGTGTATATGATCAAGCCCTCGAAAGCGCACCTGAGCGTTGAGGGTGGGTAATGAGGCAGCTCCGAAAAAAAGTTATTGTATACCGGCGCCCGCTCAATGTTAAAACCTCCACCCAACGTTTGTTGACGATAGTGGTCGCGGGGCCCAGCCACGGTAAAGGTAGGGTCTGCAAGGGGCCGCGCGAGGAGACCAACCATTGAGAAGGAATCCACCTGCTGCATCCGCTGTAACAGCAAGCAGCCTAGCAATCCTACCGTAAAGGGCATCATACGCCCTAGTTGGCTGCGTCATCCTGGGTGTCTTCCGCGGTTCGATGTCCTTTAGAGGGGCGACATAACAATTAAAGCAACTTATAAAGCAAGATTGTTCACATTATACACGGGTATTTTTGTTCACAGTAGCTCTGAGCGAAAGGGTGTAGGCGTGTAAGGATGGTGGTGAAGTACGTCAGGTCTAAGGCTTCCTTCTGAAGGATTCCTCCTCAAGGATCAATGCGACATTACAGCAACACGCTGCCCCTTTATTTGATTGTTGCAACTTGCATTTGACTCCAAGGTATTAGGAAAGCAAAGCGACCGACCGACCATGCAAATGCCGAAGGCAGTGGGCCTCTCCGTGCCATAGAACTGGTAGTCGGCTAATAGGCTGAAACTGATAAATATTGGTACCTATCAACAGCTGTTGGTAATAGTCGGCTTCTCACTGTGCTTCGGTGTGTCTGAGCTTGTACTCGCCCATGGGTCGTCAGCACACGCTCCAGCATTATGGCCAGAACTAGTTCTCATCTCCAACATGGTTTATGACGATCGTGCGACGATTCTTCGTGTATCCACTGACCGATGGACACGGTGGCATAACATGAGAGCTTGTGCGCATATTACAAGTCGTTCAGCCCAAAGCATGCAGGCAAGCTCCTCCAGCCATGCAAAAGGTCACAGCGTGCTTCCTAGTCCATCCAAGTTGCTGTCCCCTGCCGGTTAAACACTAGTAATGCATGTCTGGACCAAACGCCGGGTCAGCGGCAAGCTGACAATGTCCCTCGCGTGCACCTCACCACGTCCCTCTCCAGTTGGGAGAGTTAGGAAACCAGATAGCTACAGCACGCTGCAAAAAGCGCCAACCAAACGAAACAAGGACCACCACATTGGTGCTTGACAGTATACACGGACGACACAGTGCTCACGGTCCTTTCCTGCCGAAGTAACAGGCCTTACAGACTCTAAAACGTGACGTCGCTAGCATGCTTTCCAACATATCGGTCACTCATTGGGCATTCCATGGACCCCAGCCGCCTGAGAGCGTTTAGGTGTCAGGCTAAACCGCCTACCGCTCGCCCACACCGCTGTCGTAGAACCCGTGAACCCCCGTGTTCCTTTGCGCGGCCCCCTAACCAAACCCTCGCTCACATCCCCTCACCCTAATCCATCTCATAACGGCTCCGTAATGAGCTGCAGCTAGCACTAAGCCACGGCTATAATCACAACCCAATACATCACACTGAACCCCTAAGGCCCTCATGCATGTCGGTGGTGGCTGCCGCTGAACAGGAAGTCCGTGGCCACCTCCCCAGAGAAGCAGCCCGAGTCGCTGAGCAGCCGGAACACGCAAGAGTCCCGCGACCGCACAGTGCATGCCCGGCTCACACGGTCCAGCCCGTGACCACGCAGCGTAAAGGACACCATCGTGGTCGTGCCAATGGCCGCATCGCCGCCATTGGGCGCCGGCAATACCCACGTGAAGTGGTCGCCAGCAGGCAGCCCCTCCGCCCAGATGTGGCCGCGGCCCTCCTTGAACGCCGCCATGGCGGCTGATGAGACCATCACCTGGAACTCCCGCGGGCATGAGGGAGCGGCGCTGGTGCGCGTGAGCTTGAAGTTGAACGTCATGCCCTCGTCAAAGGTCTCCGAAATCTCAATGGGGGCAATGGAGAAGCACGAGGCCGTGGGGTCGTACTTCGCGCAGATCGAGCCGCCGGAGGCAAGGGTGGCGTAGGTCTCATCGTCCACGGACATCAGGCGGCGGCCGGAAGGAAGCGTGGCGGGGATGTTGCCGGCTGGGCAGCACAGCTGCGAAGAGCCACTGCTGCGCTGCGCCCCGACCAGGGCATAGTTGCACACCCGGGAGCCTCCAGTCGATGGAGTCACGCAGAGGTCCGAGAGGGCGACGTTGCCAGGAACCGTGACGGTAAGGGTGTTGGGTTGGACGGAAGCGTACGAGGACATTGAGATGTTGAGGTACGACACGGGGCCCTCAGATCCAGGCCGTACTTTGGTGCCGATGGAGCCCAGGGTTGCGGTGACGCCCGGCACTGCATAGGCCGAGTCAACGTAGAGGATGACGTTGTCAATGGCCATGGCGGAGCAGGCGCTGCGGAGGTTGCGGTGGGCGAGGTTGAAGGTGAAGACGGTGTTGCCACCCGACTGCACACGCGAGCCAAAGGTGAGGGTGTACGGACTGGCTGCCAGGTCAGAGACGCAGGCGGCGGGCTGCTGGGGGCAGAAGTGCATGACGCCCTCCGGGCAGCAGGCAGGAACGGTGCCGTCGTCAGCCTGTGGTTGCGTGGGCAGAAAGGAGGGTGCGTTAAGGGGCCTAGGAATGGTAGGGTCAGGAGGTGCTCTACACGTCACGGGGCTATAGCCGTCCATGACAAGCAATTGCACAGGGGGTCGGGCGTCTCTCAAAGGCCCTAGCTTGGAGACAAGAGGCCCAGCTTCCGTCCCACAACATGCAATACAGCTTTAGTCCTATGCAGCCAACTAACTCACAAGCATGTTCTGTGGCTTGCCAGGCACGGTCTGGTGTCCATGAAGCCAGTAGTCGCAGGCGTTGCCGGTGGTGTCCCATTTAGAGGCCGGGCAAGGGAAGATCGTAGCGTCGGACCAGAAGCTCTTGCTCATGACAAGCGACACCGACACCGCGGAGCCCGCCACAAAGCTGTTAGTGAAAAGCGGGTTCTTGAACTGCACACGCACGCCATAATCGTAGGCGGTAAAGAGCGTCGCGACCAGCTGCTGGCCATTGGGGCCCGTCACCACAGCAGCCTGGATGCCGTCCTTGTGTGCGGCCAGGACGGGGAAGGATACGCCCTCCAGGGAGGCTTCGCAGCAGCTGCCGTTGCGGTAGTTGACGGCACTGCACTTGCTGCCGTCATTGAGGGTGATCTGGAAGTTGTATACAATCAGGCTCTTCTTGTTGTCAGTGCCTTGGAAGGATACGCTCCAACGGCTGTTGGTGTTGACGAGGGGGCTTAGGCAGTCGCAGGGGCTGGTCTTAGGAAGGGCAGGGAAAGGAGGCGGTGGCGGGGGAGGAGGAGGAGGCGGGGGAGGCGGCGGAGGGGGAGGAGGAAGGGGTGGAGGCGGTGGCGGTGGCGGAGGGGGAGGTGGGGGTGGGGGAGGAGGGGGAGGCGAGGGAGGCGGCGGCGGCGGGGGTGGGGGAGGGGGGGGAGGAGGTGGCGGGGGAGGGGAGGGTGGCGGAGGGGGGGGCGGCGGCGGAGGAGGAGGCGGAGGAGGGGGTGGGGGCGGTGAAGGTGGCGGCGGAGGAGGAGGAGGCGGTGGCGGAGGAGGAGGGGGTGGCGGCGGCGAGGGAGGGGGCGGTGGCGGTGGCGGCGGAGGAGGCGGTGGTGGCGGGGGAGGAGAGGGAGGTGGAGGCGAGGGTGAAGGCGGCTGGGGCGGGGAAGGCGGCGCGGAAGGTGATGGCGGGTGCCTCACTGCAGGCTTCAACGGCGGCGGCGGTGGGGGAGTCACCATACAGGTGGGGCAGCAATCGTGCTTCGGGTTGAACTCGGCATACTGGAAGACTCCCGACGCTCCAAGCTTCGCTGACATGAAGAACACATCAAAGTTGTTGCAAGGAGGCTTGAGGTTTAGGCAGAGCTGGCTGGTCTGGACCATGCTCCGGGTGGCGTTGAGGTTGGTAATGCGGATCTTGCCAACGGTGTAATCCGTATCGAAGAAGGTTGAACCCATCTTCGTGACCCCGCCGAAAGTCGAGGCGGTGATACTCTTGTTGCAGATCTTATCTGGGGGGATACAGGACAGGTGCAAGATGGATTCGCGGGTTGGAGCAGTTAGCATAGCGACATAAAAAGACACACGAATCGGGGGCTTCACTGCTCTCCAAAACCCGCCAAGGGTGACCGGCGAACGCACCTGCCACAAACTCCACTTTATCCATGTTATTTAGCAGGCTGGCACAGCAGGTGTTCCCAGCTGGGCAGCCAACATCCTGGAACTGGAAGCAGACCCTCAAGTTGCCATTTGTCAATGTCTCCTGGGAGGCGACTGACATCTTATATGGCGATGTCGCGCAGCGATAGTCCGTGCATCGACAAAATGGAAAGCCAAACAGGTACTGAGCGTCAGGGTCGTTGGGGTCAAATGGTGGAGATGGCGCATCCGCTTGTGTAGCTCCGTGCTGAACCAAAGAAGTGAACAGCACAGCCGCTATGGAAAATACCAGCAAGCATGGCCTGCTGGTCCCCATTCGCTCCGCGCAGTGCGCCCGAACGGCGCTCCTGTGCACTCCTGCTGCTTTTGGCGCCCTTTGCCGCAGCAGCGTCTGTATGGAATGCTGCTGCGTCTATTCCTGCAAATTTACGAATCACTCATTAACAGGTGAACGATTAAGGATTTAACAAGAAGGTGGCGTTCCGAGCGTCTGCGAAGCCCGCCTCTGTTACCCCAAATTCCCAGCGTTTAGCTTTCGTCTTACCTATTAAGGCCTTTCAATGAGTCCCTTTGTAGTGCGATAGGGGTACTGATCACTAGATAGCAGCACTGGAAAATTCAAATCGTCAACAAACGCAGCTTTCCCGTCTGCTGTCTGGGACAAGAAGCGCAGTACCCCTAAAGCATAACGGACAGGGAAAATGCGTATAATGGGTGCAGGGATATGGAAAGGGCTTTCTGAACAGATGCCCAGTTGCAGTCGTACATCACCACGTTGTACTACCCGTTGCAAGCTAGCTTTATGGCATAATAAAGCTGAAGGAGCACTTGTCATCCTAAAGGACGAATAGAGTTTAATGCGCAGGGGCCGACATGCGCAACATAGCCGAACCCATCGCCTTGTCGTCCTCGCAAAGGCGGAGCAGAAGCGCACAGCTATGCTTAGCCTTACCCTAATAAGTATGCTAGGAACTTTGTATTGTCTAAGCGAGCGCCGGGTCCAGGCAGGAAGGGGGCACTGGGGTAACGGCATGTTCTGCGATCATACTTGCCGGGACACTGTCGTTGGAAGCTATAGTGATCTACTGCTCTGCCGTGGTTGGCTCGCATCTTTATGGGGCGTAGTCTTAATCCTAGCACATAATCGTCCGGACCGAGGCCCTTTTCTTACCATGGACATGGTCCCATGCCATACGAATGTATGTACCTGCAGCGTTGTCGCAGATTTCATTCGGTGAAACATTACATGCATGAGGAATGTCCTTTCCCCAACACAGAAAAGTGCATTCCCTCAACACACGCAGGCACAATGCGAGCATCCCCTATTCGCAGGGCTATTAGCAGCTTGGCAGACCGCCCCGAAACTCGTTCCATCTAGCCAGCCCTAACAACTAGCTTTGGCGAGTTTTGTCAGCAACGGCGCCAGACAGCCCATCCATTTGTCCTCCCCGGCAGCTTGCCAATCCGCAAAGCCGATGACCGCAACAGCCACACCTCGCACGGCAACACGACTGACTTCCACACCGACGTTGCCATTGCCGCTCGCAAAGCCACGAACACCCCCCTCTGTCCCTCCTGCACGCGCCTGCACATCAGCATCCATACTCGCTGCCAACGCATCCTTCAAACACAGCTGCTCCAGTAGGCTCTGAGCGACACAGGGGTCAGTATCCTTGACAGCAAACCCATCACGCCACGCAAGTGCGGCCTCAGTGACTCCTGTACCTGCATCGTCATTACCCTCCCTTCCAGCGAATGCCGACCCGCCAACCGAGGCCCTCAAGATGCGATCCCGTAACACCGCCTCACCCAGTCGTCGCAGATTCCTGCCGCCCTTCTCGTCGCTCCTCCCCGCCTCGCTTCCTCCTTCAGAGCCCGATAGCTCGACAGCAAAGTGCAACGGCCCGTCTACCTGCAACAGCACCAACCAACCGTCGTACAGCGCCAGCAGGTCCACACGAAGCATACGATCCGGGCTCAGCACCTCTTCCGCCACCGCAGTCACTGTACGACAACAACTGTCGTCGCTTGCATCCCCACAGCTGCCGCTGCTGTTGATGGAATTGGGTATGCCATCTGCAACAGCGTCAACGCCGCAGCCGGTGTTTCGCAGCGCCGCTGCCACAGCGGTTTGCAACACGGAGGGTGCGACGCAGGTGGTGGTCAGGTACCAGGCGTTGCGAGCAGCGCGGAAGAGCTGCGGACACGTCGCCAGCGGCCCGAACACCACCTCCTCCTCCGCTTCCCCCGCCTCCTCCGCTTCCCCCGCCTCCTCCGGCCGCGGCGAATCCGCTGCAGTGCAGGGTGCGTCTGACAGCCGTCCCGCAGAGCCCTCCGCAGCCTCCTCATCAGCGGCATCAACAGCAGTGGCACTACCGCTACCATCCACAGCGATGCCACGTTTCCCATCCGATCCACCGCCACCTCTATCCCCACCTACGCCGCCGGCGCCAGCTCCACGGCAGCTGCTGACGGCTCCCGCGGCCCTCTGTGCTTGCCGCATGGCCTCCGCTGCTAGCACCGCAGCACCCCGGCGCCTGCCGCCACTCCCACCCAGCGGGTCAGGCCCGCTGCGCTGTCCGTCCTGCTTGCCAGCGTTGCTGCGACCACTGCCGGCGCCAGCAGCTTCCTCGGCGGCTAGGCACGCCGTGTAGTTTGCGAGGTACAGCTGTGACAGGCTGTACAGGTGGTACGGCGGGAGCCCCCTCTCGCCGCCGCCCCAGCCGCCCGGGCCGCCCGGGCCCTTGTAGACCAGGTCGCTGCTGCCGTCGTCAACCTGCCCTCCGCCGTCGTAGCTGACCCCGTCACTGCTGCAGCCTGAGGCAGCAGCCTCCGACGCAGACGCAGCAGCCAAGGCACCACCTGCTGCTGCAAAAGCGCTTGCAGGGCCGAACAAAGCGATTCCAACGGCATCAGTCGTATCAGCAGCGTTGTCGTACAAGCCTGATGCCGCGGCGGTGCCGGCGGCAGCCAGGAGCAGCCGTTGCAGTGTGGGGCTGGCGGGACTGAGTACGGCAACGGACCAGGACAGCAGCGCCAGCTCACGTGAGGTCAGGCCGTTGGCAGCGGCGGCGGCTGCGGCAGCAGCGGGTTCGGTGGAGGGGTCCAGGTTTGAGGGGGCCGTGTGGAGGGTGGTCTCGGAGGGGGATGTCGATGTGGGAGTGGAGGCTGAGGAGGCTGGAGGGGCTGAGGAGAGGAAGGGAGACCGGCGGCTATCGGTGGCAGGTTGCGTGAGTGTCAGCGGAGGCTGCAGTCGCCGATCTAGCTCCTTCAGCAGTTCCTGCAGGCAGCAGACGGGGAGTGGTGCTGAAGCTGAGGCCCGCATCCCAAGCCTCCCACGTCCCACCCAGACCCTTCCCTGCCCGACCCGTTGCCCGTGCGGCCAGACCAACCAGCCCATTCGGCCTTCTGTCCGGACATGCGCACATGCCTAACCCATTTCAAGTGCTGCCCAACAGAGCGCCAATCTGGACCCCGACCCGCGCCTTCACCCAAACCCCTAGCTCCCAGCACAACCCCAAGAGCGCCATGCTACCCATGCACAGCTGAACACTCACCCGCAACACCCCAGGGTGGGCTGACGCAAGCTCCGGCACCAGCCGCGCCAGTCCGTACACCGCATTCGCCAGCTCCACGCCGCACATCTGGGGGGCCAGCGAGGTCGCCGCCGCCGCCAGCGCTGCCAGCAGCGGCTGGTGCCGTAGCTCGAGGGATGCGTAGGACCAGAGGAGGTTGGAGATGGCCTGCGGTGGGCGTGTGCGCATGCAGAGGAGCGGCAGGCAAGGGTCACGCGTAAAGTCACGCAAGGGTCACGTGTGTCAGAAGCAATAGCACAATGTTTGGCCTCATCCCCCGACGCAAGCTGTGTCGTTTACCCTAACCACAAATCCGCAGACCAGTTTTTCAACCCTTTAACCTCTCCATACTACTTCTTACGGTGCCCTCCTCTCCTCCGCTAACCCTTATCAACCACCGTCCCTTTGACCCTCCCTGTGACGGTTTCCTTAACCCACTCACCTGCGTCCGGCGCCCCTCGCAGCGCCGCAACACGTCATGCAGCCGCAAGCGCCCCTCCGGCAACCCCTCCGCCACCTCCTCCTCCGCCCCTGCTGCCCCTTCCTCCGCGTCCGCAGACGAGTAGCCCTCCGGCCCCGCGACGCCCTCTCCCCTGCTCCGCCCCTTCCCCCTTCCCTGCCCCTCCCCTTCCGCTGTCAGCGCTGCCCCCACTGCCGCCAACATGTGCGGGGCGCTCAGCCCCAGCGCAGCAAAGGACCAGACGCAGCCCGACAGAGACTGCAGCCCCATGGAGGGAGCCCTGGGGGCACAGGGAGCGGCGAGGGGAGGGTGATTGCAAGGGCAGGAGGGGAAATAAACAGGGGCCCGGGCTGCGGACGGGGAGGCGGCGTCGTGCTCGCTTGTTGACAGGAGTAGGTTTGGGGTTGGAGTGGCATCTGAGTTGAGCGCTGGTCTGCAAGGTCGCGTGTAGGCAAGCGCTTTGGGAGGGGCTATAGCAGCAACACCTGCCCTCTACTTCTGGACGGCAACAGAAGAGCCAGCGGTGGCTCTTATCCGGGGCCTGCCGTGCAGCCTCACCTGCGTGCCACCTCCTCCGCTGCCGCCGCAAACAGCCGCCGCTGCGCGACACCCATCTTGCCGTACGCCCATAGCAGGCTGGACAGGGCCTTTGCAGCGGGGCGGGAGTGGGGGGGGATTAGTGGGGGGATGGAGCACCAATGGTGGAAGTGCGCCGGAGGAGTGAAGGAAGCACGAAGTAAAGACATGGTCAGGACAGGGATAGTCAGAACCGAGGAGTAGCGAAGATGAACGGCACTCGCTCGCAGGAGCGAGTACGAAGAGCTCTAGTTGATCAAGACTCGAGCTCCTCACACGCTGCCGATAGAGCCCCGTTGGCCCCGCCGCCCCTCAGCCCCCCTACCCCTCGAGCCGCCCCCTTCTCAGCACACCTGGTCATCGAAGCAGCGGATGCGTGAGGCAGCGGGAGTCGCAGCGGCCGCCAGCAACCCAGCCACCCCCTTTGCGCTGCTGCCCTGCAGCTGCTGGTGCTGGGGCTGCTGCTGGTGGTGTTGCTGCAACGCCGCGAGCGCCCAAAGGCACGTGGAGAAAGCCCTTGGGTCGGTGCGAGCCAGGTCGTGAACCTGCACGCGGCAGGTATGCGCGAGTGCTACTGACCCAAATCATCCTTGCGCGAGGCGGTAATGAACTATGGGAACGCATCGTGCACACGTTAGTGGCTTGGCACGGCAGCCGCATTATGATTCCCCGGAACAAACGCTGACCCAGATCAGCGTTACCCCACAGTGTTATGAACTTATGATACTGCGGAGGGACGCCCAATGACAATATGTGCGTTCGACAGCCGCCCAAGGGGCCACCCCATGTACGACAAGCGCGCCCACCTGAGGTTTCAGCAGCTGTACGGCAGCATCGACCATGGCCGCATCATGGTACCCCAGCCGTACGGCACCCCACAGCGCTGTCGAGGCAGCGCGAGCACTGAAGCCCGCTGCTGATCCCTCTGCCTTGGCTGCGTTGCCGCTGCCACGTTTGGTCCCCTTGCTTGGCGCTGCCTTCCCCGTGGCAGCCCTCTTGGCAGCTGCGGACCTGGCTGCAGGGGTTGCGGCTGTTGTACATCCGGCCACCATTAGGCGTGTGGTGGCAGCGCTGAGACCTGGTAGCAGTCCCGCCGGGAGGATGACGGCTTCCTTGGGCGGCACAGCACGGCGTTCAGGAGAAGGGAGGAACGGTGATGCGGGCGAAGAAGGCGAGGGCGCCGAGGTATGAGGTGCAGGGCACCCAACAGGAGAAGTGGAGGGAAACGTGGCGGAGTTGAGGGTGGCCAGGGACCACCAGGTGCTTCCCAGGTCCTGCTCGTTGAAGGTGTCCAAGCGTGGGAGGCAAGCGGCTGCGAGCGCCAGGGCTGCCTGCTGAAGTCCTGCCGATGTGGATGCGTTGACCCTTGCGCAGGCTGAGCCGCTTAGGCTGCGGCAAAGCAAAGCTGTACCATAGAGAGCATTACAAACGCTCTGGTTCGAAGCCTCGCGAAGAGTTGTGGGTGCTGTCAGCGCTCGCAGCAGGGGCAGCGCATGGGTGCAACAGGAAGGCGTGGAGATCTTCCCCAGCGCCCAGATCGCAGAACCAAGTTCACGGGCGCTGGCTCTGACCCCATCACCAGTTGCCGCCCTAAGCTCGGAGGCCAGCGAATCCACGCGGTCGTTAAGGTTGCCATTGGAGTTGCCGTCCGCTCCACCATGTCGCTGATGAATGGAGCCTAAAGCAAGGTCACGGATGAGCTCTACAGTAGCTGCTGCTGCCCTGTCAGTATGGGAAGGCAATAGGCGACCGTTTCCGGCTGGGCAACGGAGACGGGGGCCCGAACAGGCGCAATACTTCCTTGTATGTATAAAAACTGTGGAACATCTATAGTTCGCGGTTGTTGAGGCATGTGATGGTGCGCGAAGCCTACATGTTTCTGCAGCAGGCATGCGACCTAGTGCTGCGGTAAGGTTACACAAGTTTAAAAAGTAGCGTGTAGCTTGTTTCTTGAGGTTAATATCTTTTAGTTTGGCAAATGCTGGTTTGGATGAAAGCCATGCAGGACCTGGTGGTCTTGCTTGCTGTACCGGTAGCTAGGCCTGGAATCGCTTACACGGAATCGTGCCAAGCATTACCACCTGAGTACATATCCTGTATCATGTGCGTAACCCATGGCCAGTACGTTTGTTCCGGGCGTAGCTGCTGATATGTTTCGCTGAGCTGCAAGTGACCCATGGGCGTTCCAGGAGTGGAGGCAACCTTGCTAGCGGCAACACCAACCAATACGCCGCTCAGCAGGATTGAAACAGGAGCGGTATTCCCTTGCGCCTAAAGTAGAGCCATCGCGCTTATCCTCGGAATGGCCGAATGGGTCGACAGCGGCTGCTGCGTTCGGTGAAGCTGGTCAACACGCAGATGCCCTGCACCTCCATCTTGTCATCCGGCGTGGTGTGAAAGAACACGGTATAGTCGCCAGGGATTGGCGGTCTTTGAAGGGAATAAGGCCAGGTTAAGGAGACGTGACACGCAGAGAACGGATAAAACTGGTAAACCACTGCACGCTAGCATAAACTCCTTCTATCTAGTATATTGTCCCCATAGTGTGGTGCCAGAGCACACCGCATGGCCAGGCCTTACAAGGCAGGGTCCACTGACCGGTCGCATTCGTAGATGATGCCGTGAAGTGCCGTGATTTCCGGTCAGCGCCTGGCAAGGAACTGTCCTTATGCTTGGCTGAAGCTGCCTTACTGGGTTGATACCACAAAGACATTTGCCTATTACCTGTACCGTGTTCGTGGCCAACCTACCGGCATCCTTGAGCTCTTGGCAGGCTCTGGCATAGTCGCACTGTCTCCAAATTTTTGTAAAATGTACATATGCAATCTCGCCTAACCGCTGGTCGGCTTTCAAGGACCTGTTGGTTGGTCGGCCGTAAGCATGCCAGGCCGACGGAGCTCACAAGACGCCGAACGGCTTCAGACTGACGAAAACGAATCTCTTCTAGCGAACAAGTATGTGGGATCCGCGCTATTACGAATGACTTTGGTAGAAAGGGGCATGCGCGACCCGCTGCTTGCGTGGAACGCTTGCAGTCTGCAACCATTGAGCCGAAGCCCACCGACTCAACATCTTTAATGCTTTATGGAATTACGCATTCGCGCCGAGTAACTTGCACCGTGTTCCCAGCCCGCCTTGCTTGTCGATTGTTGTCCTACGGTACGCGACAGGTCCCGTTCGGAAGGCCACGCAGGAGACTACACGGATGAGGAGCGTTGTGATCCAGAGCGTGCCGATGGCGGCAATACGACAGAAGTGTCACCATACAGGGACCGGCGTGCGCTGGACGCTGAAATCTTGTCCATGGCACTGCCGGTAAGTTTGCAGCACGCAACGCGCGTCCTAGGGCCGTAACTCCATGGCCACGTGCCCTAGGCTTGCGCCTGCTAATCAACTCCTCTTGCCGCCCTGCTTACCTCGAAAGGTACCTCAGCTGACTATTGTGCATTCGGGCCTTGACATCTGTCACCTTCCCGTTCTGTCCCTTGCTGCCCGCCTCCCCAACTCTCCGCTCTTCCCAACCCCCACTCCACCTCACCTCCCCATGCCCACCTCAGATGCTCGCCGCGCTAGCAGCCGACCCGCTCGCCGGCCTGGTGGACAGCGCCTACCTGGGACACGCGGGCTCCTCCCAACTGGCGGCGGTGGGGGTGGCGCTCAGCGTCTTCAACACCCTCACCAAGCTCTTCAACACGCCGTTGCTGTCAGTCACGACAGGCTGTGTGGCCAAGGCAACCGGGGAGGCTCGCAGGGCCGCAGCGGCCGCGGCTAGCTCCCCGGCTGACCGTGAGGCTGGGGCTGCTGGCAGCTCGCAAGGTTGCAGTAGCATAACCGCAGCAAGCGCGACGACTGAAGGAAGCGCTAGCGCTGGGCACACGAGCGCATGCGTTGGGAGCGCTGAAACAGCCGCGCAGTCACCGTCCACTGCGGGTTGCCCAGCCGCACCGCTCGCATCACCCTCTTCAGGTGGTGCAGCAGCAGCGCCTGGCCCCGCTGGAACCAGCTTGCATGGCAAAGCCGCGTGCACCGCCAGCAGCCTCGCCACCGCCGCTGACGACAACTGCCGAAGTGGGTCAGCAACAGCGGCAAGGACCGGTTCGAAAACTAGTACGAACAGCGACGTAACGCCATCGAGAACAGCAACAACGGCAGCGACGGCGGCGGTGACAGCGACTGATCAGGAGCGGCGGGCCGCGTTGAGTTGCCTCTTCCTGGCGTTCTTGGCCGGGCTGCTGCAAGCCGGGCTGCTGGTCGCAGGCGGTCGCTGGGCGCTGTGCGTGTGGGGTGTGCCTCACACCTCCCCCATGTTCGCCCCTGCCTGGGGCTTCCTGTCCATCCGCGCGCTGGGCGCACCAGTGACGGTGCTGATGCTGTCGCTGCAAGGGGTGTTCCGCGGGTTACAGGACACGCGCACGCCGCTGCTTGCCACGCTGCTAGCCAACGGGGTTAACCTGGTGCTCGCGCCGGTGCTCATCTTCGGGGCGAGGCTGGGAGCGGTGGGGGCGGCGGTGGGAACCGTCTCCGCTCAGGCGATTACCGTAGGTTACTTGCTGAGGCAGCTCAGGACTAGACTGCCGCCGCTGCCGCCGTCGCCGGCATCGTGTCAGCAGCTGCCGCAGAAGGGCGTGTCAGTAGCTGCCAGGGACCAGGTTGCCGCTGCTGCTGATAATCAGGAGCGTTGGAGCAAAGCAGGACATGTAGTAGCGGACGGCAAAGCGCACGAAGCTGAAGCGACGGTGGTGCCTCCAAGGCTAGCTGCTGGAGGAGCCGCGGGGAGGCTGGCGTCGTGGTGTTGGGAGACGTTGCGGGACACGTTTCCGCTGTTTAAACCAACAGGTACGTCATGTACTCATTCCTGCTGTGAAGGTAGGTGCTACTGCCGGTACGGTGGTTATACTGTTACGCAGCACCGGCACCTGAAAGCCGCGCGTGCATGTAGCTACCAGTGCACGCCCCCGGCGCATACCCATACGACGTCTGCAACGTGGTTTGCGCACCGCCTCCGTGCATGCGCCCGTGGCTTACAGGATCCGGTATGGCCGTCTTCAACCCCCGCAACACAGCCTGGGCCCCCGGCCTCACACTGCCTCTCATACTTGCGTGAAGGCACATGCGCCGTAGCCAGCGCATGTCCAAATGCACATGATGTCCGCACACCCACCACCCACCCGCATGCAGGCCTGCTCATCCTCCGCCTGGCGTCTGTGATGGTCGCCTACGCGGTCGCCACCACCCTAGTAGCCCACGCGGGTGAGATCGTCACCGCCAGCCACCAGATCTGCTTTCAGGTGAGCCAAACCCAAGCGGGCAGTTGGGGACGTTGGAGAGGAATGGAGGAGAGAAGGAAGAGGCAGGGGGGGGAGGGCGGCGTAGGGATACCTTGTTCCCTGGGATGCATGTCTCGGAATGCAAGCTTTTGGCTGGGGCCTTGTGACCGGGGTCCTTCACCGTGTCAGACCACTAGTGCTGTACGGTACCAGGTCAAGCAACTCGTCTCTTTCCTCATCTCGGCCGCTCCCAACCTCCTGCCCTTTTCCACCTCCCGCTTTCAATTCCTTCCTTCCTTCCTTCCTTCCTTCAGTTATGGTTGGCCAGCTCCCTTCTCGCCGACGCCCTTGCGGTGGCCGCCCAGTCGCTGATGGCTCGCGACCTGGGTGCAGGCAGCGTGCAGGGGGCCACACAGGTGGCTGGGCGGGTGGGCGAGATGGCGGGCGCGCTGGGGCTGGGGCTGGCGTGTGCTCTGGCTGCAGGGCACCGGGGGCTGCCCGCGCTGTTCAGTCGCGACCCGCTGGTGCTTGGGCTGGTGAGAGGTGAGAGAAGGCCGGCGAAGGGTAAGGAAAAAGAAACCGACGCAGCTTCACCATGGGTTGCTACATTGTACCCGGCCCATCCCGCCCCACCCAAAATAATCCAGCCAAAACAACAAATGGGCCTGCCGAATAGATGAGTCTTTCAGCAGCCAAGGCCGGCAGCAATGGGGGGACCCTAGGTAGCTTAGGATGCGCATGGAGGGGGGTAGCAAGGGTGAACGCACCTCATTAACTCGTGGGCGGTGAGGAGAGACGGGGCATCAATTAGGGATGCGTGTGTGATGCCTGCACGCATGTCCCCCGGTTCTTTGGCAGGCAGGGAAAACGTGGTACCCATTGTGTTAGCTGTATGTCAGGATCTCGGGGCTGGTAGAGGATTGCGCGCCTATCTTCCTTCCTAATAATACCGGTACCAACTCAGCGCCTGCCCTTGTGAGCTGCTGTCCTCGCTCGCCACCCTTTGCTGGCAGGTTTGTTCCCAATCATCTGCGTCACGCAGCCCATCACCGTCCTCGCCATGACGTGGGATGGCATCTTGTTTGGTGCGGGCGGCTTTCGGTACGCTGCCTTCTCCATGAACGGGGCGTCCATCCCGGCCATCATAACCATGGTGGCCGGCTCAAGGATGTGGGCGAGGCACCCTAAAAGCGCTGACGGTAGCAGCAGCGGCGCACATAATGACCAGGCAGAGGATCGTGAGCGGCAGGGGGTATCCGGGAGCACAGTTCTGGCGGTTGTGTGGGCGGGTCTGACGGTTCTGATGCTGATGCGGTGGCTTGTGATTGTGGTGCCGTACATGCTGCGAGTGGGTCCCTTCAGACAGATGAGAAAGAGGTGCTAGGAACAACCGCAAAGAAATGCAAGTATATGTGATTGCGAAGTGACTGAACGACTCTGGTATTATGTGTTAGTTTCCACTGACCGATGGTGGATGTTGAGCGTGGTGAATGCGACAAGGGTACAGTAGCAATAAGCGGCTGCTTAAGCACCTGATCGAAGGAGTACTGGTCAGGCCGGTTGTTTACTGCCCAAGAAGCGACATGTGATAGAGTAGTGCAACTCCACCATACATGCAATCGCTAAGTCGACCTCTGCTTCAATAGGTTGTTCAGCTTTCGTTGGCCCCCTGGTGACGCCGAGCAGGAAGCCATCCTTACTCAGCGTGTCATACTGCGGCTTGCTCATGTCTACATGCCGGCAGCCCACGGCATGCTCCAGCACCCCGACCGCTGTAACCGCAGCTCCAGCTTGCGGCCACATTTTACTGGCACCTCAGAGCAAGCACAGACGCTGGCCCGTTGTGGTGTTGTCTTTCCGGCGTGTTGCAGTGTAGGTGGTTGGCTGGGTTCATCACCCGTGTTCCCTTTTAGGGAACCATTGTAACAGTCATTCATTTACGGACGCGTTGCATACACGTTCTCCGGGTTTTAGGTTACAATCCTGCTGCCCTCCCGCTTGACTGCTTGCATGACATGCTCCACCAGCATGTCAGACATGCCTGACGTAGAGCCCATCACTACCTCCTGCCGATGCAGCCTGGCGGGCAACCGCAAGAAGGTAACAGGCATTGGAGTCACAGAAATTAGGTGGTACACACATTGGTCTCAAAGTGGATAACCGTACTGCAGCTGGATGAATGCCTGCAGGCATTGTCTCTGCAGTACAACCGCATTTACACCCACCACCAGTACTAGTCATGAAAGCATGCCCCTTACCTGCCAACACTCGTGCAGGTTGATGGTGAACAGCCTGGGGGCGACTTTCAGCCTCTCCAACGTTGCAGTGTCTCTGCCAGCATCGGTTATTCTCACGTTCTCATTGGTTATTCTCAGCCTCAGCTACCGGGAAAGCCGTCAAGTTATGTTGGGGTTTATGGCCCTCTGCATGCAGTCACATGCCGCTAATTCTCTAGACTACTTCCGGGAGGGGGTAGGAACTGCAAAAATAGACCCCAACTCCTAAATTGCTGTCGCTTTGCATAGGGAATCTAAAACTGCTTTCGGATTTTTGTTTGGAGTTGTACGAGAAAATTATGGGTATGCAAAGTTGGTTTGTTCCGGTACGTGAGGCAACTAGCTTGCTGAAGGACCTGCCAAAAACACCAAAACCACACCGACTTGTGCACCATGGTGCTCAGACACAGCACATACGACACACCCCTCTAGATCCCCTCGTGGACCTACAACTTGCATCTCACTCCAATTATATAGACAACTCGTCGTTACAAGCTTGCGTTTGTTGTGTACCATTTTCAGTTGTACCCCCCCCTCTACAACAAAGGAAGCTGCAGGGAGGTGTCAGCTCGCTTGAGCGACTAAAGCTGCGAACAAACAAGTACCCACAAGGACGCGTGGTTACCGCTGAAAACCACTGTCGTGAAGCAACAAGTGAACACGAAAACATGTCCCTACTGTCAGGCATGCAACAGCTTGTAGCAAGGCTACAATATAAGTCCTAAAGGGAAATACACCTCACGACATCGAGAGGCCTTTTAGGACCGTTGTTACACAGCACCTCAACACAGCGCATGCACAGAACAGCATACCTAAACATGTGACTGGCAATCCTCGTACTAAATTCGCACCATTCGACACTCGAAGCACATCGCATTCCAAACCCAGCATATTCAAGACACATCGCATTCGAAACCCAACACATTTGAGACACATCGCATTCGAATAGCACTGGAAACTGCAACCACCGACCACAAACCCACGCATGCACATGACAGCGTTTTTAGCATTGCAGTGTCATTAAGTACCGAAAACATATACAAATATATACAAAATTCCTTTCAGTTTCAGAAAGACAGGTTAACTTGTTCGGGGTCACACCATCGGAGAGCATCATCTCAGCACATACTTGGGGCAATGCTCCCGGCCTAAGCTCGTTGCCCTCTATACACTTGCTGGCTGGCCATTGCCATTCCATCATCTTCGATCCACACATGTATACCCTACACGCACAAAACTACGACACTGATTTAAGACCGCCTAATAGTGCCTGCTAATCGTACCTGCCTGTCACCTCACCCACATGCCTTCCTTTCCGTCCTCCTCGTAACCCTCTTTAACTAACCCCTTCCCTTCCTCCCATTCCTCAGTTTGCTTCCTGGTTAAAGCCCACCTGGTCTGGCTAAATGGGTTGGTCATGGTGGAGCAGGGCTGTATGCTGTATATTGATGCCTGCTACATATGCAGAGATTCCCGTCGCCCAAAGCGTGCTAGACGGAAGTCCCCAATTATCGACCGCCGCCTGAGGTTGAGTCGTGTGTTCGTAGACGGCAACGAGTGCCCGAGGACGTGCCCTTCAAGGGGGGGGAGTGTAGCGAGGGTGCTACAAATACCAATCATTACGGCTGCACAGCAACCTAGGAGGCCTTTTCAGGACCGTTGTTACACACCAAGCAGCCCGATACGCAGCATTGTGGACACCAACGGCTGCAGCACCTTCTCGCCGGGCAGCGCATGCCGGTCCCCCCCTCGCGTATGCACGCCATCCAGGTAGAGGGATCCCCTCTACCTGGATGGTGTGCACACGCGGGGGGGAGCCGGCATGCGCTGCCCGGTGACAAGTGCTGCATCCGTTGGTATTCACAATGCTGTGAATCGGGCTGCTTGCGTCCCCCTGTCGTCCACCGTCGCTTCCGCCGCTGCCGCCTTGTCCAATATCGTCTCCGCTGCCGCATCCTCGTCAACCGTCGCCTTCACCGCCGCCGCCTTGGCCACCATCCGGTGGCCGAGGCGGCAGCGGTGGAAGCAACGGTTGACGAGGATGCGGCGGTGGAAGCGACGGTGGACACGGAGGCAGCGGCGGAAGTGATGGTGGATGAGGTGCGGGACGAGGGTCCTGACGCCATACAAAGGGAATGGTTGAACGGGGGGAGTGAGCGCATGAGGAACCATGCAAGAGCCTACACGTGGACCGCTACTAGGTGTATCGAATGGCAGCAGTACACCTAAGCCGCTGTTTCTTACCTAGCGCCGCGTCGACCTCGTCCATCACATACAGCGGGTTCGGCTTGTGGGTGTGCAGCGTGAACACCAGGCTGAGGCTGCTGAGGGTCTTCTTCCCGCCCGACAGCTCAAGAGAGATTCTTCCAGCTCTTCTTGGGCGGCCGCACGCTGAACACGACACCCTGGCAGGAGGGTAGGAAGGGTAAGTCCAACCAACTTGCCGGGGGAGCATGCGGAGGAAGCCGACACGAAGCCGTGGGTTAGAACACTGGACATGAAGGCTTCCTAGCGGAAACGGTTCATAAACAATAAGCATATAGCCGGCAGACTGCAGAGCGCACTCCCAACCGCCTTCTTCCACATGCCTTTAATGGGAATTCACGTTTCGGTCAACACGTTCCTCCCATGTGCTCGTCCCACCGGTCCTCACCTCGGAGAAGGGGTCCAACGAGTCCACCAGCTCCAAATCCGCGTCGCCGCCGCATGTGAGCATCTGGTACACCACCTGCGGCGGGGAGGGGGTGGGAAGGGGCAATGGAAGGGCTGGCAATCAGGGGAGATGGAGCGAGGGGCAAGATACAACCCAATCCACCATTGCATCTCTTCCATATACCCCTCCCCACCCCCACCTCGCCACCGCGGAGTCGGCGCTGTTAGGGGCCACTTGCCCTCCCTTGCTTGCGGCCCCCTGTCGCCCCCTATCTCCATGGCTTTGTCCAATTTACGGTTTCCCACGCTTTGCTCTATGCTTGACTCCCACCCCACCTTGAGCCGCAGGTTGATCGTCTCGAAGCCCAGCATGAAGCCGTCCAGACGGGCGTTGCAGAGCGCCTGGTACTCCTCAAGCAGCTACGGGGACGGTGTACGGCAGGACAAGTATCCGTTGCACGGCAACGTGGTATGGTTGCATGGTGTGTCGCGAGAAGGATGCATGGCGGAATGCCGTTGGGGACTGAAGGGCGGTCTTTCCTTCTTCAGGTTCAGTACAGGTGCCAAGGTGCCAAGGTGACGTATGGGCATGCAGCCATGGAAACCAACTGGACCTAGCGTTCCTCTACTCTACGCGCCTGTGAAACATGGTAAACACACCAGCAGCCCTTTTCCCCCACCATTCCCCCTACCCACCGTATTTCGCTTTGTGTTGGCTACCGCCTCGTCCACTGTCGCTTCCGCCGCCGCCTCCTTGTGTAACATGTGACATGCGGGGCTGCAGGTGGAGGAGGTGGAGGTAAGGGCGAGTGCTGGGACCTGCAGGCCTGCAGGCCCCAGCACTCGCCCTTACCTCCACCTACTCCACCTGCAGCCCCGCATGTCACATGTTACACAAGGCACGGTAAGCCAATGCCTAATTAAATATGAAATGACAGCATTCCACACCATCACTCAATACATTTACCCCAAAGTGGCGCCGTTGTTGGATTGGATTCCCACTACTTCCCGAACCCCGCACCCACGCCACTGCATGCATTATCAGGACCAACTCCTCCCAGCCCCACCCCTCCTGCTTCCCCACCTACTGTTTCAAGCTCCTCCTCGATCCTGGCCTCCGCAGCCTGGATGACCGCGAACGTCTGGCGCAGCTTACCATGCTGTTGTGGAGGTGAGGCAGTGGGAGGGGAGGGAAGGGGTGGCGGAGGAACGGGATGAATCTCGGCTGATTGGTGATGTGTTGACCCGGCTGCGGTCTCTCCCTCAGCTCCCATGCACCTATGCCCCTTCCTGGTTTGTCCTGTCTAAACCCCTGACCATATGGCTACTTACCGTGCGACGTACGGCCTCAGCCTCAGCGCCCGCCTTCTTGCCCATCTCCTCCAACGCTTGCTTGCCGAGCAGCACCTGTAGAATGACGGCAGCAAGAGGAGGCAATCGGGAAGGAGATGGGTTTTACCTAGTCGACCCGCTCATCGAAAACGACAAGGAGGGAGGGCTCGTTGCTAGCAATATCAGAAGGGTGTTGATGTGCTCGACCCACGGCATTTCACGTTCTCTCCCTCCCTCTATGACTACTGTAAGTCCCAGCTATGCGTATCCAGTTACGATGGCAGCGGTAGTCTCCTTCTTGGTCACCCTGATGTTCTCGCCGCAAGCAGCCATCTCTGACTCTAGCTCCTCCAGGACAAGAAGGCAACGTCGCTGCAGGACAAGATTGACAATGCGGGTGGGCAGTGTGGGTGGGTAGGTGGTTGCGGTGGAGGAGGTACAGCAGATGGGTGGCCGGGGTTGAGATGTGGGGCTGGGTGGGTGGAGTCCTTTGGGTTTCACAGCGGGCTGGGCGGGTGCTTGCGCTACGGTGGTCAGGATGCATGGAACGGGGATGATTTAGATGCTTTGGTGGGAGAAGCAATAGCCGGGTGATAAGTTAGCTTGTATACGCAAGGTGGTGCACACAAATGACGGGAGGGTTTGAACACGCATGTCTGCATGACCCATGGCTCAACCAGTGCTAAAACCCACCGTCTGCTGTGATGTGTTCTGCAGGCGGCGAGAAGCTGCGTGCCCAAACGGCCAAGGTGGCGAGGGGCCCGCAAGGAGATTGAGGAGGCCGAGGTAGCTCCTATTGTTCGCATGACCAGCCCCAGCCCCACCCCATCCCAAGGGTAAGCCGCGCCACATGGTTAGTTACCCCTCCTCACCCATTCCCACCCCTCCAGCCCACCTGCAGTGTGATCACGCGGCCAAAGCGCCTGTCACCCATGTAGCCGATGCGGCTGGCCTGGTTGAGGTCCGCTGCCACCAGCGTGTCGCGGCACGCGTAGTAGAAGGCGACCCGCAGCTTGGGGTCCTTCATCTGGATCAGATTGAAGAGGCGGGGGCAGCCTGAGCGGGGGGTTGGGGACGGAAGGAGAGGTAGCGAGCCAGGCCGCTTAGGATTAGCGATGGGGTTATGGAAGGGAAACAAGGAAGGAGGGAAAGACGGACGGTAAGGAATCCCTTCCCCACATCACACCTGCGAATCCACCAACCCCACCCTGATTGACATTCCCCCCGCCCCGCCCTACCCTCCGGCGTGTCCACCCTCTCCATCACCCTCTACACCCACTGCTACTGCGCCTCCAGGATGAGGAAGGTGGCGCACCCCGCCCCCGTGCACCGCAGGTGCTTCACCGCCCGCTGCGTGTCGCTGGTGGTCTCCACCACCACGTTGTCCAGCGCGCCGATGGCGGTGGAGGCGGCGGCGTCGTACTTGGCATCGACAGCGCCCAGGTCGCCTGGGGGGAGGGGACCAGGAAGCGAGGTGAAAGAGTGGGAAGAGGGAAGGAGACGGGAGCAGAGGAAGGGGAGATGGCAGAAGCGGGGACTCAGGCCCGAGGGTGTGTCTGTATCCTATGCAGTAGGTAAACCGCGCCTCTCCAAGCCCGCGCATTTCCAACCCCAACCCCTCAAAGGCACGTACTCAGTCTGCCGTAGATGCCGCTGAGCTCCCCCCAGGACTTGGCGGCCATCAGCTCGCTCGCGTATCACACCCGACTGCCCCTGGCTGGCCTGCAGGTCCGCCCTGCAGTGCAGGAGAGGGAGGTAAGGAAGGAAAGGGAGGGAAGGTGACTTGCTGCCAGTTGCTGGTAAGGACAGGGCTGGTGAGGCTTGCTTCTGAAGGGTCAAGAGTGGCAGGTATGGATGGGGCCGGTCCGAGGCAGAACGACGTGTACAAAAAAAGACCGACCTAGATTGACCCAAGGGTCACAAAACCACCCCAATGTCAGCTCTCATCCCCCCACTCACCTCAGCTGCACCACCCTCTCCCGCACTGCCCCCATCTCCTCCTCCGCCTTCTTTTCCTCCGCCTGGGCTGCCGCCAGCTCCTGCTTGTGCCCTGCAAGCACATACAAGCAGTGGCGAGGCGGAGGGGCTACGGCAGCAGCTGGCGGGGGTTCGCAAGGAGCTGGCACCCTGGCAGCGGAAGATGGGCGAGGTTCAGGCGCACATCTCAATGAGCAAGCGGGAAATGGAGCTGCTGCAGCGGCAGGGGAATGAGGAGAAGAAGCCAAAGTGAAAGGGAGGGAAGGGGTCATATCCCTGGAGGAGATCAATGAGAAGCAGCAGAACATTATTGCCAATCTCCGGCGCGCCGAGATGGAGAAGGACGCTCTGCAGGTGAAAACCCGATTGCGGGTTTTCAATCCGCAATCGGGTTTTCACCTGGAGAGCGTCGTCCTCCCTCTCGGAGCGCTTCAGACCGGCAATAATGTTCCGTCGCTTCACATTGATCTCCTCCAGCCTGCAGTATGAAGATTGGCGTCAGCATGCGGGCATGTGGGCCGGCATGCGGGCATGTGGGTCAGCATGCGAGCATGTGGGTCGGCATGAGAGGAGTCAGGGCTGGGTGATGCGCAAATGGAGTGTGTCAACAGCCCAGCATGTACCCCAATGCGCCGTAGTAGTGACTGCAAGCCATGATGCAGCTATTTTAAAACTATCCGGGTTTCTTCGTGCACGTGTAACAGTGTGTTTTCAAGAGATTATCGACAAGGTGAGCACAGCAGCGAACCTCCCAGCATAAACAGCGCACTCGTGGCAGCTGCGCTGTCCCTCCGCACTTCACACACCCCTCACATCGCGTTCTCGTGGTGCACTCTGACGCGATTGGACGAGATCAGGGTCCTGCCGGTACTTCTCCTTAATCTTCTCATGGTTGGCCTGTAAGGAAACATGCCGTAAAACACAGAAGCTGGAGCCCATTGCGATCCTGGCAAGTTCATACCTGTCGGACCACCTGCGGGTTGCACCCAAAGCTGCCCATATCAGCGTCCAGTTGCTGCTCAGGGGGCCGAGCAAGTGAAAGCTCGGAACGTACAGTACTGGGTGCTTTACCTGCGCTCAACACGTCAGCTGTCAATGGGCTGGGTTCTCAATGGACTAATTACGTATGGGCTGTAATAGATAACACACCTCGCGCTGCCAGTGCCACCGCTGCAGCTCGCTCCACACCTCGCAGCTGTCCAGGCGCAGCGCCAATCTTGTGGCAGCAGGAGCCGTAGAACTCGATCTTCAATGGCCGGTTGTTAGCGCGTTGACCCACAAGCACTACCGCTTTGCACCCGCTGCTGGCGAAAGTGCAGTTGAGGGCCATGTACCAACGGAACTTGAGATGCGGCTTGGCACTGCTGGCAAACGGGTCGCCCTGCAATTACGGTGGGTCGTTAATCAACATGCCGGTGTTCATAGGAAACCACGCATTAACACTTACATTTGCATTGACAGCGCGAGTGGAACCCCGGGCATGGAACGCCGGTGGCACAGGAAGTGGCCCTATAGACCAGGCTTATCGCCAGGCTCCACTGGACCTACACCGCTAGCAGGATGCTGCACTGGGGCGTTTGCCACCTTTGCGGCGTGACCCGAGTAGATCGGCCTCAGCTGTGGATTAATAAGGATGAAGGTTCCGCATTAAGCTGCATTTTAGGATTGCGCGTGTCAAATTCTTTGGGTTAGTAGCAGCACACAAAGTACAAACCGTGATAAAGCTCCATGAGCTGGCGGCTGTGCTGAGATCATATCATTGGACGGATTACTGACGAGCTGTAAGCTGGCGTCTGAGCTCCGCTGCATTGCTGTGCGCAAATGTACTAATCTGATACAGACAGCGTTCATAGCTTTCATAGGGAGTAACGTTGCGTGCGCACGGCGAATGCGCGCGCGCCTATACCGGTACATTGTCTGCTTATGCATACCAACATACGTCTGATCACTAAGTTTCTTTATGCGCGCTATGTACATAAATACCATAACGTGGGTTCCGGATATAAATACGCGCCAATGTCCCACAAAATCCCATGCATAATTGATGGGCCCGCAAAACCCACCGACACGCGCGACACCCCAAGTCCCCTTTACGGTCACTGGACGTTACGCTGGATAACATAGCTTCTTGCCTGACACTAGCACAGTAGACTACAAATTAACTCGCACAAGGGCAGCCGGCTAGGGACAGCCCAGCGCAAAGAGTCATCGTCGCCACGCGTTCCATCGTGTCTGCATGTTACACGTTATAGCTTTCAGGATATGGTCATAATGTATGGCTGTATGTATAAAGGTTGTGCAGCAGCGGAAATGAGTATGCTCCTCATTTATGCAGCTCATTGCTCGCACCTCCACGGACAGCCAGGATGAACTTTGGTCTATGCATAGGATTGCTAAATGAAATGAGCAATAACAAAGCAGCTTGGCCCATGTGGCACACGTGCGTAGGAAAATGCCCGTACTGGACTAGCCTTTTCAACGGCATCAGGAAAGACATCTGGCCTAAAACACCATCGCGGCAGCATACTTGTTCTAGTTGCCTGTTTCTGTATGTCCTGGCTGGTTCAAAGCAAAACCCTTCTTATTGTACAGAAACCTCTAACTCTCCGGACTGGTTCCTCTAGTCTTGGTGTCTTGCATAGCTCGATCTTGACCACCATGGTTAACCAAACCAGAATGTTGTACAAAGTTGTCGAGCCGTTTGCGCAAGCACTGGTATAATGCGCATAACACCAGAGGCCTCTGACCCATCGAGCGGCGACGGTGCTCGTTCAGGACGAAAGTTGGCTTGGGCGCTGCCGACAGCCCAAGGTAAAGCCGTAATGTTTTTCCCTCCTTTGCGGCTTGCTTGGACGTGCCCCTCGAAATGTCACCTCCCTGTTCCCTTCCATAGCGGACGCGGAGACAGATGCCATTAAGGCCCACATCCGTGACCTAGAGGCGCCTCCGTCTCCGCCGTCGGCTCTGCTAGCCCCCGGCGGTCTACCCGGCGCGCTTTCCTCACCATCATCCCTTCCACCAGCGTCCCCTGGCTTCCCTATATCACCCTTCCATGGCTCAGCAGCGAAGGACGGCACGGATTCCACCACAGCCTCCAACGGTGGTGCGGGCTGGGCGCTGCTACGCAAGCACCATGCAGCCACATCGCTATCCACACGACAGCGTGGCGCCACGACTGCAGTGCTCGCAGTCAGCACCATGGCCGCGTCTATGCGGCGACGCCAGGGCCGACAGTACGGCACTGTTGGTGGCGGGGGCGGCGGAGGCGGAGGAAGCGGTGCTGGTGGCGGCATGGGTCGTCGCGGTATGCGGGTTCGGCAGCAGGAGCCTACTGTCCGGCTTCAGGAGAAGGTCTGGCGCGCGCTGAGGGACGCGAAGGAGACGCCTGGGATGCGCGGTTGGGTGTTCAGACGCGGGGTGCCGATGGTGGGGGCGACGCTGTTTTGCTGGGACGTCATCTCAGATGCCGTACTTGCAAAGGTAAGTGACTGGTGGGGGTTCTGGGGGGTACGGGGGAGGAAGGCGGGGCTCGCTGATACAACACTGGTAGGTGGCACGCCGACTGACTGGCACTGCAGTCGTAAGGGGAGACGTCTTGGTGTACAGCGCATCATAGCATGAAGGCTATAGCACGGTGGCGATCAGGCCTCTCAACCTACCCCTGGCTCCTTCCGGCACGCTCTATCCTGGCTCACGCCTGCAGGCCCTGATCCTCCCCAGCCCTTGCCTCGCTCCCTCATTCCCTTGCTCCCACCCGCCGCACCGGCTCATGCATCTCCCCGCCATCTCCTCCCCAAGCCCCACCCCCACCCCCCACCGCCCCACCGCCCCACCTCATCCTGCCGCTGCAGAACCTGTTCAAGAACGGCTACCCCAAAGTGGGCATGCTCACCATGGTTTTCATGTTCGCGCACTACCTCCCCACCTACATCATGCTCCTCCGAGCCGCCAACCAGTCCTTCTTCACGCAGCACTTCATGCTGCTCTCTGCGGCCGCATCCGCAGCCTCCGACCCAAGCGCTGCTGCCAGCGCTGCCGCCGCCGGCGCCTCGGGCGGCTCCTCGGCTCTGTCCGCGGCGGCGCGGATGTTGGAGTCGCTGCATTTCTTCTTCTACGTGCTGCTGGTGGTGTTCGGGCTGCCGCTGCTTCCCTTCCTGGACCTGTACATGGTGCTGACGGCGGTGGTGCTGACCACAGACCGGGGGGATGCAGGTGAAGAGGAGGAGGAGGAGGAGGGGCCGCGGGTGGGAGGAATGGAAGGGGGGGCGGTTTGCGGGTGGGAGGAATGGAAGGGAGGGCGGTTTGCGGGTGGGAAGGAGTGGTGGTGCTGTCTGCGGATCGGGGGGACGCGCGAGGTGAGTTGGGGGCGGGCTTGCATTAAGCGAGGCTGGCGTCCTTGGGCGGATTGCAGTTGCATGGGCCTCCCTACGGTGTTTCCTTTTGGTGTACTAGCAACCGGCCCCGCATATGGGGGTCCCCCGCTGCAGGCTATGTCATGCGCACGGCGGAGGACTTTTGCCGCCAGTACGAGCGCGTGCGACTGCCCCTGGAGTGCTTCCTGGAGAGCCTGCCACAAACAGCGCTGCAGGTGGGTCCGGGTGCTGGTGCGGTGGGAGCACCACTTGGTGTGGCAGGGGAATGCAAACCCGGTTACCTGCTGCAAGGCCAGGGTGCCTGCGGTCCAGCGTTTGAAAGAGCTGCTGCTGGTTGTTGGGAGAGCTGGAAGCGGTGACCCGTGGGTCGTTCTGTGTTCCCGCAGGTGTACCTGTATATCCAAACTCGCTCGGGGTCGGCTGCAGAAGCCGTACAGGTATGGGTGGTCTTGCGTAGGTGCGAGGGATCCGTCAAGCCCATGGCATGCATGCACAGAGCGGATGCGCTCGCTCACGTGTGTCCCCGGTACAACACGGCTACATGGATGTCAGCATGTTAGTCGCTAATGTATCGCGGTGACTGATCCGCACCCTCCCTGGGTGTCGTGTGCCTTCAGCAGCACCCTCTTCCCTGCCCAGATGTACCGTGGGCGTTTTCATCCTGGACTCACGTTCAGTGTCGCACCACACTGCACCTCCTTCCACACGTGCAGGTGTCCCAGAACGTGTTGACCGTCTCCCTGTTGGGCAGTGTGCTCAACTTCATCAACGTCAGCTGGTAGGTTGGGGCTGTCGTGCGTGCTGGGCACCGCTCGGTACCACCACCTGGCAGCCACGGGACGGCAGCACATGCGGGTCATGCATGCCCGACCAGCAGGCGGAGCTATAGCCGTCCTCCCGTCGACTGACTGGCTGCCTCACCATGTGTCCTCCGCCCACTGCCGCCACCCCGCCCCGCCCCGCCCTGCTGCAGGGAGATGTACAACGCGTGGCGCGCCAGTGGAGACACGCTGCTGGAGTACCTGGACGCGCTGATCAGGCTGCAGGTGGGGGTGGGAGTGAGGGGCGCGGGAGGTTGGATGCGGAGGGCTTGCTTGTGTCAGGGGGCAAGTGTGAGAGCGTGGTGGCACGCGTGGTGCGGGCACTTAACGGTGTGCCCTTGGGATCGTACTGGCTGTTATGCCGATGGGTGAGGGTAGCATGGCATGCCCGGCACAACCGTCAACGTCTTCCCCTCCTCACCCCCCCCCCTGCAGGGATCCACTAAGGTCCCCATCGAGGCGCAGAACGCCATGCTGGAGCGCATCGCCGACCACCAGCGCCGCGTGCTGGACCACGACAAGGCCGCTCATGCGGCGCACATGGGCCGCAAAGCCGCTCGCCGGGGCGGCGCCGACTGCAAGGAGGAGGGCCGCAGCGACGAGGGCGAGGATGCCGCCTCCGACAGCGATGAAGCCCACAAGCGGGTGCTGGAGGGGTCGCGGAGCTACTCCAGCGAGGAGTCCAAACGCAGGAACGCGCGGATGTACGGTGTGCCGCCCTCCCTGGTGTTCACGGTGGGAGGCCCCGGAGACACCGTGTACCAGGTGGGTGGGAGGGAGGGAGGGTGTGCAGGAAGGGGCTGGGCGGGGTAGACCAGGGATGACTTGACATTTTGCTGGGCTGCCGTGTTTCTCGCGTGCCGGCATCACTCGCACATGTCAATGGGCTGTGATACCTGGTTACGGGCCCTTGAGACACGAAGAGGTGTAGCGACTACCGGTAATGAAGCGCGGTTTCCTGCGGCGTACCACACGCTTTTGTGACATACCCGCTTTGACCCGCTCATAGCATTGATGCGCTTGTGGCACTCGCACCGCCATTCGTGCTAGCACGCCTCCTTGCCATGCCGCCGCATCTTCCAACCCGTTACGTTCTCTCGTGCTCCCCTCCCGCAGGCCCTGAGTGCCTTCCAGCGCCGCAGCCTAATGGACGTCCTCGCCATGCCCTCCAAGCTGCAAATGTACAGCCTGCGTGCAGTACAAATGCTCAACGTCGACCCCTCCGTCGCCGCCCGCCTGCTCCGCCGCGTTTCCACGCTGCCGCCCCACCTTCACATCGTGGGCGCCTGGCAGGGCCGCCGCAGCGCTGCCGCCACGGCCTCGTCCGGCTCTGCTGGCAGCGGCGCCGGGCAGCTGAACCCCTCCTACCTCAACCTGATCTGCAAAGTCCTGCCGGACGCCGCCTTCGAGACGGATCCGCTGACCCCGCTGATCGACCTGCACCTCTCCCGACTGGCTCTGACCGGCTACTACTCGGCTTCAGGCGCCAGCAGCGGCAGTGCGGGCGGTTCCGCGGCCGCTGACGCCAGCGCGCGTGTGGGTCGCGCCCTGGCGCAGGTGCTGGATTTCCAGCCCTCCCTCCGCCGCTTGGTAGTCGACCACTGCGATGTCTTCGTGCCGCTCATGCTAGAGGCCTTGGACGCGGAGGTGCAGGAGTTGTACCACCTGGGCAGAGCTCATGGCGGGCTGCAGGAATCGGTGTACGGCAGTGTCACAGGCGGTGCGGGAGGTACCGCTGGTGGTGATGGTGGCAAGGGCGGTGGCGTCGCTGCCGTCCTTGCTGCGGAGGAGGCGGCGTTTGAAGCGAAGAGGGCGAGGATGTCGGGAGGAAGAGGCGGAGGAGGAGGCGGTCATGGCGGTGACGTCATCACGGGTCCGCGGCTGCTTGTTGTGTTGCACACGGAGGGAGGTCCGGAGCTGGAGTCATGGCTTGAGGAGCGTGCCAGGAACGCGGGGAGTGTGGCGGCGGTGACGGCGGCAGCAGCAGCAGCGGGAGCGACGTCCATGGGTTTGACGTCGGCTCCTTCTGGGACGTTGAGGAGTACGGTGGCAGCAGGAGGGGGTGTGGTGGGAGGAGGTGCAGCAGTGGAACCGCTGAGGGAGCTCCACCTGATTCCGAACTACCGACCACGCGCCATTTCACCGGACTCAAAGGTGGGGCTGGCTGCGGCGTTGCGCTGGGTGTACTGCGATGGGGCAATGGATTCGAAGTCTTTAAGTTCCCCTGAAGGCCGCTCGTGGGCACGTGTTTGTCCGCCGATTCCACATGCAAATGGCCCAACCATCCATGCCCCCGTGAACCCTCTTCCCCTCCCCACCCTCTCCCCGCAGGTCATCCTGGTGCCCTGTCCCCGCGCCGTCGGCCTGCTGGACCTCCTCTCAGCCGGCCTGAGCTCCCTCCTGGTGCCCCCCCGCCTGCCCCTCAACAACACCGAGCTGCGGAGCGAGGACGCGGCCGCCATCGGCGCCTGTCTGGTGTTCAACCGCAGCATTGAGGCCCTGGACATGCGCTCCACGGGGCTCAGCGCGGACAGCCTGCTGCACATGGTTCCGGGGCTGCAGGCGCACAGCAGCCTGACGTCCATCGACCTGAGCAGCAACAACATCGGGGATGTGGGCGTGGAGGGGCTGATGTCGGCGGTGGTGCACCTGCCGGCGTTGAGCACGCTGGTCCTGGTGGGTGCGGGTGTGCGGGTGGAGGGGGTAAGAAAGCGTAGAATGGAGCAGGCAGGAAGATAGGGAAGGGTTGGCAAGGCGATGGATACCGTACCCGAGTGCGCCTCCGCACTCTAGGCGCATTGGGTGTTCGGTCGAAGTACACGCACGTCTGTCCCTGCACGTCAGCCCCCTGCCGCCGTGCGCTGCCTTGCAGGCCCGGTGCGGCATGGGCGCTCGTGGCGCGGACGCCCTGGGCGGGCAGCTGCTGGCCACCGGCGCGCACACTCGGATTGCCGAGCTGGACCTGCAGGTGGGGGCCCTTCACCTTGACACCATCCCTACCGTTCTTCACCATTAGCCGCGCTGCCACCCAAACCCTCATCCTTTCACCACAACTTACCCTCTAGGACAACAAGGAGGACTGCGCCACCCCCGTGCTGGAGTGGGTGAGCTTCCTGCACCAGAAGCGCACCGGCAAGCAGGCCAAGGCGCCCACCTCTCACAGGATGGAGCTGGGGGAGGTAAGCGGCCGCTGAGGGGGAGGGGTGTTACTACTGGTTAGGGGATCATCTAGAGTTTGTACCCGCTCACAGCCCGCGTACATTTACTGGTGTGATGACACAGATCTCTGCAACCCGTCCCCTCGTATTGCGCATGCACCCCCCAGAACGGCCCAGTGATTCCGCTCTTCGGGAGCACCGGCGACGTCATCTCAGCCTGTCGAGACGTCCTGACCAAGGACCCCGCCGCCCCGGCCGATAGCAGCAGCGGCGCCTCTTCCTCTTCTCCTGCCACCGTGGAGCCTACAACACTCGAGCTGCCGTCCTCGGGGGGTCACGACCACTCATCACTGGTCATCATTGCCATCACCGCCGCCAACTCGCACTGCCCGCTGTCCCTGGACCTCTCGAACTGGTCCCAGTACACCCACCCAGCAGTCGGGCCCATGCAGCTCTTGGGCTTCAACCACGCACGCGGCTCCTCGGCCTTCCTGGCAGCGGTGGTGGGCGGGCTGCTGGGCACTGACGCCGCGCACGTGCAACACCTCGACCTCACCGCCACACCCCTGGCGGCACCCAGCGGCGTAGCTGCTACCGGCGCTGCAGGTGCCGGGGGCGGGGGCGGGGGCGGGGGCAACGCAGCTGCCGCGGGCGCTGCCGCCATGTACCTTTCCCCCGTGGAGCACCTCTGCATGGGCGTGGCTAAGAACACCCACCTCCGCGCCCTCAAGCTGGCGCGGTGTGACTTGGACGATGATGCGGTGGTGGCGTTGTGTGCGGCGCTGATTGCTGGTGGCTGCCCCTCCCTGGAGAGGTTGGAGCTGGTGCAGAACCCGCGGATTCGCGACCGGGGCTTCCTGAAGGGCATCATGCCGCTGCTGCAAGCCGCAGCTGGTGGCTCTGATAGCGCTTGGGCTGAAGCACGGGCCAAGGCTTGGCAGGAGAGGGAGGCTGCTGCGAAGGACCGGGAGCGAAGGAGGGCGCCGCTACTGGTAGTTACCGCAGATGCACATGATGGCGATGAAGCGCTGAAGAAGGAGACCGTTTTGGAGTTGTTGGCCGCCGCCTCGGCAGGCTGGCGACCCATGGGTCGTGCTGGTTCTGCGGGCAAGACTCCCTCTCAACCGGGCAGTGTCAACGCGGGGCGGTCGGTTTTGCGGCTGACAGTCAGTGATGCCGGCGTTGACCAGGTCTTGTCTGCGCTAGCGGACGAAGCGGTGCTTGGAACCCCTAACGGTGCTGCCGCGGCTGACGGGGCAATCACCCGCAACTGTGAGGGCACCGGTTTGGACGTCCGCATCCGTCTTGAGGCAAACAGACATGCGGTGTCTATGGCAATGGTGCTGTGCCAGCTGCCAGAAGCGTCTTCGCCATCTCCAGCTTCTCCTTCTGTAGTTGGGGCTGCTCCAAAGCCACAGCCCACCCCTCCGAACCCTTCAAAGCCAGCTGCAGCAGCATCCCAGGCAGATGCCAACCCACCCGACTCGGCAACTGCAACCGATGCTGTTGCTGCTGCCTTGACCTGCGTCAGCGGCCTAGACATGGCCGACAGCAAGATACAGCCCCTGGGGATCAGCGCCCTAGCAATTGCCTTGAAGCGCCCTGCCCTGATTAGCAGCCTGCGCTCCCTCAACATGGTGAGCTGTGGACTGGGCAACGCTGAGGTGTTGGAGCTCTGTGCTGCTCTGAAGGCTGGCGGCTGCCCTGTCCTGGAGCGTTTAGAGCTTCAAAACAACCCGGGCATTCGAAGCCGCGGTTTGTTGGACGGCGTGCTGCCACTGCTGCAGACCGTGGCAGACGCGACGAAGGCAGCAGCAGTTGCTGCAGCTAACGGTGTCGCGCAGGAGGAACCGAAGCAGCAGCAGTGGGCGCAGCAGTGGGCGCAGCAGGAGCAGGGGCGGTTGGTGAGGAGGCTCAGCGCCGCTGCCTCTGCTCAAGCGAGTGAAGCAATCCTAGCAACAAAGCAGAAGCGGCAGGTGAAGCCGGGGCTGCAGGTGACGTTGGACGTTGGCAGCGTGGGCGCCATACGTGGCAGCGAAAAGGATGCGGAATTCCAAGACGTGGAGTACGAGGCCGAAACGGTCACAGCCGTCTTGGAAGCTGTGCTGAAGCTTTCAGGCGGCAAGACCCGCAGCAGCAGCAGTGGTAGTGGTACGGCAGCTGCTTCCAACGCTGGGGAGGAGGGCAAGACTGGCGGCGACGCTAAGGGCGGAGATGGAAGCGCCGACACCAAGGGCGACGGTGTTGTGGACCGGGATGTCCCAGTGGATGTGGTGACGGGCGGCAGCGGAGACCAGGCCAGCCGGGAGATTGTGCCTGGCCTTAACACGGTGAGGACCTGCTGTTGGAATCTTGGCTGGCATGATATGGGTAGTGTGGCATGGCACGTCTCCCCCGCATTTGGCACTGCTGTGACGTAGCACTTTCGCTTGTGACGTTTCCCTAATGATAAGATTGCTTTTCTCTGCTGTAGGCCAAACCGGAAGGCGTTGGCAACAGCAGTGGCGGCGATGGAGCCGCTGAGGGTACCGCTAGCACCAAAGGCAGCAGTACTGCCTTGTCCCATCCCTCCGCTCGCCGCTTACTCCTACCACCACCTCCGAAGCTGCTCCTGATAACATCAAGCAGTAAATTTGACCAAGTCCTGGCCTCCATCCTGGCACCCCCGCCACCACCAACACCCTCATCAGCGGCGCTTCGCGCGCGTCATTCCAAGGGCTGGCATTTTTCCCAAGCTCGCACCGCCTCCGAAAAATCCCGGTCCAAAGGACGCCTTCAGAAGTCCACGAAAGCGGATGACAGGGGCAAGGGCAAGGAGAAGACCGAGCTAGCCGACAGCTCCTCCGCCACGGCTGCTGTATCGAAACCATCAGGAGACCCCGCCGCCGCCGCTGCTCCTCCTTCCCCGCCGTCTTCTGTCACCCTCCGACTAGGTGCCAACGACACTGACGGACAAACGCGGCAGTCCTCAACCCAGCTTGAAGCAATCGCCCTCGCAACCGCCCTGTGCCAGCAGCACCCCCGCAGTGCCGCTTTGCTCCGTACCTTGGACCTATCAGAAAGCAGCCACGGTCTAGGCAGCACCGGCTTGGCAGCCCTCGCATTCGTACTGCGACATGCTCCTTGTGCCGTTCATCTAGAGGAGCTGCTCTTGGTGGGTCTGGTGGATGGCGTGGGTGATGCACTGGCAGATATGCTGGCGGCCGCCGTACCATCGCTGCTGTACATTCGGCGCCTGGATCTAGCAGGGTCTTCACACTTTCTGGGGGTGGATGCGGCGGAGCGTTTGATACGCGCATTGCAGCAACAGCAGACAGCAGCGGTTGCTGCACCGGATGCGGAAACGGGGATGGAAGGAGGTGATGGTTGTGATGATGCCGTGGATGATGATGAGGAGGAGGAAGTAGACGAGCTGCGGCTGTCCGATTACGAGAGAGGGGAAGGAGATGGTGACGGCGCCAGCAGTGATGAAGGGACCCCAGCAGAGGAGGAGGAAGAGGAGGAGGAGGAGGAAGGCGGAGCAGCAGCAGAGGGAGGCAACACTGGCGCTGGTGAGGGATACAAAGCCAGTGAAAACGCAAACCTACAGCAGCAGCATCCGCAGCAGCTGGACGGACAGCAACCATTGCCGGTTGTTCGCCAGCTTCGCATGGGCCCCTTGCAGCCCTCAGCGACTGTGATCCGCGCGCTCGCAGACCTTTGCCTTAGAGTGGAGCAGGGCTGGTGGCCGCAGCTGCAACAGCCGCAGCTAGCCCTGCCGCCACCGTCGCCTCAGCAGCAGCAGCAGCAGGCCCGGCATCAACAACAGCAACAACCGACCACCAAGGCAGCAGTGCCGTTGCCGTCAACCTCAAAGCGCCGCTATCCATATCGTACCCTCATTGCATGCAACCAGCGCTGGACATGCTCCCTCGTTGCAGGCACGCATGGTACCGACTCCCTTTGTTCGGCCATTGCTTCCATGTCCACTCCACAGCAACAGCAGCAAACTTCAGGGCAGTCTGGCACGGCTTTAAACGTGAGCCCTGGCGTGAAGCCTGGGGTCATGACGCCTCAGCACACCATGGCTCTCTCATGGGCCCTATGCCAGGCATCCATAAGCCTAGGTGCCGCTGTTGGCTCTGGTGCGGCCACCCTTGCGCAGAAGGCCCCCATGGTGGCCCTTCTCACACACTCCTTGACTCCAGCAGCTGTGTCTGCTGCCGCTGCCGCTCTTGCGGCTGCCCCCTCCCATGCCGTTGTGGGCAGAAGCAGCTCTGTGACTGGAGCCGCTACCGCTGCAATCATAGCGGCTGCTGCTGCTGCTACTTCTGCTGCACCTGCTGGGGCAAACACTGCCGCTGCTGTAACTGGGGGCGATGCAGCTGTCGTGCAGCTGTCGTGCTGCTGGCTGCATGTGAAATATGCCGACGCGGCGTCAACCTGGGGAAGAGGGATGGGGCCGTGGCGGTCACAGAGAAAGGAAAGGAAGGCGAGCCTGCGATGGCTGGCAGCAGCCCCCTCCGCAGCAGCAGCAGTGCTCGATCCCCGGCGGAGCTACCTGTTCTACTTGCAACAGCAGCAGCAGCAGCGACTGAGGAGAAGGCGGGATCGGAGCTGCAGCTGCCTGAAGTTGCAGTGGACGTGCGGGCTTTGGGTGACACGGATGCCGCAGCTCTGGCGCTCGCGTTGCTGCCTGGCAGGCTAGGCACTAAGGGGCACAAGCTGGATTTCGGAGGATGCAGACTCACGACGGAAGGTACGAACACTTCCGGGCGGTTCCTGGGGCTTGGTTTTGAAGTGGGATGATGGTAGGTTGGCTTCATGGGCAGGGCTCTAGATGGGTATGAGTAATAGCTATATGTAGCCTTGGTACGTAGTATGTACTAGTATGTTACCGCCATTGGTAGGGTTTATCCCTCAGCTGCCTGGTGCTCTGTTTCCACGCCTAACTACTGCACCTAAAACCCGGACCTTTTCAACTCGAACCACCAGCCAACAATTAGCACCCATACAAGCCATAGTAGCCTATCCTTTACTTCCCCCCACCAACAATCGTGCAGGTCTGCGTGCGCTGCTGCAGCTCCTGTCGCTTCACGGCTCCTCTCTCACGCAGCTGGGCCTCACGGGCCAGTCGACCATCGCAGAGGTTTCGGAGCTCCAGGACCTCCTGTGTCGTACAACGCTGCCCGCCCTAACTACCCTGCAACGGTTGGAACTGGTCGGCTGTCCGGTGTCACCTGGGCCGCTAGGAGAGGCGCTGCATGGGCTGAGCAGCTTGAAGTGTGTGGTGGTGACCGACAATGCCGAGGTGAAGGCACTTAAGGAAACGGGCAGGTGCGTGCCAAGAACAAATAAAGCAGATAACCGCCGGAGTTGTGGCGCTGCGGGCTATGGTAATGTTTACACTTGCAATGTAATCACAGGTTGCTCCGTGTGGTCCGCAGTTAAGCATGAGAAGCTTTGCAGGGTGTGCCGCTTTGCGGGGTGTAGCAACGTGGCCACAGATATTGTGCAATTGTGGCTCAGTCATCTCACCACCTCCACTGTCCTTTATACCATCTAAGCTTTGTCGTGTAAGCTATTGAACGCCTATTTCTATTTCCCTTACAGACTACTGCCTGAACCTTCTTTCCTCTCAAACCTTTAGTCGTTCTCCGACATGACACACCTACCCTTCCGTGCCTTCCAGGTTGCCACCGGGTTCCAAATGTGTTCCCCGGACCAGCGAGGGCATTCACACGGTTGGGCTGAAGATGATGGACGTGAGTACCGCTTGTATCGTTGTACCTACAGCAGTCCTAGTTGTAATAGGCTGTGATTTACATAACGGCACATTATTGCCGCAAGGTAGAGATGTATGAGTAAATATCAGAGCAGGTGGTATTGCCATGTTGAGGCAATGCATAGCACGCACTCTAGTTCATGTACATGCATATGGGCTTTCTGCAGTGTGTTTGTCACCCAATCTTGGCCTGGCAGACGAGCCGCATGGTTGCATCTGTGGGCTATCCATGAGTCAAATTATGGTGACCGCTCACAATCCAACCGTTTTACGTCATTAAATCCGTTTGCCTTGGCTCACTCACATGGCCTTCACTACTCCCCACTCTTATTCACAGCTTAAATTCGAGATGACAACTGTCACGATCTCACCCTGTGGAGCCAAGCTGTACGTCTGCAGCAAGGCGAACGACACCCACGTGTTTGACTACAATACGGGCGAAAAGTACATGCAATTTAAGTGCATCGAAGACACGGGCTATAACATGCTTTGCCTGGCCGCCAGTCGCGATGGCAAGATGCTTGCGTCCGGTACCAAGAACGGACAGATCGTGGTGTTTGACAGCGGTTCCGGAGACGTGATTGCCAGGTTGTCTGGCCACGCCAAACTGGTTAACTGTGTGGTCTTCACCAACGACTGCAAGCGGCTGGTCTCTTGCAGTTACGACAAAACGCTCAAGGTACGTGCAACGGGCTTTCTGGGCGTTTATGGAGGACTGGCATCGTTCGTTGACTCTTGGGTCGCCTGTTTAGGATATTGTAAATACTGGGTATTTTACCACTTCCGAGAGGGATTCGTTATGGATTGTGATTATCACCGTGCAGTCTTCCCACGCTTTTGTCAGGTGAAACTGTTCACCTCCAGAATTGCTCTTCGCGTCTGTGTGCTTCGGATGGTATGACTTGCTTTCATGTCGCATACGTCAATACGTCAACCCTCTAGTATACTGTCACCCAAACACGTTTTCGCCTACATCCCACTCTCTATCCTCCACCTGTGCTGGCTGCTTCCCTCCTTACATCTGGCCCCGTGCTCAACATTTTTTGGAGAGGGTCTAGTGCGCAAAAAGCCCCTTTGCACTGCACGCTGCAATCACCTTCGCATCCAGTGCGTTCGACACATATGCCTGCGCCATGCCATGCACGCAGGTTTTCGACTTGGAAACGCAAGCCGTGCTCGCCACACTGGGGGGCCACAACGATGAAGTAAACTACGTGGCCCTAAGTCCCGATGGCACCCGCATCGCCAGCTGCGCTGATGATGGCAAAATCCTCGTCCACAACTTGTATAACCTGAAGCTAACAAACCCCGTTACCACACTTCACCACAAGACAGCAAGGTTAAACCGTGTGGCCTGGCGCCCAGATGGCGCCCAAATCGCGGCAACCTGCAACGACAAAACCATACAGCTTTTCAACGTGGAATCTGGCAAGTGCACGGCCGTCCTCAAGGGCCACACTGGCGATGTTACGCGCGTTGGCTACCACCCTAGTGGCTCTTTGCTAGCCTCCGGGTGCACGGAGGGCAGACTTCACCTCTGGAGTGTTGAGGCGGCTGCATGTGTGGCAGTGCTACCGCCGGTGCCGGGTATTAACACCTCCAGCAGCATTCGCGCAACGGAGTTCACGGCAGATGGATCAGTATTGGTCACGGGAAGCGCCTCTTCAATTATGAAGTGGAGCACGACCGCGCTGCTGCAGATGGTGGCACGCTTGGAGGATGGCCATGCGGTTCTTGCTGTCACGAGTGGTGATGCGGGCGATGGGAGCGGAGCCGGGGTGACTGCAGCAGTGAAGGCAGCCAGTGATGCTGCAAAAGAGCGGAGCATCAGTGCCGGTCCGCTGGGCTATCTGGAGGCGAACTTGGCGGGGGGCAGTGGCACATGTGAGGCTCTGTGGCCGGCGCATGAGGAGGCCTTGTATGAGGTGGTCGCAGCGAAGGATGGTCGGGCGGTGGTGACTGCCGGCAAGGACCGCTTGGCCAGGTAAGCTGCCGGGACAGGAAGGCTGCTGGGATAAGACGCAGTTTGGAGCAGCGGATAGGGACAAGAGGGCCGCGGGGGGTGGCACTGCAGGCGAGGGGTGGGTGAGAAGGGTTGTCCAAAAAGGAGCGGGGTGTGGGTTGGCTGCTGTCCTCATCTCCCTCCACCCTTACTTGCCTTCCTCTCTTCCCCACCGCGCCAACCTCGCTGCTTCCGCCCATTTTGGCAGGTTCTACGACCTTTCCAAGCCCCTCGCTGGCACCCTGACCCTCTCCGGAGAGGACGTCCCGGTCAATTCCGTGGCTCTAAGCCCTGACGCGAGCTTCTGTGTGACAGGCGGTGACAACGGTACAGTGGTGCTCCATGACCTGCCCTCGGGCTTCATTCGCATGAAGCTACCAGGCTATCCCTCCCAATCATCCATCGTGACCGTGGCGATCAGCCCCGATGGGCGATACGTGGCAAGCAGCGGCCGCAACATTGCAGGTGCAGTGGTGGTGCATGATTTGCAGGTGCCGGATCCAGGGAAGGCTGATCCCGAGAAGCTGGAGGCGCACAAGGATTCGGTGTGGAGTGTGACGTTTGCACCGGACGGAAGCGGCCGCCTGGCGAGTTGCAGCGAGGTAAATGAGCTTGAGTAAATGAGCGTTGACTGAGATCGTGAGTGCACGAGGGAAGGCGTGGGGCAAGCGGGATGGGACTGTGCGGCAACTGGAAATGGGATCGCCGGTGGATTATGCCGGCTGCGAAGGGTGGTAGGGGTGTTGTAGTTGCCTTCGTTGACAGGAGGCGGAGAGGCGGCTGTGCTTTGCTGCTGGCAGCATCGTGTTTAATGAAGCTCCAACACCCATTGACACATCCACCACCCTCCTTGCCCTTTCAATACTCCTTTTCATAAACAGGACCGTACCGTGCAGATCTGGGATGTGCCTGGGAAAACCCAGGTCGCCACTCTAACACTCGCATCACCTGTTGGCCGGGTTGCCTACACCCCCGACGCCGTCCGCCTTGCAGCCATGACTGATGCCAGGCTCATCTGCATATACGACACGTCCACCCATCAGTGCCTCATGGAGATCCCCATACACCCAACTTACGGCAAGTTCAGCCGCTACCATAGCTTCAGCCCCGACGGTCGCTTCCTCGCCGGTGTTACCACGGGAGTCTATCCAGGCACCACTAACGCATGTTCTGATCAGACGGTTCGTATCTGGGACGCGGTCACGGGCGAGCCGTTGGTTGCAGTGCCGCATCCAGACCAGTTAACAGGCGTCGCGTTCGGGCAAGACATCCTGGCAACTGCCTGCATTGATGGCAAGGCCCGCGTGTACAGCTTGGATCGCCTTATGGCAGGCGTAGAGGAGGACAGTGTCAGCGGTGGAGGAGCAGCAGCAGGGGCAACGGCAGCAGGAGGCGGTGGTGTGGGTGTGCAGGATGGTGGCAGCGGCAACGGTGCAGCGGGGGCCCTGGCGCCCAAGAGCACCAAGCAGTTCTGGAGCGTGCAGCTGCCCATGAAGGTCTCTGTGGACGCGCCCTTGGCGGACCTCAGGAGCGCGCACGATGACGTGGTCTGGAGCCTGGCCTTCAGCCCTGACGGCCAGAGGCTGCTGAGCACCAGTCGAGACGGTACTGTACGGCTGTTCAGTACGGCTACCTGGGAATGTATGGCGACGCTGCACTATAGCGGGTACGAGCAAGGTGGTGCTGCGGGTGCCAGCAGTGCGGTGGGTGCTGCAGAAGCTGCCGCCGGCGACGACGGGAAGGTGGGGCCAGCAGAAGGTGATGGAGAAGGAGCCAACTTGGACGCATACAACATCGCAGCGATCTGGAGTCCTGATGGCCGCATGGTGGCTTCGAGCAGCGGCACGGAGCACGTGGTTCGGCTGTGGGTGCTGAACCCCGCTGGCAGCCAGTATTACGTCCTCAAGGGCCACCAGCAGCAAGTCCTGACGCTGTGCTTCTCACCTGACAGCCGCACCCTCGCGAGTGGCGGTGTCGGGGAGGGTATCGTCCTCCACGATCTGCAAGGCCTGATTCCGCCCTCTGCAGCAACTGGCATTTCCACTACCTCCCAAGCCGGAACCTCATCAGCTCCATCGTCCTCTGCCGGTGCTGCACAACAGCCGCAACAGCCGCCTTCTGGTCGCGCAGCCACCACTGCTGCAGCTGCAGTTCGGGGGCAAGGCAAGGCAGTTGCAGGTGTGCTAGAGCCGGTGAAGGTGCTAATGTTTGAAGAACTCAAGGCAACGGTATGGAGCCTCCTGTTCCACCCAACGGACAGCAACCTCCTCGCATACCTGGCTGCTGACGGCACCGTGGCTCTGCACAGCATTATCAGCCCAGGCAGCGCCACTATGTTGCAGACTCCTGAATTCGCTGGTGCGGCTGTGGGCATGCGGTTCAGTCCTAGCGGATCGCAGCTCGCGGTGTGTGACAGCGAGAGCAACGCATACCTTCACAGCACGGAGGATGGGAGCTGCAAGACAATACTTCCGGCCGTTGCAACCAGCAAGGTACGTATGGGCGCCACGGTGTTGGTGACCCATGGGTCATACAGTCACGTCTGCTTTAGCTTCCTTTGCAATATCGCATGTACATGCGTAGGCAACCACTGGGCATGTATCATCCTGCGTCCCTCGCTTCCCATTGATGTCGTCCCTTGTATCCAACACCCGGCACATCCCACTGACATACAGCAGCATGGCCCTGCAAGCTGCAACCCCAATGACCCTCGTCCCCCCACTACCCACCTTCCTCAACTCGATCAGGATCCGTGGTTTCAGCCGCGCACGCTACCCCCCAGCGAGCTGGACCCCGAACGAGTGGGTTCCGCTGCGAGGCTGCTGGACAAGTACACGGTCACTTACCCGGGAGGCGATTCGGATGTGGTAAGTATATATAGCGTGTGGTAATGTGGGGCTGATTTCGGGGCGGTAGCAAGAAGGTCGACAAGATTGAAGTTACAAACTGGTTAGATTAGACAGTTTTGGTTCGAGTATGTGCCCATAAGAGAGGTCAATCTAATTTCAGCACGTGTTGTTATGGGCTGGTATGCACATATGTATTGGAGCCATTTGCTTGTCTGTCTGGCTAATGGCAGCCCATCTTTTAAACCAGCCAACACCGCTGCAACTGCCGTGTGTTTGTCACACATGCAGGGTGCCGTACAAGCCAACCGCTGCGTTCCAGCGCAGTCCGTCATCTACTACTACGAAGTGAAGATCTTGGACAAGGGAGACGGGGGCACCATTGCCATTGGCTATGCCGACAAAACCTATCCCCTCAGCTCCCAGCCCGGGTAAGTCCACTACACTTGCAGTATCCCATCCTACAATACAGCTTACAATTTTGGGCATGCTAGCGCCGTACGATGCAGTAGTGCAGCAACATCTAGATAGCGCTGCTTGCGACATGCATCTTGTAGGGGCGCACTGTACCCCCTGCATTTACCGGTACTCGCACCCTCGCATGCATGCACATCGAGTGTTTCTCCGCAACCAACATTCACCCTTTTGTTTGGACATCTGTCTCGCAGGTGGAGGAGCCGGTCCTGTGCCTTCCATGGCGACGATGGAAATGTGTTCAACAACGGTGCCAGCTCCTCGTATGGTGCGTCGGCGTGATTTTGGCTTTTAGAACACTACTTGACTTACTGCCGTCCATTCTTGTTAGGAGCGCCGGCGGTAGTTGCTGACGACGTAAGAGTGACGTGGCATGGGGCCGTGAGATATGCTAGGGGGTCTTGTTGAGGGGTCCCAAAGAGGGTCCCTGTTGAGCTGAGGGGTCGTCTATACGCCCGCATTCCCTTACTATTCTTATTTCCTATGTTTCCTTACAGGTCCGAGGTTCAGTGAGGAGTCTGGTGCTGTGGTAGGCGCCGCGCTCAACATGCTGTCCGGGGAGATATTCTTCACGTGAGTGAGCCCCTACCAACGGCCCCTGCATTGGTTTCCCCAGGTTTCTGTTGGCTGTCCACTGGGTTCTCCCTATCTTGTGCTGCCTTGTGCACCGCAGCGGAGTGACTCCTGTAACGGCATACCTGTGCATGAAAACTAGGCAAAACCAGACTTGCGAATACCGGCGATACGTATATGCTGGACAAGGCCCGCGTCCAGACAAATCATACCGCTATTGTGTGTTAATCGCAATAATTGGCACCGTATGTAGTACATAGTGATTTGGTACCCTTTGATTGCTTGTTGCGGGCACGTGCCAACCTTGCGTACCCCCTTAACACATGCCCCCTAACCCGCTCCTCCCCTTCATTCCCATGCATGCAGCGTGAACGGGCAAAAGTTCCAACCCATGCCCTTCCCCGCAGCTGGGCTCTACCCCACCATTGGCCTCCATAGGTGCGTTGCGAGTGTTTCAGGGGAATTGTTTTACCTACTGGTATATATCCTTCCAAGAGGCCACCCCATTTCAAATGTGCTGGCAACCTAGCCTCTAGCTATGCGTTCATACTTTGTTATGCCTGAATAACAATTAGGTCCACAACTTCGGGGAGACTGGGGATTGTGCCCGTAGTGGTGCTGGCACACCACGCACGTACAAACGGCCACTGCAATCCTGACCAACACAACCCTGTCCAACCCGCAGCACGGGCGAGACGGTGGAGGTCAACTTTGGGCAGAAGCCCTTCATGTACGACATTGCAGCTGACGTGGTAAGCAGCTAGATAGGGCTATCTACCACGGTTACTTGGCTAGGCGTCTGGCATCACCAATCAGGCTGCCGTCTGGCCTAGCTCTAGTTTCACATTCTGGAAACGTGCGCGAACATGATGCATTCCTGCTGCAGTCGTTCCGTACCAGCTTTGGCAGGATTCAAAACTTGGCTCAATACCTTGTGCATCATTCTTACTTCATGTGTAGATAGGTTTTGCACACTATGCTTCATGAAAACAACAAAACCTGCTTCGCATGATTTCCTACCAGGCTGCTGCCGTGAAGGCCAAACGGAAGATGTGCGATCGCGCTGTACCTGTCACCACTGACATCGCAAAGAAGGGCCTCATCGTCACGCGTGGACCAGACTGGAAGTGGGACATGCAGGACGGCGGGGCTGGCAAGGTAAGCATAGTGTCGTCGGCTTGTAACCTGCAATCGTTTAGACCATGCCAGTCATTACCTTGCTCTGTAGACCTCTGTCGAACGGTCAGATGGAATGCTCAGCAGCCAAGTATTACACTTGTCCGTAATCCCTTCTCAAGGATCGCCCGTCTTTCCCATTGATTGGGTGGCCGCACACACCTCCACAGACCGGCCGGTTGACAGAGGCGAGCAGTTCAGGCTGGTGGAGCGTGAAGTGGGAAAACGGCGGCGAGTACAACTACCGTGTTGGTGCGGAGGGCCGGTACGACTTGCAGGTACGTACGAACACGGTTGCATGTACGGCAGGTTGCAACAGAAGGGTGTATGGCTGACCGTTAGCCCCAGTCCTCCTGAAGGCTGAAATATTGCTGTATGGTTTCGGCCACGCGCTTACTCAACATTGGCTTAGCGCATGCCGAATCCTGCCACGTATAAATAGTTTTCACGCTGTGGTGTGAGGTAACTATTGCAGTAAGCGTGGACCCGTGGACCCGCAGCAAAGGAGCTGATAGATTGAGGCTCATGCTGCTGGTGCTACCATTGACGTTTTCTGTTCCCCTCCTGCTGTAGACGGCTGCAGGTGGCATTGGATACCTGGTGCCAAAGCTGTTGACATTAAGCGGAAAGGTGAGCCTAATACCCTGCAACTTACCGATGCTTACCAGACTTTGTGTACAGTCAGAGGCAATAGCAAAGCACTGCCCTTGCAAGTATACTACTCCCCATGTCACAACGTCCTCTTCGTTTCACAGCTGCGGTTGGGCGAGAAAGTGACACGCGAGAGCGCGAAGGAGGGAATGATCGTGACCCGCGGGGACGACTGGAAGTGGGGAGACCAGGACGGCGGCGAGGGCAAGAAGGGTAAAATCACGCAGGTTAAAAGCGACAACTGGGCTCGCGTGGAGTGGGAGGAAAGCAAATCGTCCAACAACTATCGGATCGGCGCAGACGGCTGCTATGATTTGCGGGTGGGTACGTAACGGAAAGCCTCGTCTTGCTCGAATATAAAAATCTCGGAAATTGTGGTGGTTATGATGGGTTGTACCGCATCATCATCAATTAGTACACGAACCTGCTTATTGCTGTATATTAAGTCCATTAACGCTTCCCCAATTGCAATTTCTCAGGAGGTCGTCTCTCTGGAGACGCCCTTAAAGGAGACGCCGTTGGAGGATTCTGCCGAGCTGCTGCCACCCCGGGTAAGATAGATATGGCACGTTACAGCCTGATTAGACCACAAGGCACATTTGCTGGTTCACAATACTGGCATCTTATGGCGCATCATCAAGATGACTACAGAGGTTGAGGCCAAATAATAGCACATTCTGGCGCATTCGCTAATAATTAAACTAGCGGCAACCGCATGCATTGCCTTCCACTATCTTGGGTCCTATCCGTAGTAACAAACTCAACCCTACGCCCCTGCCATGCGCCTTGACTTCCTCAGATGGGCCGCGTCTTGTTCTCTCCCAGTGGCGACTACTTGGCAACAGCTGGAGCAGACAAGTCGGTGCTCATTTGGCGGCTGGATGGTGTGGGAGACGAAGTGCGCGGCAGCGTGGTTGGCACGCTAAACGATTTCAAGTCGCCGGTAAGTCTACCACCGATACTGATTCTCGTTACCAATTCTGCTGTAAAACAAGCTACTAAAGTTTGCAAACATTGAATAAAATATAAAATAAAATGAATAAAATAATATATTACGCCAAGACCTGAAGTTTGTATGTTCCGTATATGGCACAACAATAATTAGTTGGTTTACGTATGTGCTGCTGACGCAGGTACTGGGATTGGACATTTCACCCAGCGGCCGCTACATTGCGGCCAGCGCTGTCAGCAATAGCATCACCGTCTACAGCTGCGACTGCCTCATGTCCAACTGATATATAGATGAGCATGGACAAAGCCGTAAACCTATGCCGTACCGTGCTGCAAGTCACGCTGAATTATGTTGCAGCTAGCGTCGGCCTCTCCGTAATAAGCTGCATTTTGCATGCCGACCTTTATATGCCTGTACATCTCTGCGCCTTTTGGTGGCACGACAGACGAGCAAGTGTAGTACAAAGGGCTTGCGCATAACCAACTAGGGACTCCACAGGGGCTCATCGTAGGCCCGTTCATGTGATTCCACCGGTTACTAAGGAGGAGGGCAGCATATGCTTCATTGCCCTCGACTTTGCATTACTAACATGCATGCGTGCATCTGCTGCCGGGGATATATACGCATGCACTTGACGGTTGGGATGGCTTTGGAAGTTTTGGACGCGGCAAATGGCTGCGGTCTGTGCTAATATCCATGCAAAGTTAGCGGGGCACATTATCATATTAGCATGGTTGTTACGGTTAAGGGAGTGTTACTGACAGCCTGGCGGTGTGTGGATGAACAAATATTGTGCCTTACTTGTTGTATTCGTCCGTACACTGTCATGCTTCAATTTGAGGAAGCGGCTGGTTCCTGTTTACGGCCTGAAGGATGTCAGGCCATTAGCCATGTACGCTGTGAATGACTGCTTGCTTGGGAATGCACCAATGACTCCAATATTTGCTTGCGGTGGTGACCGCCGCGCGACTCAAGCGAGGGTGGGTACCACAGAGGAACGAGCAATGCATTGGCGCTCATGGGAGGTCTGGCTGCCACTTGCACCCTTTCTGTGTTGACAATTATGAGTACGAGTATGTAGTGACATGTTTCCTGCGTTAATTGTCGTCTGTTGTTGGGCCGAGTTTTTTGCCCTTCCTTTAGGGTTGGTTCGTCTCCAGATACCGGCGGTATGCTAGCGGGATACAGCTAAATTGCACGATGGCTACTTCGAATGGCGTCTGGAGTTTCTATACCGCCGTTGCTAGTAGTGGAGGACGATTCTATAGCAGCCTGCTATTTCGTAGGGGGCCCCCATGCCGGGAGAGTATTGCATGTTGCACCTTGGTTACGTGTACGACGACGTTGTGCGACGTACCCCGGTGCCTGGCTTCTCGAGCACATCTGGTCGATGGCATGCGTGGCATGGACTCCTAATTTACGGCGACGGACACATTTAGCTAGCAATGTGCAATCTCACTCACCTTTAAGTGCTCTTCCAAAGTGTAGACAGCTACTCTGGTAAACGGGGATGACAAGGCGACCCAAGGAAACATGGGGCACCGACTGCTGACGTTTAGGGAAGGTATATGCCCCAAATGGGCATAAACTAAAATGGGATTGTGCCGTGGCAAATCCCACCGAGGCACCCAAATACTTTTACGGTACAAAGTAGATGAAGCCAATCCCCTTCCAAGCTCTTATTTGCTTGTGACTGAAACCAGACCGAAGCGATCTCATGGCCTGCCCAAATGGGTGTGCGGCATGGAGGGTTTATTTGGCAAGGGAGGGGCGGGGATGGAAGTGAAGGCAACGGGATGGAAGGGAAGAGTCGTTAGGGCAGAACGGGCAAAGGGATGGAAGCACAGGGATGGGGACGGGATGAATTGGCAAGGGGTGTCGCGGGGAGAGAACGATAAAAGCATGGAAGCTGGGGGAGGGAGTGGGCAGGGGAAGGGATAGGAAAGCAAGAACAGGGACGGTGGTGAAAGGAAAGCGAATGCTGCCAAGGCATGTGTGGCATATGTAGCCCACACCACGCCGTGTTACCCAGCCCGCTAGATTGGTAGCCCACTCCTCGTTGAGTGTGTCATACATGTTTTCCGTGACCTCCACAACTGATTGCCTGAGCATCTTGTGTTCGCAGCAGCAGCAGGCATACGAGTAGGACTCAGCAATGCATGCCATATCTGCAGGCTTCCTCTGCTGCTTCAACTGAAGTATAGGTGCACCTCTGCACACCACTGTTTTTGTCGAATGCTGGTAGTGCCTCGTCACCAAACTCGTCTTCTTCTACGTGGGCATGGGTTTGTGGGTGGCATTCAGAGCATGTTGGTCGCAGCAGCTAGTATTCAGTGGTACGCTCTCTTCAGTGCTTCTTCCAGCAACCTTACTGAAATGCACTCATAACAAACAACGTACCTATACCGCTCTCCTTTTGAGCACTGCTTGGAACAATGTCACCTTCGTTTGTGCGATGGAGCAATGTCGTCAGCGAAACAGTGGTTACCTTCAAACGCTTCACTATGAGCGACCGTACCTTTTTGACTTTGTTCCTTCCGCAGTCGATTCCGCACCATGCCTGCTGTGATACTGGGCCGCCCCATTTCCTGCAGCAATGTCTGTGGCGAAGCTTCCTTCCCAGTAGCCACGATAGTTTGTAATGCTTGTTTAAAAGCCTGCTCATCTTCAGTACTCCACCGACAGCGTTTTTTGGGTGGTGGCGGACCAGACTTCTCTTCTTCGTCAACAGCTGCCTCATTGGTGCCGCTACCATGCCTTAATTCTTTACCAATATTGCTTTTGTAAATGAAGTTCTGTAGTTGCGTCTTGGTAACATTGGCAAATCGCGAGTCGTTCCTCAAGCTTTCTGTTAAGTGCTTGTAGTCTGCAGCTTATTGCAACGCAAGCAGTTGGTCATCAGTATGGCGGCGTTTGCCCATGCTGCTTCATAGCAACACATTAACAACATAAGCATTCTAACGGTACTGTGAAACGCTTAATTGTGTATAACTACAACGACTATCCGTGATCAAGAAGGGTTACCAAACAGCAACTGTAAGAAAGCACGTGTACGACAGCCCCTTTCCGAACAGCAACGTTGCACCTTCGCAACAGACAACAGGAAAACACGTAACGTAGTTGTTTCGAACATTCACTGATCCAAACCATAAGACCAACCTCATTTCCATGCCCCATAACAATGTTGTCTGTGTGTTCTAACATCTGTTCTTCTAGGTTTACACATAGCAATAGTTTGGAAACATTGTCAATGTTATGGCTTCGTGCGCGATGTTACCTAAATAGGAAATTTACTGTAATGCTTAAGTCCCGGTATTCCCTATGGCTTTTCCCTTGCTTCCACGGCGCGGCCTATCGGAGCGCCTAGAACCAAGGGCAGGCCAAAAAGCGGTTACGCAGTACGTCGTCGGCAAGTTCCATACTAGGCAAGTTGGTTCGCGACTTCATCCAGCTGCTAGTTTGGCACTTCGTATTAATTTTCAGTGCTCGTGACGTTTCCTATATGTGTGAAAACTAAAATAAAATAAGTAATTTTTTAGCGAGTTGGCAGTAGATAACTGACTAACGTCCGTAAAGGACCCCGCAGGGCCTACCAGGGCCTGAAATTGAGGCGGCCAGCGCGCCTATCCTTCTCTTATATATTACGCCTTCCCACTTATGCCCAAAGATACGGACTTACCTGCGCGCCTACTGCCGACGACCGGATTTCGTCGCGTCAGCTCCAGCTGATCCCTTAACGAGCTAAGCGCAACATATAACCAACTTCTCGACCTTTCACTTCAATTGTCACAAATGTCTGCGGCCATCATGTCCCTAAGTGACGAGGAGCGCAAGCATCTCGAGGAGCTCACTCGGAGATACTTTGTGAAGCTCGACCGCGAGTCCCAAGACGAACTGCACAACATGTTTAACGCCATGGATGCCAACGGAAATGGCGTTGTGACCTGGCCGGAGATGAGGAAATGGGCAGAGTGAGTAGTACGTACGGGGGTGGGCACTTGCGCTGTCACCGCGGGTAGTAGCCCAACGCCAGCCAACCTGCCGGCATACCCGCCGAAGCGCTAGCAACAGCAGAGTCTGTCGGGCCCACCTTCATTGCATGGTAATCTTTTGCCCGCCAGTCTTAGTGTCGGCCATGCCTAGGCTTGCCTCGCATGCCGCCTCCTGCCTCTCAGAGTCTCAGGGCATCCCGCTTGCAGCAGTGCCTCCCAGGCTTTCCCTGCGGCCCCCCTCCCACCCCCAACGCATGTGCTTATTGCTTAGCGCACCCACAACGCTTAACATGTTTGCCATCAAAGCAAACCTCAACCCATCTTCTACCGCTTGCTGCTGCTTCCTCCACGCTCGCCCCCCGCTGAACGTACTTCGCTCCCCCATCCTCCGCAGGCAAGCCGGCGTGCCCGCCCTCTCACCCGAGCAATGGAACGCCATGGACCTGAACGGAGACGGCTGCCTGGACTTCTTCGAACTGGGCGCCGCTACCCTGCTCGCAAAGTGAGCGAACGTGCATGGGCCCCGGGTCCTGTTGCGTGTCAGTCCTACCAAGTGCAGGGTTGAGCTGGGGGCTAGCAGTCTGCTCGCAAACCGAATGTGGGCATGCATGGGCCGGGTCCTGATAAATGACGCCTGTGTCGTGTTGTTCATTATTGCTTAGCCTGGTTAGCCGCTATGTCTACGGCAGCATTCTAAAACCTCGCATTTGGGTTATTATGACCGAACAATGCTATTGATGTCACATATTGTCGTCTTTCAAGCCACCCTAGACGTGAACAGCTTGGCCCATCCTCCCATGTGACCTTTATCCCCGGCAAGCACATGTCCCTACCACCTCCAAGAGCCCTCCCTCTATCTTGGTCCCTTCCGTACATTCACTTGCACTCGCCTCCCGCTCCCCTCCCTCCATCCCGCCTCCCGCGTTCCCTCACCCCTTACCGCCACCACCACCGCCACCACCACCATCATCAACGCCAGCGCCTGCGGCTGCCGAGTATGCAACAAACCCATCATGGAGGCCGAGCGCCTCTGGGTGTGCAAGACCTGCTGCTTCGAATATGCCGCTATGACTGACGAGCAACGCAAGCGCAATCCCCAGCACTGGGTTAGCGTTTGTACGACATGCGCCGGGCAGGGCGATGTGCCCTGCGATTTTGACCATGAGCACACCATGTACCTCATCCGCAATGAATGGCCCGTGCCGCTCGATAAGTGGTCCTTCCTTGTCACGGAAAACGTGGAGTCCTGCGTTTGCTGCGGGGAGACGCACAACTTCGTGCCTTCGTACCTCCGTTCCGACGACAAGCCCCACCTCCTGAGGATTTCCAGCAGCGGTGGAGGTAGCGGTGGTGGTGCTGCTAACGCTTCCGTGGTATGCGAGTGGTGCTGCACATGGATCTGCCGCCGCTGCAGCGACGTGCACATTGCCTCCAGTCCCTCCCTCGGCATGTGGAGCCAGGGCCTGCAGTGCGCTAACCTCTGCAAACGCAAGGATAACCGCACCTGGGCCTTCAGCACGAAGTTCCTGGTTGCAAGCGGAGAGCGGACGGATCGACCCCATTGCCGTACTTGCCAACCTCGGATCTTACGTGAAACGTTGTACACCGTACCGCAACAGGGGGCCGCCAGCAGCAAGGTCTTGGTGAAGGCTACGGCTGCTGCTGCGGAGGCGGCGGCAGCGGCGGGAGGGAGTGGCAAGGTGCAGCGACAAGAGTCGGCAAAGGTTGGGGTGCAGGTTTCGAGCCTGGCGGATTACACGAGCTGCTCAATCATGTGAAAGAAGGGGTTGGTTAGTGGGCGACGTACGGAGGTACGGAGGTCAGGCACATGCCAACGGTTTAGAACATGCTCTGCAGTACGGTGCCGGCATGCATGTGGGATTGGGTGTTATGGTACTGTTCTGCAGTACATGATCTGCAGTACGGTGCTGGCATGTGGGGTTAGGGCGCGTGCATGGCTTCCTGGAGGGTGCTATTAAAGGGGGTGAAAGGAAGGGTGGCCTTACTCGGGCACCCATGAGGACAAAAAACGCACCAACAATTGCAAGCATGGCAGGCGAGTCGTCCTGCAGGTTACCGGCTACATAACCGTCACAACTCATCACTTCTCTCAATTTGTGCGTTTACGACCTACTTGGTGTCTGCTTTCGATATCAAATTGTATGGTGTTTGCTGAAACCAATACGTGCTACGACACGCTCCATTGTATTGTTCTAAGCATGCTCGTGCTAGCTATCTGTGCGTGTGCTGCTGCAGGGTTGCAGCAGTTAGGGCTTTCCGTCTGGGGTTGCGGGCTGCGCTGCTCGTACTTTTGCTGGATAGACAGTACGAGGTTCCGTACATGCGCGTTCGTTCGTACAAAGGATCCCAAAGCTTGATCGCTGACATACCCGGTGCTTTAGCTGCATGACCAACGCATGCTTTGTTTATGGTGGTACATATTATATAGTGTATATATACTGTACAGGCCTGTTTGGAAGCAGTGGACGGTGTTGGGAAGTGACCATGTTGCGTATTCCATTCCACATCGTCCACTCATGGAAAGCCACCCCCTGTCAACTGGCATTCACCCCTGTCGCCTCACACGCAACACCATCGCACCGCACCGGTATGACACCATGTCACGCCGCTCATCAAACCCCAGCGTTCCCTTCACCGCCATGCTCAGCCACCTTTCCAAATAACCTTTCCAAATTACAAACCCGCCAGATCACATTCAATACGACAACTCATCCAATGCAAGTCCAAAAGAAGTCATGTACGCGCGTCATCACGTAAAGCCAGCCATGCAGCAGCATGCAACCCACTCGCACCCACATCGCAGTACCTTGCTCCCCGCGGCCAGCTTTCTTAACACCCACGCCCACCGCAGCCACTTCCTTTGCCCACCCGCCTACCCCCTATCCCGCCCTCCCGCCTACGGTACCCATGCATCAATCCAAACCCACCCCACCCGACAGCCCCTTCCTTGGCTGTCCTTGGCACCAAAGTATCCCGCGGGTTCCCATCAACCACCCAGCACGCCGCACACCGCACACAAATCCCAGCTTCGCAGCCCCAACCCTCAACTCCAACCCAAAATGGTCCCCAGGAAGCCCCTCTTTATCAAACCGCCCCCACCGCTGCTCCTGCCTTGGCGGCGAAGAAGGCGGGTGCCAGTTCAGGCAACCAGCGCGCCTCAATCGCAAGCGCCTCCCGGGCGTATGTGCGGGTGGTGTGCATGAGCTCGTTGAAGACCAGGCAGTCGGGCTTGCGCTCCAGAAGCACGGAGCTGGGGTGAAGGAAAACCTGTACGACAGGGGGACCGAGGGGGAGAGGCAGCAGGCGGCGTCAGGATGGGTGAAACGGCCCGGAGGAAAGCGGGTTATGATCAGCGGTAGGCTTGCTTGGAAAGCAGCATGGTAGCATGGAGCCGTGCTACTGCATTTACATTCCCGGGTGGGGTACAACACCACCCGGCCAACTGTCGATGTCTCCTAGTGCCCCGATGTCTCCTAGTGCCCATCTACCCTCACGCCTCGCCTGTCTCCCGGTTGCACTCACCCGGTATGACCCATCCGGATGCAACCTGGCCGCGTGCGGGAACAGCCCCGCCGTCAGGGCCCTCCGAAGCGGGGTGGTGTCCTCGGTCCCGCCACCGCCTCCCCCCGCCGCTGCCAGCCCCCCCGCTGCCGCTGCTGTTGCGGATGCTAGGCCTCCCATGCAGGAGGAGAGCGGCAGACCCAGTCGGGGGGGAGGGATGACCCAGGCAGCGGACCAGCTGGTCGTAGATGTCCTCTGCCTTGCGCAGGGCCCTGGTGGGGGAGGCATTCGGGGGTGGGGGGGAAGTATGAGTGGGTTTGAGGCTGAGTGTGAGACCCATGGGTCGTTTGGGCTAGAAATAAGTGTAAATAGCCGTAACAATACCGTATTGCCCAAAATTTAATTGACAAAAATAAAATGTTTTGGGTTTTGTCAAATGGGGCAAAGAATGTTTTTTTGCCATGTCAAATGGGGCTGGAAATTCGCTGGCAAGGTGTCAAATGGGGGCAAAATATTCCGCCTGGGTTGACTGCAGGGTAACTAAGATGGGAACGGAGAGGTAGGGGGCAACTGACTTGCCAGTGCGCTGGATCCTCACCGCGCCATGCCCAGTCGGGGTTTCCAAATGGTGTTCCACGTATCCTCCTGGGGCTGCACAGCGGCATACAGCTGAACTGCTCCTCTCCTTACCATGTTACATCCAACACGTACGGCGGCTTTGGGGGCGTTTTGGCGCATGTCAAATGGGGCTAGAAATTCGCCAACAGGAAGTCAAATGGGGCTTAAATTATCCCGCTTCGTCAAATGGGGCTAGAAAATAGGCTTCCAAACGCATGTCAATTAAATTTTGGGCAATACGGTACATATAGTGCACGTACAGCTGTCGTACATACGAAAGAGAGATCTGCTGCCGTACCTGATGTTTATGAAGTTGTCGGAGCACCAGGTGGTTTGCGCCTTCTTGTTCTCCTGTGCGTGTTGTGTTGTGTTGGGTGGTGTAAGGGCTGGTAAGAGGCGACGATGTGAGGAGGAACAGTTTATACATTAATTATAGTGTAACCACCTGTTCCGAGGGTTTCGGGAAATACCCAAGGTAGTAATACTATAAATATACTGTTATCATCCAAGGTGACCTTGGATGATAACAGTATATTTATAGTATTACTATAGGGTATTTCCCGAAACCCTCGGAACACTTGTAGCGTGTGATGTGGTCGCCCTCACGTGACACGAACTTGAGCCTCGCGGCACGCCACTCGCGCTCCTTCTGCCTGCATGGGCGTTGCGGTGTCGGGTACGGCATTCTTAATAACGGAATCCGGAGTACGGTATCCGGATGCAAGTACGGCACACAAGTACGGCACCCTTCCAAGTACGACATTTGCGTACGGTAGCCCTTCCCCCCCCACACCGCCTTGAAGCCTCGTCACACAGCTCGTTAGTTGCCTAATCAGCTTTCTTATTTTTATCCCCTCCCCCCTTCACGCCTCCCCACCTGGGCATGTGGAACACATTCTCCGCCGCCACCATGGCCACCACCGCCACCGCCTCCACCCCGCACCCCATCTCCGCAGCCGCCAGCAGTACTCGTCCGTACATGGGGTCCACGGGCAATCGAGCCAGGCGGGAGCCGATGCCGGGAGTGAGCTTGCCGGCGGGGTCCAGCGCGCCTAGGGCGTAGAGCAGCTCCAAGGACCTTCGGAGGGAGGAGGGAGCAAGCGAGGGAGAAGGAAATGAAAAGTGATTATAGGGAGAGGGGAAGAAAGAGCGTTTTGAACATTGAAGGATGAGGGTTTGAGTTTTTGGCAGTAAGCTTGGCACGGAGGTTGGGAGGTTGGGTAATGGGTTTGTTTGGTTTGGAGGGGTGTGTTTGGTTTCTGTGTGTGCCCCTCTGCACCCGGCTGCACCCATCAACCCTGCCCACCTGAGCACGGCGGTCTTGGGTGGCGGGTCCATGAAGTCAAAGTTGACCACGTCGTCGATACCCATGGCCTGGTTGGAGGGAGGGCGAGAAGGAAGAAAGCGGATATAAGCGTATATTGGTAAGGAGGGAAGGAGACGGAAGAGGTCATGTAGTACGCAGAGGTTGGAGGTGAATGAGGAACAAGGACAGGGTCTATAGAAAGCCACACCTCCAACACGTCTCATGGCCTTATGCAACCTCACACTTCCACAGCACTGTTCCACCCAACCAAGTCTCGTCGGCTTGTTCGCCAGCCTCATTCAACACATTGGGTACCGTATTCTTCTTTTACCCACCCATCCACCGCCCCAACCACCTTGAGTTGCAGCACCACGCTGCTCATGTTGCAGCGGGTGATCTCGGGCGGGGTGGTTGCCTCCAGCTGCCCAAAGTCCGCCTCCGTGTACAGCCGGTAGGCCTTGCCGGGGCCCTCGCGGCCCGCGCGACCGCTGCGCTGGCGGGCTTGGGCCTGAGGAGGGGAAACAGATGAGCAGTTGGAGAGGAGAGGCGGGACGAAAAGTGGGCCATTATGACGCCGGTAGTTACAAAGGCCTTGCGAGGTCCGTACGGCCGTTTTACCCCAACCCCATACTCCCACCCCACCCCACCCCCTCCCTATGGTTTGGTATGGTCTTTGACCCCCCTCCCCACCTGCGACACCGGCACCACTGCTAGCGACTCCAGCCCCAACCTCGCATTGTAATCGCGGGACTTCACGTGACCCGTGTCGATCACAAACCTTGGGGGGCAGGATGGAGACGAGAAGGTGGAGGGGGAGGCGGAGGGGGATGGGTGAGAAGGCTGGGAACGGGAATTTGGACAGTAAACAAGCCACGAGTAGGGTTTGGTTACATGGCGGTTGTATGGCGGTGTTGCTGCGAACATCGTGGTGACCTGACCCACACTGCGGCCGTAATAACTCTCATATACCGGTACGCGGCCCCCGCACCTGACTCCGGGGATGGTGATGGAGGTCTTCGCAATGTTGGTGGCGAGGATGGCTTTCCGGAAGCCGGGTGGTGCGGGCTCAAACACCTGGGGGCAGGCAGGGGTAGGCGGGGTGGGCAGGGGTAGGCGGGGTAGGAAGGGCAGGCAGGCCTCCAAAGGCAGGGACCCCAAAGGCCCTATCACACATGAGGACATCAGGTGCATCCGGGTTGGCATGTCCTGCTCCCGATCCTGCCCCGCATCGTACATCGCCCCTTTCCTCCCTCCACCTCCCACCTCCCACCTTCATCTGCTGCTCCGGCGGGAGTGCGGCGTAGATGGGCAGCACCAGCAGCTCCCGACGAGAAGCAGCAGCAGCAGCGGCCTCTCCTCCCTCCCTCCTGCCTGCCTGTCATGCTCTCCCCGGCCTGCCTCTCCTGTCGTACTCCCTCCCTCCTGTCTTAATCCCTCCCTCCCGTCTTACTTCCTCCCCCCCTGTCGTACTTCCTCCCCCCTGTCGTACTCCCTCCCTCCTGTCGTACTCCCTCCCTCCTGTCGTACTCACCTTAAGCAGCCGCTCCGCCGAGTCGATCTCGTCCTGCCCCGTCAGGAACACCAGGATGTCGCCCTCGCCCTCGTCAGCATGCACCTGAGGAGGGGGGAGAGGTTGGTGGGGAGCAAAAGAAAGAGAAGCAAGATCAGCAGCAGCCAGGAACCCGATACGTGTGAGTTTTAGGGATACGCAGACGATCCGGTGAGCAAATGCAAGTAGGCGGTCAAGCGCACGAGGACATTGCACGGTGAGACATCCTCGTCTCCAACGCCCCTTAGTGTGATACCTCTACTCTGCACACAATGGACACAACACCACCACACACACCTCTCCCCTCTCTCCCGCCCCCTCACCTGCAGTGTTGCGTTGATCGCCGCATCCAGGTAGTTGTCCTCCGGGCGAGCCGTGTACATCACCTGGATCGTAGCACATGCGTAGCACAGGCGTAATGTGTTTCGCGACGAGCCTATACGGCACAGCGGGAGGAGAAGGGGAAGGGGAAGTACGAGCAGAGTAGTACAGTGCTGTTAGCCGTACAATCGGGTCTTTTCGATACGCACACGTTGTGAACAGCTGACCCACGGGTCTCCTCTCACCTGCACCCCCTTGAGCAGCCCGAACAGCACATCAGTGTGCACCGTCCGCTTGTGGGCCTCGTCGATAATGACCACTCGGTATCTGGCACCCAGGATTGGAGGGGGGGCGGGTTGGTGTACGGGGTAGAAGAAAGGATGACATGTCCCTTGCAAGGCTCAACTTGGATTGTTGACGTGGGATTGTTGACCACGCAAATCCCCCAATTCTTGCTAAACGCACGCTTTGGCCCAAGAGCTCTCAAATAAGAGCTCTTGGGCCAAAGCGTGCGTGGAGCAAGAATTGTGGGATCTGCGTGGTCAACAATCCCACGTCAATTGCAAGGCTGAACTTGGATTGTTGACGTGGGATTGTTGGCGGCGGGGGTGGTGCCGGTGCTGGGCCGTGGTAGTGAACATGGTAGATCACAGTCGTGGCCGCACCTGCAAGCGACATTAGAGCGCGAGTCAGTTGAGATATTGTCAAGTGTTTCCCATTTTAACGAGCAATAGCAAGACAATGAATTCTGTACACTTGATATATGTTATAGCATACCCACCGCTTTGGGTAGTAGCCGCCGCGGCGCGCTGCTCGGGAGTCACCAGGTTGATGAATGGGACAGGGCTTTGTGAGAGGTCAATGGCTGCATTGCACAGAAACGAGGCACAAGATGTTAGATCGACGAGAAGCAGCAGAATACATACAGCGAAGGGAAAGCACTAATGACTGCAACCTGGAGCGCTAATAGTCTCTCTCTGGAACGCCTAGACAATGATAGACGTATCGCAAGAGCAAGCTGTGATATTGGGCCGCACCTGCTGTCGCCGCTGGGGCCCTTGGTGGTGTCGACGCCTCCTCCTCCTCGTCCTCGTCCTCCACCTCACCGAAGGCATGATACAGGCTTCTCTTAACCGACATCCTGCTGTGTGTGTAGAAGAGAGGGCAGGGCGAAAAATTGGTATTTATTTGCTCGAGATCGGGATTAGTACGTGAGCTGGCCGTGTCATCGCGACCCATGGTCCCTTTTTGGAACACAAAGCCTGTATCTCTAGGCGTTATTGAATGACTCCTCAATTATAACAGATTTGTTGGACTGGACAGAGGGCTAATCGCTTAATCACCTTCTGTGTCAGCTCCGATGCAGCACCAGGTCCCGGCTTTAGATGTGGTTGCTACTTAACATAACTGCATTTGGAAATGTAAAGCCTGTAGAGTCATAAAATGCATTTTCAGTGCCCAACGGGTGCGGAAACAGTTCTACAGCTCATCGGTACGGCAGGCTTCGCAATCTTTGCGAAATGTCCACGAAATGTCCCTGGGTGCAACGAGCCCGGTACCTTGGTTTGCACTTTGGTCCTGACACACATTTTGTTTCCTGCACAGAGGAACTGTTGACCTCTGGCCGACGTGCTATGTTTTCTCTTCACCGTAAATTAAAACGCCTAGGTCTCTTGGTCCCTGCTGTTGCAGTTAAGTGCTTCGACGTGCAAGTCCGCTCCATCTTGTCGTACGGTGTTCAGGTGTGGGGGCCTGATGTGGTGCTGAAGTTAATGACGGGCTGCGAGAATTCCGCGAGGTACTTTGACAGATCCTTGCGGGACCCAATGGTGCAGTTACAAAGGGGATTTATTCGGGAGATTGCGGGTGTGAAAGTCTCGCCGGATAAGTTGCTGTTTAAGGAGTTTAACCAGCGCCCCCTGCATGTCTTCTGGTTGGAACTGTTTCTGAGGTTTTGGAATGACCTGGTCAAGCAGAAGGACACGGTCTACCACCAGGCGTTGCGAGGTGAAATTCGTTCGGCCCTCAGTACTGATCATTATGATGGCTGGGGTTCTAAGGTGTTGAAGATTCTGAAAATGTTAGGGACGGATTTGACGGCCTTGGGGGATGAGTTGGACTTGGATGCGCGTGTGGAACGTATTGCTGGCACGGAGCTAAACGTGTCTACTCTCACTAAAATGTTTGCTGATAGAATGGATGCGGATTGGGAGAATAGGAGTTTGGAAGATGACCCGCGGCTTTTCAACCCAGTAGACCCCGTACCAGGGGTTGGAGTTAAGATGTGCAGGTACAAAAATTGGATGGGTGTCCTGGTTGACAGGGGGTACATTACTCAGCGGCAGCATGTGAACCTGATGCGTTTTCTGCTGTGTGTGGGGGGCATTGAAGCCAATCGCCCTAGGGGTAGGCAACGAGTAGCGCGTGTCTGTCCTATGTGTGCCGTGCAGGGGTCGCCGGGGAGAGTGGAAGATGAGAAACACATCCTCATTGAATGTCCCGCTTACGATGATTTGCGTGATAAGATATGGGAAAGTGGTGTCTCACGGGATGCTGATATGATTGCTGTCATGGGCATGGAGAATCAGGCATTGCTTGCTAGCGTAATCACTAGCATGCGAAGTCGTAGGATTGCGCGGACAGGGTTTATCACATGATTAGCGTTCTGTTTGTTGTTTCTTTTGTTTACTTTTCTTCTTTTGGTTGTTTTTTCGCGTTTGTGCTCGCGATCCATGAGCCTTCTGGCTCGGACGGATCTTACGAGCTCGGTACGAAGCTTGTAAAACATACATACATACATACCCACGCTAGTTTGCCAGATTTCCACCATAAGAAATAGCTTTAAGTGCAGACAGCAAAATAGTGATTTATTTAGCGCTTTCCTGTGCCGCAGCGCCCTGTGCCGCCAGTGCGAGGCGGGCTTAGCATCGACGCCACCGACATGCGCTCAACAAGTGCAGTTCTCTTTCCTGACCACACAACACTGGCAACATTCGGTCTATAAGTGGCTGCGAAATACATATCCAGTTGCAACAGTAACTTGCATGCATAAGACCTGCGCTTGAGCACGGACGCCATGCCAACAAAAATGTGCAACTAAGCGACAATACAGAGGAGCAACGGCAAAAAACAATAAGATGCAGACAAGGAAAGCTAAGCGTACTACAATCCCCAAGGAATTGCAACAACAGGGCACTTATAGCAAGGGGAATGGGGGAATGGTGCAACAACAGGTTGGAGGCAACGTATTTCAAGAGCAAACGTTTATCCCTTGATGCATCGCAGGCGTTTGCAAGGTAGCACCTTGTACGCATGCATGTAAGGGGGTATGGGGGCAGGGGCACCAGCCCCTTCCCCCACCAAGATGCATACGGTGCTTTTGATGTGCAAGTGCGCTCCAAGTTATTGTACGGCGATGTAGAGGCTTGGGGCCCCAGTGCCCTCATTGAGATGTTTGATGGTGTTCCTAGAGCAGGCGCACAGATTGCTGGTAACACCGAGTGGAGACGTAGGCAGAGGCGACCGGGTGCCCGTGCCACCCTCTTCGAAAGGGCACTGTATGATCCTGCAGTGGAGCTCCAGAAGGATTTCCTACGGCGCGTCTCCTGGCTACCGGCCAATCAAATCCTGTTGAAATACTCGCAACTGCCGATGCAATGCTTTTGGGCGAAGTGTGGTTTTATTTCTGGAATAAGCTTGTTAAGGCGGAAGGCACTCTAGCTAATGCGGAGTTTCGGGATAACGTTGCCCTGGCGGCTGCTGGTGGCTTCATGGGTTTGTGCTGGGTAGCGCAAATGCTGAAGGTGTGCGGGAAATTGGGATATAATTGGAGGGAAGGGCAGCCAGGTGCTGGTACCCCGCAAGTTATAGCCCCTTGGTTAGCTAATCGCGAGCTGCCTGTGCAGCAGTTGCTGGCTGCTTTACGGAATCGGTTGTTAGCTAGCTGGGGAAGCGAACGGCTTGCGGTGGCCCCCCGATCCTTTGTGTCGGATGGTGGGCAACCCGGAGTGAAGATGTGACGTTACAAGCATTGGATGGGATCCCCTTTCAGCACGATGAGTTGGCCCCCTTATGCCAAGACGTATATTCCCAGGCATCACCTGTCTCCCCTTATGCGTTTTCGCATTGGCTGTTGGGATGCTGCGGTGAATCGCCCTGGTAACGGGGCACAGCGCGTAGCTAGAGAACAGCGTTTATGCCAATTTTGTGATGCATATGTCGTGGAGGATGAGTTCCATGTCCTGATGGAATGCGCGTGTTACGCGCACTTGTTTCCTGATGTGCCGAACCCCACTGATGCGGATATGGCTAATATTATGTGGAGCTTTGATGTTGCCAAATTGGCGAGCCTTCTACATGCTATTTATGCGTGTAGGTCCAGTCGCGCTTAATAGGTGACCACCTACCCAAACAGTTCTGTCTCCCCGCGAACTTCTGCGCTTTATTGCACCTCTTGACCGGAATGGTTCGTGAGGTTGTGCGGTAGGGCGGGAGGGTCCTACACCGTACCATGTAATCGTAATCGTAATCGTAGCCCTCGACTCTTGCGATGGCCAAGCCGGACGCCCGTCTGGACCGGTGTTCCTTTTAGTGTTACCTAACACTATGAATATTGGTATTCCCTTCAGTCTAGTCTATAACCGTTTGTAGGCCCATGCGAAATCATTCAGGCTTTCAGGGGCCCTTCGTTGTGTACGGCATGATGGACGACGGGAGTTGGGAATGACATATAAAGGCTTCTAATTCATATACTGGTAGCTAAAGCTTTAGGGACTCGCTTTGTTTACTACTTATCCTATAGCCCCTTGTCTCTTTAGACCTTCCGGCTGCTTAGGTAGGCAGCACTGGCGATCATAAGGTTTCGATCCGGAAAAAATAGCATGCAAGAAGAGCGGTGAGAACAACTTCTTGTGTGGCGCTCGGGCGTCGTAGTAGCTGTCGAGGTGTTGCATGCGGTTTATCAAGGCGCCTGCTGACATCTTGGATTTTCCGACTTTGCAGCGCACCGGATGACGTGCTGCGCGATCATCACAAACACTCCAGAGTCCCCGTGAGCGCCCAGGGTGAGCCTATTTTCGGCCTTTTCCTTCGAACACCTGCAAAGTTTGATACCATGCCGATATACCCACCGATAACTGTCAGTTCTGGCTTGCGATCTGTGCTAACTTTCACTAACTTCGTTCCACCTTTTGCGTTTACTTTTGCGTTGCAGAGGAGACGCGCAGGAAGGCAGGTAGTCATGTGGGTAATAGCGGTCATTGTGGTCGCCACGCACCTCCTTCTTGCCTTTGACCCAGATGGCCAAGACCATAGCAGCACGAGACGAGAGCTTTGAGGTGAGCGGGAGAGGTGTTGGGCTAGGCCATGTTAAGGGTACTAAGATAGCAGTGCGTATGTAGAGTAGTCACCTTCCCACAACCATACTTCACCGTACTGCTTTCCATGCCGCCTGCCCCTGTCGCCTCCCCTGCCCATGTCCAGGCGGACTCGTATCAGCATTCCGAGACGGTGCCCTATCCTACACACCTAGAGCCCCCACCGGCCGCCATCACATCGCTAAGGCCAGCAGACATTGGCACAACCACAGTTGTTTTGGCTGCACTTACATTCACCAACAGCCCCGCAGGCATTGTCTGCAGGGCTGTTGGTGAAATGCTGATAAAGTAAGTGCAGCCAGAACGACTGCGGTTGTGCCAGTGTCCGCTGGCCTTAGGTGATGGCGGCCGGCGGGGGCTCTAGGTGTGCAGGATAGGGCACTGTCTCAGAATGCTGATACGAGTCCGCCTGGCATCTAGTGTTGGAGCTACCGGCGTGCCGCCATTGGCAGTGTCAGCGGTGACGGGGGCGTTGGTGGCCGTTTGCATGGCGATGTTGGCGTCATTCAAACGGCTACCAACGCCTCCACTGCCCCTGTCCAGGCGTGCCCGCCCTCTCACCCGAGCAATGGAACGCTATGGACCTGAACGGAGACGGTTGCCTGGACTTCTTTGAGCTGGGCGCCGCTACCCTGCTTGCAAAGTGAGTGGACATGCATAGGCCCCGGGTCCTGTTTGGTATGCGAGTGGTGCTGCACATGGATCTGCCGCCGCTGCAGCGACGTGCACATTGCCTCCAGTCCCTCCCTCGGCATGTGGAGTCAGGGCCTGCAGTGCGGTAGCCTCTGCAAGCGCAAGGACAACCGCACCTGGGCCTTCAGCACCAAGCTCCTGGTCGCAAGTGGAGCGCGGACGGATCGACCGCATTGTCGTACTTGCCAACACTGTACACCGCACCGCAACAGGGGGGCGGCAGCAGCAAGGTCCCGGTGAAGGCTACGGCTGCTGCTGCTGCGGAGGCGGCGGCGGCGGTGGGAGGGAGTGGCCAGGTACAGCGAGAAGGGTCGGCAAAGGTTGGGGTGCAGGTTTCGAGCCTGGCTGATTACACGAGCTGCTCAATCATGTGAGAGAAAGGGGTTGGTTAGTTGGCGAGCATGTACGGAGGTCAGGCATATTAGGTTTATATACTCTTCTGCAGTACATGCTGTGCGGGGTTAGGGTGCCAGCATGAATGCGGGGTTAGGGCGTGTGCCTGGCTTCCTGGAGGGTGTTATTGAAGGGAGCGAAAGGAAGGGCGGCCTTAGTAGGGCACCCATGAGAGTAAGGAGCGCACAAATGTTTGCAGGCGTGTCAGGCGAGTTGTCCTGCAGGTTACCGTACTTCATTACCCACGATTGGTGACCTACTTGGTGTTTGCTTTCAATATCAGTTACCGCATATGCTGTTTACAGAAAACAATATGCAGTACGACACGCTCCATTGTCCATGACATGACACTCGTACCATCGTCCATGACATGCATGTATGGGAGGGTGTCCAGGTCGTGAGGGTATGCGCGCATTATGGAGACGATAGTACCCTCCCGTACGGACATCTAGCCACTGTGAGCTGTGAGCCACTGTGAGCTGTGTGCTCTGCTGCAAGGTTGCAGCAGTCAGGGCTTTCCGTCTGGGGTTGCGGGCTGCGCTGCTCGTACCTTTGCTGGATAGACAGTACGGTGTTCCGTACATGCGCAATCGTTCGTGCAAAGGATGAAGTATGCTTACCGGTACTGACATACCCGATGTTTTAGCTGCATGACCAACATACGTTTTTGTTTATGGTGATACATGTTGTATATAGTGACTGTACAGTCCTGGTTGGAAGCAATGGACGGTGTTGGGCAGTAACCATGTTGCACATTCCATTCCGTAGCATTCACTCATGGTAAGTGAACCCCCTGTCAACTCTCACCCACCCCTGTTGCCGCACACGCAGCAGCATCAAACCGTACCGATATGTGGCCATGTCACATCACTTTCATCAAACCCCAGCGCTCCCTTCATCGCCATGCCCAGCCACCTTCAACCTTTCCAAACAACAAACCCACCAAACTACATCCAGTAAAATAACTCACCTAATACAAGTCCAAAAGAAGTCATGTACGCGCGTCATCACGTAAAGCCAGCCATGCAGCAGCATGCAACCCGCTCGCACCCACATCGCAGTACCTTGCTCCCCGCGGCCAGCTTTCTTAACACCCACGCCCACCGCAGCCACTTCCTTTGCCCACCGCAGCACTTCCCGCCTACCCCCTATCCCGCCCTCCCGCCTACGGCACCCATGCATCAGTCCAACCCTGCCTCAGCTGACAGTCCCTGCCTTGGCAGTAAATTGTTGCGCGGGTTCCATCCCCGCAAACAGCCAGCACGCCGCATACCATACACAAATCCCAGCTTCGCAGCCCCAACCCTCAACTCCAACCCAAAATGATCCCCAGGAAGCCCCCCTTCATGAGGCCGCCCCCACCGCTGCTCCTGCCTTGGCGGCGAAGAAGGCGGGTGCCAGTTCAGGCAACCAGCGCGCCTCAATCGCAAGTGCCTCCCGGGCGTATGTGCGGGTGGTGTGCATTAGTTCGTTGAAAACCAGGCAGTCGGGCTTGCGCTCCAAGAGCACGGAGCTGGGGTGAAGGAAAACCTGTACGACAGGGAGCCCGGGGGGGCAGGGGGCAGCAGGAGGCGTCAGGATGGTTTAAACGGCCCGGAAAAGTAGGTTGCGATGATCGGTAGGCTCGCATAAATAGCAGCATGGTAGCATGGAGCCGGGCTGCTGTATTTGCATTCCCGGGTAGGGTACAACACCACCCGGCCAACTGTCGATGTCTCCCACTGCCTCAGTTTTACCTCTTCACCATCTACCCTCACGCCTCACCTGTCTCCCGGTTGCAATCACCCGGTACGACCCGTCCGGCTGCAACCTGGCCGCGTGCGGGAACAGCCCCGCCGTCAGAGCCCTCCGTAGCGGGGTGGTGTCCTCCGTCCCGCCACCGCCTCCCCCCACTCCTGCCAACCCCCCCGCTGCTGCTGTTGCGGATGCTAGGCCCCCCATGCAGGAGGAGAGCGGCAGACCCAGTCCTGGCGGGGAGGGGTGACCCAGGCAGCGGACCAACTGGTCGTAGATGTCCTCTGCCTTGCGCAAGGCCCTGGTGGGGGAGGCATTCGGGGGTGGGGGAAAAGTATGGTTGAGTTTGAGCTTGCCCATGGGTGTAAGACCCAAGGGTCGTTTGGGCGGGATAAAAGGTAGTAAGGAGAATGTGCATAGTCTTAAAATTACATATGGTGCATGTACAGCTGTCGTACATACGAAAAAGAGATCTGCTGCCGTACCTGATGTTGATGAAGTTGTCGGAGCACCAGGTGGTTCGCGCCTTGTTGTTCTCCTGCACGTGTTGTGTTGTGTGGATGGGCAAATGTGCGAGATGCTGGTAAGAGGCGACGATGTGAGGAGTTACAGTTTATATACTACTGATATATTGTTTACAGTGTAACCACCTTGGATAATAACGGTATATTTGCAGTATTACTACCTTGGGTATTTCCCTGAACCCTCGGAACACGTGTAGAAGCGTGATGTGGTCGCCCTCACGTGACACAAACTTGAGCCTCGCGGCACGCCACTCGCGCTCCTTCTGCCTGCATGGGCGAATGCGGTGTGGGGTACGGCATTCTTCAAGTAACGGAATGCAAGTACGATATCCGGATGCAAATATGGCACACAAGTACGGCACCCTTCCAAAATACGACATTCGCGTACGGCAGCTCTTCCCACCCCGCACCGCCTTGAAGCCTTGTCATACACACAGCTCGTTAGTTGCCTCGTCAATTTCCTTATTTTTACCCACTCCCCCCCCCCGCCTTCACGCCGCCGCACCTGGGCATGTGAAACACATTCTCCGCCGCCACCATAGCCACCACCGCCACCGCCTCCACTCCGCACCCCATCTCCGCAGCCGCCAGCAGCACACGTCCGTACATGGGGTCCACGGGCAGTCGAGCCAGGCGGGCGCCGATGCCGGGAGTGAGCTTGCCGGCGGGGTCCAGCGCGCCTAGGGCGTAGAGCAGCTCCAAGGACCTTCGGAGGAGGGAGGGAGCAAGCGAGGGAAAGGGAGGAAGAAGTCAATGAAAAGTGAAGATAGGGAGGAGGGGGAGAAAGAGTGTTTTGAACATTGAAGGATGGGGGTTTGAGGTTTTGGCAGTAAGCTTGGCACGGAGGTTGGGAGGTTGCGTGATGGGGAGAGGGGTGTGTTTGGTTTCTGTCTGTGCCCCTCTGCACCCGGCTGCACCCGTCAACCCTCCCCACCTGAGCACGGCGGTCTTGGGTGGCGGGTCCATGAAGTCAAAGTTGACCACGTCGTCGATACCCATGGCCTGGATGGGGGGAGGGCGAGGAGTCTCGTCGGCTTGTTTGCCAGCCTCATTCAAAACATTGGGTACCGTATCCTTCTTTTACCCACAGCCCCACCCACCTTGAGTTGCAGCACCACGCTGCTCAGGTTGCAGCGGGTGATCTCGGGCGGGGTGGTTGCCTCCAGCTGCCCAAAGTCCGCCTCCGTGTACAGCCGGTAGGCCTTGCCGGGGCCCTCACGACCCGCGCGACCGCTGCGCTGGCGGGCTTGGGCCTGAGGAGGGGAAGCAAGTTAGCAGCGGGAGGGAGAGGAGGGGTGGGACGAGGGAGAGGAGAGGAGGGGAAGGATTGAGGGTTGGTTGGCAAGATGAAGGGCCTTTGCGCGGTTTGGCGTACAACCGTACGGCCGCCGCCATCCCAAACCCCAAATCCCCCCCCTCTCCAACCCCCAACCCAAGCCCCACACCCCGTACCCCAAGCCCCGTGTACCTCATACCCCCGCACCCCTCCCCAACCACCCTCATAACCGCCCCCCTCCCCACCTGCGACACCGGCACCACCGCCAGCGACTCCAGCCCCAACCTCGCGTTGTAGTCGCGAGACTTCACGTGGCCCGTGTCGATCACAAACCTTGGGGGAGGACGATGGAGAGGAGAAGGAGGTGGAGGAGGAGGCGGAGGGGGATGGGTGCGAATGGGAATTAGGACAGTAACCAAGCCACGAGTGGGGTTTGGTTGTATGGCGGTCGTACGGCGGTGGCTTGACCCACACTGCGGCCAACATCCTCTTATACACGGTCCCCCCGCACCTGACTCCGGGGATGGTGATGGAGGTTTCCGCAATGTTGGTGGCGAGGATGGCTTTCCGGAAGCTGGGTGGTGCGGGCTCGAACACCTGGGGGCAGGCAGGGGTTGGCAGGGGCAGGCAGGGTAGGCAGGGGTAGGCAGGCCTCCAAAGGAAGGGACCCCATAGGCTCTATTACACATGAGAACACATGCATCCGGGGTGGCATGTCCTGCTCCCGATCCTGTCACGCATCGTACATCGCCCCTTTCCTCCCTCCACCTCCCACCTTCATTTGCTGCTCCGGCGGGAGTGCGGCGTAGATGGGCAGCACCAACAGCTCCCGACGAGAGGCAGCAGCACCAGCAGCTGCAACAGCAGCAGCAGCGCCCTCTTCCGCACCTCCGCTCGTGCCTCCCTCACCACCGCCCGCACCCGCACCCGGGGCGGTTCCGTCGAACCGAGGCAAGGCAGCTAACCGGTCCTATAAAAAGGTCACACCAGTGGGAGGAACGACAAAGTCGACATGAAGAAGATTACGGAAGGGCATGGAAAGGCCGCGGTCTGGGGACTGAAATCTCATGGTGCCTCTCCTCCATCCGTCCTGCCTGCCTGTTATATTCCCGTCATGTGCCTCTCCTCCCTCCCTCCCTCCCTCCCACTCTCCCCCCTGCGCGCTTGTCGTACTCCCTTCCTCATGTCGAGTACTCACCTTCAGCAGCCGCTCCGCCGAGTCGATCTCGTCCTGCCCCGTCAGGAACACCAGGATGTCGCCCTCGCCCTCGTCAGCATGCACCTGGGGGGGGGGGGGGGCGGGAAGGGGGCCGAAGTCCATACCGAACCATAGGAGGAAGCGAGGAGAGGGAGGGCGGGAGGAGAGAGGGGGGGAGAGCGAGCGCGGAGGTGGGTAACACGAGGAAACGGATAAGGCGCCACCACGGGCTGCTACCTCCCCTCCACCCCGCCCCCCTCACCTGCAGCGTTGCGTTGATCGCCGCATCCAGGTAGTTGTCCTCCGGGCGAGCCGTGTACATCACCTGTTTCGTAGCACGAGCGAATGTGTTATTACCGGTAACACCAGGCCGCGAGGAGGAGAAGCAGGAGCGCACGGCAGCAGCCTCCAGTCTAGGGCGGCATCCGCCTTCCGGCCCTTCCTCAAGTTCCTCCCCACCATTAACGCCACCAGCAACGGGTTTTCCTATGGTCACGGTCAATGGTTCCTTGCGATTCAGTGTACCTGATCCCCCACCTGCAGCCTAAAGCGACTCTTACAAAACCCATACCCCCGGCCTCGCCATTCCTCCGGCCCTTCCGCCCCCACCTGCACCGGGAACTGCCTCCCCCGAATGAGCGCCGCCACCGCCCCGGGGAAGTAGTCCACGAAGCGGGCCGCGTCCAGGGTGGCGGACATGACGATGAGGCGGAAGTCGTCGCCGCGACGAGCCTGTACGACACAGCGAGAGGAGAAGGGGAAGTACGACATTGCTGTTAGCCATTCGGTTGGGTGTTTTCAATACGCATACGCTTTGCACAGGTGACCCATGGGTCTCCTCCCACCTGTTCAACCTTCAGCAGCCCGAACAGCACGTCACTGGGCAACACAACCCACATTCAACCTTCCCGCGCCGCGAACAGGTGACCCATGGGTCTCCTCTCACCTGCACCCCCTTGAGCAGCCCAAACAGCACGTCGGTGTGCACCGTCCGCTCGTGGGCCTCGTCGATGATCACCACTCGGTACCTGGCACCCGGGATTGGAGGGGGGGCCGGGGAGATGTCCGGGGTAGAAGGATGTCCCTTGCAGGACTTAACTTGGGTTTTATGACGCAAAGCACCACTGGACGTACGTTGCAGCAACAAACCTCCCTGCCTTCCTTCTTTACCCCATTCGTGTGGGGTACGACAACCACGACTTAATCCCCACCTGCTCAGCAGCGGATCCAAGAGGGCCTCCCGCAGCAGCAGACCGTCCGTGAGGTACTTGATGCGGGTGGAGGGGGAGGTGATGTCCTCGAAACGGATGGCGTAACCCACCTAGTCGAGGAGGGTTTAGGGGTTTGGGGAGCAGAAGGGGAGCAGGACGGACAGCGGAGGGCAGGGGAGGGAAGAAGGGCATGGGTGAGCACTAGCAAGCGGTATACCGGTGATCAAAAGGTGATATCCATGCGCTGTCTTCAACCCATGCAACGTTCTGCAGAGGATGCAATGTCGTACACGCACAACTCCCTTAGCACCCACACCTGCTGCCCCAGAGGCGTGCCCATCTCCTCCGCCACACGCCTAGCGACCGTCATGGCGGCCACTCGACGAGGCTGCGTCACGGCTATGACGTTGCCGCTGCCGTTGTGGTTCCGACCACTCGTGCTTGCCGGCTGCGGCGCCTGCCCCTCCTCCGTTGCTGCTGCAGCCGGGCCGTTGGTTGCGGCAGTCGCTGCCGACCCGGACTTTGTCGGACCAAAGCGTGCGTTGAGCAGAAATTGCGGAATTTGCGTAGTCTTGCCGGACCCCGTCTCTCCCACCAGAACCAGGGTGCGATGCTGCTGCAGCAATTCAAGCAGCCTGTCCCGAGCCGCCCAGGCTGGGAGCTGCCGACGCTCAGCATCTATCTGCTTACGCCTGGACGGAAAGAAAGAACGGAAAGGAAAAACGGAAGTCAGGGGTAGCGACGGTTTGGAAGGGAAGGGTAGGCGGATGCGTAGGATTGGATGACAAGCCGGCCATATTGCAGTAGGCGAATATGTGACAGGCGTGAGAGAAAGACATAGGCGTAACTGTGTAGGTCGTTTCGGAAGGAATGAAAGCGCGTGAAGTGCCGTCAACCGTTGGAAATGACCAATGCAAGACAAACGCTGCGGCGACAGCTGGCAGGGTAAAGGCCAACAAATATCATTCATAAACGTGCAGTGAATGCGGTGCACACTGCTACAAGAAACCTACTTTTCAGCCGCCGCGTGCGCATCCGCGCTTCCATTCGAGCGACGCTTTTTCCTTGCCTGGCCTTGTTCGGGGACTACCATGGCGTCATAAAAGTGTAACTAGCAGAAACTAAAAGATTCGTTTTGCTCCTTGTGGTTTACCGGTAGGATGAACTTTTGTGCCCTGTACTGTACGTGTGAGTGTCAAGCAAGTTATTATAGAATATGAACGGGTTACAAGGAAGAGACAGAGGATACTAATTGAAGTATTTACATTATTTCTGGGCGTCTCCGCATGCAGCATGCTGTGCGTGCAATGCACCGCCGTTTGGACGAGCAAAGCTGCGACGAGCGAAGCGTCAAGTCATGGCCGTCCTATATGGTTCAAAACAAGCCTGAAAATGGCAACAGGTTAAACGATGCAAATGTTCGCTTACCCGTGAACGGTGACAGCGATGGATCCATGGACGACCACCTTACGATTGGACAGCAAATGTTGCGCGCTGCCTCCGGATCAGCGAGTCGGCAGCCATATTCGTATCGTCGTAAAAGGAAAACAAGTCAAATGTCACAACCTCATGCTGCTTTCATATCCAGTCATGGGCTACTTTGCAGGTCCCGCACAAGTTGCCACCTGAGGAAGCCATTTCATTCCACCAAGACACCACACACACCATCCTAATGCCGCAAGTTTCGGCATCATGAAATCATCGTTAGGTGTGTACGGCACCACCCTGGGGCAGTGCATGTACATGCTTACGTTTACGCACTTACACGCCACCCCTGCACGCGCCTATGCAACCTGCAAGCATGCTCTTCTCCAAGAAGTAAGTGTACGGTCCAAGAACGCCTATCTTCTTCTAATTCTTCTCTCGGCACTTTCCATGAGCGCAGCCCCGATCTAGCCATACTTACTAAGCCAAGGAACGACAATGCAATGCTTGTATCAGCACGTCAACGAGCGAGTTGGTTGTACACATACCACCCCTGCCTACCGTACATCCGTACCCTACACCCAACATGAACCTACCCGCCCACGCAAATGCCCAACCACCCCACGTCTACACACCAGAACCACCACCACCGCCCAGCGCTCTTGCCTCCTCTCCCTCTCCTCCACCACCCCCACCCAGCCCGCCCCCACCCAAACCCATCCCTCCTCCCAGCAGCCCTCCTCCGCCCAACATCCCGCCTCCCCCCATGCCTCCTCCTCCACCCTCCTCCATGCCGCCACCCGCATTCAGCCCCAGCGAACGCACCAGATCCCGCGCCGCCCCCAGTCGCCCCAGCGCCTCCTGCGTGAGTGCGTTGGTGTCCCGCCAGGCGCCCTCCTGGCCCGAGCAGTAGCTGCCCACCTCGGCCTTCAGCCTGCAGGCAGGGCGGTTAGGGGGAGTGGTAGGACGGTAAGCGGCACGCACGACAACCCGGATTCCAGTTCGCTAGCCCCTAAGATTGAAGTATCCGTTAGCTTCCTGTAGGAGTGGAGGAGGGGTAAGTGAGAATGGCAGAGGATGCGGTGTTGCGACTGTGCAGGGCTTTCAAAGCAAGCGGAACGTGTTTCTGTCGCTTCGCTGCCACGCACCTTGCCATTCGCTCCAGGAAGTCCTTCTTCATGGCGTCCAGGAACTCAAGTGCGACTGCGGGATTGGGGAGGGGTCACCAGATTGGTAAAGAAAGGGGGTTAACCCATATGGGGGGCGAGGGAGGATACGAAAGCGGTAGAGAGTACCGGTAATCGGCGGCGGCTTTAACAGTGTGCAACCAACATACGGTATGAAGACTGGGGAAGGATGTGTCCTAGCAGGAGCGCAAAGCAAGGAGGACCATGCCTAAGGTGAACGCACCTGTTGTTAGCTCGTCAATCTGAGGCCGAAGGCGTCGCCGTACATAGCCGTTTCCGTACGTAGCAAAGGCCGTACAGCGGAACCATAAGCATGAGGGGTAGGGCGCGGGAGCAGTCATTGCAGTACCGCCTATGCGGCTGAGTGGCGTCACTGTAGCGCCCCATTACTGGTTTGGCCTTCCCCTCTGTCTCAATCTTCACACTACAACCGCACCTGCTGCTCGATTGCAGCCTTCCTCTGCTGCATGCTGATAAGGCCTCCGGCTATGGTTTCCGTTACCGGTCCCGCATCGGCCTCCGCAGCCGGGTCATGGTTGCCGCCACCGCCGTCCTCAGCCGCAGCCCCTTGCCCCTCGTCGCCATGCAAACCGGCACCGCCGCCGTCGCGGGTTCCGTTGTCACTTGGGTGGTGTTGGTCGTCTTGATCGTCCAAACCCACCTGCGTGCGCGTTTGGTAATCGTCAGCAGCCGTTAAACAGGCATTGGATTTGTCATGGCAAGGCCTGCGCCTGACGCGACGGGTTAATAAGTCATTGTCGATTTGGGTCGGGCCCAAACCAACGATGTTGCAATACGGTACCAGTTCCGGGTAACCCTCGTCACCCGTCATTCGTACACTGCACGCACAACAACGCCTCAACGACCGACGGGAGGGCTGCTAAGTAAGGTGACTCGCCCACGCCCCCTTACCTCCAGTCGATGCCCCTCGTTGCCGCCGTCCAGCGACATGGCATCCTCCGGGATGGCGGATGCGGCGAGCCGGGCTTGTAGCAGCGGACCTGTACGACAGCAGGGTAGATGCACGAGTAAAGCTCACTCCCGCACTCATATGGCAGGGCTACCGTATACGGTACCATGGGTTGCAGCATGGATGCCAACCCTGCTGGGGAGCGTAGGATGCGTTAAGGCTTTGGGAGAGCCTGGTGATGTGGGTCGGCGAGTGCCACATGGAGTGGGGGACCTCGCCGACCCACATCACCAGGCTCTCCCAAAGCCTTAACGCATCCGCTTCTGGAAACTCCTTAGCTGCGGCTAAAGATAAGCCGTCTCCGAGCCTGCCACACAGACCGCACCTGCTTTAGCTAAACTGTTGACATGATGTAGATGTTGATGGTGCTGGTCGGGCACTGGAGTCTCGTCTGGAGAGCTCCACTCTCCCGACACGCGCGACGCCATAGGCGCCGACTTCACAGAAGTAGCGTCTGCTTCAAAATGCATAGGCTCTGTTTACAAGCTGTCATGAGAAGAGCAAAGGAAAGACAGGACCGGGCGAGAATGTTCTCTCGCACCTTTTAGGTGGGCGCGCTCCGTTGTCGGCCCTGCTGGAAATTTGCTGGCACCGTCGACCCTGCTGGGCAAGATCCTTACTGCACCTCTTCCTGTTGCTGCTAACGCTGAAGGAATGCGGATGCGGGGGTCTATACTGCTGCAGCTGTCCAAAGAGTCTAGCGGTGGGACTGCGCCTTAGGTGTTGCTCCTACCCATTTAAGTATAACATATGGCAAGGAATACTGAGGCCTCGGCGTGTAGGCAACTAGGAGATGGGATGCCGTTTGGACTAGGAATTGCGAAGGGCGGATTTTGAACGTCAAACGTCAGCTAGCAGTGTTAGGAAAACTTTGCCTCTGCTCATTGTATTCCTTTAAAGAGGGGGAAATGGGTAACGTTGCGGGCCCCATGCACGAAGATTATTTTCGTAGAGTACACGCGGCCGTTGTACGGACCTTGAATCACAGCGCCATAAAAGGCCACCTCGCTTCTTTGTAGGATATGCTAATCCTAGATAGAGTCTGTGATCCTCTAATTTGTGAGCCTTGATATTACTTATTCCGATACCTGCGGCGGCCGCGACCTTTCCCTGCTGCCCGCGTCGATTGCCTGCCCGCCGCAACTCCCAAGCCGAAGTTCAGGCCAGACATCCGTCAGGTAAGCAAGAAGAACTTCCTTCGGCTATGAAGGTTACAACATTAGGTATAAATTTAGGCGCTTGCATTAAAAGCACCAATTTCAATGTGGGCATGTCGCGACAAGCCATGACCTCTTGCTGGTGTTTGCAACCAACTCGGCTGTCGCAGTGTGTTTTTATCATTATGAACAAATGTCGGCTTGGCTTTCCTGTCATCGTTTTGTGCTTTTAGTCTGGGCGAACATCTTAAATCCATCCTACCTTGCTTTCCCTCAGGTTACGCGCGGCAGCGCGTCCCTTCGCCACTTCTCCTGATACATACTTCTCGGCCGGATAGCGGTCGCATTATGGCACCAGCCGCCCGAAGCGGCCCATTCCACCGACCTGGGCCGAATAACTTGCCGCATAAGCCAACCAAGACCACCACAGCTCGCCTGGTTTCTTGTCCATTCGGAATGCCTTCAGTTCTACCGCTGCTGCTGTTAGCGCTTTTGGCGCCTGCGCTGGGCCCCGCGAACGCTGCGGGCCGCACGCTGTCTGCGGCATCCACAGCCAAGACTGCAAACGTAAGTTATGTACGTGGCCCGGTACGGTATGCAACAGTACAGCTCATGTTCAAGCTACATATCAGGTTCTCCTCTCCCATGTGACCGTATGGTGTTTTGATTTGGAATGGGTTCGATGTGGGTCATGCAACGCAAGGCCCTCTGTAACGGAGCTTCCCGACCCAGATGGAAAATTGAGCTTGTCACCTCGCACCTTCTATGCCCCTCCCTTCCACAGGTCACCGCAGCCACTGTCACCTCCGGCGGTGTAGCTGCCACCAAGCCCGCTGCTTCTAGTGCCCCCGCCGCCGCAACCACAACCGCCTCGCCCGCCGCTACAACGGTCGGTACGGCACCCTCCGCTTCAACCGCCACTCCAACCGCCAGCACCAGCAGCAGCAACCCCAAGGCCTCCATCTCCGGCGGCGCCGTGTCGGTGTTGCCCGCGGGCACCATCACCCCCATCACGCAGCCGAACGGAAGCTTCTCGGCGGGTTGGAGGTCCGCGTCGTACGGCTGCTCGGACTGCAACTTCACAGACACTGTACGGGTGAGAAAGCATGGAAGCGAGGGAGGGAGGAAAGGGATGGAGGCAGGAGAATTATGGCTGCGTATCCTCCGCAGGATACGCGTCTCTAGTAAAGCCAAGGCTGCTGTAGGCATCTCTTCCACCGTATAGCGTTCCACTCAATCATGGCTTGCTCTTTTAGGTTGTCGTTGTCCGCAGCCTGTCTTCACGTTGTTCCCCCATCATCGCCCCCTCGCAGCGCCGAGCTGCCGACAACGCAAGCATGTACGTCGACATCGCCCCCTGGGGTGCGCTGGTGCTCGAGAGCGACACGCCCTTCTCCGGAAGCAGGTAAGCATGCGTGGGCGACGGACCTTTATACTCGCCGACTAGGTCCGCCGCCATGGGCCTTGCTTTATTTGTGCCATTGCACACTCCGGGTGCAAGTATAAGGCTTGTACAGCATTCCCCTTCTTGCACTCCTTTGCTCACTGCTGCTCTTCCCCCCCGCAGCATGCTCGACATGTGGGTCAAGGGTGCGGGTGTGGCCCGTGTGGTCCTCTACATGCAAGACACCCACCAGCGCCGCCTGAGCAGCGAGGTCCAGTTCTCCCGCCTAGACGCAGCTGTCGTGGCCCAGCAAGGCATCACCGTGCTCGGGTCCGATGACGACGGTTGGATGCGCTTCCAGTTCTCGTTGGCGGCTCTGGCAACTATCCCCGGAACCAATACGACCCAGATCGCGGACGTTAGCGGTTGGAACCGCATCGTCATACGGGACATCAGCGGTGAGTAAACGCAATAATGCATGGCGGTTGCTGCTTTCTTGCCCATGCGTTCCCTTAACTGGACGGTCATAGCTTGTAGTGCGCTCGCTCCTTGGCACGGCTGTGAAATCCGTGCGCCGCCCTGCGCCTGACCCATGCAAACCCAATCCAATGCAACTCAACCCACGCCAATGCAACTCTACCTCTCATTCCATTCCATCCCAGGCATGGGCTTCAAGCTGCAGCTCAGCTCCATGCGGCTGGTTGCGCTGGGGCTGTCGGCCTCCGACTGGTTGGGTTTGGACCTGGCGCCGCTGCAGCTGGACAGCGTGACCTCCCTCAAGCTGCCCGTGCTCAACATTGAGACCATCAGCACGCCGTTCCCCAGCGACAGCAGCACGGTAAGCAGCGGCAGGAGGGGGGGAGGTTGCGTGTATGGGAGGGAGGGTTGCGTGTATGCGAGGGAGGGTTGCGAGTATGCGCTACCAAACCCTTCGACGTACAAGAGTCGTATACACAGGTTTGTACACCCTTAGAGCAGTAGCTTTCCTATATCCACTGCTGCTGCTCCCTAAACAGGTGCTTCCTACCACGACAACACCGACGAACGCCGCCCGCCCTTCCCCTTCCCCTTCCCCTTCCCCCTCCCCTTCTCCCTACCCTTCCCCCACGTCCGCTCCCTCCGTCACCTCCACGCCCGCGCCCTTCACCGTACCCACCTTTGGCGCGCTGTTCTCCCAGGGCTCCGGCAGCACCTCCCAGCCGCTCAAGTACATCATGAAGCTCAAGAGCAGCGCCAAGCTGGGAACCCTCAAGGACATCTGCCAGGAGCTGGCTGGAGCGCTGCCGGGCGGCTCCTCCCGCTTCCGCGGCGGCTGCAACACGCTCACCCTGCCCGCCGTGTTCGACCTGAGCAAGGCGGATAGCAGCGCACTGCCTTGGTCCTTCCAGTCCTTCAGCGTCAACTCACAGGTGAGGTGTGTTGAGAAGACTGGCCGCAAATAAGAACGTACCCAAAAGCGTCGGAAGGTGTTTTGGGTTGTGATGGGTTGGAGCCGGGGTTGCCCAAGGTACCGTATGTTTGGGCTGCAGGCCATGGCGCCTAGAAAGGCAACAGCTGCTACTGCTGCTGGTTTTGTTGTTGCTATGGGAATCACGTAGCAGTTCTCTATAGGCACCAAAGCGTGGTAAGCAAATCCCTTTCGAGACATACAGGAAGCTGACGTGCTAACGTTTGCCCCCATCTCCCTCTTATTCCCGGGCAGGCTGATTTGGACTCAATGCGCACCTCCCTGGGAGACTCCCTGGAGTATCTCGAGGCGGACCTGCAGGCCACCATTGGGCTGTACGAAGTGCACTCGGACACCGGAGCCTCTGCCGCCGCCCCGTTGGCATCCGCATCAGCACACGGTCGTCGCCTGCAGGCTGCGAACGCATCCACAACTGCAACTGCAACCTCATCCGCAACTGGGTCGTCCTCATCCCCTGCCTCCGCCTCCGCAAGCGCCTACGCTACGGCAGGTGGCGCCGCCTTCGCTCCACCAGTGTACGGCAAGGACACCACTCCGCTTATTCCCACCGCTCCTGCTGTCGACGTACCCACCATCAGCGATGACGAGGCCGCCGCTCCCAGCAGCACCGATTCCGAAGCCCCTTCCAGCAGTCAGTGCGCTTGCATCCAGATCTACGCGCCCGTTTGCGGTTCGAATGGTAAGGAGTTCAGCAATGCTTGCGAGGCCTGGTGCGCGGGCGTGCTGACGTGGACCCCAGGCAGCTGCGACGGCACCGGCCTGTTTAACGGCAACTTTAGCGACGGTGGCTTCAGCTCGGCTGAGACCGTCGACACCAACCCTCGCTCTTGGGGCCTGGACCGCATCGATCAGGTGTCGCTGCCGCTGAACGGCGGCTACAGCCCCGGTCGCCTGGACGGCGCCGGCACCCACAGTGAGTAGCCCTTGTGGTTGTATAACAATTGTGTACTTTGCTGGCACTTAATTGTGTTTTTGCGCGCCACGCCGTCAGCAGCGTGTACAGATGGGGTCTCCGGCACTCACTCTTTCCCGTGCCTTGCCAACATGCCACCCCTGGTATCGCCGGTGTCCCTTACTAATTCCCTCCCCCCTCCGCGCCCAAAACCAGTTTATATCCTGGACACGGGTGTGCGCACCAGCCACTCCGCCTTCTCGGGCCGCGTGGGCGAGGGCACCTCCATGCTGGGCGGCAGCTACCAGGACGACAACGGACACGGCACACACGTCGCAGGTGGGGGAGGGGCTGTAGCGGAGAGGGGAGAGGGGTTGTAGGGGAGAGGGGCTGTAGGGCTCCAGTATTCCAGTCATCGGGGCCGCTTACTGTCAAGTTATCATTTGACTGGTCCCACCTGTCATTTGGAAATACTTCTGCCGAACATGTGTGCAAATGTGCTAAGCTATGCTCGTACCCCTCCCTGTACGACACTGCCGTACACCAGGTACGGCGCTGGGCGCAACATACGGCGTGGCTCGCGCCGCCATCCTGCACCCGGTCAAGGTGATGGACTCGCAGGGCAGCGGCTCCTACTCCGACATCATCGCCGGGCTGGGCTGGGTGAAGGACCATGTGGCGCGTAACGGCTACAAGCAGGCGGTTGTGACCATGTCGCTGGAGGGGCCCCGTGCAGCAAGCCTCAACGATGCAGTCACTGCCCTCACAGACGTAAGACCTGCCGTCTAGGGGGAGTTAGCGTAGTGTGCGGGGCGTTGCAAGGCAGCAGCTTACGATGTGGTGCATGTGGAGTTGCTGAGGATGTGAACCTCCCGTTTCATGTGCACAGGCTGGTATTGCGGTGGTCGTGGCGGCCGGTAACGACAAGGGTGGTGACACCTGCAGCTACAGCCCTGCCTCCGCACCCGCCGCCATTGCGGTCGGCGCATCCAACCGCGATGACACCATGGCCTCCTTCTCCAACATCGGCAGCTGCGTCTTCACTTTCGCGCCTGGGTCGTACATCGTGTCGGCGTCGTACTCGGGAGACTACGCGGAGGCGACCATGTCCGGGACCAGCATGGCAGCTCCGCATGTGAGTGAAGGGGCTTGGGAGGGGCTGAATACGTGGCTACCAATGTGCATAACTGCTGCTCTCGCACATGTGTTTTGCGGGGCACTATAATAGGCTGCAATGATAGCCATGGATGTTGGATGACGCAGGCTGAACATTTTTCAGCCAGCCTCGACCCATGGGTCGTTCCTAAACCTCCCTCCCGCCCCACGCCCCTTCCTCAGGTCGCCGGTGTGGCAGCCATGGTGCTGCAGGCCTACCCCGGTGCCTCCATCTCCACCGTCCGCAGCCGCATCTCCTCAGCTGCCGCCGGCATTACCTTCAGCTCCTCCTCGCCCTCGCGCCTCCTCAACGCCATGACCACCCGTCTGGCACCCAGCTCCTCCACTCCCACACCCACCGCCGCCCCCACCCCCACGCCTACATCTGCTCCCACCCCCACTCCTACCTCCGCCCCCACTCCCACTTCCACTTCGGCTCCCTTCCAGTGGCCCACCGGATCCTTCACCTGGCCTTGGACCACCATCGCACCCTCCACCCCCACCACCAACACGCCGGCGCCTACTGCCGCTCCCACGCCCACCCCCACCAAAGCTCCCACGCCCACCCCCACCCAAGCTCCTGCGCCCACCACTGCTCCCACCAGCCCAAGCAACTCCTTCAGCCAGCCCAACTGGTGTAGCATGTGCGCCTGGTGCATCATGTGCTCGTGAGGGAAAGGGTGAACTGGATTGCGAGAGGTGGATTGGGAGAGGGAGAGGTGGATTGGGAGAGGGAGAGGTGGATTGGGAGAGGGAGAGGTGGATTGGGAGAGGGAGAGGTGGACTGGGAGAGGGTGAGGTGGACTGGGAGAGGGTGAGGTGGATTGGGAGAGGGTGAGGTGGATTGGATGACTGCTGCTGTGAATCACGGCTCCAGAGAAAAGGGGAACGCGGGTAACAATAAAAGCACAGCCCGGGTGTGTGGTGCATCATGATAAATGTGAGGAATGGGATGCTGCAAAAGGCAACGCTTGCTTACCACTTGTACATAAATCGAGGATTATGACAATTTGCTGCGTGTATGCGGTTCATGTATGTTCAAATTGTGCAGGGTAGGTTTGATGTGAGGTATATACTGGATAGCCGCATGCGATGTAGCGATGGATAGCTTAGGACGGTTAATAGGCAAAGCAAGCCCCGCTGGTCTGTTAGGGCGGGTAGGAATGCGCGCAAAGGTATGCGACACGTCCTGTGCGTGTTGTGCGTGCGCCGCCCGTGACATGCAGTTCGGACATTGGTAGCAACGCATGACGTTTGATTCATGTAGATTGAAAACTGTAGCCACACGCACATTGCGATGTGCAATGTGTAGGACAATAGCAGATAGACGGGAATCTTCACAGGACCGCGTGGGGAAGCCCTAAGACTTGTAACAGCCTGACGTGTTATTCGTCACATTGCCACATCGTTATCACCTACTGGGTCGGCGAATTGCCCCAGCGACGTACACTTCCATTTGTAGGGGTCTTTCTACGCATGCACACATACACCATCACACACACGCCAATGTGACATAGGACACAAGCACCTTACAGCAGCTGATGTAAGTTGGCGAAGTCGCTAACCGGCATGTCACGCTCCCTCAACCCGGTCTAGAACGATGCTTGGCCTTTAAGCCTATTCACCACCAAACGTAATTCAGCTCATGTTACGGAGCCGCTTCCTCGCCCTCTCTCCGCCCGAGTTCCTGCCCCGCCTGCAGCAATCCTGCTGAGCAGTCCCTCCCCTCCCCGGCCCCCAACACTCGACTTGAACCGCCATCCTGCGCTGAACATGCATTCGCCCCATCCGCTTTACCGCCTTCACCAGCCTCATCCCCTCCTCTCCTCGCACACGCCTCCCCCTCCTTTCGCCGTTGCCGCTCCTGCTCGTCTCCCTCCTCGTCCCCTACCTCATCCGCTTCCTCCACATCATCCACGACAGCACCCGTGGCGTCAGCGCTGTTGCCGTCCCCGCTGCTACCACCGCCACCGCCAGCCGCTGGCCCCAGCGTCCAGGGGTTGTTCTTGATCGGGTTGTACGGCAGACTGTCCTCCATCAACCGTTTCAGGAACACGCTCTTCACCACAATTTTGGTGTTGTACGGAAACTCCTGTGGAAGGGAAAGAATGCAGGGGTGTCCAGGGGTTTACAAACCTTGCAACAGGGGTTCACAATAGTGTGAAAACGCGGAAGCGCACACGCAAGACGGGTCAGAGTCGCATACGTGAGGCTCTTATGGCCGCTGAGGGACGATTATAAAGCCGCAGGCACAGCAGCTCCTATCAGCAGCTTCAGTTGTCGTACAACTCACGCCTCCTACTGTCGTACCTTGTAGTACAGCCCCACCAGGCTTGCCACGGTGGGCAGGCAGGCGATGCCCCCGATGTCCACCAGCACCACTGAGAAGCCGCTGCCGTCGGGGGGACCTAGGGCCTGTGGGAGGTGGGAGACGGTGGGAGGTGGGTGGAGGTGAGGGGCGCCGGTTGTGGTTTTGCTGTATGGACATGAGGGAAGGTGGTTATCCGAAGCGGTTAGGAAGGTATGAAGCTGCGGCAGCCGCCATGGGGCTTCTTAGGCCGTGCCCTTCCCGAACGCTTCTCTAACTCCGCCCCCACCGGCCCACGCACCTTGAGAGCTGCTACGTCAAATCCGTCCACCTCCTCAAACCGCAGCCCCGGGTAGCGCCGCCGCGCCGCCTGAACCGTGGGTCGCGACTTGTCGACTCCCACGATGTAACGGCAGCGCCGACTCAGAAGCCAGGTGCACTCGCCTTCAGGAGCCGGGGTGGGGAGAGCAGCAGGGGGCAGGCAGGTGGGATACCGCTTTAATTTGGCTGTTGGGCTGGGCTGAGCTCAGTGGTTTGGCGACCATGCGTGATGCAGCACATGCTGCGGCCTTGCCAGTTGCCACAATGGCGCATAAGGCCCCCTGTACCCCTCCATGACCCTCCTCCCTGCTCTCTTCCTCGCCCTTCGCGCTCCTTCCCTTTCCTCAATTGTTTCGGCTTGCCTGCTTGACGGGCTGGGCGGGATGGGTCGGGACCCAGCAGCCATGTTGCAACCCAAAGCGGAGCCGAGTCATCTGGCTTTTCCTTTCCCTCCCCCCCCTAGTTCCCTCCCTATCCGTCCATGTCCCTCTTCCCAGCGTTCTTCCTTGCCCTCTATCTGGCCCCCACCCATCCGCGACCCTCGCTCTCACCCTCGTGACAGCCCACCTCCAGCACCGCATCCCCCCAGTTGGCCACAGAGGCAGCGCAGGTGCGGTAGTGGGTGGTGGAGTGGCACAGAAACACACGCTGCTTCACCTGCAGACACGGGCATGGGAGCGCGGGGGGTGGGGTTGGGGTTGGGGGAAAGGGTACATGATAACAGGTGGGCTAGGCGATGTGAAAGGGCTCAGCAGCACAAGAGAGAAAGAAGCTGAAAGAGTAGAAGCAGCAACGAAGTAGGAGAGTAGCGGCCGCTGGAGGGTCGTATGGAAGGGGTTTAGGAGGTGTCATGGGCCTACGTGTGTGAGATGGGGGATGAAGACTGCTGGGAAAAGGGGGTTGCGCTGTTCCTGTACGACGGTGCCTACGTCTGCGACTGCGGGTGCTCAGCCTGATTAGCTCATCGAGTCGAGGGAACTGACGCGTACCTGAACCGTTGTACGCAGGTTCTCCGGTCGCGCATAGTACGTCTTTCCGTCGCGCTGGTATCGGACGCGGATGCGCCCATGGAACCGATGCCCAGGCTCCGTGACGAGTGGCTCAATAACCTCTGCGCGTCCATAGCCTCGAACATCCACAATGTTACCAACTTCAAAGACTTCCATTGAGGGACTGTTCTGCACAAAAGTACTGCGCTAATTGCGGCTGGTCAAAGGCAGATGTCTAAAGAGTACGTACGCAGGATGTGGAATTTGTAACATCGAAGCAGAAGCTTAGCTAGTGAATTCGTGCTTACATTGCGCAGCTGAGAATTTTGGATTCTGTCGCAACCGTGAACCGTCAGGCCGCGACTTCCCGGCCGAGAAGTGCCAGCTTACCCCGTGTATGTTACTTTAAAGTTTACCGGCATTCTACAAAATGCGTATCAGTCGTAGGTAGTTTGCGTAAAAAGGCTCTCGGCACTTGCAGCATGGCGCAGGAGGACGGGACTCGCCAAGTAAAGCAGCCAACATGGCTACTGGCTTTACTCCTACTCATCTCTGCTATAGGCCCTGCTCAGGTGCGCCTACCCATTACTACTGCCTGTTAGTCCCATGGGCTGTGGCGTTAATAGACGGTATCTGCTCCATATACGGGCTATACAACACCTTAACTGTGTAAAACAGGGAGATGCGACGGATGAGCCTGTCGTGCTGACCGAAGCCCCGGGATTCCATCGTGCTACCACGGATGCGGAGATGGCGCCCATCTACAGGTGTTTGCTGGACTAATGTGGGCTGAATTCCAGGTTGCGGTGGGTAGGAAAGCGCCGTTATGTGTAGATGCAGGGTATAGTTGCTAACGAGGAGCTGTAACGCTGAAGCTTGCACATATCCGAACAGGAAGACTTGGTCACTTCCTGACCTGTCACCAAGTAAGTAATTGTGCCCCTGACGCACCATACCACCGCCCACCCCTCCCGTCCCCCCACCAAACCAGGGACAACCTAGTGGCCGATTTCGCACCCTGGATGGGCAGGAAGTACACTGTACGGCAATTGTACGACCTCATAGACACGCTGCTGAAGGGCAGACCGCAAAAGTATCTAAGTCTTGTCGTACTGCGGCACGGCAAGGTGGCTTTCCTGCCGCTTGCCGCTAGACCCATGACACTTACCCTTAGTAGGGTGAGTTAAACGGTCTGGGTGGTGGCTAAGGGCCTGGAGGGTCGGGCTGAATTCGCTCCCTTCCTTCGTCCTCCCTGCTTTCCGAACTCCGATTCCCTTCCCTCGCCCTTCCCGGTTTGGCCCTCTCGCCGACAGATGCGGGCCATTGTGGGTGGTCTGCGTAACGCCACCGCCGCCGGGCTCAGCCTGCCCGACTCCCTCTTCCTCATGAATGTTTGGGACGAGGGGAGGTGTAGTTTGGGTCAGTTGGGGAGGGAGACAGGGGCAAGAGGCAGTAGCAGCAGCAGGGCGAGTCGGAGCATGCTAAGCAGCAGCGTTGGCAGTGGCAGTGGCAGCAGCGGCAGCAACTTTGACAATGAAGTTGAAGGTAGCACTCCGAACATGAACGTTAGCGGCAGCAGTACCGGCCTTGGCAGTAGCAGCAGTCGCAGCCTTAGCAGCACTAGCGAGAGCACCAGTAGTAGCAGTAGCAGCAGTAAGAAAGGAGGCCCCGGGTGTCCAGTTCCCCTGTTCTCACTCATCAAGAGCTGGGATTACTCGAAGAACACGTCCAAGGAGGCTGACGTGTTACTGCCGTTCTTCAATCACGTGTACGGCAATCTGGTCAACTACCCCTGGGAGAAAAAGTACGACAAGGCGCTCATGCGGGCTGCGTTACAGGTACGACATGTGTACGGTTCATGGTACCAACTTCTTTTCTTATTGCACTTCCCAACCCTCCCCTCCATGCATCTCCCCCATGCAACCCCCATGCACCCTCCATGCCCCCTCCATGCAGGCCCAGATGCGCCCCAACAGCACGCGGCTGTGGATCCTGCAGCTGCAGCGGAGTCACCCGCAGGGGCAGCGGCTGCTTGACGCGGGAATCACCAACAACCTCAGCAAACGGATGAAAGTGAAACTGGTGAGCAGGGGGAAGGGGGCTCGTAGGAGGGTATAGCCTGAGGCGGTGTTGGGAAGAGGATCTACGTTGCTGCCTGCCTGCCTGCCTTTACAACCGCCAAGTGGGCAACCCACCACCCCTGTAACCTGTATGCATAGCCCGCCCATGTAACCCCGCGTGACCCGTAACCCGCCCGCCCATGTAACCAACCCCGCGCAATCCGTAACCCGCCCAGGCCAACTTCGTGACCATCCCCGACCACGCGCGCTACAAGTACCTGATCTCCGCGGACGGGTTCACCGCCTCCTGCCGCCTGGGCAAGCTCATGGGAACTAACAGTGTCGTACTCAAGGTGGTGTGGTGTACGGCATGTACGGCATTGTACGGCATACGACATCGTACTGCATCCTTTTGTCCTTCTTAAGGAGTATTAAGGGCTTCAAGGAATGCGAGCATATCGTACGTCCCTGCTTATTATTCCAAGGTATACCGTACAACCCCCTTTTCTGCGCACACACGATTCATACCTCTTCTCAACCCGCCCTACCCCGCATCCCCCGCTCCTCCGCTGATTCCCCTCCACTCCCCTCTTTCAGGAATCCACTCCCTGGGTCGAGTATTACTACAGGTGATGCCGCCCATGGCCCCCACGCCCTGCGCCGCCCTGAGCCTCCTTTACACGTTCATGTTTCGTGTCGCTGCATCCCCAGTATGCCAGTTTGTGACCCATGGGTCGCCACCCTTCCCTACCTCTGTTCCCCCGCAACGACCCCAACCCGCATCACCCCCTCCCGCAGGTCGCTGCAGCCCGGGGTTCACTTCGTGCCCTTCACCAAGGACGATGTACTGCAGGTGGGGGGGGGGGCTGTGGGGGCATGTAGGGCGGGCTGTGGGGGCATGTAGGCCGGGTAGCGATTACCGTGCGTACCTTTTAGACCATCCGGCTAAATCCGGTTACGCCCGCGACCATTTTGTTTCCTTCTGTTCCCCCTCCCTCGCCTGTTTCAGGTGCTGACATCGCTAGAGTCCGACCCAGCCCGCTGCCACCGCGTTTCCGCCGCCGCCCAGCAATTCGCCTTCACCTTTCTGGGGCAGTACTCTAAGGCGTTGTATGTACGGCAAGCGGTACAAATGTACAACAGCTTGTTTGAAGGCGGTGGGAAGGGAGGGTTAGAGGCGTTTGTGGAGGGTTTGGGGGAGCTCGGGGAAGTGGATGTGGGAGGGGAGGGAGGAGCAGGAGAAGCAGGGGGGCAGCAGCGGCAGTTGACGGTGGTTGAGCTGATGACAAGGATGAAGGCGTTTTTGGAGAAGGAGGAGAGAAGGACAATGTGAATGGAAGACCCTGTGTGAGCAGTTGTGTGGAGCTTGGGAGCAGTTTGCGGTTTCGCTGGGTGGCCCGCATTGCTTCTGTGGGTGCGTGCGTGTGTACGGCGACATGGGAAAGATGCATATGTCCGGGAATATGACACCGGAATACTCCTGGGAAATTTAAACGGGAATATTCTATTAGGCCATAGTTTGTACAACCTGGTCGATCATACCCTTCATACGCATGACTAGGCGAGCAGCATAAATATATTGTTGTAACCATTGTCAACCAGCCAGGCATGTAACACTACCATGTATGCTGGGGAGACGCCTGGGCACTGCGCGGCACTCCTGGGCTGACCGGCTTAACAACAACATTTGCAAAGAGGGTTTGCAGACCCCCGCTGTGGTTTCCAATGGTTCGGTATGGTCTTTGACCCACAATGTGAGAGTGCAGGGACGCATAACAAGCTGTGATGGGCTCAAGCCTCAATGAGGCTTACGTTTCTCCCACCGCACCCCTTCCTCAGTAAACCTGTTCCGCTCTGGTATATTCTCTGACCCCTCCTCACGTCCTCAGTACCTCTCTAGCAGCCCCAGCCACTCCGCATCCTCCTCCCACTCCACCCACCCCTCCTCCCCCTCCGCCACCTCCGCATCCGTCAGCTGAGCCCACCGTAGCAGCGCCGACAACACCTCGCGCCCCTCACACCGCCCCGCTGCTGCTCTTCCTCCGCTCCCTCCCTCCCCCAGCCCCACTCCTATGAACACCAGCCCACTCACCCGGTCCCCCCACACCGGGTGCCACCGCCTGGCCCCTGCCTTCCCCTCCTCCTCCTCCTCCTCACCAACATCATCACCAAAAGCAGCACCACCACCAGCACCAACACCACTATCATCATTCCCAGCAGCAGCAGCACCACTACTAGCACCACTATCAACGTCACCATCAGCAGCAGCCCCCCCGCGCCGACCCGTGGGCCAGTGCTCCCGGTCCACCATGGTGCACAGCCAGCGCCCCACCGCCGCCACCTCCACCTGCCCGCCCGCCAGGGAGAGCTCCCAGATGGCCTGAGGGGGGGGATGGGGAATGGGGGGTAGGGAGGGGAGGAGGGGAGGAAAGGGATTAAGGAAGGAGGAGAGGCCTCTGGAACTGTAAGGGTTAGGATGTAGGCGATGCCTGGCGTGATGTGTGGAACGAAGCCTGGTGGGGGAACAGGGGCGTGGTGGATTGAGCAGTTGACGTCCGTACGCCCCTAGCGTATGCCGCCTCCGTTACCCCTCCTCTTTCCGCGGCAGGCACAGCAGTCCCAGCTCCTCTGTACCCCAGGCCCACTCATGCAGTTACATTACTTCCCTATCCCCTCTCCATTCCTCCTCCTTCTCTATTCCTCCTCTTTCCTTCACCCCCGCCTCACCCCCCCTCACCCCCCTCCCACCTGCGGCAAGCTGGCCACCCAAAACAGCCCCTTGGCTCGGAGCAGCGCGGGAGGCTTGTACGGCAACCGCCAACGGTGCGACAAACCGCCCCTGCCAACACCACCTCCCCGCGCATCTCCGGCTGCTGCCGCTGCTCCTTCCGCCACCGCTGCTGCTGCCTCCTCTCCGCACCCGAACTCCTCCTCCTCCCCCTCCTCCCCCGCTGCCCCCCTCGCCAGCCCCCCCAGTAACGCCCACAGGCGAGCCGGGTGGAAGGGCCGACGACTGCGGTACACGTACGTCCCAATGCCGTACTCCTCCTCCTCGTGGGCCCTCTCCTCCTCCTCCTTGGTTTCGACATGAACTTTGACGCCAGCAGCAGCGGTAGCAGCACCGCTTTCCAAAGCAACCGGGGCCGCAGCAACATGTACGGATTGTGAGAGCATGTCGGCAGCAGCAACCGTGGCGGCACCTTTGGCAGCAGCTGGTAGGGCCCCGTGCGGTGCGGATGATGGCTGCTGCTGCAACGGCGGTTGCTTCGGGGCACCCCCCGTCAGCAGCAGCAGCTCCAACGGAACTTGGCAGCGCTCGCACGGCAGTACGACAGCGGCTGGATTCAGCGCCCTAACCGCCGCAACCACCCGCCGTAACAAGATCCTGGCCTGCTGCTGCACCCCCACGGACGCCGGCGCTGCATGGTGCTGCTGATCGTGCTGCTGCTCTGCTTCCGCCTGATAGGAGGAGGACGCGGTGGCGGCGGCGGCAGCAGCCATTGAAAGCAGTCGGTCGCACTTGTTCAGCAGTACGACATCCGTCGTCTCCACCTGCAGTACCAACAACTGTGATAACGGCTGCCGTTCTTGCTGCCGTACGATTCCCGCCGTACCATTGGATGCCTCCTCCTCCCTCGCCGTACTGCTACCGTGCAGCACCAGTCGTACGAAGCTCTCAACGTCCACAACCGTCACCATCCGCTGCAGCCGCAGCAACGGCTGCCTGGGCCCCTCCAGCTCCCCCTCCCCCTGCCCTTCCCCCTCCAGCTCCCGTATTGCCGCCGCCAGGGCTGCCGGCTGCCCCACCCCGGTGCACTCCACCAGGATGTGATCCCAGGGGGCGGCAGCGGCAGGGGCCTGGAGGGACGGGAGGGAGCAGGGCTGCTGCGGTCCTGCCTGCGGTCCTGCTTGCGGTGCTGTAAGCGCTGTTTTTGCTGTTAGTGTCGTTGTAGCTGCTGCTGCTGCTGTTACCCCTCCTGCTGTTGCGGCTGCTTCTGCGGGTGCTGCTGCTGCTGCTGGTGTCAGCGGTGTGGCGGTGGCCAGCCGGGTGAGCTGCTGCTTGAGCTCGCCGCGCAGGTTGCAGCAGATGCAACCGTCGGACAGCGACACCACCTCCGGTTGGGGGTGGTGGCGGTGGTGCGGGGGTGGCGGCAGCTGATGCTGTGGTGCATGGGGCTGCTCATGTCCGTCATGTGCAAGTGCTGCCGCCCCTGCTTCTCCTGCTGTCGCTGCTGCTGGTGAGTACGACGGCGGTGGTGGTGGTGGGAGGTGTTGTTCAGGCGGGTCGACCAAATCGATCAGTTGGGAGTCGACGTTGAGAGACGCCAAGTCGTTGACCAACACAGCAATTCGAGGAGACGAGGTGGTGGTGGTAGTGGCTGAGGAGGCAACAGGGGCTGTGGCGGCGGTGGTGATGGCTCCGAGACTACCAGTCGCAAGGGTCGTGAGGATGTGACGCACAAGTGTAGTTTTGCCGGATCCTAGGAACCCGCAGATCGCGGTTACAGGGATGGGGTAGGGTGGATGGCCGGTGTTGTCAGGTGACGCTGCAGCGGTTGACGACGGCTCCTGCCGATGGTGGCATTTGCTAACGGTGGAAATGCCTGGAGGATTGTACCGCTTTCGTTTCGTCGTTGCGTTCGCGGCTGGTTCACCTTGGACAACGCCATCGCTGATGCTGTTATTGGTTTTTGCGGAACGATGCTGCAGGGCTGCGAGGGCAGTTTGTAGCTCGCGAAGCTGGTCAGGACTCTGACAGGCCTGCAAGCCGCGTTGCAACACGACTGTCGCGTCATCTGAGGATCGGCGCATGGATGACAGCGCCAAGCATAGGCGGAGATAGGGCCGGTGCCATGATGGATCCAAGTTAATTGCTGTGTGCGCTTCCTCTGCAGCTAACTCGTATTCCTGAAGCTCCAAGTAAGCAGCAGAGAGGTTGCTGTGAAGGCGCGACAGCTCCTGACAAATCCTGTGGCGGTCAGCATCGCCTGAGGTCGACTTCAAGAGCTCAATAGCATCCTTGGTGTGCCTTATACACAGCTCGTATTCCTTGCTGCTGAACGACGCAGCGGCTGCCGTCTTTAGGTCGCCGACAGTTTGCATTTCCTAAGTTTGACGCACAAGCTACACGCAGCTTATCCGCTACTGGTCAAAGGTGTGCTGAAAGCGCTGAAGGGTGTTGGTATGCGTATTTCCAGTGAAGAGCCGAAGTAAACAAACGTACATACAAGAGTTGATTCCCAAATGCCAAGCATATTGCACTCAATACGATGTAAGGGAGACAAACTCAAAGACGCTGCACCGTCCACTGAGGGTGATGGACTTCGAGTTGATCTCGTCAACTGTCCTAACGGTTCCCGTTTCAGAGGCCACCCGCACTTAGTAGTGCCAACCGTAATAGGGGTCCTTCAAACGTTGTGAGGTTTGGTATGGTTACTGCACAAAGTCCTTACCGTAATGCTTAGCTGTACGTACTCGCGTTACCTGCAAGCTTAGATGCCGGCCAACCCTAACACACAGTACTATCCACTTCATATTGGCTTTCCTAAACGAACTAAATAGGCAAAAGATCAGCAGCAAGGCACGATCTTAATTTCGGGTGCGATCCCCCACGCATCTTCCTCAGCATCCTCCGCGGCCTAGACCATCCTATGATAGCTCCATCCGTTGCTGCTTAAAAGCTTCCATTCCCTCTACTATTGCCAGCGGAAGCGGCTGCCAGTGTGCCGAGGCCTGCAGTAATGGCTGTTCGGCATTGCAGCACGCGTTGCGCATGGCCGCAGCGCCAGAGGTTACCCGCAACACTGTCGCTGGTACGACTTCAGCAGAGCCACCAACAGCAGCTTCGGCACACCCGCTTCACAGCAATAACTTCAGCAACCGCGGCCGCTGCAAATTCTAAGGTGGCTGTTGCAACTGCCGCTGCAGCAGCAGCAGCTGCTGTTGCCGGCCCACCTCTGGTCTATCCCCCGCACACGCAGGTACGCCACAACACTAAACTACTCACAACATGCAACACTGCGCCCCACCGGCGTTCTTCCTCCTCGTGGCAACACAAATCCTTGGCCTTGACCTTCACTACCCTCCTTTATCACATTACTCTCTTCCCATTCCCACACCCTCCTCCTCAAGCCCTTCTACCCCACCCTCCAATCCCATGCATGCATACTCCATTATGTATTTTGTGCTTAATAACTTGTATTTTGTATATCTTCTGCAGGACCCGCAGGTCATTTATCGCGCCCTCTCAGCCCCTCTCATCGCCGCCCTGGGCGGGGAGGGCAGCTGGCAGCTCTACCTAGCCACCCGCTTCACACGGGAGGTGCTAGCGGGGGTGGCAGCGGCGCTGTTCCTGTACGGCATGCTCCTTCGCGTTGTGGATTCCAAGAAGCAACGACAACAGCAACTGCACGCCAGCAGTAGTGACACTGGTAGTAGCAGCAGCAACAGCAGCAGCATTGGCGGAGTCACTAGCGCTAGCAGTAGCAGCAATGAGATGATCCTTCACTTGGCGGCCGTCGCGCTCACAAGCCCTCAGGCCCGGTTGCTGCTGGGAGGCGTGTTGGCGGTCAACGTGGCACGCAACACGATGTACATCTTGGACGGCTTCATCAGCAAGTTCAACCCACGACTGCCAAATGATTGGTTGGGTGAGTACGGTAACTGCTGGGTGGCTGGGTGGGAGATTTTATTTCCAAGCCCGGCAAGCCTTGCCCCTCATTCCTCCCACTCCTCCTCGCGGCTCAGCACACCCCATCAATCCCTACCCACTCAGTATCGTGTATCCCGCCGCACACGTACAACACGCAACTACACACAGCCATCCCCTCTGAACCCCCAACTTGCCCGCGCGCCCCCTCCGGCCCTCTCGTCATCCCCCCAGACGACCTGGTTCGACTGCTGGCTGAGAGTTTGGACCCACTGGACTGCCTACTCACCAGGATGAGCCTGGTAGGTGAAGCGGGGGTGGCTGGGTGGGAGTAGGGGTGGGTGGGAGGTTGGGCACATGCCTGTGGATAGAGTTGTATGTTCCCCACATTACATTTCACCCTGCTTTACTACTGTTACTGTATTACTTTTCCTCCATCTTGATCTTTATATGTGCCCAAACGCACAAGTGATAAGCATTCCCGTGTGCTGGCTCGCTCCCTCGTGTGACGGCAGGTGGGTACGGCGCTGTTCGGCTGTGCCGTACTGTTGCGGTGGAAGGACTCCCTGGTGTCGTATTTTGTACGGCAGCACGTCGAGGGACTGGAGCGGGGGCAGGAGGTGGTGCAGAACTTCATCAACCCCGCATCAAAGTGAGGCTAGTTGTTAGGGAGTAGGAGTGAAGGGGATGGAGCTAAGGGTTAATGAGCTAAGGTTGTATGGAGTAACGAGCGGTGAAGGTAAGCGTGAGAGCTGGGTGGCGCAAGCGCTTGGCATGGAGGACTCCGCTCGTCTTTGCCCTCTTCGGCATAGCCCTTCCTTTCCTAGCCCTTCCTTGCTCTTTCACCCCGTTCCCTCCCAGCCTGCTGAGCTGGGTGGTGGTGGTGGCGGTGGCGGGCTGGCTAGCAACCGGGCTGGGGGTGAATTTGCAGGTAAGGTTGGGCCTCAACAAGGTCTGGGGGGCGGGGCCGGAAGGGCCGGGGGAGGGTCCCCATGTGTCTTATCGTTCGTACATACGTACAGGAGTGTAGCATGCATGGGTGCTGGTATAGGGTGCTGGTATAATGAGGATGCCTGACATGAACGCCCATTCAGTGATGCTCCTCTTCCCCGTTCAACTCATCATTAAACTAAACATTAAACTCACCACGGTAATTCGCTTCCCTTGTGTGACCCCTGCAATGTCATTGGACACCGGGCTACCGTACCAACCAACACGACAACGTGTACGGCATTGTTTCTTATACGGCATGGTCGTCGTATACGACATACAACACGTACGACATGGTGTTGTACGGCATTGCTCCTTTTCTCAGCAGCCGTTACTGGCGGTTGGTGGCGCCAGCGGTATCATCATCGGTCTAGCCACGCAGCAGGTGCTTGGCAACTTTGTGAGCGGACTCAACATATACCTGGCGCGGTGAGTGGGTTGAGGGCGTGTATGGGTTTAGAAACCTGGCCGCAAATGGCGTGTTAAGAAAACTGTGGGTATGATTGGGAGGGGTTGACGGCAGGGGCGCGTGTGTGTATGTACGGCACGCTGTGTTGTCTGTGTTGCTTCAAGGCTGATCCGTCCGAGCCTACCCACCATCTACCTACCTACCGCCTCCTTCCTCCTCCCCCAACCGCCCTCCTCCCCCACTCTCCTTCCTCCCGCCCAACCTGCCACCCAGCCCCTTCGTCGCGGGAGAGTACATCAGCCTCATCAGCCAGAACCTCACCACCCAGACCCAGGTAGGGATGGGCTGGGGGCGGAGGTGGTGAAGTGGCGGGAGGTGATGCCGACCCATGGGTCATTGTGGTGGGTGGTGTGACGCTGCGCCCCCGTGCCTTCTCTGATTGCGTGGTGGGGTTCATCCGCTCCGGAACGGCTCAGCTGTGTGGTTTCTCCGTACTTAATTTCCGTACCTTTCCCGTTTCCCGTTTCATGCCCTTTTTCCCACTCGCCACCAACCACCAAACACTCACGTGCCTCCTCACAAATCACACCAACGCGCTTAACAAGATGTACACTACCTTGATGTCCACAACCATAACCCCAGCAACCACCCCCTCTTCCCAACTGCCTCCCAACTATCCCCCCCCCAGGTCAGCGGTCGAGTCATCCGCATAGACCCGCTGCGCACCCTTATTGCGGCGGAGGACCACACCACCATTGCAGTGCCTAATCAGGTCATTGCAGTCAGGTAGGGAGGAAAGATAGGAGGAAAGGCTGAAGTGGGGTGTGTTGGGCAGTATACCTTAATACAGCGAGCCGGCGTGGGGTTGTGACCATGGGTCAGTGTGGTCCCGGGGTAACAATACTGAAACACAACGGTACTCCTCGCTCTTCCTTCACCCGTCGGGCCATCCCATTTCTTTCCCACCTGCTCTCCAGTAGTACACTGGCTTTGCAGACCTCCTGTTCCTCCTCCCATCTCCCGTAATCCCGCCCCCATCGCGGGTACCACTATACAGACATATTCCTCCATCCTCCTCTCCGTTGCCTTGCCGTCATTTGCAGTTTCCCTTCGTTTCCCCTCCTGCCCCCCTCCTGCCCCCCAGTATCGTGGTCAACCGCTCGCGCACCCCTGCGCTCTCCGCCGGCGGCTGCTCCCCGCTGCTGAGCGCCTGCCCCCGGGAGCTGAGGTGGCGCATGCGGCTGCCGCATGAGGCCCTGGGGGACCTGCAGGTGGGGCTGGGTGGCTGGGAGGGGTAGAGACTTGCAGGTTGGGCTGAGGGGGGAGTGAAAGAAGAACTCCCAATGCGTATGGGGGGGGGGTAGAATACGCAGTCGTGAAGCACTGGGAAGGGGGGATGTGTGGGAGCTGTGGGTGGAGCTGCGGGTAGGAGGAGGTGGAGTGCCGCTGGGTGTTATGTACGGGGTAGCTCTCCCTTATTCCTCCCTCCCTTTCCCTTTTCCCCTCTCTCCCTCCCTCCCTACCGCCCTCCCTCCCTCCTCTCTCCTTCCCATTCCCCGCCCGTAAGGCCCTGGAGGAGCGCATCAATGTCGGCCTGGCCGACACCCTGCCCACCAACAGGGTGCGGGGGTAGAGGGGATGAGGAGGGGGAAGCTGGGAGGGGACGTGTGTTAAGAAAACTGGCCGCGAGGGTGGGTGGGTGGGTTATGGGTCGTATGGTGGGAAAGGGGGTAAGAAAAGGACCATGCATCTCTTCCCCGACCTCCTCCCACTTCCTCTTCTCCACCCCCCCTTCCCAGGTCCGCTGCTCGCCCGCTGCTTTGGAGCTGCTTAGGTTCACAGAGTCGGGAGCGGAGGTGGCGGGCAAGGTGGGTGCACTGTATACTGTACGGCAAATGGTAGATAATGATCCGCGGTACATAACTGTACGGCACACTGGCCATGCAGGTGTGTGTTAATCCTGGCGTGCGTGTATGTGTGCGTGTATTTTACCCCTCCACCGCCCAAACCCCCGTGCCTAACCGCCCCTGCCTGGTCCCCCCCCCACTCCCCTGCCTGCCCCCCACCTCAGGTCAACCTCGCCTGGCCCAAGCGGCGGCCTGCGGCGGGTGCGGAGCAACGAGGCACGCAGGAGGCGTTGATACAGGTGGGATGTGGAGGTTGGGGAAGGGTGGGAAGCGGGGTTCCATGAGACGATGTGAGGGGATGCGCGTGCGCCCGCTGTTCGTACAGTAAACGGACGCCTGTCAAAAGACGCAATTGGCCACTAAATAACACACTAAAGAACACAAATAACCTCTGTATGCGTCTGTTTGTACGACATCTGTTCACACGCAAACACACACGCGGCTGTGTGTTTCTAAACACACCCCACGTTCACGTCCCCCCACTCGCTCCCAGGCCGCCCTGTTGGAGCTGCACCGGGTGGTGCGGGGCTGCGGAGGCAGCTTCCTGGCGCACTAGGAGGCTGGATTGACAACGGGGGAGGCAGACGCAGGGAGGAAAGCCGAAGGAAGCTGGATTCGTGAGCCCCGCAGCTTGTGACTTCTGTTGAAGACGGCTATGCAGGAGGAATCTGGGTTGGGCGTTTTGAGCTTTCTGCGCTGAGATGTGGCCGTGTTGGGTGGTACGGTATGCAGCGTTGAATACGAGCCCAGGACTTGTCGTCACTCGTCCGGTCAGGTCATGTACGGCAGGAAGTGGGGGTTGGGTATCGTTGTCAATCAAGGAGGTGGTGTTGGCGGGGGCGGGGCGGGGCGGGGCGCTCGTTGTGAAGAAGTACCGATGGTTGCGGTATGCGGCGGCGTGCAGCGCTGCGATGTGATGTGATGTGAGGTGGCATCGTACCGATACCTGACTCGACCCGAGCATGGGACATATACCGGTGTATACCGATACATCGTACAAGTGTTGTAATGGTGAAGGAAGCTGGTGGAGGGTCTGTAGCTTCCGCCAAACATCCCCTCGTACAATCCCGAACGCATGGTTCTCCAACGCACCCCAACCCACTCACCCTTCAACACAGCGCGCAGCCCCTTCCTGCTGTCACACACCCCTCCTCCTCCCTTCCAACAACAGCACTCGCTCTCTTAAACTCCGTTCCTCATGGAAAACACCCATCACGTCCTTCAACGTCCTCCACGACCCCCCCCCCATTGCCCCAGTTCGGGTCTCGGCAATCTCAGCAAACGAACAGCAATTTTGTCCGGAACCAGCCGAGCCGCTTAACAAGCCTGAAAAAGGACGTACAACACCATATTCTATCCAAGCAAAACTACTGCCTAGCGAAGCCTAAAGACGCGCAACGTGAACGCCTGCTGTACCCCCTCCTCTAATAGCCCTACCCCCTCCCCGCCCCTTGTCCCTTCCGTCCCCTCCTTGCCCTCCTCCTCGCACCCCCTCAGATCGCCCAGCTCTCCGCCTCCGCTTTATCACTGTCGTACACAAACGGAGTCTCAATCAGCCGTACAACCAACTCCCCATTCCGCGGGTCCTCGCCCCCAATCGCCGCCGCTAGCGCCTCCTGAAGAGAGGCCACCGAGGCAGCCGGCTGACCGCCGTACGGAGGGGCGGTTTCGGAGCCGTGTCGCACTCGAGCTAACCGTGCCATTAGCGTGTGGATCTGAAAGGGTGTCGTGCAAAGAGGTGCCGTACATGAGTGCATGGTGTGGTGAAAGGAATTAACAACTATGCGGAATGAGGGGGGACGGAGAAGGGATAAAGGTAAATTTCTTGGCACACAGTTGCAGTGCGTTACTACTCGCGGCCAGTCTTCTTAAGACACAACTCCACAGGATCCCCCCCAGCCAAAACACACACACGCCGCCCGCCTCCCACCCCCCCCACCTTCTTCCTCAGCGGCGGCGCCGCCAGCTCCGTTACCTCCGCCGCGCAGCACGCCACGTGGTAGGCGCAGCCGGTGGGGAAGACGTAGAAGGGTGGCAGCGCACCGCCTGCAAGGGGTGGGGGTGGGGAGGGGTTGAAGCGGGCGGGCGTGCATGCGTGTGTTTTGGAATATAGTTTGTCTGGAATGTAGGAGAAGAGCACCCGCCGCTCTCCACACTGCGCGGCCTCCTGTTTGACTCACCCCACCCTAACCCTTCTATAACCATTCTTCTACCCCCGTACCCCGGGCCGTCTCCCCAAGTACCCCACCCGCCCTGACCCTTACCAACACCCCAGCCCCGCCTAACTCGCCCAAGTCTTCCCTTTACCTCTTTACCCTTCAAACCCCCCACCCCCCTCCCCCACCCCACCCTGAGGCAGGCTGGTGAGTGGAGCCGCCTCCCCGATGGCTCTGCCGCAGCGGCTGCAGGGCTGACTCAGAGACACGGCGGCGGACCTGAGCGGGGAAAGGGTGGGGGCAGGCACAGGGGGAGGGGACAGGAGGGTTCACTTGTACCGGTATCATGACATGGTACGGCAAATACCAAGGAAACCACAGTGGCGAGCTACCCAAGGTGTGCTGTCCTATTCCCCACCCCCCTCCACCCAAACCATGTGTCGTACAACCCCTCCCTTCCCCTCCCCCCCTGCCCCCCACCTGTTCCTTATCTCCCCACACACACACACACACACCTGTTCCCCAGCAGCGCAATGTCGCTCCGCAGCGCCTCCGCAATGCCGGTGGCCTCCGCCATGTCGGCCTTGAGCCCCGCGATGGCGGCCCCGTAGCGCTCCAGGGAGTCGCAGATGGCAGCCTGGGGCGGGGGGGGCAGGTTTGAGAAGGGGGGGAGGGGGAATGGGGGGGGGTTTGAAAGACCATAGGGCCGAAACACAGGAAGCCACCTTCCTTCCCCGTCTCTCTCCCGTCACCTGACCCCTCCACCGCCCTGAGCTCCCCCGAAGCCCCCACCGCTTAACAAGAAGTCCGTTAGAAACACGCCCACGCGCGCCAACACGCCAACACATGTGAAGTTGTCAACACGCGCGCACACGCACAAACACATGCACACACACGCCGCCGCCACCTGAATACCCCCCCCCCACCTGGAAGCTGTCTATGGTCACAAAGTCCGGGAAGAAGGGCAGGATGTCCTCAATACGCAGCAGCCCGTCCGCCTCACGCAGGAACTCCACCGCCGTACGGATGTGTGCCGTACTGGCGTCCTCCTCACCGGGCCCTGACCCCGCCTGCTCTGCATTACCGCCCGGAGCAGTGGAAGCAGTGGTGGTGCCGCTGGCGGAAGCACCAGCAGCAGCAGCAGCACTAGCAGCAGCTGCTGCTGCTTTGCTGCCGCTCTGCACCACATGCCTGGCGACCTGCGGGGTGCAGGTGCGGTGGGAAAAGATGAGTATTACATGTACATATGTATGTGAGGTGGGAAGGAGGGAGGGAGGTACAAGACGACCGTTCCAATATTTTTCTCTCCCACCCGTACACACACACGCACACCTGCAGCCACAGCTTCCTCCTCAGTGCGTCGTCCTGATCAGGCTCCCCCGCAATGCCCTTGGCCAGACCCAAATCGAGAGCCAGGGCGGCGCGTACGGCATCCGGGTACATGCCTGCGTACGACAAAATGTACGACAGCATGATGTGCAGTACGACAACGTGATCAGTTGTATGTAAGACAACACGCCGAGTTGTCTGTAGTACGACATCAAAGCAATGGAAGAGAACCTTGGTTACGGCACGACAGATGCGTTAGGCCAGAGGCTGAGGGTGAGAGGCAAGGGGGCAGGGCCCAACTAACCCAAACCAACCGCCAACTTACCCAACTGACACATCAGCCGTACGGCAGCTCGCGGTTTATTGCATTCCTGCGCCAACCGTAACGCATACTGCGTGTCGTACAAAGGAATGAATGTCGTACCGCCGCCGAAACCGCCCGCGACTCCTCCTCTTCCCGCCCGAGTGAGGTAGCGTAGGAGCGACGCTTCGCCTTCCTCTCCAGGAGCCATGCTGTACAGCGCTACGGCGAGGTTGTGTACGACGCTGGGGGACGTGTTGTTGTACGGCGTAAGTTTACGGCAGAGGGGGGGTGAGGGTTTAAAACACGAGGAAAAGCGAGGTAAACGGAAGCTAAACGCAATGCCACAAACCTTCTGTGGGATTCCTATCTCCCTCGCCTCTACCGGTATTCCAAGTCTTCCTTCGTTATATATACTATCCTACATACTAGACTGTAGTACGGTATTACACCATCTCACCTGTCAGTCGAGCCGAGCACGTCGATTGCGAACTCCACATACCGCAGCACGTGACGTCGTGCAGCGGGTTGCGAGTCCGGCTCGCCGTACCGCAGCAACGCGGGTAGCAACCGCCGGGGGTCCAGGGGGGGTCGCTGTACGACAGAGGAGGGGAGGGAAGAAAAGAAGTTGGTAGGCGTTTATTAAACAATTCGTATGGTAGGCATTTTGAAGGAACACAGACCCGCAGCCCGGCAACAGTGTGTATGCTGTTACTATTCACTGCATGCAATGAATGCAATGCAAAGCAGATGTCGTACAATACACTGTCGTGCCTCCTACACATTTTAAACCCCTCGTACCTCCGCAATGAAGAAATCCACCGCCTCCTCCGCTGCCGCCGCCACCAACCCAGGAGCAAACTTATAGACCAGCTCGCGACTCACAGCGGGGGAACGAAGTACGGCAAGTGCCCTGCAAGAGAAGGAGTGCATGTTTGTGACGTACACGTCGTTAAGTACGAGTTTGCAGTGGCGCTCATTCGTGGGCAACAGGTACACAGATTCTTACTTACTACCAGCACCAGTAATGGCTTTATTTATCTACCTACGCCAACCTACTCCCCTTTCCCGTGGCTTTCCTCATGTAGACACCATCTTTCGACAATTCAGTACCGGTACGTTCTGACTCGCGGCCAGTTGTCTTAACACGCACGCGCCCCCCTCCCTCACCCCTCCCCACCTGACAGCTCCCCCCGGCTGCGGTCGCGCCATGAGCTGCTCGATAAGGCCTTCGTGGTCTCCCCTCAGCTGAGCCAGCTGCAACAGCTCGTCCAGCCGGCCGTAGCTGGAGAGCAGGGACACGGTCGTACCTGGGGTTTGGGGGGGGGGGCAGGGGTTTGCATGGGGCTTGCACGCGTGTGTGTTTTACCCTCGCCCCTCCCCCTCCTCCCCCCAACCCCCTCACCCGCATCCATCACATGCACCCAGTCGCTGAGGTGGGTGCGCAGGGCGGCCACCGCCGTATGGTAGCCCTCGCCCGCCTCGCCGCCGGACTAGCCAGGAGGGGAGGGGCAGGGAGGGGGGGCGGCAGGGAGGGGGGCCTTGACGGCAAAAAGCAGGAACATCAAGGTGCTAGGGGCAAAGACCCAAAACACAACAAGGCTCCAAACGAGTGCAACGAACAGGGGCAGTGCCTTCTTGGCCCTACGTGTCCTTACGTATGCACAATACCACGGCAACTCTGTCGTACAACGTCGTAATACGACACTCCTAGCGACGTGTGCAGTACCGGTATGTCATGTCATGTCATGTGTCGTACACCCCCCCTCACCTCCAGCAGCGCCCTGTTGATCCCATCCAGGTACAGCTCCGTGAGCCATGCGGCCAGCAGCGTGCACTGGGCCCTCTCAGGACCCCCTGCTCCCGCTGCCCCTGCTGCTGCTGCTGCTCCCACACCGCTACTTCCGGTGGTAACACCCGCGCTGAAAGCACCACCACCACCTCCGCCGCCGCCGCCTCCCCCAGCTGCCACTGCAGCAGCTGCCGCTGCCACTCCTGCCAGGGTAGCTAGCTTGGTGGACAGGAAGGCAAGCAGTGCAGCAGGGTCTCCGCACTCGGAGAGCAGCAGCGCGAGGTCCTCGAAGGCTGGGCGGCCGTCCGTGATCTGACAGCCGCAGATAGGTGGAGATGGGGAGATGGGGAGATCGGGGGGATGGAAGAAGGGGCAAAGGTAAAGACCAAACCATAGGGGTCCATGAAATAGGGCAAAGCCGTCGCTAAGCAAACAAAGCGCCAGAAGTGTACGGCATTTCTACCTTTGCAAAGTGTACGGCAGCCGTACGGAAGTCCCCCGCCGCCACCGCCGCCTCCGCCCTCCCCCGATGCACCTCGTCCCGCTGGGTGGGGCCGGAGCAGCAGCGCAGGGCGGCATCCCAGTCCTGTGCATCGGGGGGTGCGTGTGGGCGGGTGGTGTTGGTGGTGAGACGATGTTGTTGTACGGTCGAATTACCCATTGATCCTGAACCCTGGGTGAGTGTTAGAAGGCGCTGTCGCAGAATATGCAGTCATGCAGAAGGAGAAACTAAAGCTAAAAGAGGAAACGAATGGTTTGTACGGCGACTGGAAGCACAGGCAAGGTGGATCCCCCCACAACCCAGCACTTCTCCGAAGCCGACCCACGGGTCACTCCCCTGTTGCGGGTCACTCCCCACCTCACCCCCACCTCTCCCCAACCCACCTGCAGTTCCAGATACACCCTCCACATGCCGCGTCCCTCGTGCTGCAGACTAATGTCGTACAGCGTCTCGTCAACCGCCATGAGTGTCGTACCGCTGACGGGGTCACGGACCAAACCGTCTGGGGAGGGCGGGGTGAGGTGGGATGAGTGATGTGTGGGTAAGAAAGCTGGCCGAGAGTCGGGACGTACTGTGTGGGTATGCGGGCGCATGCGGTGCAAGGTGAAGAGAGTTATGAGTGGTACACAGGTGCGGGAAGAGATGGGTGTGAGTGGTACACAGGTGCGGGATCATGGGAGGAGGCTCGACATTGCACGAGAAACAGTACCGTGTATCCCGACTCGTCTCCCCCGTCACTCACCGATCTCCCGACTCGTCTCCCCTGTCACGCAGCGAGTGAGCGGCGAACGAAGGGCTCGCTCCACCACCGTACGACCGTTGACTCGGTTAACCAACCGCAACCGATCCCCGGGCAACAGCAGCAGGTGGTGGTATTCGGTAAGCACCAGACTGCGTGCGCCGCCAGCACCGGCCATGCCGGCTGGTGACTCTGCGGGGGTGTGCAGGAACAAGGGAGAGGGGGGCAGCAAGGGGCAGCAGGGGTCAGAGGGGGCCGTATCAGCAGTAGCAGCAGCAGGGGGTGGCGGAAGTATTCTGTTTATGTAAGGCTGCGGGCACCACGCCAGTTGCCAGTTGCTTCAATCGACCCTCCTATGCGCCTTACCACCTCCTCTCCCACACCCCTACCACTTCCCGCTTCCCATCCCCCCTCCTTACCTTCCGGTCCCGCTTCCTCCAACGGCAGGCTCACCACACCCGACAACACACTTCCTCCGCCTCCTCCTCCTCTACCACCTCCAGCAGGCGCCAAGAGCGCCGAGGAAGCCCCAGCACCACCACTGGCACCGGCACCGGCTGAAGCAGCGGCAGTGACAGCAGCGGCAGCGGCAGCAGCCTTGCCGCCCCTTACAACCCCCGCCGCCGCCGCAGTAGCAGCATCAGCAGCAGCCACTGCAGCCTCCCAATCCAGGTCCCCATGATACACCACTCCCCCCACCAGCCATGCAAACCGAGTGGGCAGCTCAGACAGCCTTTCCGGCCACCACAGCTGCAACTGGCTGTACGGAGACGGAACAACCGCCTCGATAACCGCCAACGGTGGCGGCGGCGAAGCCGCCGCAGCTGCCGAACCCCTGCTACTGCTGCTGCTGCTTGTGAGCTGTTGGTTAGAAAGTAGAAAGAAGGCTTGCCAGACGCTGCAAGTGGCTGCCGCGTTTGGAAAGGATGAGGAGGAGGAGGAGGAGGATGTGGGTGGGGTGATCCAGATCCGCAGATGAGAGGGAGTAGCGGCTAAAAGGGCCTTACGACTTCCGCCTCCTCCTCCTCCTCCGCTAGCGGTGGCACCACCACCACCACCACCAGCACCACCAGCACCACCAGCACCACCAGCACCAGCGGTAGCAGGTATGGATACCTGGTAGAGACTTGTGAAGGCATGTGGGGTGGCGATGGAGGCAGTGAAGGTGGCGGCGGCGGAGCCGGTGGGCGCTGCCGGGGACTGGGAGTGACGACCCCGAAGGCGGTCCTGGAAGGGGGCAGGAAGAACGCAAGAGATGCGGAGGAAAGCGTGGATGTGAAGGAAGGGTGAAGGGAGCGGGCAAGAGGCCAACGGCTTGGAGAGCTAGGAGAGGGCGACTGACCCACCGACCCACCGCACCGACCCAGATGACATACACCGCACCGACCCACATGATACATACCGCACCGACCCACCTTGCCTCCTCCTCCCCCCGCTGCTGCCGCTGCTGGCAGCGGCTCTATCAGCGTGCGCGGCTGTACGGCCTCGGGCTTCTTGGATCGCTCGTCCAGTACGGCTTCCAGCAGCGCACCCGACTCGGTGCCTAGCAGGATGGGACTGTGGTAGGGGGGCGAGGGAGGGAGGGAGGGAGAATGCGGTTGTTTCGCCCGTCATGCCTATGCTCTACCCCACCCACCCACCTACTTGAAAACGTGTACCCCTCCTTCACCCACCCTCCCACTCACAAACGCATGCCGTACAATCACCACCACCACCCCAGACACCTCACCCCGTACAGCTCTCCCCGGGAGCTGCCGTACAACCACCACCCCCACCCCGTACGGCAGCTCACCCCGTACAGCTCTCCCCGGGAGCTGCCGTACAATCACCACCAGCACCCCATACACCTCACCCCGTACAGCTCTCCCCGGGAGCTGCCGTACAATCACCACCAGCACCCCATACACCTCACCCCGTACAGCTCTCCCCGGGAGCTGCCGTACTGCCGGCTGCAGAGCCCCCTCCACCTCCTCCTCCTCCCCAGCCTCCCCAGCCGCTGCTGCTGGTGGCGGGGGGCGCGACAGCGGAGGTGGCGTCCTCCTGGACCGGCGGAAGGAGGGTGTGGAGGAGTAAAGAGGAAGCGGAGGAAGAGAAAAGGAGTTGCGATTGATTGGGACAGCACCGCCCTCCTGCCCTTCCATGACTGGAGGACAGCTACCCCTCCCCTCTCCTGCTCTCTCCTGCTCTCCCCTGCCCTCCCGCCCTCCCTGACCTGACCCAGCATCCCAGCACCTCCCGCACCTGGCTCAGGCACCACCCAACCGCCGTCAGCGCCCCGAGACCCCCCACGGCAGCTGCCCCCGCGCCGCTCTTCAACTCGGGCAGGGCGCGAGCCCGGGTCCACCGCCTGACGCACAGCGGGCGGGCGGGGGGGGGGGGGTCAAAGACCATACCAAACCATAGGAGACCACAGGTTAGGGCAAAGCGGGTGGGGGGGGGGGAAGAAGGATTCCCAATGTGTGGGAAGGGAAGAAAGAGGGGGAACACCGGGGGAAAACACCGTGGGAGATGCGTGTGGGGGCCCAGACACCCTCATCCTCCGCGTCATCACCCGCCCCTACCTGTGCACGTAGTACACCTCCGAGGGCCCCCCCGCGCCTCCTCCCGCGCCTCCTCCCGCGCCTCCCGCCCCTGCCCCTGCCGCTGTCGCTGCTGTCGTACTGCGCACCGCCAGCAGCACATGGTTGGCCCATGGGTCGGTGAAGAGGGCGGTGATGCGGTGGTCGGACTGCTGCTTGGGCGGCAGCACCTCCACCTCCGCTACCTGGGTGGGGCGGGAGGTGGAAGGTGGCAGGTGGGCGGGAAGGGGGGCAGCAGGGGATGGGGGAAGCGGGGGGAAAGAGGGGGTTAAAACCTCCGGTTGGTTGTGTTAAAGCTCCTGCGTGGGTTTGGAGGAGGGTTGCGAGGAGGGCACAGCAGAGAGCAAACCAAGCCCCGCAAAAGCTACCGGTAGCAGCTCTTCCAAGGGAAACCGAAAGGTTTAGTAGTACCGGCAAGGTACTAATATAGTTGCATTGCACCTTTTCGTTGCCGTACTCGTCCCAGCTGTACCGCAGCAGGTAGCCTCGCGCCGTCGCGACGAGGACCACATCATTGGAAGCTGCCACGCACACTACAGGGCCACGACCCCTGTGCGAGGGGTCGGATGGCGGTCAGGGAGGGATGCTTGTACCATGTACGAAGGTTTGGAGGAGGTTGAATGACGGTTTTGCGGATACGCCACAAAAAGCCAGGGCATGTGTGAAGGGGAAGATGCCAACAGCAGAGTAGACATCGACAGTCGGTTGTTTGTCTGTCCACCGAATTTATTTTCTCCATCGTGCTTCAATCCTCCCGATGGAGTCCCTTGACTACGCTAATGGGGCCGACTTCAGTATTAAATGACAGAGCCATGCCTTAAACGCCATGGAGCAACACCCATGGACGAAGTAACCCCAAAGCTTACTAGTTTGGATCGATTATCATGCATCACTCATGGCCTACCAACATCAATGTCCAGACAGGTTCGACTCCCAGCAATAAGAAAGAAACAACTAGGGCGAGCCCATGCTTTAGCTCTTAAAGTGCCCTAAGCGTCCCTTGCAACTTCACACCAACTCCAGCAATACAGTCGCTACGTGGTAATGTCAGGACGTACGCACCTGGAGGCCTGCCGAATTGCCGTATCAATGAAGAGCTGCGGAGCTTCTGCACTCGCGCCTGTGCTGGATAGCGGTGGATCAATAATCACCAAATCGCCCTGAGCTCCGGTCTCGATGCGTTCTACGAAGTCCAGCGCTCCATGGCCCACACCGGAGCGGGCAACAAAAGCCTCGACAAGATCCATGAAACAATCCCTCCACTATAAGGCGAAGTTAAACATAAGACATGTTGTCGTGGTCGTAAAAGATCGAGCTCTACATACCATTTGCATGGACAAGGTAGGTTTGGCAAGGGTCTTTTCACGTTCGGAGCATAGAAAGCGTATATAGGCCAACGAATGTGATAAAGTTAATATAAGTGCAACTTCTGTGCAAAAGCCTGGTCCATCGCAGTGCTGTGCAATGCCGTCCCATGGGGCTTTGCAGGTACGAAACTGATGAGAACGAACTGAAGTAGCTAGTAAGGGGCGGCTCGGGCGGCCTCTCAACACCAGTAGTTACATCTGCCAAACCACCCTGTACAGTAAACCAGTTTCGTTCACTGGCTCTGAACTCTGGTCTAACGAGGGAAGTGACGAGGGCACGCATGGGCATGGCTGTGATACTCCCGGCCTATCCGCAACGTATGGGCCTTACAGCATGGGCCTTACACGTTTCCTCCTTCCACCCCCAGAGCCCTCCTTTCCGCCTGCAACACTCCCGCGTAAGTCCAGCTACAGGAACTCCGTAACTATTCAGCTAGAGGAACGAGCCCCGTTCAAGCCACACAACATAACAATGAAAATGACACAAGAAGCAACCTAGCTAACCGAATGTGCGCATTGCAGCGCAACAGCAACAGCAACTCCGTCTTCGCGCTCCTGCGCATCCTGCTCGCTCTTTTCCTCCTACTCTTTTCCTCCTACACTTCCTAGCTACCTAGTTAGCCCAACGCACACACTACCCACTCCACCACAACAACTAACTGTACGACAACTCGGCGTTATCGTACAGTACCAGATGTCGTACGGACACCAATACTCTTCGCCTATGACCGTATTCGCCGTACGACCATGCAATACCACTCCCTGCCGTACAACTACCGTATGTAAGAACACTCCCTAACGCAATCCCAGCAGGAATCGCTGCCGCTATCACTGTCTAGCCCTCCCCATGCATCCACCTCCTCCTCCCTAGTCCTCATTTTCCTCCCCACTGCTGCCGACCTCATCCTGCTCCCCCGCATCTTCCCCCTCGCTATCTCCACCTCCCTCCTCATCCTCATTCCCGTCAGCATCACTATTACCCCCCTCCCCCTCCGCCTCATCTTCATCCATCTCTTCGTCCTCCTCCTCCTCCTCCTCGTCGTCGTCGTCGTCTTCGTTCTCCTGCTCAACTTGGTCCTCCTCCTCGTCTTCATCTTCATCGCTCCTCCCTAGCCCCCTGCGGGCAAACAAAACACACACACACACACACATCTTTCGACAATCACGGTACGTTTCGCCTCGCGGCCAGTTATTGCACACATGCACATGCACATGCACATACACAGCTTCCGACATCCCAGTACGTTCCTACTTTCCTACTCGCGGCCAGTTATCTTAACACAGCTTTGTTAGCAAACAGATACACATGGCCCGTCTTCCTAACGTACACATGCGGACATGAGCACATGAAGCGACAAACAGTACGGCATTATGACGTACGGCACTACCTCATGTACGGCAGCCTACGGACACCTACCCGTACAATTGGTACAGCAGGGCTAGCGCGGGATGCACGAGCATCAAGTCCGACTGTCCCGCCGCCTCCACCACCCCGCCCAACAGCCCCGCCAAGCCGCGGGCCCCACCCAGCCGCCTGCCGCTGTTGCGGTGGGCCGCCTGACGTCCCTGGATGTTTGCGGCCGGGGCTGGCGGGCGGTGGGGGCCCAGATCTTGATGTCGTCTTCATGATGATGAGCGTCGCGGAAAGCGGAGGGAGTGTAGAAGGGCGTAAACGCAAACAGGTTGATACCGGTATGTTCACTATATATGTTCGTACAGTACGAATGGTGTGCGGTACACGTGACGAGTGCAACACGCATGTCGTGCATGCACGGCACCCCTTACCCAACCCCAGCACGCATGCCGTACAATACAGACCCCCCCTTACCCGATAGTATCTACGTACACATGTACGACCATGATACACTAAATACCCTCTCTTCATCTTGGTGGCGGAAACGGTGGACACGCTGGAGGAGCTGCACTCTGCCGCACCTGCCGTGCCGTAGCACCTGCCGTACCGCCAGCAACCTGGTCCAGCAGGTCCAGCAGCGACGGCAGCGACGGCGGCGGCAGTCGTGATCCTGCACCAGTCCGTAACCTTGACCTGGACCTGGACCCCGCCGCGGCCTCGTCCACCTTCACTTCCGCACTCTGCACTCGCAGAGTGCAGAGTACGGAAGTAAAGGTGGACGATTCCGCGGCGGGGTCCAGGTCCAGGTCCAGGTTGCGGACCTGTGCAGGATCATGACTGCCGCCGCCGTCGCTGCCGTAGCTTGGCGGGCCTGTGGTTGCGTGATGCGGCCGAAAACAGGCAAGCGAAAACCATTAGGGTACAACAAACAGCCCATGATGCATGTGAAGTTGACGGACCACCAAATGCTGGCACGAATGAATGACCTAAATGCGAGCTGCGGATAAGCTAACATCGGCCGAACTCACAGGTAGCCGGAGAGCAAGTCGACCTCGGTGAAGCGGGTGTTGATGACCACGACGCCGCCTGACTTGAGCGAATTCAGCGTGTCGTACTTTGCTAGGTAGGACTGGTGGTTGATGGCCAGGTAGTCGGCCTGCTGCACTAGGTACGGCGCGCGGATCTTGCCTCTAGGAAGGCCTCGGCCTTCCACGGACGGAACAGCCGTACCTGCGGTCAGCGGCAGGGAAGAGGAAGCGGTAGTTGGCCTGCTGCACCAGGTACGGCGCGCGGATCTTGCTGGGACCGAAGCGCAGGTGGCTCACCGTCACACCGCCCGACTTGTGCGCGTCGTAGGAGAAGTAGGCCTACAAGGACATGACACAATCTTGTAGGAACCAGGGCAAGAGCCAGGAAATCCGCATGCGGGTGAGGAAGGGAAATGGCCATTGCCGGCGGAACATCAGGCCCAGAAACCCGTAACAGCGCATTGTTCCGGTAGGGACCGGCAGGTCGTAGCATACCGGTACACAGGTGCAACGAACAATGTATAGGATCAACAAAGAATGCGATGTTTTGGCAGCCTGCACTACGGTCATTACCTGCGCGTAGAGGTCGATGTTGCTGGCTATGATTTTGATCGCCTCCTTGGTAGCGCCCACTGTGCCGTCGCTGCCCACTCCCCAGAAGACGCACTCGAAGGTGCCAGTGGGTAGCGTGGACACACCCGCGGGCAGCAGCTTCGAAGGCGGCAGGCTGCGGTTGGTGATGTCGTCCACGATGCCAACGCTGAAGTCTCGCATGGGCGTAGACCTGTCCAGATTCTCGTACACCGCAACCGCATGCACGGGCAGGAACGAGGCGAGGCCGAAGCGCCCGCCAATCACAAGGCGCCGCCTGCGTTTAGGTAGGCCAAAGATGCAGCTTCGTTAGCCGTAAGCACCACATCCATCCTGGGCCATCAAACCCAACATCCTGGGCCATCAAACCCAAATGACAAGCAGTACTCAAGCAGTATATTCACAAGGCCGTTCGCCCCGCTGGTGTAAGGCAAGGATAGCAGCCAGAATCCACTTACGGGAGTGAGGGGTCCTCCAGCTCTGCCTCATGCAGCGTGGTGGCGACCTGCAGGTAGAGGGGCTCGCCGTACGAGCCGCTCTCCTTGGTTCGGTCCAGCACGCACACCTTGCGGGCCGAGGCGGGCAGGGCCTCTAGGAAGTACACGTCCGAGCCCTGGGCCGTGCCGCGCTGGTGTGGGGTTCAAGGCGCGGGAGCGGTGGTGCTGGATCGCGTCCACGTAGAGCGGCTTGTTCAGCAGCCTGCCAGAGACAAGTGGGTTGGGCCAGCACGCAGGGCGTCAGCTCGCCGGCGATCTTGTACATGTTGGTCACCATCAGCAGCAGGTCCTCCTCGCCACCGTTAGCGGTGGCTGCTGCCACTAGCCCCAGTTCTAGCCCCACGTACAGCAACGGCGGCGGCAGTCCCGCTCTGGCGCGATTCGACAACCCGGACCGCTCCGGGGTGTCGAATAGCGCCAGAGCGGGCTTGCCGCCGCCGTTGCTGTACGTGGTGCCTGAGCTGGGCTAGTGGCAGCAGAAGGGCAAGGGAGGGAGGCAAGGTAAGCATGAGGGGGGACAAGCGATCAAGGGACGAACGGCAGCAAGCGCCAATGACCGACAGGTTGTCGGCAAGCACCAGGCCACGCGGAGCTACCCAAGCCCCAGCCCACCTGGCGCACGGCCATGACGTCCTGGTGGTCGCCGAAGATGGACAGCGCGTGCTTGGCAATGGCGCGGGCAGTCACGTGCAGCACGCAGGGCGTCAGCTCGCCGGCGATCTTGTACATGTTGGGCACCATCAGCAGCAGGCCCTGGGAGCAGGGGCCAGACTGCCGGCGGCAAGAGCGCCGTGGATAGCACCTGCCTGCAGTTCAAGGTGCAGGATGCAATTAAGTTCCGGCAGGGCCGGAGGATTGATGGGTGCTGAAGGTCGACCAGTACTAATTATCACGCCTTAGCGGGAAACACTGTAACGGTCCTGCAACTTACCCGCAGCACCCGTCTCACTCTCCATCTCCGTGATGCTCATCACGTTCCCAAACACATTGCGGCGGCCCTCAGAAGCCCATTGGTCAACGAACTCGCCCAACGCGACGAACTCGTCGTAGGGGTGATAGGGTAAATGAAAGAGACGTCCGAGGCCGCGTAGACGATTCGAGCAGTTGCTTCATTACCGTCCATTGGCGCCTGCGGGCAGAAGCATAACCGGCAGGTCAGTCACCATCGTGAGCCGCGACGCTAACAAGGGCCAAGCGACACCACCAGAAGCGGTCAGGTTTCAAGGAATGGCACGGAGCAGCTTAATATTCCTGTATAAATATCTGTAAAAGCATTCGGCCGGGCCAAACAGATCAGCGCGACGCATAGCTAGTAGGGATGCCGAAATGGACTTGTCGGCCATATCGCGCGGGACCCCGATCACTCACCGGCATTGCGGAATGTGCAGCGATCCCTGACGCGCAACGTGGATGCCCCTTGTCCTCAAGCCAGAGATTGAATATTCCTCCATAGCGAGGATGTTGTGCGCAGGATTCAAGCCCTGTGGCAGGAAAGATCTGTAAAGCCGTGAACTGCTGCCGTTGTTTGGACATTTGCAGCCAGCCGCCCAAGCCGCCAAAAGAAAAGTAGCTTTCACAACATGTTTTTTACCTGAAAAGAAGAGCCCTCGGAAGTCCAGAAAGGTGTCGCAGAGGCAAAAGGGTGCCGCAAATGACTCAGCTTTCGCTGAAATACCGGTACAAAGGAAGCCTGCACTGCCTACACTGCGTCATGCGACCGCCGCCAAGGCCGCCAACCGCCTGGCAAGGCCGCTGCTCGCCGCCCTGGAGCATGTATATAATATCATATTATATATTGCCGTACTCCTGGAGTTCTTGTTGGCACCAGCTGCGCTCCCATCCGCCGCCTCCGTCGCTACGGTTTCATGCCTGGCCTCCCGCGGCCTCGCAGGATGGGCGGACCCCGCCGCCGCCCCAGCTGCACGGGAGGGAAGACGTGCAGGACAGGCAGCACGGTCTTCCCTCCCGTGCAGCTGGGGCAGCGGCGGGGTCCGCCCATCCTGCGAGGCCGCGGGAGGCCAGGCATGAAACCGTAGCGACGGAGGCGGCGGATGGGAGCGCAGCTGGTGCCAACAAGAACTCCAGGAGTACGGCAGTATATAATATGATATTATATACATGCTCCAGGGCGGCGAGCAGCGGCCTTGCCAGGCGGTTGGCGGCCTTGGCGGCGGTCGCATGAGGGAGCGGAAAGGGTCCCGAACAACGCTAACAGGCTTTATATGGCTATGAAAAATTACGAGAGTTCGCCGCCCTGGAGCTCGAAACGTTCGATCTGGTACGACTACTAATCTTCATTGCATGTATGAATCCGCGCCTTCAGTCGGGCACAGGTTGGCAAACCAAACATTCTTGGACTGCACATGTTGTTTATGCCGCAGTTGCAACGCTGGTGTATGGGAAGAAGAGGAAGAATCTTCAAAGCACCCACCGCCCGCCGGCGAACCGCTTGCTGGCCTGCTGTCAGCGCGCTCTTTCACGTGTAAAATTGTTTTAATGTTGTCAAAGCTTCCACGTTATTAAGCTGGGCTATGTCTTACCCATTGTAGCGGCCCCCATCTCCTGAACCCAAGCGGCGACGTCGTCAAAAGTCGATTGTCACCATCGGCACAGATACAGGGGTGTGGCGCAAGCGGACCAGTCAGATCATGCTGCTGACCGCTGGGAAGTTCAGTAATTTGCTGTCCACTGCTGCACAAAGGCTTGCGTATTAAGGATTTGGGCTCCGAACCTTGCATGAGCGTGGACAGACAGCAAGCAGCAGGAAGACCAACAACGCAGGTTACAAAGCATACGTTTGAACATCTCTTACCAAGATATTAACGCTACAGTAACGGCTCCTACATACAGTTTGCGTGCATGCTGCCCCAAAGTGGGGTACGGGGAAGATAACCAACACAATCAGCACCTCAACGGGTACCGTACGATCTTTGAAACCAGCCGTAGTGCCGCACTCTATTAGAACCACATCAGTTCAGCTAGAGGAACTATAGCCCCCGTATAAGCCACACAACATAACAATGTAAACAACACCGCGAGCAACCTAGCTAACCGAATGTGCGCATTGCAGCACGACAGCAACAGCAACTCCGTCTTCGCGCTCCTGCGCATCCTGCTCGCTCTTTTCCTCCTGCTCCTCCTCGCGCTATCTAGTTAGCCAAGTACCTTAACCCGAACCACACATCGCCCCCTCCGATACCCCCACACCACCCACTCCACCTCGACAACAACACGGCGTACCCCCTACGGAGTACTGACGTCAAACCCCTTCGCTTATGATCGTAATTGCCGTACGACCATGCGAAAACACGCCCTGCCGTACAACTACCGTAGGCAAGAACACTCCCTAACGCAATCCCGGCAGGAATCGCTGCCGCTATCACTGTCTAGCCCTCCCCATGCATCCACCTCCTCCTCCTTCCTAGTCCTCACCTTCCTCCCCACTGCTGCCGACCTCATCCTGCTCCCCTGCTCCTTCCCCCTCGCTATCTACACCTCCCTGCTCCTCCTCATCCCCGTCAGCATCACTGTCATCCCCCTCCCCCTCCGACTCATCTCCTTCCATCTCTTCGTCCTCCTCCTCCTCCTCCTCGTCGTCTTCGTTCTCCTCATCTCCGTCCTCCTCCCCGTCTTCCTCATCGTCATCGCTCCCAAGTCCCCTGCGGGCAAACAAAACACACATACACACATGCACATACACAGCTTTTTAGCATACAGATACACATGGCCCGTCTTCCTAACATACACATGCGGACATGAGCACATGAAGCGACAAACAGTACGGCATTATGACGTACGGCACTACCTCATGTACGGCAGCCTACGTACACCTACCCGTACAACTGGTACAGCAGGGCTAGCGCGGGATGTACTAGCATCAAGTCCGACTGTCCCGCTGCCTCCGCCACCCCTCCCAACAGCCCCGCCAAGCCGCGGGCCCCACCCAGCCGCCTGCCGCGGTGGGCCGCCTGGCGTCGTCGGATGTTCGCGGCCGCGGCTGCCTCCGCCTCGGGCCCCGGGGGCCGGGGCTGGCGGGCGGTGGGGGCCCAGATCTTGATGTCATCGTCGATACCTGATGACGTGATGATGAACGCACATGCGCGGAAAGCGGAGGGAGTGTAGGGCGTATATGTAGCGAGGGTGCTACAAATACCAATAATTACGGCTGCACAACATCCTAGGAGGCCTTTTCAGGACCGTAGTAACAGTATGTGCAAATGGGTTAATACCGGTACGTTCGTGGTGTCATTTTCGTACAGTACAAGTGATGTGCGGTACACACGACGAGTGCAACACTCATGCCGTACGTGCACGACAACCCTTACCCAACCCCGGCACGCATGCCGTACAATACACACTCCCCTCCCCCCACACTACCCCTACTCCCCCCCACCAGATGTCGCCATGTGCAGCGGCAGGCAGGGGTGCGGCTCCAGGCAGTTGACCACGTGCGTGTCGCCGGGTAGCCAGCTCTGCAGCGCGCAGGTGGCGCGGTCCCAGATGAAGATGTGGCTGGGGGGGTTGGGGGGTTGGGAGAAGGGATATGGAGGAAGAGGGGATGGGATGGGATGGGTAAAGAAGGAATACCGGTAACTAACTGACCATGTGATAAGGCGCGTCATCACGGTTTACAACATGTGAGCCAGCCCGACCTGCCCAGCTCGAAAGGTAAGGGTAAGCCCTGCCCTCTCCCCCTCCTTCTCCCCTCCCCTGCCTTGCCCTCACCCGCAGTCGCTGCCGCTGACCACCCATTCCTCCCGCTCCCCCAGGAATGACACGCCCTTGACTGTGCGGTTGTTGCGGTGACCGCTGCAGGGGGGGAGGGGAGCGGGTAAGGAGCGGGCAGGGGAAGAGTGGGCGAGTTAACGAGAAGGCAGGGGAAGAGCGGCATGGGAAGAGGGACCGAGTAAAGGGGGTGGGCTTGGTAAGAGGGGCCAGGTAAAGAGGAACGGCCAAACATGTGACAAATAGGCTTCCCCCTGCGAGGTGCGGAAGGTGCGGGAGGTGCGAGAGGTGAGGCATGAGGGTGCATTAATCCTTGGACCCACCTGTACCTCCCAATCACGTAATCCTCATCCTCGCCTCCGCCTCCGCCGCCTGCAGCACCACTAGCCGTTCTCCCAGTAGCTGCTGTACGTGATGCCGTACGCGATGCCGTACCCGTTGTTGCGCCTGTCGTACCCGTACGACGTCGCCGTCGGGAAGGTCGGAGAAAACTCGCATCCTCTTCCTCCTCCTTCTCTTCCCCTTCCTCACCCTCGCCGCCGCCACCACTGCTACGCCGCCGGCCGAAGATAGATCCGCCGCCGCCGCCGCCGCTGCGGCCGCCATGCTGCCTCCGACGTCTGTCGTACGAACCCCCGTCTTCGTCATCGCTCCCGGTTCCGCCCGGCTTGCCCTCGCCGCCGCCACTTCCCTGGGTTCCTGGCGGCCTGAAGAGGTAGACGTCGTCGTCGTTGTATGTCGCGAGTACGTCACCTGTTAAGGATGGTACGACAATATGTTCATGAAGCGTACGACAGGCTGTTAGAAGTGATGAAAGTGTACGGCGTACGGGGTTGCTTGTTAGCCCTATATGGCCCTATAAGCTGTGTGGTCAAGATGCCGCGTAACAGGCATAACAGGAAGATGTAGACGGGCTCGTCAACGCAACCACCGCAATTTGAAATGTCGTACCGTTTTGCCCAAAGACCACACTCGTAACGCAAATGGGTCGAGCAAATAAAGAGGAAGCGCCGCCGTCATCATCGCCTCCGCCGCCTCGCCGCCGCGTCCGGAGATTCTTTGGACAAAGCTCGTCAAGCAATCGCCCATTGACTCTTTGGCAGCGCGAACGACCCGCCGTCGACACGACGACGTTCGTCGCATTGCCGCGACGGACGCCGCGCGACGGCCATGACGGCGACGATGGCGAGTGAGACGACGAGGGCGAGTGTGAGTGCAAGTGTGGCGCCGCCGCCGCCGTCGCGACGGCGGCGTCGGACGCCGTGCGACGCGGTGCCGACGGCGACGACGCACTGACGTAGGATGATGACGTTGAGGTCATCGCTCGGTTGTCATATATCAGGACCGACTCGTCGGCGCCGCCAACGGCCAACTGCCAGGGCCGAGCCGGGTTGACGTGTACGGCGTTTATATCAATGACCTGTCGGTACGAAGACGGGAGAAATCGAAAGGTGTTTTCCAGGGATCCAACAACTGGATACGGTAGTTGGTACGGTGGTCATTATCAGGGCGGAGCAGCATCCAGCAACCGCCCTGCCCACCTGGCGATGCCGGTTCCGCCCTCCACCCGCACTACCAGACCCCCTGTTAGGGAGTGAAAGAGGCAGGAAAGGGCAAACTTGGGCGGGTAAGAGGTGAGCAGGGCTCACGCGGGATGATGCACTGCGGCGCTCAAGATTGGAAGTTCTGGCTCATCTGCCTTACCTCCTTTGCCCCCTACCCCAACAACCACTACCACCACCGTTTCCTTGTGCTTGGCAACTGCTCTGCACACGTCACACACGCACTTCACCCCTCAGCCTGCTCTTTTAGTCCGAACTTCCCTCGGCCCCATCTGGGTTGCCATGCCTCGGCACATGGCCACAAACACGTGGCTACACACTCACCCCGCTGTGGCCGCCATTCGTGCCAGAGGCTCCGCATCCGTAACTCGCAAGTCGAAGAAGCACACATCGCCATCCTCGCCGCTACTGTAGAAGCACGGCGGGCCGCCACCGGCCCCGCCATGGGACAGGCCGGAAGACGAAACGTCGCGAACCGCGGCAGCAGCCGATGAGCCATTGCCGTACGGATTGTACGGACTCGCATGCTGAAGTGCGAGCTTGTGTGCGCGGCCTTGGTGACGATGAAGGCGTTTGCAGATGACGTTGCCGCCGCCGTCATGGAGGTACGACACCTTTACCTGCAGACACGCAAGCCATGTCGTACGGTTGCATGCAATGTACGATGCTGTTACATCACATATATCAACAGCAGTTACCTGCAGCAATCTGCGTTTCTGTCGCACTATTGCAAGGTAACACTCACGTACAACTCATCACGTACCTGTCCATCTGCTGCGCATGAGATCAGGGTACGGTCGCCAGTGCCCGGCAGCATGCGGGCCTGTGTGGATGGGGGAGTGGATGGGGATGCGTAACGGGAGTGGATTGGAAAGCTGGGGTTTGGGTAGGTAAGAGCGCGGGGTTTCGAGGAAGGGTACGAACAACACTCGTACCTGGAATATGTTGTCGAGGTGAAAGGGCTCAAATTGGAACCGTTGTACTCCTGTGTACGAACGACACGGCAGGGGGAAGGAGACCATTGGAGCCATGGCAAATATCAAGCATTACAGCGGGGACATGGAAAGGAGAAAGAACTCGGCATATGGATCAGACGGGGTTTAGGTGCTGGGCTTTACTCATCATCAGTCAACATGGCAAACCTACGGGATCGAGAAATTTAAAATGGGCAACAGAACAGCACATACTATGTCATGAGAGCATCTTTGGCTGGATGAGATCATGAGGGAAGGAAAGGGTCTCGGTGGTGAGGCATCACAAAGGATTCATCAAGGAGGGACAAGCTAGTACCCCATGGCTGGAGGGCAAACGTGCGTGCGGCTTGCGGCGTTGTCCGTAAGCGTGTGCGAGATCCTTATATCGAAGACATATCACGTAATACAGGCGTACCTCTCCGCCAGTCCCAAAGGATCACGCTTTGGTCGTCCGAGCCGCTGATTAGGATGTCGCCGGCCGGGTTAAAGGCGACGGTGTTGACGCAGCCGTTATGGCCGGTCAGAGTCCGTTCTTTCTCCATGCGATGGAGTTGGCCATATGAGCGGGAGGTGTCGCAGCGAAACGTTGCCGCTTGAGCAACGATGTTGCGGGGCAGGGCACTTTCTCGCTCCCGCAGCGCAACAAAGCAAGATGCAGCCATCTTAAGTTATAGCCAACACTTGCTTTACCGTTGCCGTGTCCCAGCACCCTAGGACACGCAAATTGGGCTGCTCGACCCTAACTACTGTGTATGTTCTGGAGCGACGCTCTTAGCTGGAGCAGCTCTGATGTCTTCTTAAGTAAAGAAGCGTGTAGCACAGATTATATCAATTACTTATCAGCGAAAATTGCTGTTCCTAACGTACAAACGTAAATTGCCGGCTAACCGCTTCACATCAGTCCCGCAGTCCTGGTACCAAATCTTCTAACTTTCATCTGGAGGTACCGAATAAGACAAAAGCAATTATGATTGTCAAAGTGCACTCCTTGCCTTGGGCACAGCTTCGATCGCCATTTGCACGTACGGCAAATGCGTGCTTGACCAAAGAAAGGCGAAACTCTTTTACTATTTCTATGGGTAGATGCCAGCAATCTCCTCGTGTGCTTTCTACAAACCTTGGGGTCTGCCCATGCCGATTAATCCGAGCAGCGGCCACAAAAATTACAGCTCAAGCATAGCCGTTCCCACTTTGTAGTTATCACTACGAACAGTGTGTGATCTATAATAAGTGCCCCATTTCTCAAAAAGGGACCGCGTTACTGTTTCCACCCGAGCTGCAACAGTGTGCAGCAGGCTGAAGCCCTGTTTATCACCTTGACTAGCATAATATCATTTTAGGATATCGCGGCGTGCAGAATCTTCCGGCTTAAGCGCGGAGCCTGTTGCTTCATCCGTCGATCAGCGTGGACTACCACTTCAAAGGGCGTCTACGGCAGGGGTGCTGAGCGCCCATGACACGCCATAGGAATAGAGGGCCGCGAGCCCTAGTTCCCGTGGGCTTGGTAGTTTTGCTTGCAGTTCTTGCGCTGGCGGGCGGCATTTCCGTCGCGCACGCATCATCTGATAAGCACCGCAGCAGGCGGCTCTTATCCAGCTCAGCGGATGTTACACCTCACAGCGGAGCCAAGGATGTGGGTCTTGCAGCGACGAGTCAGGCTGATGACGATGAAGGGGATTATCCTGGTGCTGCTGACCCTGATGCCCTGGCGGCAGGTGCCAAGGCTTCGGCATCTAGCTCTACAAAGGCCGCATCTGATCAGGCTGAAAAGGGCGCAAGCACCGTTTCTAGTAATGCTTCCAAGGGGTCATCTGCCACAGCGGGTGCTGATGTTGCGAAACCGACCACCTCCGGACCTTCTGCGTCCAGCAGCAAGGCCGAAAGCCACTCGAAGAAACCAGCGACATCCTCACCCACCAAAGCCGCCAACGGCACGGCACATAGCGCTAGCGGCAAGACCACGCCCAGCAAGGAAACATCCAGCAGCAAGGAAACATCTAGCAGCAAGGACACGTCCAGCAAGCCCACCAACTCCGACTCTTCTCATTCCTCATCCAAGACCTCATCGGCTTCTACTGCAGACACCGTTGCTGCCGATGGAGACTCCGCCGATGCTAAGGATGTTGCTGCTGACTCAGCTGCCACGTCTACGGCTCCTTCCAAGTCAAAGTCCAGCACTACCAGTACGACAGCCACGTCTTCATCCTCCTCTGGCAGCCCTAGTCCCTCTTCGGGCAGCCCTAGCCCCTCTACTGCCGCTAGTCATCACAGCGCTGCCGGCACTGCCTCTGCCACTAACACAGACGCTGATGCTGGTGCTGAGGAATCCGGCGGCTCCACCGCTGCCAGGACAGGCGCTGCCACTCCTGCAACCCCCTCCAGTGGAAGTGGCTCCACCGCCAGCAGTGGCAGCGGCGCCGCCAGCGCTGCCGCTACCGCCGCGGATGGAGACTCGGATGATGTGACCACCGTCACCGGGGCTGCCACTCCTGCCAAAGCAACCGGCAGCAGCAACGGGGCTGACAGCACTGCTGACAGCACAGCCGCCACGGATGGCGCCACTGACAGCACTGCTACCGTCGCCACCCCATCTGCCAGCGAAACTGAGACGGCGGCCGCCAAGGGTTCTGAGGGCACGGAGGCATCCAGCAAGAGCGCCACAGGGGCCCAAGGGAGCGATGGCAGTAGCGCTGCTGGTGCCTCCGACGGCGGTGCTGATGCTGATGTTGCTGGTGCTACTGCCGCCGCGGAGAAAGCAGCCACCGCAACCACCGGCAGTGGTGTAGGAAGTACCAAGGGTGCTTCCGTCAGCGGCTCTGATAGCAGCAGCAGCAGTAGCAGTGACAACGGAGATGATGCGACAACTACCACAGCATCTAGCGGCGCCGCGACCGCCCCTGACGACACTGCAGCGGGCGCAGCTGACGTCACCGCTGCCGGTACGAAGACTGCGACAGCCACGGAGGGTGCTGCTTCCGCCGCTGACGATGCCGCAACGGCTGTCTCGGGTAGTGACAGCACCACTGCTGTCGGCTCCTCAGCGGCTGCCGCCGGCGGTTCATCTACTAAGAGTGGCAGCAGCGGCAACAGCAGCAGCAGCCGCACTTCCACCGCTAAGGACGAGTCTGATATTGTTCATGTCACTGCCAGCGACGGTGCTGCTACCGACTCTACCAAGAGCAGCAGTGGCAGCAGCAGTGGTAGCACCGTAGTTGCTGGCGATGCTAAGGCCGAGAGCGCTCCTGCCGCAGCTGCAGCCGGCAAGGACAGCGACACCAGCAGCACCGGCGCTGCTGCCTCGAATGGCACGGCCTCCACCGCTGCTGGCGACACGAAAGCCACCACAGCCTCCGAAGGGGCCTCCTCAGATGGGGCCGTAGCCGGCTCCGGTGCACCCGCCGCTGCTGCTGCTTCCAACAGCACCTCGTCAACAGCCCCCGCCGACGACGACGATGACGCCGCTGCTGCTGCGGCTCCCGCCGGCGCTGCGGCAGCGGCCACCAACGGCACCTCTGCTGCCGCCGCTGCAGAGGCCGCTGGTGCGGCTGCTGCTGCTGCTGTCAATGCCACATCAGCCGCCTCCGCCGCCAACACCACCACCGCCGCTGCTGCCGCCGGCGCCAGCAACGCAACGGAGATCCCTGAAGACGGGGCTGCAGCTACCGCTACCCTTAACAGCACCACTGCTTCTACACTTAACAGCACTGCCGCTTCTACCCTCAACAGCACGGCGGATACGGCTGGGGCTGCGGCCGGCAATGGGACGCATAGCACCGCCGCTTCTACCTTGAACGCCACCCTGGCCGCTGACGCCAGCAGCGCTGCAGCCGGCAATGGTACGGCAGAGGAGGCGTCGCCGTCGCCAAGCTCTTCAAAGTCTTCCACCGGCGCCTCTTCCTCTTCCAGTGACGCTGCTACAGCTGCTGGCGACAGCACCGGTAGCACCAGCAACAGCACCACCGCCGCTGTAACCTCCAACGCCACTGTTAGCAGCAGCGGCAACAGCACCAGCAGTAACAGCACGGACAGCAGCAACAGCAAGAGCACTACTGCCGCTGGCCCCAGCACTACCAATGCCACAACGCTAACCACCACCGGTACGAATGCAACCGCGACTCCTGCAAACGGTACGACAGTTGCTGCTGCGGGTGCGAATGGTACGACGATTGTTTCGGGTAGTACGGCCAACACCACGGCGGTTAACACCTCTACTAGCAGCAGCAACAGCAGCAGCAGCAGCGGAGCTTCATCCAGTGGCGCCCCCACCTCTACCTCTCCTTCATCCTCTTCCTCTTCTTCTCAGACGGGAGGCGCATCATCATCGTCGTACGACAGTATTGGATTCGGAACCAGCGGTTTCGGAAAAGGCAGTACTACAGGCAGCAGCAGCGGCACAGGCGGCGGCGGATTCACTGATGCCAGCAGCAGCACTAGCAGCGGTAGCGGCAGCGGTAGTGGCAGCGGTAGTGGCAGCGGTATTGCTACATCCAGCGGTGTCATCGGCGTCTCTCCCCAGTACGCTAACGTAGAGGATGCTGAGCGGGCGGAGATGACCGGCGGGATCGGCAGTGGCGGTGGCGGTGGCGGTGGGGGCTTCTTCAGCGGCCTTCAGGACTGGATGCGGCCGCACAAGAAGAAGCGGCACCACCACACACGTCCGGGTGGGTACCGGGATGTGAGGGGGGGGGTGCGAGGGGGTGTGAAGGGGGGATGGGAGGGGGTGTGAAGGGGGGATGGGAGGCGCCTGGGGGGCTACATGGATTACGGTACCAGCGGATTCCACGAATCCAAAAGCACTCCGTTCCCAGCACACCTTCACCTCCTCGCCCCAAACTCCTCCTGCCCACAACCCCGCTCCCTCCCCCCTCTTCCCAACAGGGAGCTCCCTCGGTTCCGCTGACTCTGCTCCATCCTCCACCTCTACCTCCTCTGCCTCCTCCTCCACCATCACCGGCGGGGGCTGGTCCTCCTCCTCCTCCTCCGCTGCCGCCGCTGGTGGCGCCGCGGCGGACTCCACCGCCCCGACCTCAGTGAAGAACGCGTTCACGCACCGGGATGTGGGTGGCGCAGGGGTTGGCGGCAGCAGCAGCAGCGGCAGCGGCGGAAGCAGCGGCGGAAGCAGCACCACAGAGGGTCTGGATGTACCGAAGAGCTTGGGACTGGAGGGAAGCAGCCTTTCCTCCACCTTGCAAACCGCGGCAGGCTCTTCCTCGTCCTCATCGTCGCCCTCGTTTTCATCTGCGACTGCTCCCTCGGGGTCTCAGGCGGCTCTGGCGTCATTGGGCGGTGCTGCCGGGGGACAACAGCAGCAGCAGCAGGCGGTCACTGCCGGTGTGGGAGCTGGTGGGGAGGCGACGGCGCAGGCTGCAGCTGGCGGGGGCGGCAGCAGCGGAAGTGTGTTTGAGAGCCTGGTGTCGCCGTCATTCCTGGGGTGAGAGCCAGGGACTCGGGTGGGAGCCAGGGAGAGAGGGAAACAGAGGGGTTGTATGGAGGGGGAAGCAACGGAGGCGGGGGCGAGGGCGGGGGCTGGGGTCGTGAAGGGCCGGGCGTCTATTGAAAAGTGTCCTCCTCAGACCCTTGTTCGTATGTACTGCTGCCCTCTCCCCCTCCCAATGCCCCTCTCATGCGTGCTCCCATCACCACGCTCCCATGCATGCATGCAGGCCCATGATTGGCGTGAGTGTTGCGGCGGTGGGGGTGGTGGCGGTGGTGATGTCAGCTCGGCACTTCATGGGGGTCATGAGCAGCCGGCGACAGGTGCCCATTACCAGGTGAGGAGATGGTGTGTAGTTGCGTTTTGGTGTTAAGAAGCAGGGAATGTGTGGTTGGAGACGTTGGGGACTGGTGCGTGGCGGGGTAAGGGGGGAACGGTTGGCTTGGAGGGTTGGGAAAACGGATAGATTGGAGGCGGCAGGTGCCGCTCTTTGCCCAGTTAGTTCACCCAGTTTAGTTACCGCTCCCCATCAGGTCCCACAACCCTCCACCCAACCACACAGTCCCAATCCATGTCGTCCAAAGTCAACCTATCTATGCCCCCCCTCGCTCTCAATGACCGCAGCATGAGCCTCTACGCCAACAGACCCGCCTCCACTCCAGCTCGCTCCTCCTCCACATCCGCCCCGAAGAAGTCCGTTACCCCCGTCAGTTGGGACAACAACGCCAACTGGGATGATGACGAAGAGGACGGCGGTGCAGGCGGCGGCGGTGGCGGCAATAACGGTGACGGTTGGGATAACGACTCGACTTCCTGGGAGGACGTGGAGGGGGGTGTGAAGGGTCGCGGGGGAGGTCGAGCGGTTAGTGCTAGCCCGGCACCCGCACCCGGGTCGAGGAAGCCCGCGAAGAGCTTTCTGGACGATTGGTAAGGTAACTATAGGAGGAGCAGGAAGAGGAGTTACCGGTAAATAGAAGAGGAGAAAGACGGAGAGGTAAGGCACCGGTCACCGGTTTAGAGTATTTTACGTGAGCGAACGCATGCCAGGGCTAGGACGTACGTGTGGGGTAGAGCAGCCGTATGAGTGGCACGGAAGGGCAAGAGGGTTACCGGTGGTTACCCGTTGGGTGTGAAGCGGACGTAGCGGGATCATTTAGCTGAAGCCTTTAGCGGGCCGTACAAAGCTCTAGGCCCCTGGAAGGGGGTCTAGATGAGGCCTTTGGAAGGGGGTTTAGGTGCGGAGATAGCAGTAGAGAGGAGACGGAGCAGGATGGGCGAGTACCCCTGGTGAAGTGGCGGATGTTGGGGAGACGGCTTGCGATATGCAGGGGCCATCGGCTTAGTCCATGTTTGCGCATGCCGTACATTCATACACGCGCATCCCAAGCGGCATACTTTGCGGGGGGGCGCGTGCTTTGATTGGAGCTTGTTTTGACAAAGCGTTGGAGCTTGTTTGACCAACAACTAGGACCGTCTTTCCATCTGCTTTTGTGTTCGTTCGGTACCGCAACCGCCCATTGTTGGGGTTACCCGTAACCCATGATAGGGGCAATGCGCCCCCTGCGAGTCGGATGGACCCTGGATCTCCCCTTTGCTGGATCCTAGCGCAAACTGAAATTGCATTTGACAAAGCGGTATGTGAGCGCAGATAGAACTGATTATTTGCGGTCTTTGGCACGTATCGGTATGCGTGTATGGCTCTCGTTGGAGTAGTGGCGTGTCAAATGTGTGGTCAGTCGAGGGGATGAGCCACTCTCCCTTCCTCGCTGCGTTATGTTTGTCAGGATTCGCTCGTGATCACCCGAATCGCTATTAACATCGACATCCGTACGTTATGCAGTAGTGTGTGCTGTGGTGAGTGGTTGGGATGGCACAACTTTTACTGCGCAACTCCTCTTGCTGTTGGATGAGAATTTCTATGCCCATGGTCGTGTAAAGCGAGAAATAAATATTAGGTGAAGGGTACTTAAATGGGACTAGCAACACAACAATTGTCGTTAAACCAAAGCGGCTTAGCGTTTATGTTACAGGGCACGGGGCTAACATCCATTTGGTGGTATCCAAAGACCTGCAGGGGCCTGTTACCAGTGCTTATTACCACGACCATCTTAGTAACGACCTTACCGTAACCCCCGACTTCCATCTTATTACGTTGTTTAGGAATACAGGTGTGCAGCACAAATACACACAGCACACCTCTCCCGCCGCTCAATTGAATTGTTTTTGGATTCAAGCGCCGTCCAACCAACGTCACGAAGGGGGCAAGGGTAGATAACCCACATCTTTCGTGTTCAGCATCTGAACTCCTCCCACTGACGTTTGCCAACACCAAAGCCATAGCAACGCTGAACTGCCTCCCCAGAGCTCTCTTTCGCGCCAGTGCCGTCAAACAAGACCCCAACCCACCATTACTCCTTATCAAAGCATGCTTATGAGATATACAACGGACGCGCATTTCAAGGGAAACGAGCGGATTCGTACTTTTGGAGAGCGACCTGAGTACGACACAAAGCAGGACTCCATGCGTCAAGAGATAAAACCTAGTACGTCTACATACATTCAGCAGCCCTCTTAACACGCGCAACATAGTAAATTCTCTTCTCTTACACTCTGATCTGCAACTAAAAGCTGTACACAACTCCCAACTGCTAACCCCCTAACAGCAACATATCATACAAAAGCCCCTGAATTCCCCCACTCGGCATGAAAGCAAATTAACGTACGGGCACGAGCAAGCAAAAGGGAGGCAGAGATCAGTGTCTATGGCGCGAAAGCTCTACACATACATGACTCAAAGTCAACTCGGACGAAATGTTTCGCCTCTTAAGCAACCTAACGCTCACACACATCTCGATTTATCAGGTGCCCTCTCAAGCCTCCGTTTCGACGTGTGAAACGAGACGATGTGTATATTGTACATTTAGGTCGTCATGCCACAATGATGACACTTCATTCGCGGCTTTGAAAAGCACGTGCGATTGATGTCACATGCTGGGCATGAAACCCCCCTGTAACCTCCAGCTCCTTTCTCAACCTCACACACAGCAAAACATTTCCTGTACAAACCATAATGCTACAGAAACTTCCCCTCTTAACTTTACCAAGTAATCCATACTCCGTACAACCTGTTGTTGTACAATCTTCTGCCGTACATCCTTCTCGGTAAAATACAAGCGTGTGTACGACACCTCAACTGGTCTGTGTCGTACACTACATGGCGAGCGAAAAAGTACAACAAAACACATCACAGTAACCTAACCGCTAGAAACCAATCTGCCATGGATGGAACTGTTTCCTCAATCTCCTGCCTCACTACCTTCCTCTTCTGCGCATGTTTAAAACTCAAAGCAACACAACCCGCGAAAGACGAGCCAACCGTCGAACGTTTTAATGGTACAAGGCACAGCCAAAGCGGATCCCAGCTAGCCAAAAAGATACCCACAGAGAGTCCAACCGACTCTCGGATTGTGACCCGTGGGACACTCAAACGCGTGTGATGTACTCTCTCGAGGCAGATGAGATGTTTTTCCTCGTTACCCTCTTTAACGGCCACACAATACACGCCTAAGCCCTTGCCGAACGCAAGTTCCACCAAATAAAGTGCCCCCCTCTACACATGACTGCCCAAGGCTGCTGCCAATAACAATCTAGCAAGACTGGCTTAACTGTGGACCCCCATCTGCGCATCATACCAGAGGGCAGATCCATCGCAACTACAGCCCTCCTCAGTAAATTTTACTCCGGCTTTCCAAAATGAGAATAGGGCACCCGCTCTGCCTTTGTATAATCTTTCTTCCCAGAACGCGATTACGTCAAAACTTCCATCCCTTCCTTGGCAACAGCATATTACATTATCCGCTGGCCGTGACCCATGGGTCCGTCAAAACCCACCGCCTTACCCATTTAGGCCCAAAGCGAGACAGCGGCCGGAGCGGCGTTGCCTCCGTTAGTGCCTCAAACAGCTGAACCGGCGACGGCGGCGGCGGGGCCTGCAGGGTTGGCACCCCCACCAGCCGCAGCACCCCCACCCGCACCCCCAGCAGCAGCCTCCCTCCCCACCGCCGCCGCCACTTGCGACTGCACCACCACGAACCCTCCCGCCTCCTGCACTCCCTGAGGGCCCGGTGGGGTGGCAAGTGGGGGGCGTTTAACGGCGAGCGACAAGTGACGGATTAAGGCCTGAGCGCCTGGCACTTGCAGCCCCCCTCTCTGCATGCATGAACCAGGCCCGCCATGCGCGTCTCCTCTTCCTCCGCAGTAATCACTCCCCCTGCTCGCCCCCCTCCTACAGTGTCTCCTCCTCCCCCCCCTCACCCTCACACCCACGTTCCCCCCACCTGCAACCGGGACATCACATTCAGCATGGCATGCAAGTCGCCCTTGGCCGCATGCCAGCAGGGGCCGTAGCCGCACAGCGCTCCCCGCAGGACCTGGGAGCGGAGGTAAGGGAGAGGGGGAGGCGCACATGCAGGTTTTAGTGGGCTGTAGAACACAGCAGCGGCCTTCCCTCACCGCCCTGGCGTCACTTCGCATGGTGACTTCGATCCTTCCCATCCCTTCCCTCCTCGCCCCCACCTCCGATGCCGCCGGCAGTGCCGCCAGAGTGCGCTGGTTGTCGGGGCAGCCCCGCAGGCAGTTGTGCAGCGCCGCCACCGCCTCGGACTGGGTTCCGGAGCGCGGGTGGGTGCGGGAGATGATGTCCAGCAGCACAGGGATGCCGCCTGCGGGTGGTGCAAGGGCAGGTGATGGTGTGGTGGTGGGGGGAACGTGTGTGTATATGGAGAAGGAGAAAGAAGGAGGAGGAAGGGAGCAACATGATGAACTGTAAGGGTATGTAACGTGTAACGCCAGCACCACAACAGCCCATTTTCAATCGACCCAGATCAATCCCGGGGAATCCCAGCTCCCATGTGCCTTCGAGCCCCTCGCAAGGCCCCCTCCTACCCGCGGCTCCGATGGCAGTCTTGCTGGCGGGGTCTAGACTGAGGACCTGAGGACCGGTGCGTGCGTCGTGTGGGGTGTGGGAGTGTGTGTTAAGAAAACTAGCCGCGAGTAGGAAAGTAGCGAGAGCATGAAGTAGGTGCAGATGTGGGTGTGTTAAGGAAAACCGGTCGTGTTGTGTATGTGTATGTGCGAAGATGTGACGTAGCGGTCGCGCAGGATGAGGTGACGTAGATCACCCAGCTAGGCGTCAGGCAGTTGGGCAGTTGTCCAACTGCAAGCAAACCCAGACGCAGATGCAAAGCTCTCACCAAGCCCCCATACCCAGTTCCATCCCGCACCTGCAGCAGCTTCACAGCGGGAAGCAACATGGAGCGCCGGTCAAAGCCGCTGCCTCTGCCACTGCTGCCAGCTGCGACATCCGGCTCAGCCGCTGACCCATGGGTCGCAGCGGTGGGCGAAGAGGGCTGAGGCGAGGTGGCCAGGGCGGATGCCGCGATCTCCACCAGCCGCGTCAGTCCGCCGGCCTCCCTGCTCGCGTGCACGTGACACATGACAAGCAGGCACGAGCGAGGGTTAGAACAGTGAGGTTTGGAACAGGAAGGGGTACGAGGTAGACGAGGAGGAGGCAGGCAGCACGAGAGCAAGAGGAGCTCCCACCCACTCTCCTAATCACCCGCGCCTCCGGTCCCCGCCACCCCACCGTGATGACAACTTAATCAAAACACGGTACGTTAGTCGTTCCCTCTTCACGCCCCCCACCCACCCCCCACCTGATCGCCTCCACCGCCAGGGAGTGGTCGGTCAGCGAGGCCAGTGCGGCCAGGCAGTGCCCCCCCACCACTGGGTTGGGGTGCGACAGCAGGGCCACCAGGCGGGGCACACCGCCGGCTGCAACCAGAGAGTCCTGGGTGCGGGCAGGTGGGTGAGGATGAGTGGGGAGGAGTTATAAGGGAGGCTAATGAGCTGTATGACGGGGCTTCACCTTGAGGAGTGGGGAGGGTTAGGGGCGGGTGAGGGGCGGTGTACCTCTCATGGGAGGTTTGGAAGGGAGCTGCGCCTTCCCTCGCCTCATGCGTTATGCACACCGCGGTCGGCTTGGCCCCAAAACTTGGTAGCGTGTGGACGGGCCAGGCTTGTGGGAGGCTGCATGCACCCCTGCCATCGTCACTCAACACATTGGGTATTCTTCTTTTCCCCCACGCGGATCCGCCCTTACCCTGCACTCCGTGTCGTTGCAAAGCTCAGCGACGGCCTGAGGCAAGGAGGCAGCAGCACGACAGCAGAGGTGGGGGCAGCAGCAGGGACCGAGGCAGCAGCAGGGCAGCGGTCGCCAGTCATTACAGGTCACATCTACACTATCTACACCGTCCAAGTCACAACACGGCGGTCGTACTTATTCTCCTCCTCTTTTTCTTCTTCTTCTTCTCCCCCCTCCCTCCTCCCCTCCCCCACCTGTGCCAGCAGGTGTAGCCAAGCGCAGTCGGGCAGCGCGGCTGACAGCTGCTGCAGCAGCGCCTCCATGCCCCGCAGCCTATAAGAGGGGGGGAGGAGCGGGTGTGAGGTTTGCTAGTGTGAAGGAACAACTTGCGTAAGAGTTTGGCAGCGAAATACGCACGCATCACTTCACTCGGACAGCCACAAAAAGATATACTCGAGCGGACGTAAGAACAAGCACCTTCCTCCTCCTCCCCCTCCGAGCCCCTCACTTGTTGAACTCTCGTGCAAACCTCGGGTTGTTGCGTGCCGCCGCTGCAATGATGGCTCGCAGCGCCTCCAGCACGCGGGAGGCGTCGCCGCTCTGCAGCTTGCGAAGCAGGCCCGCTACACCTGGTTGTGGGTTGGAGGGGTGAGTGGGGTGCGTAAGGAAGGGAAGACAGGAAGCAGGGAGAGAGGGAAAAGATGCCAACATGTTTTCGAATGTGGGTTACCGGTATTACGGCAATAGGACAGGCATCAGACAGGAAGGCACGGTCATGGCACGCGCCACCCCCTCATGACACGCTTCCACGCTTCCCTCCTCCCCCTCCCCCTCCTCTCACCGCACTTCCACGCCCGGAACCGAGTCACCCCCTGGTGCAGCAGCAGCCCCAGCAGCGCAGGCCGCACCAGCACTCCCGCAACGGTGCGGGCTGCCAGCAGTGGACCCACCACCATGCCTGGGAGGGAGGGGCGGGTGAAGGGAGAGGAGGGAGTGAAGGAAAGAGAGGACTACAGGAGCGCAAGCAGCGGGCCCACCACCATGCCTGTGCAGGGGATGACAAGAGGAGGTGGATGGGGGGAGGATGGAGATAAGAACCCGCAGGTGTCCCCCCAAACCCATTTCGGGTAACCATTCCGCAACCCCGCACCCCCCCCCCGGCACTCCCCCAAACCCCTCGTCCCGCGTACCTGTTGCCGTACCAGCCAGGTAGGCGGTCACCGTCTGCGCCACCGCCGCGGTGAGCTGGCGGGTGGTGAGGCAGTAGGGCTCGGAGGAGCGGGCGGCTGCAGGGGGGTGGGGTGGTTGGGAGGTGGGGGTGGTTGGGAGGTGGCAGGGAGCAGGAAAGGAGGCTGGGAGGTGGGACAAGTGGGTAAAGGTGAGAGGACCGGGAATGGTCGGTCGATGAGGAGTGGGCGGGCAGCAGCTTCCCTCCGCATGTCACTCCCCACTCCACTCACCTGCCACGGTGTGTTGCTGTACCGCCATGAGCCCCGCCACCGCCGACCCGAGGGTCACCAGCAGGCCTGCCTGGCCCAACATCTCGTGCAGCGGGTTGCCGCCGCGGCAGCTGCCCCCACGGCCCCGGGAAGATGAGGAGTCGGGGCTGAGGGAAGGGAACGGTTGGGATGGAGGAGGTGGGAGGGTGGCGAGTGGGCTATAGAGAGGAACGAACCTAATGTACTTTAACACACATTTCATCGTGGCTCTTACCACTCCGGCGCCGGCTCCCACACCACGGTGCCATCGGGCTTGTGAACCACCTTGCCAGCTCCCTGCAATTAGACAGCAAAATTGTTACAATTAGTTACTATTAGGAATAAAGAGACCTGTGAAACTTGACCGATGGGCTGTGTATCTAATTTCAAAAGGCTGACGGGTAAATGCGCAACAAGTCAATCACAGAGGCAAGCGGGGCCAGCATAGATAGGAACAGGGTGTCACACCTAACCCAGAATGGTGGGGGCTAGTAGGTCCTTATATGCGAAATCCGCAAGTACCCTCATTAGCGACGGTTTGGGAGGAAGGCGGGAAGACGGCCGCTTCATCTACTTTGGACGCGCCGAAACAAGCGCTGGCCACGCAAGCGCCAAGCCAAATACCTACTTGGTGATCAATGACAACAGCGTGCCTCTGTTGCGTCTTCTCAATCTTGACGCCAGGGACCGGGGAACCCGGTAGGTCCACATCGGAACCGCTCGCGGAGCTAGTTGCGCTCGACAAGGAAGCCGAAGGCGACCTGGTTCCTTTGCGCAGTCGCGGCAACCGGTTCGGCTCCAAAGCCTCATCTGCATTCCAGAGGAAGGCAGCGCAAAGACGTAGTGTGAGCCAATGCCGTGTTAGGGTTGTTGGCGTCAGCATAATGTTGCTGCTGCTGGCTCCATAAACGTGAAGAAGTTAAGGCTGTTATGTTGCTTGAAACGTCAATAGGTACAGCGGTCTGCTAGCTGTGGGGCCGCGGCCGGACAAACCGGCGAAGTGCGCAGGAACCAGCCCTGCCTAATTTTGCTCAACGTGACCAATCTAGCGCAACAGAATTCGCTCTATTCAGTTTCTCACTGTCGGCTGCAGCGTTCTTCGCTGCTTGGGTTGGGACCTTGGCAGCTCGCATTTTGAGTTGACGGTTGTTTGTGGGCAGAGAAAGGACTTTAAGCAGCGCCCCAGGGTCTGATATACAGCTATAAGAGCGCTCGCTTGTTGAAAATAGTCTCGAGGCTTTACAGGATGCGTTGGCTTTTTGGCGCGTCCACGACAGCGAATACGGCCTTCCCTTGTGTGCATGCACAAGCTTCAGCAAACCCCAAATTAGCACGAAGTTATATTTCTGTATCATTCTAAAGCATTGGGCTGGAAAAAGCTGTGTAAAGTGCTGCAATGTGTAACGCGTTAACCGTCGTAGTGTGTTTGTCGAGGGACACGAGAAACCTGACAACGCCCAGTTGCCTCGACGCGCGTCGTGCCTTAAACATCTTTCCATCCACAGTCATACATTCTCTCTTAATTACACGCTATCTCCCCTTCTCTCGCCAGGCTTACCTACGCGCTCGTGACATTTACGCATGGCACGGCAATGCACAGCCTCGCATACGTCCTCCGGAACTACCGGTAAACACCAAACCACAACAGATTCATAATCAAACCACCCCTCTCCAAACATGAACTACACAACCCTTTACACGTACTCTCACGCGCTTCTGGGCTACCCTTGTCCCCCTGCCTCGCAAACTGGCCAGTAACTATGCAGTAGTGGGACCAAGCCGGCTAACCTAAATTGAATATGATGCACTTGCCGGGGATACTGCGGTTGGCGGTTTCGTCGTACGACATGAGCTGTGGTGCCGTACGGCCGGCAGTAGCAGCAGTGGTAGCAGTGGAGGAGGTTGTTGTTGGAACGGTTGGTCGTTGCGGGAGCATTACCGCTAGCCTGAGGAGGTTGGCGGCGGCGAGGGAGGAGGCGGCGGGTTCGGCTCCGTCGTAGTCATCCTGAGCTGGAGGTGGGGAGGGGAGAAGGGGGAGCGGGGGAGGAAGAGGGACAGGAAGGTGGGAGGTGGGCGAGAAGAGGAGGAAAGGAGAGGGATAGTGGGAAGAGCAATAAAAGGAGGCAAATGAGCGGATTGGTAAGTAACCCACCCCATTCATCACCCGCACTCACACACCCCCTTACCTTGATGGTCTCCTATGGTTTGGTGTGGTGTCTTTGACCCCCCCCCCTGCCGTACCCTGTACTGCGGAGGGCTGTCCCCGGCAGTAGCTCCGCCGCAGCCTGCCGTCCAGCCAGAGGTGCTGTCGTACGAAGCCCGCGATCCGCTGTGCGGTGGCCAGGTAGTGGGCGGGGGGGCGGCCCTCGGAGGGGAAGAGGCGCTGGACCTGGTGGGTTGAGGGGGGGGGGTCAAAGACCATACCAAACCATAGGAGACCACAAGTTAGGGCAAGACAATGGGGATAGGAGCGGCAGGGTGCCACAAAATCAAGTATGGGTTAGCGGTCCCTACCGATACCGAGTCCGGGGTGGCAATGAAACAGCGACCCTCCAGCGACCGAGCTGAATGCTGGCTGTTGTAGTTGTCTACTACTATTGCCTTGAGGTCAAACATCGTCACCAAAGCCCCATATGTGCTGGGGGTAGGAGGGAGTAGTATTCGTATGGAGTGCAATGAAGGCAAGGTGCAATACACATACACGCAGCACACAGCACACGGCGCCTGTCAGTCGGTCCGTGTCCTACCAACACACGGCACCAGGGTACGTGCTCCCACACCCACACCGGAGAGTGAGTTGCGACCCTGCAAGCAGTCAGAGACTCGCATGCGCGCAGCCACCCGCCACCCCTTCCTCCCACCTTGTCGGGTCGCTCCCCCGCCAGCACTCGGCCCACCAGTGCGAATGCACCGATGGCCAGTCCGTTCCATGCGGCCACAATCTGGGGGGGAGGGGGGGGGGGGTAGGAGGGGGCGTAGTAAAAACTCCAATGTGTGGTGAGATAGTGGTACATTTAGTTGACAAAGCCCTAATGGAAAAAACCGTGAGCCGAGCCGAAGTGGTGGTTGAAGCATTGCGAGGGGGGTGGGAGGTGGGTACGAGGGGTAAAGAGGGGCGGGGCCGAGGTAGGGGGTAAGTAGAGGACGACAGGGAAGGGGTTAAGGCGAGAGATACCCCTCCCCCCCTCACCTCAGGCTGCTAAACCCATGAACGCTGTCCCCCTACACCCGCCCCCCGCCTCCACATCTGGCCCCAAACTACCCTCCACCCCTCCATCACCCCTCACCTCCCCCGCACCTTGTCATCGAGCGCAGGCCGGGGCCGAGCCGCCCTCACCGCGTGCAGCGCCTCCCGCGCCTCCGCCAGCCACCTCTCCACATCCACCTCCTCCCCTTCTTCCGCCCCCTCCTCCCCCTTCCCGGAATACGACATCTCTCCTCCTCCCCCTCCCAGTCCCAGTCGCCGAGCTGCCTCCCGGGGCGGTACGGCAAGGTACGGCACATTGAGTCCCTCGAAACTCGCCATGCGGGTCGGAGCGGTCGGAGCGGCTGCGGTTGCCTGGGAGGGGGTTGGGGAGGTGGGGTTAGGGGGGCACGTGGAGGGTAAGAGGGTTGGGAGGAGGTGGGTGGTAAGAGATGGGGAGTGAGGGAGCGGTGTCAGTTCGGTGGAACTTGCTGGGTTGCCTTGCCTTGTTGGGTTTCCAAGGAGGGAGGGGCAGGGAAGTGCTGTAACACCAAGAGCCAAGCGGCCATAGTCTTAAACCTGATTGGCCGTACAGCTGCCGTACCACCACCTCCAGCCCCCCCACTCACCCTCCTCTTCAATGCCGTACACCAAGCAGAAGAGGGCGCCCAGATCCCACCCAGGCACCTAGTACGGCACGGATCTGATGGAGGGGGGCGGGGGGGGGGAGGGAGGTGAGGTGGGGTGAGGCGGGTGCCGAGAGAGAAAAGGCTCCCTTACCAGACATCAATAGCCGCCCACTACCCTTCCCCTCCCTTCCCCTCCCTCCCTCCCCACCCCTCCCTCCCCCCCACCTCACCTCCCCCACATCCCACAGGTAGAAGGCGCCCTCCTTCCGCTCCACCTCGCCTCCTCCCGCCGCCCCCTCCTCCCCTCCCCCTTCAGCTCCTCCTCCCACCCCCACACCCTCGTAACCCCCCGGCTGCCCCTCTTCCTCCTGTCGGTCTCCCCCCTGCCGTCTGGCGACCCGCGGGTCGGGGCTGTCCGCATCCTCCGCCGAGTAAAGACCGCCCTGGAGAGGGGAGAGGGGAGGGAGGGAAGGTGTGTGGTGGGAGGGTAGGAGAACGGTCTCGCAGCACGTCCGGAGCTGCTGCCGGCGCACTGCACCCCCCTCCCGCCCCTTGTTACGGTACATGCTTTCATACACCCTCTGCAATCCTCTCCTCCACTTGCTCCTCCTTCCCTCCCCTTGCCCCTGCCCCTCCCCTTTCCCTCCCCCCAACTCAGCAACTTGTATCATTATCACACCACACTTTGGAATTTCTTCCCCCCCACCCACCTGCGGCGAGGAGAGGTCTCGTAGTAGGTAGTCCAGCACCCCTCGAGCCACCTGGGGGGAGGGGTTGGAGGGGAGTGGGGTGGAGGCAGGGAGGGGTTGGGGGCAGGCAGGGAGTGGAGGCGTGTGCAAGGAAGAGGGAGGGAAGAGCGATGGTGTCAGGGAAGGAGGGAGGGAGGGAGAGAGCACTGTGCTGGCGTAGCTGCTGAAGGCCGCCGCTGAATAGCTACGAGCCCATGACCCGTGGGTCACCCGGCAGACCCTTGCGAACGAACGAACGAACAAACCCATCTGTGGCCCCAAGCGAGCCCCTCTGCTGGCCCCCTCTCTCCAGTTGTTGACACAAGCCGTGCCCGAGCACGTGCACTCCCACCCCACCCCAAAACACACACACGCACCCCCCACTCCCCACCCTCACCCTCACCCTGGCATACTGTTCCATACTTGCCGTTAGGTGCCATAACCGTTAAGGCAGGCTTAACCGCTTAAGAGCGCGTAGCATACTACTTAGGTAGCCTTGGTTTCGTTGAGCTCCCTTAGAAACACCCCTACTTCTTAGCAAAGGCATTGTCACGTTCCCCCGTTGCGCCCGCAGCGCCCGTTGCGCTAAAAAAGGCGCCAGTACGGAGGCCTCCTAAGACATCGAATAAATGAACCCTCAGCCTGCCTCAGCAACAACAAACTATTCACGCTTGACTGGTACCTTAATTACATATAGGTTAAAGATGGCTCACGGACCGGCCGCTTCGTCATTGTCCATAGAGTCAAGCGAGGTCTTTTCCATGCCCAGCTTCTGGGAGGCCGCTAAAAACGTTTTCTACTGCGAGGAAGTACTCGACCTTTGGGGCAAGCGGACGCTAATTGGCTCGTCCTATGGCCTGCAAGGATCATTCGTTAAATATTTTAAACGTATCAAGGACCTACCCGTGGAAACCATGGATGCCGAAGCCGCCCGAACATGGGAGGTAGGAGGCGAGCAACGTAGGAGGGAGGGAGAACAGAATACCATTTTGCCAACTCCTCCTCTTCCTTGCTCCCTTGGTACATCTCTCACCCACATAACCGCTTCACAACCCTGAATACCCGCGTACAGGCGTACAAGAAGAAGGGGACCGAGAAGCCAGAGCAGGAGAGATGTCAGACCGGGAAGATGAAGGTCATGGAGATGCTGGAGAAGAAGCAGAAGGCGGCAGAGGAGGTAGGAGCAAGAGTGGGGTGCTGCGTGGTTGCCTGGATGCTGCGTGCCTGCGAAGGAAGACATCGACTTTGACACGGAAAACTGAGGGAATGGACCCTGCCACAACTACGAAATGGTTTGCGGGCTAACTTGTATTCTCTGGCGACGGGTTTTAGATGCCTCGGAAGCCGCCTCCCTCTCTGCCTCAACCATCATCTTGCCCTCACCCTTTCTGCTCCCTCATGCAGCTCGCCGCCAAGGCCGCCAAGGCCGCCAACCGCCGTGCTGCGGCCCGTGCTGCTCCGCGGAAGGAGGTCAAGGGGAAGACCAAGAAGCGGAAGGCGGAGGAGGCCCGTGCTGCGGCCGCGGACGAGGAGCTTGCAGCGGTGCGGCAGCAGCTCGCGGAGGCGGAGGAGCGCACTGCTGCGTTGAGGCTGCAGCTTGAGGCGGCGCAGGCGCAGGCGCAAGCAGTGGAGGCATGTGTCGCGGCAGCCAAGGCGCATATGCCGATCGGGCGGAAGCGCATGAAGGTGGTGATGCAGGAGTGATGGGGATGGGAAAAAAGAAGTTCCAAAGTGGGGTATGATATTGATACAATAATGATGGGGTAGGGAGCAGGTTGGGGTGGCAGCGGGGAGCAGCAGGGTTGTTGGTGGGGAGGTGCATGTATTCTGGATTTTTTGTGCGGTACAGCAGGTTGTAAATACATCTGTACACTATGCATATTGGCGTATATAGTCATCTGTATTATGATTGTGTACTAGCTGCCGCTGCTGCACATGCGGCTGCCATGAGGGTGCCATGAAGGATCCTATGGCGATGCTTGCAGTCGGAGTTCGTGAGTAGGTTAGCGGGCGCTATGGGACCCCCTTTTCGCGCAGCAATGCAAGTTTTGGCTGGTGACAGTATTCTGCCAGCAATTTTCAACTTTGTGGACTTGTGTGCTGTATGACCCGGTGCAGCATGTAACGTGCAGCAGCAACGGCAACATGGTTTGGGTTGTCTTATGCCCTAGATGAGGTTTGCTGAGGGGCGTTTTTTGGCTTCTACCCTTTTGTTTCCCTCCTGAGGTTTCTTTTAGGGCTATGTCTCCCATCTTGTTGGCCCGTTGTGGTGCTGTCTCTACGGTTTGTTCCATTTCTTTTGCAATGTAGGGTTGGGTTCATCACCCGTGTTCCCTTTTAGGGCACCATTGTAACGGTCATTCATTCATGTGAAGCGGCCCGAGGTAGTGATTCGGTTGACCTGGCAACCAACCCACAGTGCTGTCATACTGTGCACTGTTTGCTGAGATGCTTGTGCGAAGCCAACGTTACAAGTGTAATGTTTGCTACACAACAACACGTGCCACGCCACATTGCGTCCCACGTTCTCGTTCTCCTCCTACGTTCTCGTTCTCCTCGTTCTCCTATGTTGCCTGACCTCCCTAACCCCCGTGAGCAATCTACTTGCGTGCTCCCAGCATGCATGTAGCTTTAAACCACGGAATTATAACTGCGAGCAGACTGTTAAACAACTGTTAATAACTGTTACGGTAACAACATCCATACCCAAGCGCCAAAGTAACGTACGACAACAACTTGCAACCAGGCCGTACCGACACCCGAGCTAATTCGGTAAGCCCTGACCTATTTACGGTAAACCCCGACCTACTTGACGTAAAACACACTACCGTACCCCACGCATGAAATTCATCCACCTAACATAGCCGAAAATCGGCCCCTCAACTCGATCGGACGCCCCTCATGTTAACCCATTTCCCTAGCAGCCCGACACCTGAACACACGCACGTGCGCCAGCTTCCCTCACGCGCTCCCTTCCTTCTCCCTGCGCACATCTCATGCTGCCTCGGAAACCCCTGCGCTTCTGCAGGAGAGTAACGGTTCTTCCTTCGTTCACCCTTGACCCAAGTCGCTGGCCGGTATGTGCACCTTACCGCCGCCATTAGATACGTGCACCTCCCCGACAGACCTGCCTCATCAGTCGCACCACATCATCCAACCCGCCTGTACGGCACACCACACCCCCACTCACTCGTGCCCATGCCCCAGGTACATGCCCGCGTTCACCCCCATCTCGCACAGCGGCTGCAAACCCAACAGCTCCGGCACACGACTTCCGCCCTCATCCCCGCCCACACTGTCGTACGCCATGCTGGCACCGCCAGGGTCGCCGGAAGCCGCCGCCGCCGCTTGCTGCTCCTCGCGCTCGGCCCGACGGGTGGCTGCCTCGATCGCCACGTCCTGAGCGCGTTGTATGGAGCAGTTGGGAATTCGGTTGGGAGTGACGAGAAGAGGCAGGTGTTGGTTAGGAGCCTGCTCAAGAGAAACGAGACGCACGTACGACGTAAGGGCGTACAACGTACATCGTTCCTGGCGTCTAATGTGGGAAATTTATCGTCCGTCAATTGCGGACGTCTGGCGTTCCGACTTGCAGCCAACCCTTCCTGAACATGCAGCATGCTGCATGCTGCTGACCCAGATCCCCACATGCACGCCCCCTCACCTCCTCCCCGATCAGCGGAACATCGCCTCCATCTCCTCCGCCGCCCTCCCGCCTCTGCTGCTGCTGCTGCTTTGCACCACCCGCACCCCCAGCCCCCCCATGCACCTCCCCCCGGTGCCCCAGGACTGCCCCCAGGGCCGCCCCCACCCCCGCAGCACCCGTCACGGCGGCAGCAGCGGCGGACAGACCGGCACCCACCGCACCCGCACCCATTGAGCCTGCAGGCGGGCGGGGGGGATGATGACGGGTATGATGAGGGTAGGAAGGGGATTGAGGAGGATGAGGCAAGCGACCCATGAGTCAGTTTAAGGTACCAACCGATGTACCGGTACCAACCAACCTACACGGTCCACTGCACGCTGGGGGTTCTTCATAACCATAACGGGCTGGAGTTAGCTCAAGTAGACCAGTCAGCTGTCCAAGGCAAAAGTCGCAGCAATGCGACCCATGGGTCATTCCCTCGCGCGACCCACCTAGCACGCCTCCCGCCAGCGACCCAAGCGCCGCTCCCGCATCCGTGCGTGTCACCACCTCGTACTCCCCGCCGCTGCCGTGCATCCCCCCCACCGCATCCACTGCTGGGTCCATTACACGCTGCTGCTGATGAGGGCCCCCTGCCGCCGCTCCCCGGGCCTGGATGGCAGCAGCGGGGGAGGTCTCGTGATGACGACCGCCCTCGCCGGCGCTAGCAGGAGCCGCAGTAGACATGACGAGTCTTGTGTTGGGCGGCCGGCTGGTAGAGATGCGGTGAGGTTGCTGGTACCGGTGATTCATGGACAAAGCAAGAGAAAGGCGGGGTAAGCGTGCTTGGCGTTTCGCGAGGCGTCTTGCCGACACATTTCTCTGATCCTGGCATTCTTCATACCGGTATACCTTGCAAAGAGCTCCTGGATTGACGTTTGCAGAAGAAGAAACCAGACGACTGATGAGCACTCGCTTACTGAACGCGTGAAAGACGAAGATGCCTCGTTAGGAAGACAAGAATGGGACTGGCCATATGTATCCAAAGAAAAGGACGAAAGCCGGGAGTACCTTACCGGAACGGTCCAAGGCGCCAATCGGACAAGTACTAAACGAAGAACCTGCCGCTTTGCCACTATATTGATAACAGGACACACGCAATGGGATACCGGTAGCTATCTGCAATTTCCTCAGGAAGCTTGGAACGGATCTACCTAAACAGCTAAAGCAAAGGACAAACAGAGAGCTAAAGCAAAGGACAAACAGAGAGGGTGGAATGCGACGCGACGTGAAGCGTTGCGATCTTGGTGCAACTCCGGAGCTAAATACGGCATCCTACTTGGGTCTCATGTTTCCCTGTTTCCTGAACACTACGATGTCGCCACACAAAGCGTGTGAGCCTTCTGCATCGTTTCCGAGTAATAATTTGTCCATGCTGCACTCCCCGCGGATTGCGGTATGAACAGAAGACCCACGGGTCATCAGAGTTCAAGCGGCTAGGGGGCCGCAAGCTACGGGGACCGGGCAGGTGGACCCATCATCGAGCAGCCTGGCCCTCACATCTTTCTTTACCATGATTACCAAGGTTAAGCAGCTGGTCCGCAGGCCTTCACCTGTCTAGCAAGACGGCAGTACACACGTGTGGTTGGGTGTTTGTTGACCTGCTGCTGAGGGCGCCCCAACAGCAGAGGGCATGGGCAGCTCCACTAAGCCCCCCCCATTGCTAGTGAGCTTCAGAATACCGGTACCCATCAGCACGGACATGCATAAGGCAGTAGTAATTCCTTTAGTTGCACAGCGGTGTCATCGGCTGTGATGCATCAGCTTGCTCCGTATGTATCTTGGTTTCTTGGTGGCTGAGGCTGCTACTACCCCGTCCTGCACTTGTGTGTCCTGCATTGTACTTTGTCGTACCCGCACCTGCACTTTGCACTGCGTACACAGCAGCGGCAGTGCTGGTGGTCTACAAGATCGCAATGCAAGCAGGATACGTACCCGGCTTCCTTCCCCTAACGGTACGTATCCTACCCATCACCTCCCACCCTGGACCTACATATCGCTCAAGCACGCAACCGCCCTATGCCTAGAGCGTAGCAATTACCAGCAGGAAACTATCACCAGAATATCCGTTGGTCACTGCAACACCCCCTTTTCTCCAAGATTCCAACACCTCCCAAGCGACTCGCCTCCCAACCGCCGGAAAAATGGGAGAACGCACTCCTCATGACACTACCGGTATTCCCAACCACAGCACACCCACAAGCCAGCAGCGCATACACATTCGCAAGGGCTGCAACCAAGGGGTATTGGCTAGCTGCAATATCCCTCTCCCCGCTCCCCTTTCGCTTCTCCTCTTCCCCTCTCCTCTTTCCCTCCCCTCCCTTCTTATAACGACAACCAGGGGCCCTCTAAAAGAACAGCCAGGGGTCCTTGTCGGGTGGGATGTAGTCGCGCGAGGGCGGCAGCAGCGTGAAGGAAGCCACGGAGGAGCGGAAGAGCGGCTCCAGGGAGGGCCACAGGGACTCGGGGCAGCTGGGAGGAGGGGGGGAGAGCAGGGGTGGGGGCGGGGGAGGGCAGGAAGGGCCGTGGGGTAAAGGAAAAGAAGCAGCAGTCTGAGAACCCCTATATTCCCACCCACCGGTCAGTGTTTCCTGGGGGTTCAGTTCATGTAACCCACCCACCTGAGGTTTAGTGTGTAGAGGTAGGGAGTGCCATCCAGCCCCGCTCGCCAGGAGGTCACAGCCAGCGAGTGGCGGTACGACTCGCGGGTGCGGGTGCCGATGGTGGGGGAACCCTGGGGGACGCGGGGGAAAGGGGCGGGGAAGAGGTGTGTTTTGACACGTTTGGGGAGCGGGGGGAGGTCAAAGCCAGCGAGTGGCGGTAGGATACCTGAGGCAGCGGATCAGCGCCGTAACGAGGACGAATCCTGCACACGCGTATCTGACCTGTCCTGTGTCCTGCAAGTGTTCTGATGCCTCAGCCCCCGAGCACCCAGAGGGGTCCGTCACCCAGTACTGCAGCCCCTCCTGCCCACCTGACTCATGTGCTCGTACACCCAGTACTGCAGCCCCCCTGCCCACCTGACTCATGTGCTCGTACACCCAGTACTGCAGCCCCCCCTGCCCACCTGACTCATGTGCTCGTACACCCAGTACTGCAGCCCCTCCTGCCCACCTGACTCATGTGCTCGTACACCCAGTACTGCAGCCCCTCCTGCCCACCTGACTCATGTGCTCGTACACCCAGTACTGCAGCCCCTCCTGCCCACCTGACTCATGTGCTCGTACACCCAGTACTGCAGCCCCTCCTGCCCACCTGACTCATGTGCTCGTACACCCAGTACTGCAGCCCCTCCTGCCGTACTTCCGCATGGGCCTCCTGCACGTCGTTGAGCGCCACTCGCTGACCCGCGGTGGTGCGCGCGGTGGACCTGTGTGCGGGCGTGAGTGTGTGTGTGTGTTGTGTTGGCTACTAGGACAACACCACGGTATCGACCCGCTTTATCCCGCACTCATCGCATCCTCGCTCACGCCCTCACCGCAACCCCAGCACAGCCCATGTCCTTTTCTTTTTCTTCAACACCTGCCACAGCATCACCCGCCCCGCACGCCGCAGCCCTCCCCCCCTCACCGGTCGATGAGTACAGCCAGCGCCACCTCCTTGGGGCTCCACTCGGAGGGGGGCCGGCCCTGGGGGGGAGGCATGGAGGAGGGCGGGAGGAGGTGGTAAGGGGTGCTGGCAGGAAGGGTGAGATCGGGTCTGTCCCCCATGACACGCCATCAGAAGCCCAGAGGCACCGGCTCTGGTACAAAAGCGAGGCCCCCGGTGGAAGGGTGTGTAGTTGAGTAGGACAGGAGCAAGCAATGGGGAGAGGTTCGCATGTGAACCGCGAGTACAGGCAAAACAAAGTTGACCGAACCTGAACCGTAATACAGAAAACTGCTTAAATGGCTGTTGCTGGATGTAAGAAGAGTGGCGAGTGATGAGTGACGACGCATGTCGGTGATGCTGATGGTGTCGGAATAAACTAAAATACTACCGAGAACTAAAGCCCGCTGACCAAAGCTCAACGCCGGGAGCCCCCGCTCTGGAAGGGTGTGTGTGACAGCGTGAAACCCCTCATCCCGCCCCGCATCCCGCCCCCCCCCCCAACTTACCTTGAGCAGCCCCGACGCCGGCCCCACGTTCATGGAGACCGTGACCAGGTTCCGGAAGTCAAACAGCTGTTGCAAGGGTGTGTGTGGAAGAGGAGGAAGAGCAGGAGGTGAGGAAAAAGCAGGCGGATAGGGCCACCTGGCGTCTGGCGTATGGTGCATGTCTCGGGGAACAGACCAGGGCTTCGTTATCGATGTACGGACGTAGTAGGACAGACGGAGGGCTGTGCAGTAAGGGGACAGGCAGGCCATGTCCGTTGCGTCAGGGGAAGCACGTCGTCCTCCTCCTCAGCCACCCGCTCCCACCTCACCTCGCTAACCATCCGCTGCCGCGCATCCGCTGTCAGCGGGGCGGCACTGCTGTACTTCTCCGGCGGGCGCGACAGCAGCATGGAGAGCGGCTGGCCTGGGGGAGCCGGGAGGGTAGCGGGGGTGAGGGCGTGAGGAGGGAGGAGGGAAGAGGAAGGGGTGACAACAGGTATCTGCGAGGACTGCGCCTGCCGCCACCCTTCCCATGGCTGCTGCTGCACTTACCGGCGGTTGTTGACACCGGGTACTGGAATTTGTACGCCAGGATTGGATCTGACAGCTCTTTCATCTGGGGAAGGACGCGGGGTGAACAGGGTGAGCGGGGAAGACACGGATGTGATGGTGTAAGGGCAACAACGATTTTGGGCCATGTAAGCAAAAGCCAGGTGCTAACGACGAATCCGGTGCAGGGGTTTAAGTGAAAGGTAAAAGCAAACCTGACCTGCGTACCTGCCCAGGCTCCACCATTGCCGGTGCGACATCCGCAGCAATGGAGCGGCCCGATGGTAGAAGCACGCTCGCAGCCAGCATCAGCTTCGACGCCAGCACCTGGCGCCGATTCAGCGTGCGATCTTCAGATGCTACCTCAAAAGGTTGTGGCCCTGTCGTGTCGAAAAGGACGCACCGGTCAAGACATAACCGCGAAGCCCCATTGCTTGCATACCGCCCAGCTCCAAAGCGTTCCAGGCGAAACCACTAGGAAATAGAAATGAATTCGTCCCGTGACAGGACATATCGTATTCTCCCGCACCAGGGCCAGCCGTGCTTCGAGCGACTGTCCAGCATCGCGATACTCGCGGCGCCGGCCCTGTGCCGAACGCGCCGTGGCTTGTGGATAACCTAGTATTACTAGATTGTTGCAGCATAGCTGCGTGCTAGATCGTCACAGGATGAACCAAAATTGCAATGTAGTGGAGCACAGTGTTTGTGGAAAAGAAACTGCTAGCAGGGTTCTGTCTTCAATATATCTGCGCCATAGAGGAACGGGCAATTGCGAAAGCTGCAAATCGTTTCCTAGAAAGTACTGCTGTGGCAATGCACGACATGGCCATAGCAGATCAGGTGCGCCGTGGCCGACATGCGATAAGGCATTAAGCGCAATAGCGATGTGGATCTTGAAGGGCATAGCTGCCCCAGCCCTGGCCATAACTCCATGTTCCCAGTCCTCCGTGTGTTTTGACCCCTGGGCCAACCTAGACGCTCCTGCGCTTCCCGATGTGGGTGCCTTGATAAGGTAACGAACATAAATCAAGACCGGACATCACTAATCTCTATATTATGTTTATGGGTAGGGTGCACGGCTACAGCGGTAGTGTAAGGCCGCAACCATGCTGGTGGGTCGGATGCGCAAGCGCACCCATTGACCACACCCCCTCAAATTATTGAAGTTAATCGCAGGTCCTCAATGAGGACCATGTAAGCGATTAGACTTACAAGAACAGATACTACACATGATCTGAGCCAAAAGGCCGAGAAAGGTATGAGAAGCAATGAAAAGCCCTTGGCTACCACTACTAAACACCATGAAGCACGTTGGTTCATGGTGCGATGGTGGGTCGGAAGCATGGCATACATTTTTCACTCGACTCCGTGAATACACATTGCCGGTAATGTACATGGCACATGTGTGGTGCTGCTGTACGCACCATTTCCAATACATTCGTACACTCCTACAACCCTCTTCATGTAGCACCAGTACGGCTCCAGCCGCACATACTGTATGCCAGCCTGCTCAAGCCTCAAGCGCCTGAAGGTGTACTTCAGCAAACCACTTCACCGCTTTACCCACTTATACCTGCTATAATTGTGTCTCTTCGCTCTACAGGTAATGCCCCTCTTCTTCCTACACGTGTACCGTGTAACTACGCTGCTAGGTTCGATCCCTCTCTAACATTCCCACATAGCCCATCAAGTGTAATCTCGCTCCCAGGACTCTCCCAGGACTCTCCCTTCACTTAGTCAAAATTGTTTTATCCAATGAACCGAAACACCAACAGTCTCGCGCCACCGAAGAGGCCCTCTTCGATCCCACCGATCAGAAAACACAGGCAGGCCCTCTAAAACCCAAAACACGGTCGCGTCCAAACCTAAGAACCATACACTGCCCCCCTCTCTTAACCGTCTCAAGGCTCCACCTTGTTGTTGCGGTTGTTCATAACGATGGACAGGTTGGCCTGGGCAGCAGGTAGGGCGGGGGAGTGGCAAGGAAGAAAACGAGTTACTAAACGTTCGGTGAGGGAGGGCGGCGCTACAATTGGCAGGGTGCGAAAACCAGCGAGGATACCAAGATCCGTAGCCATTACGGTAGCGGTACCCTGACCACCATGGGACGTAATTTTCCCCGACGTGGTCAGCCTCAATCCAACCCCTGCTGCTCCCTCCTTACCTCCCTGGCCCCCCCAGCCCCTCTCACCCCCTACCAATCCTACAGTCCAGCCTAATGCGGAACATGTCTCCCTGTGTATCCCTCACTGTGTGCCCCGCATGCATGCACCTGCAGCTCCCTCCAGCCCAGCACACTGCCCTCGCGTGACGGGTCCCACGAGGCTGACAGCGCGCCGTAGGTGATGCCCGCCAGACCGCCGCCAAAGGTGAGGAGCTGCAGGGGTGGGGGCAGGGGCGGGTGAAGGACAGCGGGTTGGAGGTGGAGAGGGCGTATGGTCGGGGGCGTGGGAGAGGGGCTGGGGGTTAGGAAATTGGTTGCGCCACAACCCACATCTCCCCATTGACCGACCCAACCCAACCCAACCAGACGCCAGCTTTGGGTATGTGACCCACATGCACACATTGCCCTGTGGTTCATTACCCACGCACCCCCCGGACCACCCAACCGGGCTGGCTCACATGTTGCAAGCCATGATGAAGCCTTAGTTGGCGCTGTTTCCTCCTTACTACCGTACTCAGTTATCACACGGTTAGTCAGTGTTTTCCCCTTGACCACCCACCTGTGCGATGTACACGATCCACAGCGGGTACTCGATGTCTTGGACCACCTGGCGAGCGGGGAGGGGCGAGGAGGGGCGGGCGAGCGGAGGAGCGGGCGGGCGGAGGAGCGGGCGGGCGGAGGAGTAGCAGCCGGGGGGCAGAGGCAACGAGGGATTATGACGAGGGGTTATGGGGAAGCGTGCAAGCGGATGAGCAGGAGGTTGCCCGCCCGCCTCAGCCAACTAGGAGGCTGTCCAACGAGGACCCTGGTTCGTCGGATTGAAACCGATGCGAAGGCTAGTAGCCACATCATTACTACAACAGCCTTGAGCGCTCCTCCTCCTCCTCCTCCTCCCCCGGGATTTCTAACTGTAACTGCTTATCTGTAACTGCTTCCCGCTGCTTCCCACCCAGTCGCACCCACCCGCAACCAGTAGAAGACGGGGAAGAGCGCCATCCCAGTAAACACCGGCAGCCCCGAACACACCAGGATGCGCCGGAATATGCGGTCCACAACAACCTGTACGGGAGTGTACGGAATTGTAAGGGAAAGTGTTGTCGTACATGATGAGCGAAAATGATGACGTGTCGTAGACACGTGTATATATGAAGAAAACAGTTGTATCAGTTGTGTTGTATGTCGTGAACCCCACCTGCGGTGTTTCCCGGGCTACGCGAGCTCGAGGAGAGGAGGCTGCCGCTGGGGTTGTTGTTGGGGCAGGAGGGGGGCTTTGCACGGCAGTGGCTGCTGCAACCGTCCGAGGGAGGGGAATGGGAATGAGGATTGGAGGTGAGAAAGGGGATGGGAGGGTTTCATAATGGTGCGTGACGACTAGGAGGGCTGGCATGCGTGCTGTAGGGGTGAAGGGGAAGTGGGGATGGAGTGCGGATGAGGTGGGGGTGCAGCGGTGGTCGAGGGACAGTGGAGGGACGCAGGGAACGTGCAGCTGGGACTGGGTGAGACGATTGAGGCGGTTGGGGTGAGGGGGTAGGCACATACCTTGCCGTTGCTGCTGGGCCTGTTGGGTCGGTTTGACTGCCGCATCTTTCTGTGAAAGGGGGGCAGAGGAAGGGCATTAGGGCTTGCGGTCCAGTTGACGGTCCGGATGTGATGGAAGGTGGCTGAAGAGATGCGGTGGGGAAAGAAAACAGAATCGAAGCGGTGAAGGGTAGAGGCCGCTCCCGCGGAGGGAAGGAGGTGGGATCAGGTTGGATTGCTTAAGCGGGATGCTTCAGGCATGAGGGAATGGGATGAGCTTTGTTGGGGTCAAAGCTTTTGGGCCTTGTATGCGACGCAGGGCAGCAACTAAGATGGTATAGGGAATTGCTTATGCTGGCTAGACAGGCAGAGCGATCACAGTAACCCAGCCAACCAGGGTCTGTAACCCAGGTACGGAAAAACACAGTTACCTTTGGATCTCCAAAGCCTTTACTGGACGCAACAGGCAGCAGAGCGATACGTGTGAACTTTGCTGGTCGCAGCGGAGCTCCGCTATGGCCGCGCACCGTCGATGCAAAGGGCCGAATTGTTAACGTAGACATGATAACGTGCAGCCTCTCTACAATAACCCTAATGAACACACGGAAGGAAACAATTGTAGATAAAAATGCTTGACAAGATACAAGCAAGAATGAAGTAAAGCGCCAACCCATTGGGGTACGAACACGCGTGGATGGGCATGTGGCCCAGGCTGGCTTCTAGGCAACAGACGCCATCATGCATCCTGTGCTTAAGTGCTTCACACAGTTGCTTGAATCCTAGCCTGGGCCCTCCATCATCAGAGCCGAGGGCTAGACAAGACATCGTTTACAGCTTTAGGGTAGTTAACTGTAGATATTATCTTGTCCATCATACTTTGTCCAGGTCCTTGTTGTGATTTCGTGCGTTTCATAGCACTATCAGGTAGCTGACGCATGACGAGTTAAGTCACTGTGAATGCCGGGAATTGGTGCCCTGTGGGATTCGCTTGTGGACTGCATCTGTCGCCCACCAAGGTACGTTAGAATGCAAGCGTAAGGATGCCGTTGGCTATGGTTCCCCTGCGTGCAATGCAGCTGGAGGGACGGTTAGGGATACTACAACAAAAGGTAGCTGTGGCTGATACGGTATTCTTCGTTACCAGCTTATTATCTAGGTTAACTTGGGTCTTGACCTCTGCGCCTGTTGCAATGCCCCGTCAACTGCAACGTGCCGGGTCGCCCCCCTCCAAACAGGGACGAGTACATATATCCCGATGAACTAGTTGGGGGTCGACGAGGACACTTCCGAGTTGGCCGCTATCCGGGCATCCGCGAGGACCTGACGCTGGTGAGGAATGGCACTGCGAGCATGTCTGCTCCCATCGACTCTTCGGGCACGCACCTTCCGCAAAACGGACACGCAACACGATTCCTTAACCAATACCTGCACACTCCACAGATTAACAAGCGCGGGCTGCGGCTGCAGTGCAGTCACTACTTTCCCCGCCACGTGAAGGGCAGGGATGGGCGGCTGCCCTGCGTCATCTATTGCCACTGCAACAGCGGCAGCCGCAGGTGAGGGACGAGCTAGGCTAGGGTGGTAAGCGTAGCACGGGAGGGAGGGAGGGAGGGAGGGAGACGCTGGGAGTCTCCGGGAGGGAGGCATGCTCGTTAGTCGATCTGGGTCGATCTGGGTCTTTCGTTGCTTGAATTGGGTCAAATTGAGCGCCGATGTGGGATGGGGCAGCCGATGCTTGCAGACGGTGTATGGTTCGGGCTCGTGTTGGCAACGCGTTTGCATTTGGGTCATGGCAAAACTGATTTAAGTAAGTCCAGGCCGCATCCAGTTGCCCTCGATGTTGCTGCGATGTGGGTCGGGGTTGAGCAGCAGCGTTGGGGGGAGCTGAGGGGGCATGTCACTGGGGGGCGCCGGACACACTCTGCGTCGGACACACTCTGCGTCATAGGTGGCCTCCCCACCTCAGCATGCCCGCAGTATGGCCCCTATCCTAAACGCACCTGCCTGAAGCTACTCCTAGGTACCTAGATACCAATACGTTGCCTGTAATAATACGTCGCGCTATGCGTGTTCCTTGCATGTTCCTTACACGGTTTGTTCCCTCCACATGTGTCCCCCCACGTCCCTCGCTGCTTGCAGGGATGCCGAGGAGGCGATCTGCGTGCTCGTCCCAATCGGCGTCAGCGTCTTCACCCTCGACTTTGCGGTAGGCAGGCAGGCGGGAGAAGTGAGGGTCGGGTGACCCATGGGTCGTTCACACCACCTCGACCTGAATATGCGTAAATGCATGCCATGCGTTCAGCCGTATACTGGCAGTGCATATCCCTCAAACTGTAGATTGTACTCCCAACTGTTCCAGGTACCGGCTGCCTATCCTTAGTAATAACCCAGCAACCCGCCTACCCACCCAGCCCCCACTCACCCCGCTGCCGTACCCAAACTCAACCACAGGGCAGCGGCTTGTCAGATGGTCAATGGGTGACCCTTGGGTCGGAGGAGGTGGAGGATGTGGAGGCGGCGGTGGAGCACCTGCGGGCAGGCGGGCGGGTATCCACGCTGGGGCTGTGGGGTCGCAGCATGGGAGCGGTCACGGCGCTGCTGTACTCGCAGCGAGATCCCTCCATTGCGGGCATGGTGGGTGCGGGCTTGGCGGCAGGGGGGGGGAGAAAGAGGAAACTGACGAGCTGGCAGGGATGGAAGGGGTAGGGATGTGAGGTGCGGTCATGGAGGCATGGTAAGGTTAAAGAGAGCATGGTAGAGGGGAGAGATGGGTGGGCAAGAGAGGATGGCAGGGTTGGGGAGGAAGGAGCGGTGGCGTGCGTGATGGGTTGGATGGAGCGGGGGATGATTGGAAGGAGTTGGATGTGGAGGGAGGCTGCTTGGCCTCTGGGGCCGTGGCCCTCCTTGCTTCTTCGTCCATGCCGGAATGCGCACCCATATTAATCCCCTTCCCCTTGCTCACAGGTTCTCGACTCCCCCTTCGCCCGCCTGACGGACCTGATGCTGGAGATCGTAGCCGAGCAGCGGCTGCCCATACCCCGCCCCCTGGCGCGTCTGGCCCTGGCTGCCATGCGGCGATCCGTCAACAAGCGTGCGGGTTTCGACATCACGCGGGTTTCCCCCTTGGACGCGGTTTCGCGCTCCTTCATTCCCGCGCTATTCGGGCACGCCACCGGGGACACCTTCATCCGTATTTCGCATGCGGAGGCGCTGCATGCGGCGTATGCGGGCGATAAGAACCTCATACGGTGAGTAGGTTGTTTGGGGAGTTGGTTAAAGAAGAAGCATTACCGCTATGTAGTTAGTTGGCTGGGAAGGAGTAAGGAAGGTACAGAAGGAAAGAAGGGCTGAACGGGCCCTTGCTTGCTTTTTAGTATCATCCCCGTTAGCAACGGCTGACCCCCCCTCGCCCGGCACCTACACACAGGTTTGAGGGAGACCACAACAGCCGCCGACCGCAATTCTTCTACAACAGGTTAGGAGGACAGTGGGTGGTTGGGAGAGTCGGTTAGAGCTAATGGGCTGGCTTCAGAACACCTCGGTTGGTTTCCCCGACAAAAACTACGCTCCCTACGCTGTTACCATGCTAGCACCGGCGGGTATGCAACGTCAAAAGGCTCTCACACGCAACAACACCTTCCTCCTCCTCTCCAACCACGCATTCCACCACCCTGCAGCTCATACAACGCATGCTTCTCCCTCTTTTCTTCGCCTCCCCCACCCCATCCCCCACCCCTCCGCAGCGTCTCCATCTTCTGGCACAACACCCTGCAGCTCGAGCACCTTCTAGAGCCAGCCGACATACCCCTCTCCCCACCCACGCATGGACGCATGGGCCCCGCCACCACCGCCTCCTCCCTCTCCACCACCACAGCCCCAGCCAGAGCACCCGCAACAGCAGCCACCACCACAGCAGCAGCAGCAGCGGCAGGAGCTGCTGCCGTACTCTCCTCCTCCCCCTCGCCACCACTGCCTCAACCACCAGGCCGACCCTTGAGGCCGCCTGTACAGTCACCCTCCCACGCACCTTCGCCCTCCGGTGCTGCTGCTGCTCATGCTGCTACTGCTACCGCGGCTAGTGCTGCAGCAGCTGAATCTCGTACGACAGATGGCGGTGGAGATGATGACGCGAACAGTGCTGTGGATGTAGCGGCGCCCGGGGGATCAGTGTACGGCAGGTCAGCTCCCTGGGAGCCGCGCATGTGGGAGTGGGATGTGGACAGGTCGGAACGAGAGCGACAGCGGTTTCGAAGGTGAGGAGTGGGTGAATGTGGATTGACCTCGCCGTTGTTTGGTGGCCGCTATGAGGAAAGGTCTTTGGCTATCTGCGTCTTGCGTTCCTTGTGTAATTTTGAGTCACGGTTGTATCCTGCCTTCCTGCTTCAGCTGTATTCGCGTGTCGCCAAGACACTGCATCATTGCGCTGGGCAACCCATCCCATAAACTAACCAACCAACCAACCAACCGCACTTTCACCCCATCCCCTGTGGCTTTAAATTCAGGATGGCTGGAGGTCTTCCCAGCCCCCTCGGGGCAGCCGCAGGAGGCGCCTCAAACCACTCCGAAACCTCCACCGCTTCCACCTCAGTCGGCGGCGCCCTGCCGCTGTCACCCCTGAGCGGCGGCAGCGGGGCGGCGGCCACTGGCAGCGGTACCACGAACGGCGGCGGCGGCGGGAGTGCCCGCGGCCCTGGCAGCAACGGCGTGGCTGCTACGTCTAATCGAGGCTACCCAACTAGTGCGGAGCTCGCACACTTGCTTGCGAATGCAAACGATCACTCCGTTGTGACTCGGCTGCTAGGGGAGGATCCAAACTGGTCGGATGGCGCCGCAGCAGCAGCGAGAGGAGGAGGAGAAGCGGGGGCAGAAGCTGCTTCGGGTGGAGGCGACGGCGGTAGTGACCCACGGGTCGCGCAACAGCAGCAGCTTGGAGGCATGGGTGCAGGTATTGGCGCCGACGGGCTGTTGTTATTGCCTGGCAGCCTGGAAGAGGAGGAGGAGCATTTGAGGGCGGCCTTGGAGCTTTCGCTAATGGAGGCAGCAGCAGCGGCGGAGGCTGCAGTAGCGGATGCCAATGGGTCACCAGTGGGGAAAGGAATCGCTACCGAGGGGCTTGTCGGGAGGTACGGCGTGGGCACTGAGGCTACAGCAGAGGTGTCCGCAACCGCTGTTAGTGCAGCGGTGGGTCGGATGTCCCCTGAGGCAGCAGCAGCTGTTGCTTCAGGGGCGTCGGCTACCCCGCTTGTCCCGCCACATTTGGCTTCATCGTCATTGTCATCCCCCGGTACGGCGACCGTTGCTGCGGTTAGCAGTACGGCAGTTGGCAGCGGCGGCGGCGACCTATTGGTATTCTCGCCCGATGAAAGGGGCCAAGGCGACCTCCTTTTACACGGCTCCCCGCCTCCCCATCAACAACAGCAGCACCCATATCCCACCCGACTGCCGCCCTTGCCGTCTGACTACCTCACTTTCACTCCTTCCCCCGCACCCTCCGCCTCTGCAAGCTCCTCTACCTCGCCCTGGCGGCAGGTGGGCCCCGCCACCATGCAACAACCACCAACCGACACCAGCAACGGCCTTGGATCCTCTCCAATGCGACAACAACCCGATACTGTCGTACCGGTACCCGGTAGCAGCAGCGGCGCGGCCTCCGCCAGCAGCCCCTCCTCCCAGCTGGGTCGCCCGCAACCGCACCAGCCGCATGCGTACCAACCTCTGGTGGCGACGACGGCGGATGCCCTAAACAGCCCTGGTGCCGTGGTCTCCGCCGCATCGTGGCCGATGGCAACGGCGGCGGCACCTGTGGAAGGTACGGCAGCGACAACAAGCCCCGCTGGCAGCGGCAGCGGCGTCATACCTGTACGACAGGGTGGTGGTGGTGTCGGCGCCGTCGGAGGGTACCCAGGCGGTGGTGGGGGAGGCTACTATAATGGTGGCGGTGGTGCTGCGATGAGCTTATACGACATGTGTACGGAAGAGGAGCTCTTAGCGTTGGCTGTGCAGCTGTCGTTGCAGGAAAAGGGGTGATCTGGACGAGGGCAGAAGGAAGGGGCGCGGGGCAGTGACTATGGAAACAGGTTTTCTTTATAGAGGAGTTTACTGCGGACGGACGGGCGCGACTGGGCTCAAGGATGGAGGAGAGGGGGATGTAAGGTGGAAAAAGGGAGAGCGAGATGGGCGGGTGGCTAAGGAGTAGAGCTGTGTGGCAGGCGGTGCGTTCTGTGGTGGAGTAGCTGATGTTGACCCTTCCCCTTGGGCTGCCAGGCTGGGCTCACTATTTAGATAATGGGACCTGCATGGCGTGTATGATAGTTATGCTTCGGTACTAAGATACGTAGGCGGAGAGAGCGCGGCGGCGGAGAGTGCAGGATGGCCATGATGGCTTGCTTTGCAGCAAGTGATTGTGTAAAAGTATGTCTTTTTACGGGGAACAGTGACGGGCAGGAGTTCTTTATCCATACCGGTGCTCGCTGCGAACCATTGTGTGGTTGCTGTTACTTCAAGACGTCCTAGCAATGCGTCCAAATGCTGACGTTCCAGGAGGCCAGGCGAAGAACTAGATGCATTGTCCCAAGTCGTTCGCGCAGGCTGAGCGGTTGTACCAGCGCGTACAGTACAGTGCGCAGGAGTATGTAGAGGAACCGCGCAGACGCAAAGAGCAAGACCAGGAGCATAACGCAGAGCGCTGGGTCTTAAGAGACTGCGACGAGAAGCCTCCTCTTTAACCTAACACTTGCAAGCGCGCATCACCGAAACCACGCCCAACCGTGCATCCAAGATTAGCGCTTCGGCCAGAAATTATATAGTCAGGTATGGCTAGCCCTTGCGGCTACCGAGAAAACCCCCGCCGCCAATGTTCGGAAGCAACCTCGATGCAAACCCTAACACAGGCAGAGAAGGCCCCGCCGCCCGCAACTCACCCTACAGCCACATGCCAATAGTTGATATCGAGAAATTAATCCTATGTCCACCCACGGAATGCCAGCTTTTCGGTTTTGAAGACTCTAGCCACGTTAGGGCTGTGCTAGGAAACAAAGTAAATCGCACGATGCGCGATCTGAGGAGCCAATCCTCGAGTGAGTGCCCTCCGCCAGGACAACCACCACCCTTTCAAATGCCAGCGGCAGTTATCAGTAACCATGTAACCCACTACTTCATTCGTCGGTTCTAAATCGACAGCGCAAGAGCAGCTCAAGCGCGGATTGCTCAGCAGCCAAGATGCCGTCACAAACGCGCGTGGTCAAGCTGTGTACGGTTGGAGTGGTGACGGCTGTCAACACGAGGCACATGCATCGCGCCCAAGCAGGGACCACAACCAACTGCTGCATCTCCTGCACCCAGCGACCGGACCACACCAGCCTTCCTGGAGCCCCGCCTGCTGCTGCAACCCTGCGTCACACTTCACGCCAAGCACCCCTCCATCATCCAGGGCACATATAAACGGCGAGGATTGAAGAATCCATACCTCCATAACATCCTTCTACGCTGCTCACAAGCCCAGGAGGTCTAGGTCATTCGCGTCCGCAGTGCTACTGTCCTTGCACAACTGGAACCGCCCGCCACATAAAAGCCCGCGTCGAATCCCAAAGGGAAACAAGCCTGTATACGTCTCAGCGTACACCTGCAAATTACGCAATAGAGCCTGACGCTTCCGTGCAAATGAGGGATAGCTACTGAAACCCCGGGATTGCCTCCCCCACAACGATGCCTTCCCTCCTCACGTCCTTGGCCTCGTGTAAAGCCGCTGCCTCTGCACCCTCTGTCAGGCTGCATACCCAACAGCAACCAAGCAGGTACCAGAGCACGACGCAACCGACCAACACACAAAGCGACAGCGGCGTGAAAAAGACATGGCACACGGCTAGACATGGAGGTCCAAACGGGGCGCAACTCCGATCAGCTGACCGCACGCCACACAGAGGGCCAGAGGCCGAGCAGCACTCAATCGCAACTCCCATGCACATGATGGATGACTAGTTTCGAGTCCTCCTCAATTCCCCCACCCCTCCACCTCCGCCTTCCTCCTCTTTGTACGGCACGCAGCTACCATCAGACGCTTCGCGGCTGCTGCTGCTGCTACTGGCGCCTAACGAGAAGCAGCACGTAACCTCTGCTGCCGGCCGCCCCCTCAGCGCCGTACCTGCATTCACCACACCCTGCCCCAGCGCATGCCACAAGCTGCGCCAACGCTGCCCCGACGGCTCCCCAGCACTGCCAACCACCACGCAACGCTTAGAAGAACTTCGAGTACTGTCGCTTGATGGCGCGAGTCGACTGCTTCAGCGCCTCGTTGTTGTTCCGCAGCATGGAGCAGAACTCAAGGTAGTCAATCTGCCCGTCGCCGTTGGTGTCCGCAGTCGCGAGCAGCTCCTTGGCGTCGTCGTAGATGCCAAACTTTTTAAGCTCCACCTCCAGCTCAGCCACGCTAATGGTGCCCGAGCCGTCCTTGTCAATCTGCTTGAAGGCCGTCTGCAGCAGCTCCTCCTTCTCAAGCTTGGAGAGGTGCATGGTGGCGGCCACAAACTCGTTGTAGTCGATGAGGCCGTCGCCGTCCACGTCGGCAATGGCCATGAGCTGCTGCAGCTCCACCTCGTTGATCTTGTGGCCCCACTGCGCCAGCGCCTTGCGCATCTCCTCCACCGTGATGGTGCCGCTGCTGTCCGCGTCGATGGACTTGAACAGCTCCTTGAGGCCTGGGTAGGTGGGTGGTGAAGCGAGGGGTTAGGAGAGGGGCAGCAACTGCAGCAACTACAGGTGAAATCAAGCGCATTGGCCTCAACAAGACACGACAAGCACATCCTTTCCTCTGCTCGTCGTCCCCCTGTGGTTCCCATCGATGGCACCCTGCCAGACTGTTCAACTCCGAGCCGTAGCTTTGCCCCCAACGAACCTAGGCCCCTCCCCATTGCCCGCACGCCTAACCCGCTTCCCCTTACCGGCAATCTCGTCCGGCGTGAGGTGCTGCCCAATAACCATCAGACACGCCTTCTTCAGCTTGTTCATCTGCGCAAACTGCTTGAGGCGCTTGAGCACCACCGAGTCCAGCGCAATGTCCAGAGCCACACCCTCCTTAATCAGCCACTCGTGCTTCAGAATCTGTGCGGCCGTGGCGCGCTTGCTCACGTCCTGATCAAGCAACCGCCGTACGCAGTCCTTGGCGGCCTCGGAAATCTTGGGCCAGGGATCAGTCTTGAAGTCAATGTGGCCCTTGAGAACCATCTTGAAGATCTGGTCCTCGGTGTCACCCCAAAAGGGCGGCAGACCGGACAGCAGGATGTACAGGATGACACCCAGGCTCCACATGTCGGCCTCGTGGCTGTAGTTCTTGCGGAGGACTTCAGGGGCCACGTAATAGGGCGAGCCGACCAGGTCGCGGAAGCGCTCGCCGGGCTTAAAGAAGACGCCGAGGCCGAAGTCGGTAAGCTTGAGCTCGCCCTCTGGGCCCTTGCTGGTAAGCAGGAAGTTCTCTGGGGGGGTGAAAGGTTCAGACGGGTTCAGGAATGAAGGTTGCTAAGGAAAAAATACTGGCTACTTAGGTGTTAGGTGAAAGGGGACATGCGGGGGAGGGCGCGTGGTGGCTGCAGCTGCGTGGATATTGGGTTAAGACCCACTAGAGATAGGGCAGAGGGAGGGAGCGGGGAAGTCGGGGACATACTGAAAAGCGACGAATTCAAATGCGGTGCCAAAACGGGCTAAACATTTATGTGGCACCGTGAATGGGGAATCTGGGTCGTTCCACGTCCACCCTAATACCTGGTTAAGGCTACCATGCTAAATAACGCAAACAAGTAGAATACACACCTGGCTTCAAGTCCCGGTGCATGACGCCCAGCTCGTGGCAGTGGTTTACCACCTCTACCATTTTCCGGAAGTAGAGCGCGGCCTTCTTTTCCGTAAAGTTGCCCGCCTCCACGATGCTGTCAAACAGCTCGCCACCCGCGCAGAGCTCCATCGCAATATGCACGAACTCCTTGTCCTCGTGTGTGCTCTACGGAGTAATACACGCGACAAGGACAGCTCGTTAATATGAAGAAAAGCCACCAGAACAACGCGACATGTCATGCACCTCGGCAAATCCCTCTAAAATTCTAGTCCATGTCAGATTTCGCACCTTCAGCGTGACAACATATGGGTGTCCCGCCACCAAGTTCATAATGGCAACCTCAGCTTGCACGTCCTTTACATCCTCTTTGCAGACCAGCTTCGCCTTGCTAATAGACTTCACAGCAACGGGCTCTCCCGTAGACTTCTTTTGTCCTGCTCGCACTACACCAAAAGCGCCCTTGCCGATTTGCTTGTCGACGCGGTACGCGTCCTCAAGCTTGGGGTCATTTGGCCCCTTTCCAAGGATATTGGCGACAGAAAAGCTCTGCCGTGTATCCCCCATGGCTGCTGCTGGTTCCGACTCAAGGTAATGTCGGAGAGCCTGCATGGATTCCGCAAGACGTTAGATGTGAGACGGATAATGCAGTGTGCTCACGTCGGCATATATTTACGCGGCAAGAGGGTTAAGGGCTTTGCAACTTGACTGGGCATGTCCCAGAGTGGAGGTAAGCGGGCTATGGAGCGATATGGCCAGGCACAACCGTGGCATCTTGCGATCCTGATAGCTTCTGGCCCAGGCCTTTCCCAAAGGCAGAAAAACGCGACACCGTCTGCTATCAAAAGATTCCAGCTACAATATTCTTTACTGAAGTTGGCGACTTCCCGGCCGCCAGCCCCAACCAGCAACATGCATACAACGCACCTGCTAAAAGCAGCACCCCAGCCACGCCGCCGCCACCGTAATAGGCGTCCAGTAGTAAAGAAGTTTGACAAAGGTAAAACTTTGCAAAGAAGGTTAGCAACTATGGGGAGTATATACTAGGTTCTCTTGAAGTGCTTTTGCTATGAAGGGCTATAGCAAAGAGGCCTATATGTAAAACAAATAAAGCTTCTGCTCTCTTCGCATGATTGTGCTGCAAGGTAATTGGACCGCGGACACGCGTCGTACATCTAGCTTTCGTAAGTGGTCATGCCGATGTGGGAGGCATGTCGACCATGCATACCCAAGCGTTGTAAGACGTACCTGTGTTACCATTTGTACACATCGCGCGACGGGTAGTTTCCTCTGAAGTGACCTGTGGAGTGGTGCTCCGAACCACGCAAGACTTCTTCATCATAACGCCAAATGAAGCACTTCTGATGCCTTCCTTAGTATTATAGAGGGTGCGTTGGATACCTCTTGTTTTTGTGCAAGCGCAGCAGCATACCCGTTAACCGCATGCATACGATAGGCATTTACATGTGATGATCTTGCATATTCAGGTTCACTCCGCATTTACCTGTCCCATCGAAACCGTTTACCCTTATGGCCGTCTAGCGGAGAACCACTGGCTCCATTCAGCTCCATCGCGTTCTATAGGCATGGATCTTTACGACGAGCTGGAGTTAATCGGCAAAGGGACGTATGGCAAGGTGTTCAAGGTAGGACTGGATTGGCAAGCTGCACAAGTCTTGTCATACTGTTGCATCTTGCTTCATGCCATTCCCTGTCCAAGCACAGGTCCGTAACAAATCTGATGGACAAGTGTATGTGATCAAAAAAGTGCAATTTGATGGGGCAGCCCAGTCGGAAGCCGAGGCAGCCCTTCGCGAGGGCCAGGTGCTGAGCCTGCTGCGCCATCCCCATGTAGTCCCATACAAGGAGGTTAGTTCTTCTAGCCCCTGCTAGCCCCTTCCTGCTTCAGCCCTCAACCCGCCTTCCTACAAGCGCATTGTGTCATGCCTTGGTCACTTCTCGGCCTCCTCACGATACCTGGCGGATACCTGGCCGATATCGAGCCACCTCAGCGCTACTAAAGCTCTGATTTGCAACCCACGTGTGTCCGGATCGCAACCTGTACGGCATCAACGCCTTGCACGTCCTTAGTCATGCTTTCCTACTCCTGTTTCCCTGCCTGGCCCCTCCCTGATCCCTCCTCTCAGTTCTTCAAGCACACCGACGGTGATGTGTGTTTGGTGATGGCCCTGTGCGAGGGCGGGGACCTCCTCCGCTACATTAGGGAGCTAAGGTATGCGGAAGGCGACTCAGCGCGATGAAGGGACTTCAGGGTCCCTTTGAGGGCCGAAAAACGTGAAACACTGGGAAATAGTAACGCTTGCATAGCCCAGTCATCCTTTCCGTCTTTTGGTGCATGACCCAAATCGCTTTCGGCCCCAAACTCGTACGTAACCCTGATCTTACTATTTCGTCGGTACCGTACACAGGAAGCACGGCAAGACGGTTCCGGAGCCGCAAGTGTGGCAGTGGCTGGTGCAACTGCTGCTATCTCTGTCGTACGTTCATAGCAAGCGCATCCTACATCGCGACGTCAAGACGCAGAACATCTTTTTATCGGAAGGCAAGGTAGGATGCAACCTACCGCGTGCCACGGTAACGTTTCGGAAATCGTGGGGAACTGTGGGGTTACGTGATGTGGGTCGGTTGACAACTGTCAACGGCTTTGCTTAGAAGCAACGATCTGGGTCGTGGATGGCATGAACAGCCGATCGCTAACTGATTCCTTTGTACGTCGCCCTATCTTGCCGTACTGTACGAATATGGAACGTTGTCGTACAGGTGCTTCTAGGGGACTTTGGTTTGGCGAAACAGCTGCAGCGGACGTTTGAGATGGCGCGTACGCCCATTGGCACGCCGTACTACATGTGAGTCACATGCCATACGAGCTTTTGACCCCTGTCGTACGTCGGGACAGATCCAACCCATCCACTGCTTTATGAGGCACCCATGTATGGCACAGCTTGGTTGCCTACCTTCGACGTAAACCTCACCCGCCATCTGTACGACACTCTCCCAAAGTGTACGATACAAAAGACACTAGCATTTACGGCACCCACGCAGGGCCCCCGAGATCTACGAGGAGCAGCCGTACAGCTTCAAAAGCGACGTGTGGGCGTTGGGCTGTGTGGTGTACGAGATGATGACGGGCAAGGCGGCCTTTGCTGCGGATAACTTGTCTCGGGTGGTACTGCGGGTAAGCTCTAAGCAGGGCGGGAGAGAGTTAGGCCATCCATGGTGGGATCATCAAGGGTACCAGCCACAGCTCACCATGTGACCCATGGGTCCTATACCTGTGCCGTACACTTTGCCGTAACCTGCCCGCTGCCATGCTCCCACCCGCGCAGGTCATTCGCGGCCAGTACGACCCCCTTCCCGAGTCGTACAGTTCCGCTCTCCGTGCCGTTGTGACCTCCATGCTGTGCAAGGAGGTGCGAGCCAGACCCGACGCCAACACCCTGCTCACGGTGCCGGCGGTGGTGCCGCATGTGCAGGTGGGCGGGGGTGGTTAGGAAATACTGGGTATAACGACTTGTCAAGCCATTGCCGAACCCGCTGAGCCTGATGCAGATCAGTCAGGACAAGGCAATCGATGTGCATGGGTGGGGAGGGTCAGACGTCTCTTAGGGCAGAGCGGGGTTACGGGCGCCATGAATTCCAGATGCCATCATGCCTTGCCGTACAACACGAGCTCTGCGCAGTAACGTTTGTATAGCCTGTGGCCGTACAACACTATCCCATGTACAACAACGTTTATGTACTGCCTGCTGCCGTACAATGTCCCTCTCCCCAGTCGTACCTGGAGTCCCTGACCACGGAGGGCCCCGGGGGGTGGGCCACGTGGCGCATGAAGCTGCCGCTAGCAGCCATCATGCAGGTGAGGAGGGGGGAGGGGGGAAAGAAGAATACCCAATGTGCTGGGTGATGGGGTGTGTGTGAAGAGAAAAGCAAACCAGCCCGCCATCATGCAGGGTAGGTGGTGGGGGAGTGTTGGCGGTGGTGGTGGTAAGAAGTAATGGTGATGGGATTATGCACATTACGACTGAATCAATGAAGCCAAGAGGGCGAGTTTCGTGCCGAGCGGGTAGTAAGAAGGGTGCAAGGGATGAGGTAAAAGCTCTTTCCTTGCCCCAGCGATAGGACCAGTGGGACCGCATCTTGTCGGGCTTTCCATCCCACCTCGAAAACGTATCCCCGAGATCCTGGTTCCTTCACAACGCTTCCTTACCGGCTCCGAACACCATCTGCCCCATCCACTCCACCCCAGATGAGCCAAGCCCTAGAGGCAGCCGGCGTGCCCCTTCCCTCCTCCGCCCCTCCTCCTCCCTCGGACGCCGACCCTGCCAACCCTCGCGCCTCCTACGATGGTTTCTCCGCCGCCACTGCTACTGCTACTGCCGTGACCGCCACTACCGGAACCCCCGCCGCTGCTACTGCCGACCTGCCAAGCCAGAAGCCGGAAGGAGGGGTGGCTGCAGGGCCTGCAGCAGTTGGAGGAGCAACAGGAGGTAACACTCGTGCGGGAAAGCTGCCGCCGCTGCCCGGGGGAGGGGCAGCGGGGGGCAGGTTGCCGCCCATTCGTACGCCGTACGGCCTCGCCTCTCCATTCATGGGTGAGACTTCTACTGCCGGGATGTGCGGAGGTGGCGCATTTAGGGCTATAGATTGTAGAGGGGCCTTGGCCGATTTCTCATCTCCAAGTTATCTCCAAGTGCCACCTCACATGCTCTTCCCTACCGGTAATCCTCACCTGCCAGCTCGGTGGGTTCAGCGGTTTGGACTGGCACGTGCTTACAATTGTGTTTGTTTGCTGAAACCCCCCCCCCCACTCACCCACCCCCAGTCGGCGGGCTGTACGCTCCGGATAAGTACGCGGAGTTGCAGGTGCTGGCGCAGCAGGTGAGGTTGGGGGTGGGGGTGGGTGGGGGAGGGCTCCCAATGACGGTTGGTGGGACGTGGGAGACCTAGTTCTCTTGCCCTCTCGTCCAGGCCCGCTGCTCCACACATGTATCTCTTCCCACATCCTCCTCCCAACCTCATCGTCCCGCTGACCCCTACCCCGCCCTCCTACCCCGCAATCTCAACCCTCCCTTACCTGCTCCCTGCTTCCAGATGATTGCCATCCGCAGCAGTCAGACCGGAGAAGGCTCCGCGCCGCAATCCGCAAACACCACCCCAACCCACGCCAACCGCCGCCATAACAACAACGGCAACGCCTTCGCAGCTGCAACAGCTACATGCGCAGAGGGCAACGCTGTAGCTAATGGCGGTGGCAGTAGTAGCGTTGGAGGCAGTAGCTATACGTCGTACGGTATTTCCGTGCACGAGGAGGAAGAGGCGGCTGTAGCAGCAGCAGCGGATGTACGGCAAGGCGGAGCGGTTGCGGAGGCGGTTGCTATGTCGTACGACGGTTGTACGGAATCGGCGGAGGTTCGAGCGTTAGATCGGACGCTCCTTCATACTCTGGAGGTTGCACGTAAGGCCCTCATGGATTGTGATTTGTGGGTTTGGTTTTAAGGCTATGTCGGTGTGCTATTGTAGCTGGGAAGCGAGGAACGCAAGTCGGGATATGGGATGTTGGGATGACAGGGATGTTTCACTTCTTCTCACTCCACCTTTCCCTCCCTCCTGCAGGCAAGGCAGCTGCTGACTCCCCAACCGCAGCAGCCAGCGAGGGAGGCTCCGCAGCAGCGGCCATAGATGAGGCATGGCTGGCAGCAGGACTGCCGCAGGGGGGCTTTGGTTTCGGAGCCGCTCCTGCTGCTGCTGCTGCCGCTGGTGGTGCTGCTGGTGCGTCGCACCACCACCACCACCACCATCACCACCACCATAAGCACGCGGCGCCGGATCAGGAGCACGAGGAGGAGGATGACTACGAGGATGACACGTTTGAGGAGGATGATGGCGAGGACGATGACGGCTTTGCGTCGTTGTCGCAGGTGGGTGCCGGTTCAGTGGCTGGGAGCGCAGCAGGCTAGCCTGGTTTCCAAGATTCCGACCCTCTGTGCCTCTCCCCTACGCCACGCCTGCCGCCGCTCCCTCAACCATGGCGGCGCCTTACCACCCGGTTCGTTAGTCGGCCCCTCTTTGCCCCAACCTTCTACCAACGCCCATCCCCTGAACTCCCCCCCCCCCAAAACACACACCCGTGACGTCATCATCACCCTCAGGTGACGCTGCACACCCAGTCGCTCAGCCAGCGGCGCGCCAACCTGGAGCGGCGCCTGGAGGAGCGGCTGGGGGAGCCACTCATGCGGCAGGTCATGCAGGTGGGTGGGGCCAGGGGGGGTATTACGGTGGGAATAGAATAAAGAGGCACTGGAGTCCTTATCCCAGGGGCAGGGTGGGGGACAGGCGACCCTCATGCGGCAGGCCATGCAGGTGGGGGTAAGGAGGGAGTAGCGACCATGCAGGTGGGGAAACAAAGCTCATGGAGTTTCCGCACTAGGCTGTACATGGGTGAGGATGGTAGGGAGTAGGGGGCTGATGAGCGGAGCGCTTTGGCGGTAGTGGGGTTGGATGATGAGAGGGATGGGCGCATGGAACTCGAGGAGGGGGGGCGACCCTTGGGTCATGTGGCAGGGCCTACTTCCGCTAGACCGCCCGACACACGAACCCCTTCGTGTGGTCTCCGACCACAGCCCTTGGAAATCCAACCTCTTACCACCTCGGCTCTCTCCCCCGCCGCACAGGTCGTCGCCTCCGCCCGCCAGGCCATCTCAGCAGCAGGTGGTTTCGGAGCCGGTGCCTCAGCTGCCACTGAGGTAGCGCTGGCGGCAGCGGAGGTGCAGCTGCGGAGACAGCTGGACTCGCTGCTTCCGCCGGCCGAGGGAGGAGGGGGAGGAAATGAGGGCGGCGGGGGTGGTGACGGGAGAGGCCTCCCTGCTGCAGCAGGTGGCGGAGATGCGGTTGGGCTTGATGCGTCGCTAAGGGTTGGGTGTCTGGGGCTGGGCATGGGGATGGGGATGGGGGTGAGTGTGGTGAGTCCGAGAAGGGTGGTGCAGCAGCAAGGGCAGCAGCAGGGGCGGTTGGGGTTGCGGGAGGAGGTGGGGCCGCTGATAGAGGAGCTTGCGCTGCTGCACTGCTGATGAGGAGGGGGGCTGCGCTAGGGCTCCTGTAGCCGTTGTGGCCAGACGAGATTTTGAGGCTTTCCAGGTTTTGTCATGGTGGTTACAACGCTTGGCGACATCTTGGCGCAGCAGCCCGGGTACCGTATGGCTTGGAAGGTTACAAGCTGTGGCCTGCATCCGTGCATGTGGTGGCGGTGGTGGTTGTGATAGTGGATATCACAGTGACATGCATGGGCGAGTGAGGGTGGGTCGTGATCTTCAAATCGTGATCTTCTTATGGTATTATACCGGTAGATGTGAGGCGCGGGGGTGCCCTTGCAGTGATGACGTACATGCAGGGGGGCCGTCCCGCCCATGGACCACAAAACAGTGGTGCAGCTGTGATGATATGTGTGAAAAATAATGTTCGTTTGGTAGGATATGGAATGACCAGGTCAGCTGTGAAGGTTGGCTAGCAGGAGGCGTGTTCATGTTGCTGCGTACAAACCTGTGGTGCTATGGAGCTGTGTGTGGGCAGGGAGCTTGCTTGGGCGATGAACGCTTTGCGCGATTATGTTCTATTGCAGTGCCAGGAACCTAAAGCATCTTGCATACGGTAGCTAGTGTTCGTGTCGTTCCCACCCTTGGTCCGTGCTAAGGTTAGCGCCCGAGGGTACCGTTTGCGGTTGATTTCTGGGTTTGGTACTAGCTCAGGGCGTAGCTAACGTGTCTTAGTCAGACCCAGTAGATAATAGGACCAGTAAGGGACTCATAAGTTGAGCGCCGTCTCAGGGTGTGCATCGATCGCACCAGCGCCATGCTGGTGTGATCGTTCTGTAGGGTAATCAGGATGCTTAGGATGTGATACAGGCCCTGCGGGAGTTCAACGGAAGTCATGGGTGCCTTCGTGGCCAAACCGTTCATACCACATGCGTGCATGGCATTGCTGGAATTGTGAGCCACAATATACAGCGAGAATCGGTTGGAGCATAAAGTTAAAATGTATATGTGACAGCTGGAACATTCGGCTTCGAGGACTTAAAAATCCAAACGTTTCGTCCTCAGACACAAGCAAGCACAAGAAAGCTTGTCCTCGGCCCTCAGAGGTCTAATCACTGCTGTTGCCGCACAAGAAATATACTTTAGTCTTAGCTACATGCTCGCAGCCCGGTATACGTGAAGAACTGGGTGACACACTGACACCGTTATGCAAGATTTCAACGGCTCATGCTCGAAAATGTAACCAGCCATAACATTTACTGTGGATAGAAAGGGATTCTTGTAAGGTACCGTGCCACCGGATCCGTGCTTGCAACTGTTTGCTCCTGATTCGGTACTTGTCGGCTTATCCTGCCATTGTTTTAGGTGAGCACACGGACACGAACAACTGCGTCTATTGTAGTTGAATACCATATACCGCTGTGCCCGTTCATTCTATGTTTGTTTGGTCATAAGGCCCTTCCTTGTACAGCATGATCCGCGTTCCTCGCGTTTTCTAGCATAAAACTGATGGCCTTGCGTTAGGTGATTGCCTTCAAGCTGGGGCAAACCTCTCTCTGTTGGGACAGGACCATTTGGCAGCGCCGCGCGTGAGTGTGCGACCTCCATTGAGGGCCTTTGGTTTTGCCTGCACGCCGCAGTCGCTTCAATAGCAGAGGGCAAGAGCTGTCAAGTAGCTATTTCTGAAAGGCACAGCCTTCGGCTCAACGCCAGTGCAAGCTACCGCCCGCCTTACGCTTGCCGGAAGCAACGGAAACCCTGCATCAAGCCAGGGCGCTAACCGGGGAGGAACTTATTTAAGTTACTACGTCGAAAGTGTTGGGTATACTCATTAAATACGGCGACGCAGTCTACTCGTTGGCCGAGCAACAGCTAATAAAAGAAAGCATAAGCCACTAATGAAGCGAGAAATCGCCTCCGGCTTCTGCCGGGGCTCCACCCTAGTGCTCCTGCTGCTTCTGCCAGTGATTGGCGCTCTTCAATATCCTCACCCGCCGCCTCTGTCACCTCCTCCCTCGCCAACAACCTTTTGCAACTACAGCGCCCTGTACCTTCCCGACCTCGTCACGCCTCGCGCTTACCAGCTTTTCCTTGACATGCACTTCAACCCTCATCCCGCCAGCAACGGCAGCAACAAGGTTGACGAGTATGTCAAAGGCTATGTGAACATTACCATCAGCGTTGCCATGCCGACCCAATGCCTGGTCATCAATTCATCACCGGGCATGCAAATCAGCTCTGTGACATACTTTTGGAAGGGCAAGCAGTACAAAGGTGGGGAGTTTACAGAAGTCAGTACCTCAAGTGTGTGCATTGAAGTGCGCATCCATCCCTCTTTTCGTTGTTACCCATGTTAATTGAATGCGTATGCTTCTGCGAGGCACCAGAGGGATATGTTGCGTAGGGGGCTCAGAACGGATGGGCGTGGGCTTCTCCTTACACTACAAGTCCATTTTCCTCGCCATGAATCCAAAGGTCCCAACCCCTCCCTACTAACATCCTTTTACCCGCCCTCCGCTCCTTGCCAACAGGCACGGCACAGGAGACCGACCCCGCGACGCTTCAAACAGTCCTGCACTTTGATGAGGTCCTACACAGTACGACAACTGGAAGTATAACGGCAACTGGAAAGGCAGGCTCGGCCACCTCTCCCTACGGCCTTCTCAATTTGGAGTTTGCCTACCGATTAATTGAGGACTATGAAGGACTGTTCAAGACCTCATACAAAGGTATGCAGGAAAAGAATCCCGAGCCCAGGCTTTGGTATCTGGAATTAACTAGTTAACTAGGTTAGGGAATAAATAGGTCCGGCCTTGTAGACTTTGTGCCAAAAGAGCTACTAGGAAAGCAATAATTGACCCATGGGTCGCAGCTCTTGAGTCCATACACATGACAAACCCGCTGCCAGGGTGCGCGCCCTTGATGTGAGATCTCGAACCCCCACCCTGCATTACGCTTGCCAGCAACAACTGCTAACATGGCGATTGTTAACTCCTGCTTGTACTGCAGACGATGTCGGGATGCACACGATTGTGACAAGCCAGTTCCAGCCTGCTGCGGCCCGGAAGGCCTTCCCCTGCTTTGACGAACCCAGGTTCAAGGTACGTCTTCTTTCCTGCCAGCCATCACCCCCTTGACACATGCTAATGCACTTTGTTCGTATCTCTAGACTTGGCTACATCCTATCCATTAATGGTGTCGACTTTTCCTCACTCCTTGCGGCTACCGGTAAAACAAAACCCGTCCGGTCTTGCCTCCCTGCTCCTTCACCACCTAGCAAGTCGTCATCCCGCCCCACGTATGACACTTCCCTTACTTCCCTCCCTTCCTCCTTCCCTCCATGCGCCCGTCCTTCAAACCACTAGGCTCCCTTCCGTATCTCCATCGTAACGCCAACGTACGACTCTGGTATTCCTATGGCCACCATTTCGAACACAAAGGTGGCCAACCGCACCTATAAGGGCGCCGGCTCGCGTGTGCGCACCGATTTCCAGCCCACTCCGCCGCTGAGTGCCTACTCGGTGGTTATCGTCGTGGGACGATTTGACAAGGTCGAAAGGACGTGTGACTCGCCGCAGCTGGAAAAACCGATTGTGGTTCGCGGCTGGGCACGAAAGGAAAAGTGGGTGTACTGTATACCGTTAGTGTATTCGTCATCCTTTCTTACTTTCAATAGCGATCCCCTTCCTCCCGTGCGGAGGCTACAAACCGTTGCCATGTTCCCTTTCCTCTGTATTCACCATGTTTTCAATCCGTACCTGTCATCTTGCCATCTAGCACAACCCCAACTCCCCTCCACACCCACACCCATGCAGGGTCGGACTGTTCAGCGTTCCCCTCCAAGTGGCCTGCTCTTCGCTAGCCACGCTTACGTCGATCTTCAACGTCAGCTACCCCTTGCCAGAACTTAACATGGTTGCCTTGCCTTCCTTGGGGTTCGGCGTCGCGGAGGGGTTTGGAGCTATTCTGTACACGCAAGTGCTCGGTTGGGACGGGGGCTTGGGATGGGTGGGGGCACTGAAAAGGAACCAGCAGCTATGATGGTAGCGGAGATAAACGCACCGGGTAGATCGGTGTGGGAAGGTGCATGGAGCCGACTGGCCGGGCGGGGGAAGGGACGAAGGTTTACTCCGCTACCCCATTGGCCTACCAGCATGCCTGTCAGACTATACTTGTCCTGATATCTGCCTTGCTGTACTGGATCCAATGCTTGTTCCGGGTTTCCTTACTCTTCAGTTTCCAATGCTTTCATTCTGACTGAGCCTTCCCATGATTACAATGGACGCAGTGAGGCCTGGATTCTAGTGGACCCCTCGACCGCTGACCTAGGCACCGCCGTGACACCCATCCTCTCGACCGCGAACCCCATCGCATTGCAATGGTACGTAGTGGCGCCTTTCCTGCAGCGCTTGTCCTTGCAAGGAGCCAAGGGGAATGGTGCGCGCCTAATGGTGGCTTTAGGAAGGTCTCTTGCATGCATGCCTATTGGCACACTGGGCCACCCGCAAGGTCACTTTACGGTATACCGTACGTCTCCTAATGAAGCCACCATCGATCCCCTTTGGACCCAGTATCAGAACCCCTTTGGGCCCACTATCAGAACCCCTTTGGACCCAGTATCAGAACCCCTTTGGGCCCACTATCAGAACCCACCATCGCACCCCTGCCCACCCGCAGGATTGGCAGCATGGTTACGATGTCGGATTGGCGTGACATGTGGCTCAAAGAGGCCTTTGCGACGTACCTGGGGAAAGTCGCAGTGGACGCCGCGTTGCCGGCTCTTGCCGTCATGCAGACTCCCTATATGGACGTACTCAACAGGGCGTTTTGGGGAGACTCGAGTCGGTACTCGCGACCTCTCAGCGGAAGCGAGGAGGAAAAGGCGCAGTACACGTCTCTGCTGGATACATTTAACTTCTATGACGACGTTACGTATTTCAAGGTGTGGCCTGGCGCGGGGTTGTGCAGGCAGAGCGGGTGGGTTAGTGGGTGGGTGGGAAATGGGGTGGAAGGCGGCGACAACCCTACATGCATGAACTTAAAACTCGTACCAGTAGCCACTTTTGACATGCCCTCTCTGCTGTGCCGCTGTGCTGTTCTGCCATTGCTCCTACAACTGTCATGCAGAGTACCGCTGTGATCCGCATGCTCCGCGCCTACCTTAATGGCAGAGGAGAGCAGCAGGGGGCTGCATCAGTCCTCGGCAACGGCAAACCCCAGGTCATGCGGCGCAGGAGTGTGCAGCAACAGCAGCAGCAGCAGCAAGAGTCTGAAGTGCCGGCTCAGTTGCAGCAAGAGCCAGACCTAGCTGAGGAGGAGGTGGTGCCTGAGATGCCCGAGCGGCAGCAACCGCAAGGCCAGCCGGTGATTTCCCGCGTCAAGCCGGCCTCGTTCCAGTATGGACCCATGGGTCGGTTGCGCATGCAGCAGGCGTGGCAACAGCTGGGCCTTCGGCAACGTCTGCAACGGCGGATGATGTCTGCCGGGGGAGAAGTAGATGTCACGGCTGGGGCTAAGGTCTTGTTAGCCCAAAGGAGCCGGAGTCTTCAGGAGTTGAGACGTATGGCAAGGAAGCTGGCTGGAAGCAGCAGGGCCACCACTGCCACCGCCACCACCGCCACTGCCACCACCACCGCCGCTACGACGAACAATGGCGACAAGTATGGATCGGATCCCTTCTTTGCAGCCCTTCGGGTGTTTGTCAAGGAAAACTTGTACCGCAGCGTAACGCCCCAAACGTTGTGGGACACCATGTCGCGTGCTACAGGTAAGCGCCACAGGGTTTTGAACTTGCTCGGTCTTTGTACCCAAATAACTTCCATCTGATATTGATGCTAATTGCTTACGGTAAAAGGAACACGTGTAAGCGGGATCGTGGTGCAACTCCTGCAATCCTGCAGGTCTCGACATTTCGGCTTGGATGTACGATTGGACGTACTCTGCCAACTTCCCCGTTGTTGAAGTTTCCCTTTCAAAGAATGCGACTGGAACCATTGTACATGCCGATGGATCATCTGCTATAGCGTCTGGTGTGGCTAGCACCTATGTGAACCTCAACCAATGGGACATCACTAGCGGCGAGAAGAACTGGTGGATTCCAATCAGCTACCGACTGCCGGTGAGTGTACGGCGTTTTCATGATACGGCTAAAGTACGGCAATGAAGGGCATACAGTTCCGGGTGTACCTCGCATCAACAAAAGACACCGGTACTCAAGAACATATGCCAACTTTGGTTGCATGCTGATGATAATAATTGATTGCTGTCCGCATAACTCCCACCCTGCACCTTGAATGCTGTTAACTTGATTGATGGCGCAGGGGTCTTACTGGGTCAAACATGCTGCATGTTACATGCATACCTGCAGGACACATCCAACATGAAATGGCTTCAAATGGACCATGAGGCCTCCGTGTCGCTTCCTCTCTCCAATGCCGTACCTCCGTACGTCCTAGTCAACCCGGGCCGGTACGGATACTACCGAGTGAATTACGATTCGGCGCTCTGGGAGGCCTTGATTAACGCGGCTAAGAACACTTCGTCCGTCCCGTCCGGTGATCTTGCAGGTCAGTTGGTGGGCTCAGGCGATTGTGAGATGGGGTAGGTTGTGCTTTGTTACCGGTACTTGATTGCTGCTGCGAATGACTGCACACGTTATGTTCGCCCATGTCTCTGCTGTGGTGCCTTTGTTGGATGTGACGTACGTCCCTTGATGCACAGATCACTCGTACAATTGAACGATTGCGGTAGCCAGATCCCATCCTACCTGTACCCTTCTTACCTTTCTTTGCGCGCGCACAAAGCATTACTTGTGGTTAGGTCAGGTTCGGTTGTTTTCACTCTCCTCCTGTGCACCTTGCCATGGCACTTCTCGCAGCCATGATCGCGGATTCGTACCAGCTGGTCGGATATGGGGTGACGCCGCCCGAGGTGTTTTTGCGCCTGGCTGCAAGCCTGGGTGTTCGTCAAGAGGTGAGATTGGGCATCGAACATTGTCGTACATTACTAACCGGTGCGGTAGGCCTTTTTACATATCGCCTCCTTGAATGACTTGTAACAATGTAAAAATGTTTCATTGGAGGATGTTGTTCAGTAGGGCAGAGAGTTGATATAGAAATGTTATAAGCATCACAGCTATACGCTACCAGTATCAATTAAGCCACATTAAGGCAGCTGCAACACTGATGTGCTCTTATGTCCTCTCCTCCTCCTGCAACGTAATGCCGTACAGCCCGAGTTCGACGCACAGACGTACACAACAGGGGCTATCCTCAACTATTTGTATTCTTTCGATCGGCTGACGCTCTTATCGGAGTACGACAGTCAGTTGGGGGTTGGAGCAAGCTTCTTCAGCACGTGCGTCCGCAACCTGGCAATATTTACTCGGGATAAGATTGCAAGTAAGCGTTTTTCCAAAAGGCAGAGCTTGCCGCTTGTCGCTTAGGTCGCATAAGCAAGGCATAGCACTCCCCTGTGTTATGTTCATAGTACACATGTGCGTTACACTCCTGACTCGCCTGCGTGATTCCCGGCCATCCACTAATTTGAAACACACGAGCCCACACTTGACTAGAATTTAACCTACAACTGTATTTTCCATCTGTGTTTTCCTCGCCCTACTTTTCCATACGTTGCCGTACAGTCCCCTTGCTCGTCAACATGAGCCTTCCAGCTGCGGACGGCAAGGGCCGAGTTCGTGTTGGGGTGAACTTTTCGTCTGTGGACACATACACAGCAGACGCTGCACGCACCCAGCGGCGCATGATTGCTCCCACTGTGCTGGAGCTTGCTGCTATGTCAATGGTTGCTGCCGTCAAGGATACACCCGCGCAGCTGCAGAGGCTGCAAAAGCAAGAGCCATTCAAGTAAGGAGGTCCAGTTACCCGTATGTTCGCACGCATGTGGATCAGTAAACCCTGGTGAATGCTTTGAAAGCGTTTGGCTTTTCTTGAGCACTAACAACGTACCCATCTTACCTGTTACCTTTGGCACCTCTGCTTATTGCCTCAGTTCTCATCTCAATTTCGTCGGTCGCTTTTGGTAACCCCTTTGCCTCTTTGCCACCTCACGCACAGGGAGGCTTACACCTTGCGACGGCGTCTCGGTGAGAAGACCAACCATGTTCATGCGGACATGTCCCTCGCTCTCTATTGGACCAACATTATAGGCAACCGCGGAAGCATTTGGGAGGTTACGAAGAAGCAATACCTTGCGGTGAGGCAACCAACCAACGAACTAAGGGGCTTCGTACAGTGGTTAATTGTCAGTTATAGAGACAAGGACCGGTTACCGGTAATACTGACATACTTGTGTGGACTTGCCTGAGGGCTGGTGGAGTGTATCGCCTAGCGACTAGCTGTCCCTGCAATCCAGGTTCTTACCTTGCCCACATGCCACGTCTTTCAAAACCGCAACCATTTAAATCATGCCGTATGTGCCACTTTAATTGCCGTACATGCCGCTTTCCTATTGCTTGCCGTAATTGCGACGTTCCTCATGCTTGCCGTACACGCTGCTCACGCCTGACCTGCAGGAGAAGGATCCCGCTGAGAGGTTTTACCTGCTAACAGCGCTCGCACATTCCCGCACTGTGGAAACCGTTCGTAACGTCCTCAACCTCACTCTCAGCATGCCTCCTGGGGATGTAGAGACCCTGTTTAACACGGTGAGTGGCGGGGAGGTGGTGGGTAGAGATTTGTGGTCGGGGCTTGACTGAATGCTTCCAAGGTGACGGTTGTAGTCCTTGGCGTTGTGTCCTTTGCCACCAACCTCCTGCATCCCTTTTAGGCAACTCTCTTTTGTCTCCAAAATTTGGATACCGCTTAGATTACCTACATCACGTTTCTTGAGATCTTGACCTTCTGGAGGGATATATTTTCTAACGAGATTCACTCTCTTTGCATCATTACAGATGGGAGAGTTCGGCGGCATGCAAGTGGCCGAGATCTGGAACTTCGTACGGCAACCGGAGAACATGGATCGCCTTCTTGCCCTGTACGGAGCTGACAGTGCAGATGCGAGTGCAGCGAGAAGTTTGGGTCAGGTACTGCAGACGCAGTTTGCATACCTCCCAGATGACAGCATTATTCCCGAAATTGCGGTAAGTTTTGGATACTGCTATGCCGGTACCTCTTGTTACTTGTCGTTTCGTTGCAGGTGCAGGCCAATAAGCCGTGCCATATGTTGCATTATATGATGCCTTAGGGGGTACACAATAAAATAGGATGAATGAGTAAGTTTAATTAGGTTTTTTACGCGGTGGTCGTCCTCTAATGATCTACATCCGCTTAATACATTGTTGTACGGCACTTTACCTCCTTGTACGTCAAATAACATGCAGGCGTGGGCTGCAAACTACCCGGGCCTTATGGATCCCGAGATCGCGTCGTGGCTTCAGCAGCAGGTGGAATATAACCGCGATTGGGCCAAGACATACGCCATCCCTGTCTGCAACTGGCTCGACGCGAAAGCATAACTTATCTTACTTACCACTGCTTCGGTATCAACATCAGCATTCTTGCTGCCGTCATCAGCAGCAGGCGCAATGTATGTCGCTGTCAGGGCCAATTGTGGTCGCTAACCTAACAGTGCGGCCTTTTGGAGCCATACTGATGGCGAACGGCGTATTTATGAAGTAGCAGGGGTTTGCTCTCACGCTCCATAGAAGCACAGTAGTAATCTGTTGGGAGTTGGTGTGGTTGTGAATTCAGTTAATTCCCATCATCCTCAGGCGACAGTTGCAGCACGCAACGATGTGAGTTTTACATCAGCTTCGGGAAGAGCAGCAGCAGCGGGAAGAGGGGAGCAGCGCCGGTGACGAAGCCTCGGTGTATAGTCGCCTACTCGCCTGCAAGCTGCATTTCTCTTTCTCGTTGTTTGTGACGTGTGTTTCAGTAGGAGGGTCGTATCGCCTTTATTATGGCCTCATGGCAAAGTTTATTAACGCTGTCTTGCCCTCGCCGTAGGTGATTCTTGTTGAATGTATGTCATTTGTGGTTGCGTGCGCATCTTATGAGTAGTTAATGTAGTAACGGAACTTGTAGGGCTAAAGTACCGCTATCCATGTCACTATTCGCCTTGCGTTAGGGCGTCTTTCCTGTGTCCATGCTGCCGTTCGAGGCTGAACTTTCATTACCGTATGCCAACCACAGGGTAGGTCTCCGTAGCTCTTGGCGTCCCCTTATCCTATTTGTTTACTCGTTACAACGTATACTAGGTGTTAGAAATCGCTGGCACTCTTTAAACAGCCTGGTCTATAGCCCGGCTGCAATGTCGAAATTCCCAATCATTCTGTAACTGGAAAGCACGGTTACGGTAGAAGCCTTCTTAACAAATGTACATTCAGTGGCCCCATGGGTCACCTGCCTTTCTGCCGGTTCCAGTCGGCTCACTAAGGGCAGAGGAACAGGAATTGATACGGCCAGCAGCGTGGGGCGGCCGTAACCTGGAGTCCTGTGCAGTCCCGTGCGCCTACCTACGGGTATCTGGGTAGTTGATGTAACTTGTGTCAACACGACTACATAGTAAGCCAACCATGATTACCACCCATCCGTCTTCCTCGCTTCATCTGGCCTGCTATGTCGGTTATGTCGGTATTGAAACCGACACAAGTATCCAGCGCCCCACAACGTGTAAAGTAATCCACCCTTCACAACGTCCTCCCTCCCTCATCTCGATCTACTTCCTAACCCGCTCAACCTCCTCTCCCTTCTCGATCCATCCGCTCCTCCCCATCCCCTCTTTTGTTTCAACCCACGCCTCACACTTTGCCCGTGTACTTGTACGAACTCTCGAACTCCTTCCGCAGCTGCGCCAGCACCCCGCGTCTCGCCGCCGATCCCGCAGCATCACCACCTGACCCGGTCGCTCCACCCGTCCCTAGCGCCATGTGCAGATGCTGCAGCTGCTGCGGACCCAGGCAGCCCAGGAGCGCGTAGGCACCTTGCCGAAGCGTCCGGTGGGCGGTTGGCGGTAGCAGGGTTGCGTGCGCCGACCCAAATCCTGATGCACTGCTTGCAAGTGCATTGCTGGCGCCTCCGCCGGCGGCAGTTGCAGCAACCAGCGCAGCGACTGCCGCAGCGAGGTCGCTGTGCGTGTTGTCGTTCGACTCATGGCTGTCGTCGTCTGGAGAATGGTTCGTTGACGGTTGGTTGAGGAGCTCTGACGGTCCGGGAGCAGCAGCTGCAGCAGAGACGACCCATGGGTCAGCGGTTGTGTTCCCGCTGTCGTGTAGAATGAGTGCCAGGGAGGGTAGCGGCGTTCCCACGTGAACGACGTAATCTGCCAGCATGTGGATGCCGTACTTGCCGAGGGTTTTGGGATGCTCCGAAACCGCGTCGTACACTCGTGCTAGCGCCGCTGCGCAGCGTGTGAGGCCGTCGCTTGCGGCTGTGATTGTAGCCGCCGCCCCCATCGCTGTCCGCACGGCCTGCTGCCGTACATCCTGCCGTTGGTACTGCTGCTGCTGTTGCAGCTGCTGGAGTTGAAGCGTCAGTAACTGCGCATGCCGCTGTGCAGACCGAAGCTCAGACGCCCATGCCGCCAAGCGCATTAGCAAAGCCCGTGACGCCTCCACCACCAGTGCCATACAATTTCGCACGGTGTTAGCATGATGCCGTACGACAGAGGCAATGAGGCCGCTGCATGCCGCATGCAAGAAGTAGAGGTCCCTCTGTCCTCCCTCGACACGTTCACCTGCGCCGCCTCCGCCGGCAACCTGTGCTGAAGCCCCCTGCGGACGTAGCAACGGAGATGACGCAACGGCGGTTGTAGCCGCTAGTACGGCAGTGACCGTTGGGGCATCCAAACGGAACGTCGTTTCACGGCCCAGCATTGACTGAAGGCATCGTGCGACACAGCAAAGCGCCGCCTCCGTCGCCAGTCGCCCACTGACGTCAGTGGCGACACTCGAGCTGCTCGCGACGGAGCTGTAACCGCCGCCGGCCGCCATCAGCGTCGCTCGCGTGGCGAGAGCGCCCATTACCTCAGTCAATGCAGCTGCCAGCGTCGGGCCCTGCGCTGACAGGAGCTTAGTGACCCGTGGGCCACTCAGACACTCCAGGGCAACCAGGAGGCAATGCAGCGGCGGCAGCAGTGACGCAACGGATGAGGCAGCTGCTGCCTCAGCAGTTGAGATCGCGGCTACGACTGACCCATGGGCCATTTGGGTCGTTTGGACGATCTGGGCCGTGAGGGAGCGTAGCAGGGCTGAAAGCTGCTGGCGGTTGCTCCGGGCCAGGGTGTCCCTGTAAATGGTGCCGGGTGGGAAGGCGCCGCGGTCAACACAGATCAAGTGTTATGCGTTGTACAGACCAACTGAGCCGTAGAACTGACACTGGTTCCTCGGCTTTTCAGGCAACCGTTCAAGCCACGTAGCTGACACTGATCCCTTATGTATGTTAAGGCAGGAAAGCCATGTAAGTTGCACAACGGACCCCTCACGTGCTGTGTCCGCTTTGTTTCGCAAACCCAGCCTTTGCCTCAACCTATTACGGGCACTATTGTGGAGCCAGCCAGGAAGCACGCAAACACACACCAAACGTGTCTTTCCCCTTCCTACCTGAAAGCCTCCAGCAGCATCCGTCGCGAGCAACCAGCAACGCCAGCGGAGTCCACATCAGCAAGCAACACACCCCACATGTTGCTCGTCCTGGCGGATTTGGATTTAGGTGGGACGGATGGTGTGTAGTTGAGTAGGACAAGAGCAAGCAAGTGGGAGAGGTTCGCATGGATGGTGTGTGTAAATGCCATGATGAGAGGAGAGCCGTCAAGCGTGTAGCATTAGTTTACGTGGGTGCGCCGCTAGTGTACGACACTGTGCGACCTAGGAGTCATACCTGGAATGACAGCTGCGTTCCGGAGGCGCCAGGCATGACATAAGCCCCTGTTGTACAGCGATCAGCAGCGCTTGTACGGCATCCGAACTCGGATCATTCTCCTTCTCCTCCACATCCATTTTGTCGCCTCCATCGTCATTCACACCGTCGCCTGCCGTACCGCCTGTCGGACAGCGACCTTGGCCTGCATGACGCATGTACGGCATCCATGCAGCAGTGCCGTACATCAGCGTCAAGCAATGCTCCAACGGCTCTGTAACCACCTCAACCGCCGCCGTTAGAGAACAGTTGCTGCCGTCGCTGCCGTTACCGGCGACCGATGCGACTGACGTCAGCAGTCGGCGTTCCGCCGCCACCCACTCGCCAGCTCGACGGAGCAAGCACGGCAAAGCATTGCCGCCAAGCGGCGGCAGTGTTGCGGCTAAGGATGCCGTCTTTACGCCGGAACCACGCTTGGAGGCGGCAGTGGCAGCCCCGCCGTTGCTGCCGGCTGCTGCGGCTCCAACGCCACTAGCCAGCGTCAGGGACATTTTCAGGAGCTGGCCTTGGCACGCCGCCATACAAAGTGCCGCTCGTACGACAAGTACCGCATGTACAGCCGCTGAGCTCTGTACGGCACCTACTTTGCTGGCGCCGCCATCGTCACGCGAGGGTTCATTCGCTGCCGCTGCCGCAGCGACGGTGCTGTCAGCGATTGCTGTTACAGACTGTAGCAACTCCGCTGCCTGCGATGCCAGACGAGATAGCGCCTTCTGGTACGACTTATGGGATGCTTCTGCCGCCTCCACCGCCGCCTCCGCCACGTCAGCGCCGCCGCCGCCGCCTCCAGCCCGGCTGTAAGTCGTCGTCAGCGCCGACGTCTTCGCAGCCGCCGTCGCGCAGGAAAGGGCCAGTCGGCATACGATTGACAAATCCGCCGCCGCTGCCGGGCTGGCTCCGTCGGCGGCGGCGGCGGCGCGCTTGGCCTGCTTCAGCAGCTGCTTGGCGAGACGCAGACATGCTTGGGGTCCCGCGTCCGGGTCGCTGTGGCGGTCGCGACCCATGGGTCGGCACAGCAGGAGCTCCTCCATAAGCCGCCCGGTAAGCTGCATCACCTCGCAGACGAGGTAGCCCTCCTGTCGTACGCCGTGGAAACTAACAACGTCCGCCGCCGCCATGGGCGCTGCTGACGGCACCGCCACTAGGAATCGCGACACGTTCACCAGCCATGTGACCCGTGGGTCGTCGACGTCGTCAGCAGCGCCGCTGGGACCCAAGTCGCCACCGCACAGCAGCAGCATGTGCTGCCAGGCACGCAGGCAAGCGGCGGCGACTTGTAAAACATCCCGCGATGCTGCCGCCACCGCCGCCGTACGCGACGACGTCGAGTCCTGTCGAGTCCCCGACGACAGCAGAAGCATTAGGACTTCAACCAAAGCAGCTGCCGCCGCCGACACCTGCCGTACGAGGCCCTTGCGGGCCTTCCTAGGCATTACTTCTGGATGCATGATGCCGTACAGGACGCCCAACAGGGAACGCAGCCTGGCGGCGGCGGCGGAAGCGGCAGCGGCTTCGGTGACGGCGCCAGGAGGGCTGACCGCTTGCCCTACCGTCGGACCTCCGAGGAGTACACCTAACGCGGTGGCTTGGTCCGCTAGGAGGTGCTTGAGTGCTTCCAAGGATGTGCCTCCGTCGCCGCCTGCGCCTTGGATACCTCCGGCGTTGTCGTCGTCATCAGGGCCCACTAGCGTTGATGCAGCAGCAGCAGCCAGCAAGGCATCTAACCTATCATGACTAACAGCAGCAGTGGCGGCGGCGGCGGCAGCAGCAACGTCCGCGGCTCCCTCTGACTTGCGTTCCTTCCGCGCCTTCTTCGGCGGTCGCTGTGGCGATGAAGGCGGCGGCGGCGCGGACGTCGCCGCCACCGCCGGCGCCGCCGCCGCCAAGTGTCGTACTTCAACCACCACCTCCGTCAGCGCCTCCGCCACCTCCGCCATCCAAGCGTACGGCAACGCCTGCCGCACACCGTCGAGATCTTGGAACTCGAGCAAGCGAATGCTGCTGAAGCTAGCTGGTTGCAAGAGACGGAGGATGCCGCCGCCACCGCTAGAGGAACCCTTGTTGCCGGCGGCCGTAGCGGCGTCAGCGGCGGCGGCGACGGCAGCTGATGACGTCAGCCTGGATGGTCTGTACGGCAGGCAGTACGAACGCAGTACGACCTGCATCACCTCCGCCAGAGCTTTAGGTTGCGCCCAGGGGCCTATACAGCCCATCAAGGAGAGAACGTCGCCCCAGGCGGTTACCGTCGCCGTTGCTGCCGCTGCCGCCGCCGACGAATGTACGACACCGCTGGGAGCGGAGATACCGGCAGCTGCCGCCGCCGCCGTCGGAGAAAAGGGCGACAGCAGGAGGTTGGCGAGCATTCGCAGCTCTTCCTCCTCTTCCACCGCCGCCGTCGCCGCCGCAGCGCTGGCGCCGGATGCCTCCGTGTTCGCCTCCGACACCCCCGTCGCCTCTCCGCCATGCCGTACAGGCGGTTTGCCGTACAGTGGGCACGTATGGCGGCGTCGTACTACACGCTCATGCAGCGTTTGCAGCCGCTGACAGAGACACCTGCGAAGGCGACGGCATGCAGCGGCGAGACCCCCAGACGGAACCCACATGGTACCAACTTAACACGTTGGCATGAGCCGCATGACAAGTCTGCAAATCAGAACCGATGCGGGTTTACCCCATTCGATGGGGGAGTAGTGTGTTTGTCAGTGCCTCTCAGGCATGCCAGCACACATGCACCCACCAACCCATCCACCCCACATCTTCCACGCCATCAGCTCCAGAACCTAGCCGACACGCTCCTCACCTGAACAGCGCTCTGGATAGCTCCACCGAAGACCAATCGTACGGCGAAACAGCCGCCTCTGCCGTACTTGTTGCCGTGCTCGCCGTCGCCAACCCCTGCCGTAGCGCCAGCATAGCCAGCGCTACCAGCGGAGGCGCCTCCTTAACCGCCGCCGCCGCTGTTCCCGCGGCGCTTTTGCGGCGACTGCTCTTGCTGCCGCCGCCCCCGCTAGCGCCGTCCTCGCTGCACTTACATGCGCGTTTCAGCGCCTTGCGAAGGGCCTTATACATCGGTTCCGAAGTGGACGTGGCTGCGGCGTCACCGGCGGCGACGGCGGCGGAGGCTTGGGCTAGCGCCGCCGCCAAGTAACCTCCTGCATGTCCGTCCAGGGTACGGCGCTTCTCAGCTGCTGCTACCTCTACTTCCTGCTGCAGCAGCGGTAGTACCTCTGGATGAAGACCGGAGCATGCGGCATTCAACCGTACGACGGCGCTGTACGATCGCAGGAGCAACGCTAGCCATGCCGTACTAAAGCGAAGTACGGCAGATTTTCCGTTTCCGGCAGCAGCTGCCGTTTTCTCGGCCGACTTCAGGGCCTTGCAGTACGCTTGAACCGCCGTACACAGGGTTCCTGAAAGCGCCGCTAGCAACCGTTGGTTGTTAGCGTTACTAACGGGTACGGCAGTGGCGAGATCCAATCGAAGCGCCGCTAGCAGTGTGTCGTACAGAGCGCTAGCGGCGAGCAACAGATCCCCTGCTGCTGCCGCCATCGCATTGCTGCCGTCGGCTGCTTCATCCTCCTCATCATCACCGTTAGCGGCTGTAGCGTTTGTCGTACTTGCCGTATCTTTCCCGGAAGCCCGCGGCGGCGCAAGTGCGGTCCAAGCCTCCAGGTCGCTAGCTACCCAGGCTACGAGTGCAGGCAGCTGACCTGTCGTACAACAACGGAAAATCGACGTCATCAACGGTTAGTCGATATACGACAGCGGCACAACTTGCAAACCGTTAATGGTACAGCTGAAGCATAAATCCCAGCTGAACCATGGGTCGTTTCAACACCTCCAAATCCCTTCACAGATATTTCCCATTGCCACCCAACCCACCTGAGGGCGCTCCAGAAACCGCCTGACGCAGCGCCCCCAACACCTCGGCCCTAGCCAACAACGCCGCCACGACATCCGTACAACTTCCTGGACCTCCTGTCGTACACGCCGCCGCCGTGTTGCCTGTACGGCAGCATAAAGCCCTCATGGCCGCCCCCAACGATTCCAACAGGCTTTGCAGCTGTCGGAGGTCGGCGAAGGCACGAATGGTGCGTTGTAGTACGGCAGCGGCGGCGGCGACACCGGCGGAGGTGGCGACTGCTGCTGCCGTACTGGCCTCATTGTGGCTGGTGGAGGGTGCCGAGGCCGAAGATGATGAGGCAGCGGCGGTGTCCCAGAGGAGCGTCCAAACCCTCTCGAGATGGGGCGTGAGGACCCTGTGTAGAACGCAGCAAGATACAACAACACAAGGCACGGTGTTGTGAAGCACAGCAGGGGTTATACCTCCTCCCGCAATTAGCCCCACTTAAGGAAAATCACGTCCTCCTCTGACCTTGGAGCTCATACGCATCTGACTCCGTACATCCTGTTCCGTACTACTGTACGGCACTCACCGATGGTCCAAGTCCAGCAGCGCACACAGCGCCAGGGAAGAGCTCAGAGGGCCCAACACGCCGCCGCCACCGCCGCTGATGACGTTATCAGCATTGCCGTACGACGACGACGTTGACAACGTCATTGCCGTACCGCCGCCACCCGTCGCGGCGACCCCTCCTCGTCCCGTCGTCAGCACCTCCCAGGCGATTGCGGCCAGGCATGCGCCGTGAGCGCCTGTGAGGTCGCGAGTGGGCTGGTAGGCGCCCAGGACCTGTAAAGGGGGGGAGAAGGTCGGGGGTTGGGGAGGTAATGTGTTTTGGCTGGGGAGGCGGGCAGGTGGGTAGACAGCATGGGAGACATGTCGTGGACCGGGTAGGTAGGTCTCGTCTGGGTCGGCGTAGGATTGGTCAATTCATCCTAGCACTTGCACACACGCGTTCGGCTCCTGCGGCGGTTCTGTGGGGACTTCATCTTCCGACAATCACAGTACGTTCCTACTCGCGGCCAGTTTTCTTAACACACGCTTTCACACGCAGCCTCTCACCCGCCCAGCCGCTAGGAGGCCCGACAGCGCCAACCGACGACACGCTGCCGACCCCGCGCCGCCTCCAGCTTCCGTCGCCGCCGCACTTGTCGTACCGTCATCTGCCGCCACCGCTGCCACTGCCGCCGTCCTGCGCCGTTTGGCCGGACGGCCCGCCTCGCCCTTGGGCGACACGTCACGCGACGGCGGCTGAAGCAGCATGTACGACAGAACGACCATGCAGTTGAACTCCGCCGCCGCCAGGGCCTTACTCGAGGCTGCTGCTCTGCCGCCGCTGCCGCCGGCGGCGGCTGCTGCTTCCTTTGAGCCGCTGCCGCCTTCAGCGTCCCCTCCGTCGTCATCGCCGCCCGGTTGCTGACGGCGGCGGCCTTTGCCTCCGGCGGCCGCCGTCGCCGCAGCTGCGTCAGCCGCAAGAGTGCGTCGTACCCGCGCTACGGCGCGACAGAAGCAGCGTAGCAGCCAGGGCAGGCCCGAGACGATCACTCGAGCGTTGCTGTCGCTGCTGCTGTTGCTGCTTGTACCGCCGCTTCTGCTGCTGCTGCTGCTGCCAGCAGTCGCAATGGCATTGGAGAGGACCTGAGGACGGGGGACGGGAGTCCAGGGTCGTCAGACAAGGTGCACCCATGTACCCATGTACCCACCCTTAGCTACAATCTTGGCAGGTTGTAGGTAACAGCTAACACAGCCTCAGGCACGCGGCCGCTACCTCTACTGGGCTAAGCGCCTAGCGGCTACCCTAACAAGCTCCATTCGCCAAAGCCGTATGCCGTACCTGCAGCAACTGCCCGTGGTAGCTGCGTCCAACCGTCTCCCGGAATCCGCTGAGGAGGGGCCGGGATGATGTTTCCTGGAGAGGCGCAGCCGTCGCCGCGGCGCTGCCGCTACCGCTGCCGCCTGCTTCTGCAGCGGTTGCGTCATCAATGTCTATTTCGTCCTTATCCGCTGCCGCCGCAGCAGCACTAGCCGCATCGGCGGAATTGTTAGCATCCCCAGCATCAGCAGAGGCAGCGGGCTCCTGATCCTTGCGACTGATCAACGTGTGAAAGATCTGCAGGAAAGAGAGCACGCATGGAGGAAGCACACATGGCAACACATATGTTCATGTCGCACACGCACGTAATGCAGAATGCAAGCCGAAATCAATACCCTCCCAACCCGTAACCTCAACGACTAACGGTCACTGCCGTACCTCTGCAAGCGCTCCCACGTGGACCTCATGGAACAGTACGGCACTTAGAAGCTGCTGCGCTGCCCGGCTTAGCTCCGAAACCGCCGCCCATGAAACCTGCGCGTTTCCCGCTGATACTGCCGCCCCCCCTGACCCTGCCGCCGCTGCCCCTGCTCCCAGCACGAGGTGCATCGTGCTCCGCAAGGCATCTTGCGGTTGGGCCACCTCTAGAAGCGGCAGCACCAAGCCCGCAGGCACGAACGCCTGCCAGACTTTCTTCGGCACCGGATGGCCCTGCACCGACCCATGGGTCATCTGAACCACGACGGCACACAACGCTGTCCACTCTCCTGCAAACGCCGGCGATAACGCTGCAGCGGAAGCTGACGCCGCTGGCGACGCGGAAGGCGGCGGGACGGGTGCAGCGGTAGCGCCAGCGGCCCCTGTAGACTTTCGATCTTTGCGCTTCTTACCCTTGGCAGCGCTGCCATCATCCGTCGCGGTAGCGGCGGGTACGGCTGTAGCAGCAGTGGCAGCAGTAGCTGCGGTAGCTGCTCCTTTTGACGGTCGTACATCCAGTACGGCAGTCAGCATCGTCATGCACTGCTCAAAGGACGGATGCAGCAACCCGCCGCCAGCACCTCCGCTGCCGCTGCCGCCTCCGCTAGCTGCTGGCAGCAATCGCTGTAAGCAGATGCGTACCGACATAAGGAGATCCTGCGACGGCGGCTGTGGCTCCGCCGCCGCCTCCGCTGTGACAGCTGTCGTACCCGCCACTGCGCCAGCAGCAGCCGCCGCTGCTCGTACACACTGCGCCGCCGCCGCCAAGAGGGATCCAGGCACGCTGGCGCCAGCGGCTGCCGCCGCTGCCACCGCCGTCAACCCCGCCGCTGCTGCTGTCGTTGGTGCTGCTGCCGTACATTCCCCTTCCAGCTGCTGCTGCAGAAGCCGCCAGAGCGGTAGGGCCTGGTCTAGGAAGGAGCCTGGAGGGGCGTCTTTTGATCGGTCCTGGAAGAGGGAGGAGGGCGTGGAAGAGGGTACAACGCACAAACGGGGGCGTAAAGGTTTGAAAGGGGGATGAGGGCATGGAAGAGGGAAGTGCGAGCGAAGAAGGGTTACATGGGTTGGGATACGTACGACATGAGCCGGGTGTATCGTGGGTTAGCAGCCGTGACCATCTTCTTCATCTGTCACTACCGTGCTTACCGCTGTGCTGCTTCCGGCCTTTGCAGACGCCGCTGCCGTGACTTGTGCGGCGGGTTTTGCCCCTGTGGCGGGCTTTAGCTTCAATATGCAAGATACGGTCCATTCCAGCAGCGTGCGATGGTAGTGGGCCAGCACGCGCAAAGGTGGGATGTCCGCGCTCGGCCTTGCTGGGGCCCAGGAAGCAGCGCATAAGTCGCGCGCCAATGCCGAGGCAATTGCGATCTTGCTGTAGGGGGATGGGGAGCAAGCGGGGGAAGTAAGGATTGCGAAGCCCTGTGCCAGGGCTGGCGGCGGTGAAGAGGATGGAAAGCACTGGCGCCTGATAGAATCATGTTGCGACTAGTGCAAGTAGCAGGATGTTTGCAGTAACCTTAATCGTGCAGAATTATTCCCACTAGCTTGCAGGAAATAGCCAAGCACTCACCCGCCGTCGACATTTCCGCTAGGAGCACCGAGCGATCTAAGCCTCGCGGCAAGGGGCTGCCCAGTATCTAATAGTGGCTCCATCGATAAGTGGCTAGCTACTTCACTGGACTGTAATTACTCGTCGCAGCATCAGAACAAAGAAGGAGTAACACAAACTAAAGGCCGACAACCCAAACAGAAACCAATATTAGGTTCGTGGCCTTAATGGGGGCCAGTAAGCTTGCTTGCTATGGTGCACTGGAAGCCTGTAAGCATGGCTCCGAAGTCTATGGGTTGCCAACTATAGGGAGGCAGCCCAGGTTTAGTTACTCTGTAATGTACTCTCTGTAAGAATATGTCTATGCTGGAGCTTTTTTATGCGAAGTCAACTGCAACCGCTCATACTGCGATAACATTTCCGTCTTCGTAGGAGAGAGCCCTCTCTACACTTTACTGTTTCTTTTTTCGTTTAGACGTCATAGTTATAAGGCACATGCATCATGCATTTCCTTCGAGACGGCCCAGCTGCAACGCCTCGGCCCTCGGTGGTCAGGAGCCTCGATGCATTCCAGCACCAGCTAGAAACTGGTATAGTGGAGGTATGTATCTTGGATAAAAATAGAAAACGAGCTTTAAAGGCGTTTGTCTTCCACCATCTGGGGACATGTTGGCTACTGCCGCACGCTAGCGCCGACGCAAGCACGATCTGCTAACGCAGGTGAATGCAAACCTAATGACTCGAGAGGACCTGATTGAGTGGAGTGCGAAGGTTAAAGCCGCAGCCAACCGCATAAAATGCCTAAGAATTCTGTGCGTACCAAGGTACGGTGGTCTCCGAATTGTAACCTCGACACATTTCCTCGCCCAATCACACCAGTATAGCTACATGCTTCCTGAGCTCTGGCACGGTATCCTGTGCACATCAGTCCATCCTGCTACCTACAACAAGGGCGGGGCATCCGCTCTGCCCATCTGCACCTCGGCCCCTCTCCTCCATCCCCACTCCTGCCTGCTGCCCCATCCTTTTCTCCCCTTTCCAGGGAGTTCTGCCAATCCTACTACCACTACAGTCACGTTCAAGTCCGCACAGATGTTCCACGTCGCCTGCTTATGAATGTCCACAAGCTGGCCGTCAAGGTTGCGTCGGCGAATGTGCAACACCACCTGTGAGTCTGGAGGTCGCGAACAAAAGATGCACAATTGCGCCGGCCACACATCCTTTGCGCAGCTAGTGATACGGGACTGCATACATCATGTATGCATGCTGCATGCATGCCGCCTTGGCAAGTCTTCATCCCGGCAGCCCGTCCCCGTTCCACCAAGCCCCCGTCTACCTCCTTCAACCCCACCCCCCACCCTCCCTCTTCCCCCCCCCGCCAGTGTCCGCATGGCCTTCTACAAGGCGGTGTGTGCGGTGGTGCGAGCGGGGCTAGTGGAGGAGCTGGAGCTGGGGCTGGTGAGGGCAGGGGGGCAGGGGGGCAGGGGGGGGGTAAGATCGTAAGAAAGGAGGAACAAAGGGGAAGGGGGGTGAGGAAGGAAGGAGGAAGGAGGGGAGGGGGCCGCGACTCGGCATGGGGTGAGGAGCGGGGTTGGTGGAGGAGCTGAAGGCGATAGGGCTGTGATGAGGGAGGGGGCTGCGGTTGGAAGGGAAGGGCAGGAGCGGAGGGGGACACCGCATGGGCCTGGTGGTGCGCGTTTGCCGGCCCGGTATATCGGACTCGCACCCGCTTACTACCGGGGTATCAAATCCAAACCCTTCCCCCCTTTTCCCACCTTTCCCACCCCCGGCCCCGCCCCCGCTACCGTTCCTCACCCTTCCCCGCAGCGCTTCAGCGAGAGCGGCTGCGTGATGCTGTCGCAGGCGCTGGGCGGCAACAAGTCCATTCGCAAACTCAGCTTCGCGGGCAGCCACATGGGCGACGAGCGGCTGGCGGTGAGAGGAGGGGAGGAAGGGGGGGCCGTGCGGAGAGGGACAGCGAGGAAGAAGGGCGGGGAGGGCGGGAGGGCGATGAGGAGAGGGAGGGGAATGAAACGAGCAGCAACCCACCTCCATGTGGGCACCCTGCCCTCCCTCCCTCTTTGCATGCCCCTGCAGTGGTACCAGCCCGGCCTCACCGCCAACACCAGCATCGAGGAGCTGGACCTCAGCGGCTGCGCGCTGTCGGATGTGGGCATGCAGACCATCGGGGCGGTCATCAAGGTACCGGTATGGGTGATGCTGCCGGTATGTTTAGGTTATGATATGTACGACATACACCTACACACGCAGCCAGTGTTTCCTGACACACAACCAACAGCACACACACCACCCGTATAGGCATACGAGACACCTGTACTACACTTGTACGCTTTTATTATAAGACACGCGAATGCATGCATGGACGGGTTGCACAGACCCATGGGTCAAGCCTTCCTCCCCCTCCCGCCTCCCCCCCTCCCCAGGCCCACACCACCCGGCGTCAGTACATGTCGTACGACCAGCAGCTCCGGTGCTACCCGGACTCCTCTCTGCCGCCCCACGCGGCGCACGCTACCTTCCATGCGCAGCTGCGCTCCATTGCGGCGGCGGTGGACGAGCAAGTGGGCGGCTACCTGCGGCTAGACGTGTCGGAAAACGAGGTGAGCGGCGTGTGTGACTGCCAACTGCCAACTGCCGACCCCGGCGTTGCGTGTGTTAAGAAAACTGGCCGCGAGTAAGAACGCGTGTGTCTGTGTCAGCGTCTGTACTTCAGGTCATCAGGCAAGGAAGGAAGCCCGGTTGCTGGGCGGATTGGTGTGACTGCCGGTAGTCAAGCCAGCTACTTCTCTTCACCTTCCTTCCCTTGGCCCCCCGCCCCTCCCCTGTTGTTGCAGCTGACCAACCGCGCCGCCACGGTGCTGTGTGCCGCGCTGTCGTACGACCGGCGCCTGCTGAATGTGGGCATGCGGTCCAACAAACTAACCGCCATCGGGGAGTACGATGTGAGTCCTCTTGGGAGAGAGAAGAGATGGGGGCAGAAGATGGGGGCGAGAGATGGGGGCATGCATGCATGCATGCATGGCACCAGGAATTGGGCCACAAGACAGGGGGCACCCCTCTACATGCCCCCTGACACCGCGTTCCCCTTCCTGCTCCCCCCCTGCTCCCTGCCCCCCCCCAGTTCGTGATGCTGATGAAGGAGCACCAGGCGCTGGTGCAGGTGGACCTGCGGGACAACGCGGATCCGCAGCTGGGCATACTCAAGGTGGGGAGGGGCGGTGGAATACCGTAGAGGGGGGAGGGGAGATGGCAGGTGAGGCAGGGAAGGAGCCGCAGCTGGGGAAGGAGGGGAAGGAGCCGCAGTTCCCCCACCCACCCAACAACGCGACCCCTCCATACCATGTGCCGCCGTCTTGCCCTGTGTGCTGCAGCCCACATACCCTGTGTGCTCCTGTCGTGCTTCACCGAGTGCCCGCTTAATACCCTGTACCGCTCCCTGTGCCCCCATACCCTGCCGCCGTACAGCTCAAGCGCCGAGTGGCCCCCCGCGTCTTCTCCACCGCACTCGGCTTCCAGCCCAACCCCGCTGCGGGGGCGCCCTACTCGCCGCAGCCCACCGAGACCAGCATGCCGCTGTGGGCCCTCAAAGATGTGAGACAAGGAGGTCTATGATGAGCTGTGTGGGATGGGAATGTGCGAAAGTAGAAGCGACAGACTGAGCGGGGTTCTCGTCCTTCCTAGAGCGACTCGTCCCGGTTACTATTCCGCACCCGTCTCTTCAATCCCTCCCCACGCCTCCCTCCATTCACACCCCGCAGGACGTCCACGATGACTCCCTGGGTCCCACCCCCCTGGGCTCCCCGCGCTCATCCCAGCAGCCCCCCAACTCCCCCAGCCGCCTCTCCACAGTCAGCTGGGGAGACAACCACCTACTGACCCGTGGGTCGTCACCCAAGGTAACCATGCAAAAGGCGGCGGCGGCGGCAGCCGCCGCCGCTGCCGCTGCGGCAGCGGCGGCAGCCGCTGCTGCGGCCGCCGCCAGAGGCAGCGGCGGTCTGTCCCGCAGCCGCAGTGGCCGACTGATGGGAGGGATGACCCGCCACAGCTATAGCGGTGGAGGAACGACACCATCGTTCCTTCGGAGCGCTTCGCTGGGTCGCTCCTCCTCCATTGGCCGTAACTCCAACTCCACCTTCACAGCTCCTGCCTGGGGCCGCTCCGCCTCCCTGCCGCACCACAACCACGGCTACAACCGCAAGCAGCAACAGCAGCAGCAGCAACTAAACGGTGGGACGCGTGCTGGAACAGCAGCAGGGCGGGGTAGCCGGCAGGGCGACGAAGAAGAGGATGACAGTGACGACGGCGTCCCGCTTCCCGGCAGAAGAAGGAATACCGCTGCTGCAACGGCTAGTACGACACCTGCTGCTGTTGCTACCGGTAGTAATAATAACGATGGTGGTGGCGGTTGGTCGTCAGCGGTTGATACTGGACTGCCGTACGATCCTGCCAAACCCCGGCTCATGCGCGCCTCTTCCGCGCCCATGTCTTCCTCCATCTGGAGAACCGCTGTTCGTACACCCCGCCTTAGCGATGGGTCTTCCCCGTACGGCAGAGATGGGACGACAGGACCGTCTAGGCTGCCGGCGTGGGCTGAGGAGGGCGGGGATGATGATGGGGATGAGGGGGAGGCAGAGGGCGGGGGAGGGCGTGTGAGCGGCTCGGGAGGAGGAGGGGCAGCGGGAGGAGAGCTGCTGCGGCGGAGGAGCCAGGAGAGTGTGGAGGGGGCTCCGTTGAGTGTTGCGACATCCGCAGCTTCACTGGGATCTACAGGAGGAGGGGCTGCTGCTACTGCCACAGCTGCTGCTGCTAACAATGCTGCTGCAGCCTTGGCGGCGGAGAAGGAGGAGAAGGAGGCAACGCTGTCCGGTGAAGCAGGGACAGCGGCCACTGCTGCTGCCTTGGCTCCGGAATTGCTGGGAGGTACCAACGAACCCACATTGGGCGGCGCCAGCGGTAACGGCCATCATCACCATCATCAACACAACGACGCTCACGGCGCAGCAGCGGCGGCGGCAGCAGCTCAGCGAATCCATCGACGCATGCCACCTGCCGCCCTGGCAGCAGCGGCGGCGGCGGCAGCAGCAGCAGCAGCGGCGAATGGAGGCCATTACCCTGGAGGAGGTTTCCAGCGATCCGCCGCCCTCACAGCTGCCGCCCTTGCCTCCGGAGACTCCTTTGGTTTCGAACGTCCTCCACCCTCTACTACTGCCGGTGCTGCTGCTGCTGCTGCCACTGCGGCTGCTGCAACTTCACAAAGAGGTGCCGTACACGCACCCGTTCCCATGCCGTACAACCAGCCGCCTCCGCCTCCGTTGGTTCTTAGAAACGGCGGCGGCGGTGGGGGCTTTAGCTCTGCTCCGTCCAGTGCCAGGACCTATCAATCCGGAGCTCCTTCCGCTCCTTCCACGAATGGCCTAGTGGCCTTTTCTGTCGCTTCCACTCCCGTACAAGGCGGAAACGGTACAGCATCAGCACGAGGAGGAGTAGGCGGTTATGGTGGTTACAACGGAGGCGGTACGACGATGTACGGCAGCAGTAGCAGGAGCCAGCCAGGAGCAGGTGGAGGAGTGGACGCTAGTGATGCCGTACGGCAGCAGGCGTTTTTGAGTATGTTCCACCGTGAGGGGGTGACGGGCGTGCGGAGTACGTCGGATCAGGTGTGCGGGTGTTGGGATTATGGTGGGCTGATGAGGATAGGGCTTCACGTTGAGGATAGGGGTTACGGTGCTAGGGACGGGCTGTGAATGTGACTATGTGAGGATGGGGGACGGGGATTGGGTTCAATCCTTGGTTGGGTTGCGGTGCTCCGCTTGCTGTGTGCGCAAGCCCCTCCGTGCTGCTCTCCAATCCCTTCCCTCCTGCTCTGCTCTGGGTCCAAACAGCACAACAAGTCCTCTCCCGCCCTCCCGCAGGGCTACTATGGCGAGTTCTTTAGTCCGTCTGACTCGCAACGCAGCCCGCAGCAGCAGCAGCAGCAACACCCATCAGGAGTATGGAGGGGCAATGCGTCCCACGTGCACAACGAGGGAGACGACGATGGGGGCCTGGTTTCAAGGTGAGACGCCAAGAGAGCATGTCGTGCCCTGCTTCCTAGTACTGTATCTCCTCGGATTCCGTACATGTACATGCCGTCAATACGAATAAGGGATAACAACACGGATATGTACAGATGTGCTTAATTTAGGTATTATACTTGTGTGTACTTCCTCTCCCCTTCGCAAAGTTTGCAACAAAGTCATGTGCCCAACGGGTCCATGCACACGAAATGTACATCCGTTTCGACTTCGTGCGCCTTCGCGTGCACATGTACGTCCGCCTGACTTGGACTCCAGTTGCTGCACTTCTCATTCATGTTTCCCCCTGTCCCATTGCTATCTGGCAGCCCCGAGGGAGGACCCGCGCCGGCGGCACGGAGCCGCCTGCTGAGGAAGAAGACGAAGAAGTCCTCCATAAAAAAGGTGCAGCTGGGAAGCAACAACCACACCACCAACAACAACAACACGAACGCGGCAAGCACGAAAGCTGCAGCCGGGCGGAGGTCACAAGGCGGCGGAGGCCGCAGCAGCGGAGGCGGCTCAGGGTTTCTCACCGCTCGCTCAGGGACCGAGCCTACCCTCCGCCGCAGCGGCGGGCGGTCCGCCACCGTCACCGCCGCCGCCAAGACTACTACCAAGGCCACTGCTGCAGCCGCAGCCGGCGACGGTGGTAGTAGTGGTGGCGGTGGAGGTGCATCAGCCGTCAAGCGCCGTACGTCGCGTCGACGGCGGGGGCGACAACAACCGCAACCCGCCGAGCAGAGTCCTCAGGTGCTAACACTCCTAGAGCGATCGCTGCTGCAAATAGCGCAGGAGGTTAGCATGCTTGAAGCCGCCGCCGCAGAGGCGGCGGTGGCGGAGGCGGCGGCCGCTGAGGAGGCGGAGCGCCAGGCTGCCGCCGAGGCGGCGGCGGCGGAAGAACAAGCGGCGGTGCAGGCGGCGGCGGAGGCGGCGGCCCGCCGTGAGCGCCGCGCGGCAGCGGCGGCCAAGGCCAGGGCCGCGGCGGAGGCGAAGGCGAGGGCGAAGGCGGCGGAGCTGCGGCGGAAGCTGGATGCGCTGGCGGAAGTACGGCAGTACGACGGAGCCGCTGGCGGCGCCGCCGTCAGCGTCAACGTCACCACGATATTGCAGCAGTTGGACCGTTGGTGCGGGCTGTGCGACGATGCGCTGTTAAGGCCTGTGAGCGTGGCGCCCGCGGCGGCGGCGGCGGCGGCAGTGAAAATGAGTGCGGCACGCACAGCGGCGGCGGCCGGTGCGGCAGGGGCAGCAGCGGCGGCGGCCGGGACTGCAGTGTGTAATACAAGGGCGGTGGCGGGCCAGGGTACGACACCTCGGCAGCCCATTCAGATTCCGCAACGTCGGCGGTGATGGCGGAAGAGGATGTGATGAGCTGGCTGTGGCCCGTTTGACGAGCTTACACCCACGAGAGAGGTATTCAGGAATGACACTGCGACTTATGTATAACGTTGACAAACTGGTGGGGTTTGCTGTGTGTACGGTACGATTTATGATGTTCTGCGGTAACCTGGCGACAGCTGTGTTACTCTATACTATGGTACGTGATTCAGTTCAAATTGTTATGTACGGTAGTTCGGTGGGTGGTGTCGTGACGGTACGGTGTGTATGGTGGGTCATGAGAGCCCCCCGGTTAAGAGGTGGGCTACACCTGTTGCGTGCGATCGCCCGGAATTGAACGCCATCAGCCAAAACATATTGGCAATCAACATTGAAGATGAGGTACCGGTAACTAAGCTTTGCGCAGCTGCTTCATGGCTGCTGGATGAGTAGCTGATGAGGCTCGGTGACCACTGCAAGTCCACCCTGGAGGCACTACCGGAAAAGCAGGGCCGGCAATGTATACCCCCCCTCTGCTGGTCTCAGCTTTTGCTTGAACACTGTCGTACACTTGTACTTGCTGCGGTTTCTGGTTGGGTAACTAAGTAGTTGCCTTTCAGGCTGCCTTGGTTCATGGTAGAAGGGCTCCTTCCTTTTCCAAACTATGCGCTCGCTGTACTCCCATCTGGCAGTGTTTGCTCACGTCTCACGTTTGATGACCCATGGGTCGTCACGACGCCTAGCACAATGCGTTTGTACATCATGCCTGCTGTCATGCGTGGCTGGAGGAGGAAGACGTGCAAGACAAGACTGGGAAAGGCGAGGCACATGATGTAAAGGAAAGCCTTCGATTGCCTGACTAAATGAGTCGTCAAGTGACGCAGCTTGCCATCCTAAGCAACAAGTCCTTCCCTAGCCATGCTTGCGGACTGCAACACGTTGCGCTTGCGTCAGCAAAGCAATACAAAGTACGCCTGGCAACCACATGACTAAGATGTAGCGGGCAACATGCCCTAAAATGTATCTATCTCATATCTTATGATAAAGGCAGCGTCCGACGTTGTGGGATGCTGTTTCCGGTGTTCTAGGTGCAGCACCGAAACTTGGGATCTAAGCAAACAGCTACAGCAGCCGACCGCATTCACATGTTCATGCACCGTGTCTGTTTAAACTGCATATTCAGGCAATCCTATATTTGAGATTGCCCTAGAGGTCTGTAGCACTCCCTTGGGATCCACCGCAATAACGCCGACCGTTGGTCGGCCAAGCCACAGGTTCGCACGAAATAGATTTTGCTTTACCTTCCTTGCCTCGTACGGCCCATAAACGTTGGAAAGAACAAATATATAACCTCGGCGCTCTTCTTGGTGAGGTGATAGTCAATCTGGGCCCGGCCGAACCACCGGACGCGATCGATGAATTGGCTCGTCCTTCAACCATGAGTCGTGGCGACCGAGAAAACGCATGAGCGTCGGACATCGCGGACTCCCGCTGCCGCAATCTCTGATGCACTGATACCTCATAGTTTCCATCTGCCATCATATTGCCTAATTGGACGGGCCAACAAGTAAGAACATATTTCGCAAGTACAGATTTTGCTCGTCGGCCGTTGGATAACTTGAACTTTTCTCGACCCAGCCGTTAGCAGCCCTAGAGTTGAAGAAGAACGATGCGCACAGTAGGTCTCCAACCACACCGCGACAAGTAATCCTGTACAGTAGCCGTTAGCTGCTTGGAACTAGAATTCATACATACCGCAGCAGCAGCCCTTGGATCAACGTCAGCCCGTGCGGAGCCCTCGGCCCTTTGCACTGTCGACCGGACTGCAAGCCGGAAAAGCAAGCAGCGCACAGCTTGCATTACGCGTTACGTTGCTTGTTATCATCTTCTGCTCAGAGCGCCTTCAGCGGCAGCTACTCACTCAACGGTGCATTGCTGTGTTACCGGCCCAGTCCTCGTTATCGGCATGTTCCAAGGGATCGTTCCCGCACCAAACGCGAAGCCTGCAAGCCCCCCTCGGACAGTCAACCGCTTAATAAATAACAGCAGCAGCACCAACAACGCCAACAGCAGCAGCAGTCGACACGACGTCGCCGGCACTAACAGCAGCGCTGTTAGCAGCTTTGCCATACCCAACCTCAGTCGCGCAAGCAGCGAAGAAGGAGACGGTCTTTCACGGCAGCAGCAGCAGCGCCGGCAACAAGTTCCACCAGCGCCTTCAGCGCCATCACCTCAACAGCCCCCCACGCCTCCGGGTTCCCCGCCTCTAACAGCCCAACCAAGCATGACACCCTCCTCTCAACTGCCCCAACTGCCCCAACGGTCGTCATCGTCCTCGTCACCTCCGATACCATCAGGCGCCGACCTGCTTCCTCCATGCGCCTCCTCCCCTGCGTCAACCACCTCCTCATCCACCTCTTTCACATCCTGCGACGGGGACACCATGCTCCGAAACCGGGCGTTGCTTCCAACCTCCGACAGCAACAGCAGCTACCGTACAGAAGGACAGCCTGGCGGCGGCGGCGGAGGCGCCGCCGCCGTCCTCACCACTTCCGCCGCCGACGCCACTGTTGTTAATGGCGACGGCGACGGCGCTACCGCAGAGAGACAGCCGCCACATTCACCGCAGCAAGCCGCCGCCGCTACAGCGGCGGCGGCACCGTCGCCCTTAGCCACCCCCGGATCCGTGTCGCTGGCGGCGGCGGCGGCGCTGTTGCCGCCAGATCAGTACCGCCGCTACTTGGAGCGAATGCGCGAGGCGCACGCCGAGGCAATGGCGGAGCTTGCGACGGCGACGGGAACGATAATGACGACGGCTGCGGCAGCGGAAGAAGGTTGCGACGGCGACGGCGACGGCTTTACTGGCGGAGGCGTCGGCGATACCCTCGGTGGGCATAACTCACCTGATGCCGAGCTTTTGTTAGCGGCGGCGGCCGCCGCCAGCGGCACGGCGCCGCCACCGCCGCCGCCGCCGCGGCAGCAGGCGACTGGCGGCGGCGGTCGTCACCATCATCGTCACCATGCGTCGGCGAGTGGGCCCTGCTGGACTTCGTTAGACGAATGGCGCCAACGTCATTTGCTGGACATCGAAGCGACGGAGGGGCTTATGCCAGGACACCTAGCTGCCGCCGGACTGCCGTACGATCTCAACGGTAACAACAGCAGTAACAGCCGCCAACGGTATAACCCCACGTTAGCGCTTTCATCGCCGCGTCCTGAGAAGCAACTCAGCCCTGGTCTCGGCGGCGTCGGCATGGTCAGCAGGAATGCCTTTCCAGCAGTCGCGGCTCCGGCGGCGGCGACGGCAGCGGGATTGAGCCCAGCGGGTCGCATGTTGTCACGGTTCTGGAGCCAGCGCACTGGCGTTGGCGGCGGCGTGGGCGGCGATGGCTTCGGTCCTGACGGCGGCGGCGGCGGCGGCGACGGAGGACCCGGCGTGGTGCCGTTTGCCTCCGCCGCTGGCGCGGCGGCGGCAGCAGCCGCGCTTGACGCAGGCGACAATGCATTGCCGGCTGAGCCTGACGGCGGCGGCGGCCTACCTGCACGCTTCTGGAGCTTCCGAGAGCGACGTCAGGCGGATTTGTCAGAGCTGTACGACATTGATGGTGTGCCGGCGTTGCCGCCGCCGTCACCACCGCAGATGCACCACCTGGCAGGAGGGGGAGATCCGGCGTCGGTTGGTCTTCCGACGCGCAACAGCCAAGGCCGACATGGCTTGTTCGCATGCGTGTCAGTGCCGGAGGGCCTGGGCGCTGGCGGTGGTGGCGGCGGCGGCTGTTGGTCACCGTTGCTTGACGGCGGTGGCGAGTCGCCGTACGGTGGCGGACCACCAGTGTCCGGAATGCCGCCGTCGTCGCCGCCGATGTACGGCAACGTCGGTAGCGGATCTCGTAATCGCGTCGGCGGGTTGTTGTTTGGTGCCGGCGCCGACGGCATTCAGTTCGGAGGTGGCGGAGGCGGCGCCGGTAGCGGCTGCTTGCGCCTGGAGTCGCTGTTTGGTCGCCTGACGCAGCTGAGTTGCGACCAGCAGGGGAGTCGGGTGGTGCAGCGTCTGTTGAGCGGAGCACACAGTGAGCAGGTACGACAAGCAGAATACGACATGTACCTTCTGTTGTTGTCTTCTGGATTCGCACTGTTGGGATGAATAGTTAAGTGTGTGGGTCTGTAGGTTTGTCGGGCATGTATGTATGCTTGAAATCAGACAGCGGTTTCTGAAGCGCTGGGTGTGCAGTCTTATGGATGCCTTATGACCCTGTTCCGATGTTGACTCCCGCCCCCCTTCCCTGTGTGTCGCTAACGCCCCCTCACATGATCAGGTCGGCCGCTGTCTGGACGAGTTAATGCCGTGTGTGTTCGAGGTGGCGTGTCACCCGTACGGCAACTACGTGCTGCAGCAACTGATGACCGTTGGTGAGTTGGAAGTCGTGGGCGCTTTGTTTGGGCGCTTTGTTACACGGCTGTACATGATCCGCATGGGTGCTGCGGGCGCAGCCCCTCGTAAGGGCGTGTGTCGTAGGTTCTCATTGCGGCTCGTCATGAAGCAACTGGTTGTCCCTGCAGGCAAACAAGCATGCATGTATGTATGGTGTTGTTTACCTCATAAACCTTAACAGTATGTCCTCGCTGCATGCAAACACCAGCCACAATCAACTTGCTTGCTGTAAAGCACATGTTTCCACACTGCACCCAAACAGGCGGCTCACGTCACAAGTTGCGGCTGTGCGGTGCGCTGTCCGGGCGCATCCTGGAGCTCTCCTTCGACCCGTTCGGCTGCCGTGTCGTACAGAAGCTTCTGGAGGTACGACATGGATGTCGTCGTACGTCGTGCAGAACGTACACTGTTGATCCTTAGAGAGACATTTATATGTGTGAGTATTTAGACCGGTGTATCCGCCTCTACAACATACGAAGGTTCTCATGCTGTGCATTTGCGCGGTTAGGCTTGGTGCGTCCTTGCCCGCTTCCTAGTCCGTCACTCAATCCTCGCAGTCCTAGCTATTATAGCTTCCATCCGCATCCATTACCCCAACCTAACTGCCCCATCATCCCGGTCACCCTGTATCATCACCCCACCGCCCTGGTGTTGCTGCCCTCCAGGTGGTACCGGAGCAGCAAGCGGCTGCTGCGGTGGCGGAGCTCGATGGGGCCCTCATGCGCTGCGTGCGGGACAAGGTGCGCTGCTCTTGGGGGGGAATTATATAGCAAGTGCTCTTTGGGGGTAAAGAGGAAACATCTGACCACTTCGACACTTGGCTCTTGGCTGACCCACCATCGCATCCAGGAATAGGCTGTCTGGAATGGCTTCAGAAGTAGTCTCAAGTAGGCTTCTGTACTGTTCATACTTACCTGGCCCGTTTCTCGAGGTGGTCAAGTTGGCCTCGGTTACACGGTTGGACTTCGCCTTGCACTGCGCGAGGGCCTTCCGTGGTCGGCCCTTCGGGTGTCCGGCAGGGCTTAATTTTTGTAAGGCTGAGGATCCGCGCACTGCGCGACCTCGGCACCCAAATGAAAACAAGATGCACGCAAGTTAAAATCCCAGGCAATCATACCTCGTCGTGCATCCCTCCTTTCCTCCTTAGCCTGTCAGAACCACGCATCTATCCATCGTACGACTTAGCATGGTCGTAACCCCAAACTTTCATCTCCACCTCATACAGTGTGCTCATCACGTGCTCCGAGCGGCACTGCACCATGTACCGCACCACCGCCAAGCCTTTCTGGTGGACGGATTGCAGGTGAGGGTCGCATATGAGGGTGATCTAAACTTATAATACAGCGCATGATTGACCCATGGGTCACATGGGCCTGGACGATATATATACCTGGTACTGCACCTGACTGATGAAGACCAAACAATTCTTGACCACCGGCGCATCCAGTTGCCACCGATGCCATCCCGCGTTTACCTGTAGTGGGTAGAAGTAGCATGCCGAAGCTGACGTTGCGGCCTACTCAGCGCGCTCGTACCAAACATTTCTTGCAGGCCGCTCTACCCTCCCTGGCTCGTCACCCATACGGTTGCCGCCTCGTTCAGTCGTTATTACAAACGGTTTGCGAACCCGAACGCTGGAGGGCGATCGGTTGGGATCTGCTGCAAGATGCTCCTCAGCTGGGAGGACACGAGTACGGCAATTACGTAATGCAAACGCTGGCGCAGGTAGCAGCCCCTCCCGTACGATCAGCGCTAGCGGCGGCGCTATCTCCACATGCCGTACGACTGGCCTGCTGCCGCCATGGATCTCCCGTACTGGAGGCCGTACTGAAGTACGGCAGCGATGGAGATCGAGAGATCCTCCTGAACGCACTGCTTGGGGTGAGGTGGTGTATTGTGTACTCGGACGAATAGCTGGTATATGAACAGTGTGACAATTGTTACCGTGTTGAATGCTGTCATGCTTGTGCAATGTTGGAGATAGACATGCACCGGATACTCAGGGGATCAGGGACTAGGTACACTTCGTTGTGTACAGCTGTTGTGTCTCGTTGTGTACAGCTATTCTCCAGCTGCTGCCGATGATCTGTCCATGAGCCCATCACTAACCGTGTTGCCGTGTATGTCACCATGTGGTGGCACTGCCATGCAGCCGCCTGCCGCCGGCAATGGGGACGGTCTCTTTGGTGGCGGCGGCGGCAGTGGCGGCGGCGGTGTAGGTCGGGCGCTGCGACTGGCATGCGACCCCTTCGGCAACTACGTTCTGCAACGGTGCTTCCAGGTGGGGGGAGGCGGGGCGGGGCGGCAAACTAGTCTATCATCAATTGCAACCGGTTTAGGCAACAACAGTTGTGGTGTGAAGGGGCGCTGTGTTGAGGGGCTGCGCTGCGTGAGTGGCTCGCTCCCCGGGGTAAGCGCCAGCTCCTAATCACTTGCTAGCGGCCACCTCCCATTTCATATCAAAGTTACCCTGCTCCAGCCTCCCCCATCCCCACCCACCCAACCCCCCTGCTGCTGCTGCTGCAGGTGTGCAACCCCGCCCAACAAGCCCGAGTGGCCGCCGCGCTGCTGCCCACCATTCCCGAGCTCACCACTCGCTGCGCAGCCAACCACCATCCGGGCATGGCCGCGCTGCTGGCTCGCCTGCAGGTACGCGTCTTACCTTTTAGGGTTTGTGGTTTGTGGGTTTGTGGTTTGTGGTGGGGCTGGCTAACTGCAACAAGTGGGAGGGGAAAACGGACTGCTGTGCAGGATAGAACCATGGCCCATTTCCCCATGGGTCCTTATTCCCGCAAAACTCACCCGGACATGCAGGGCATAACGGCGGATCCATCGCTGCTCCTCCTCGCCCAATCGGAGCGCCCGTCGCCGCCAGCAATCCCACCACCGCCACCGCCACCACCGCCGCCGCCACCGCCGCAGACCCTTGGGTCTGATCAGCCGTCGTTGCAGTCGGCATCGTCGGCGTCGGTTGGTATGGCAGCGGCGGCAGTCGCGGCGACGGCGGCGGCAGCCGACTGCAAGGCTCCTACGGAGGCCTCGAGCGCGTGCGCTAGTGCCAATGCTAGTGGCGGCGGTAGCAGCACCACCACCACTCCTAGCAACGTATCGACGGCGGGAGCAGCGGTGACCCATGGGTCATCGCTGTCCCCGGCGGGCGACGGCGGTGGTGGCGATGGAACTTCGGCGGCCGCGGCGGCGGCCGTGGCGGCGGCACGCGCACTGAGCCTGGAGGAATGGGCTCTAGTGGCAGCCGCTGGCGGCGGCAGCGTTGGCAGTCTTCTTGGCGGCGGCAGCGGCGGCAACCTTTCCTTGGATGGCGTCGGCATCGGCGGCGGCGGCGCTCCGCCTGCCGTACAGCACCAGGCGTCGGCGGCCGCGTTCCTCCGTCTGCCGTCGGTACCATTGCATGCTGACGGCGGCAGTGCCTTGCTGCGTTCTGCTGCTGGGCAACTGCCAACCAACGGCAACGGACGCCAACCGCAGGGTCCCTGGGGTCCTCCTAGCCTATACGACATGTGTGGGGGTTTGACGGCGGGAGGCATGGATTTGGATCTCGCCGCTAGCGTCGCTGCCAGCGGCAACACCACTGGATGCCTGGCCAAGCTCAGCCGGGACGAGGAGGTAGCAGCGGGACGGCTGCTGCTCCGTACGCTGAGCCGAGTGGCTAGCAGTGGCGGAGGCGGCGGTGGTGGTGTCAGCGGCGGCGGCAAGGGGGCTGCTGCTGCTGCGGCGGCTGCTGTCGGCGCCGGCAGCAACGCAGCAGCCGAGCTGGAGGACGATGCCGTGTTGTCGGATGAGAGCGTGTTGGCGATGCTCCGTGCGTTGGGGCTTGCGCCGGTAGGCAGTGGCCGCAGCAGGCAGCAGTAGTGACAGTAACAGACTAACAGTAGCAGACTGAACAGTAACAATGAAGTAGTAGCAGGAGAAGCAGCTTGTAATAGCAATGCAGTAGTGGCAGTAGCAGCAGTGCGGTGCGGTGCGGTGGAGTAGAGGATGGCGACATTCGCAGTAATAGCGGTTGCGCGGGTGCATGGTTTCTGCTGTCACATACACCGCATCGAGGCAATATGAATGTTTTTGTGTGATGGGCTGTGTGCGTGAAATTGAGTAGTAGGTTTTCCCAGGGTTCAACTACATGGAATGCTAGGATTCGACCGGTTTGTTGACAGGATTTGATTAGGTACACGTTCGTTGTATACGTTGCTTAGGTATGCGTTCCTCAGCCGTATGATGTTTGCTTCTGCCGAATAGCATACGGCCCATATGACTTATCCTCTCGGCATGTTTGATGTGCCTCATGTACGATAAACGTCCCTGAAGTGCTGTAGGGCATGCCGTGTGCTTCTTTGATCTTGATATGGACGAGTCCGTCTTTATTGACTATAGCAGGGCCGGCCTATTGGCATTCCCTGCTGCAGCTAACATTCGTTGATGTGTTTCTAAGTTCTTTGCGTCTAGGATGGCTGGGTTGGGTTGCTTGCTTGTGCATCTGCCATGCACTTCACGACCATTGCTTGCGTTTATTATGGCGGCGTGATGACTGAAATTCCTACCTGTGATAGGTGATATGAGTGAGGTGTCCCATTCGGGTTCGGTGACCCACGGGTTTCCCGGCGGGGTGCATATAAGGGACCCGTGTCTTTCGCTGATGCTCGATTCCGCATGCATGTATGCTGGCGCTGTGTTCTCTGGGCTATGTCATTGTGTCACATATGCTGTGGTGGTTACACTTCAAAGGACGAGTTTGGGGAATGAAAAAGGTTACCAGCCGCATGTTGCCTCCTCACGTTTCCTGTGAAGGGGTGGTTTTCCTGTTCATTAGGACTGGGTGTGGGGCTAGTTAGTTGGGAGGTCCTCGTGACTCCATGCATGTGCCATCCATCCGCTTTTCTTCCAGCTGTATGCCATTTACTCCTTAGCACCCTTAGGCTCTATCGTGTCAGGGAGTTCGCTATGTTTGTTACGTGTATGGGGGGCTGAGCTGGTAGGTAGGTAAGCTGCTATAGGTGTGAAAGTGCCCTTGGTATTTATTATCCTCGTCAGCCTCCATTACGGTCATCAATAGTTCTTGCGTGTGTGTTTCTTAGTTGCAGAAAGGCCATCTTCGGTTTTATCACGACAAGAGGGGTGTTGCATGGAAGCCAGCCTACCTAGATGAATATGGGTGAACCATGGCTAGTGTGTCCACGACCGTCCTGCGTATCTCTCACAATTGTTTTCAGTTGAGCAGTACGGCAGTTGGCGACATTTGTGTTGTTGTACGGCAGTTGAACGGAGCATTACTTTGCCATGCACAGCTGACGCCATCTGCGTCATTAATACTTTTGCCTGTGCCGGGCAGTTAATGTTGACGGGTTAAGTAAAGGGCGGGTAGTGGGTTTGGGGTCGAAAACGCCGTACAGCTGCCAAGCAGCCGCACGTTGTTCGTCCGCAAGAGGAGTTAGGAGAGCATGCTTGGTGCCCAGGTCATAGTACGGTAGCATCTCAATTTGCGGCCATAGCTCCCCTTTATAGCTAGCCTTTTGGCTTTGTTTGAGCTGCCTGGGACTGAGGTTCGTTACAACTCATTTGGTTTTGCTTTGAAACTTAGCAGGTGAATCCGAATGCAAGCGTTTATCAGCTGATGAGGCTACTGTGGTGGATAGGGAGGTGTGTGGCGTCAGCAGCGTACACGTAATCTGCCGCACTCAGTTGGTAGCTAATTCATGACTGTATGGGTACATATGGAAAGGAAGCAGGAATGTGATGCGGTAGCATGAACAGTAATCAGTATACCCGTCGGTGCAGGACGCGTCATGTGCTCATGTCATCTTGGTTGTTGCATGCATATTCCTAACTATTATTGCCGTTGGCAGCGGCGTTGTGTACAGTACAATTCAGGACAAGTGAAGAAGGGGCCAGCGGCCAAACACGTGTGATAGCTTGTTTAATTACTAACGTTGTTGCACACCCAGTCACATTGTACGGCGTTGGAATTTGTGGCTGACAAAGAACGTGTGGTAACTGTGTGCTCTAATAACAGGCAGGCATGGAAAGGAGGTGCCCATTGGTGGCTGAGGACTTGTGGCTTTCTAGCAATGTAACATTCTATTGAATATTGGACACCCTGAGTACACCAGTAACACCATATCTATCAGTATGTCACCATTGCGATAGCCAAGCCCGAAAGGCCACACCCGCCACGCCCTACTCGAATGATACGTGTAACACGCATGATATAACATGCATGCCAAAAGGTTGGTTAGACCAGAAACGTGCAATGACAAGAAGGGTATACCAGGATCGGATTGAGTTCAAAGGATTGAGTGTTGCTTCCGCTTTTCTATGACAAAACACGACATACCGGTAACCATCCTACTACCTTTCCGCTTGCACCAAAAGAAGCAGGTGCCATTTTTTGCGTACCCAGCCCTCACGGACTACGTACACCACACTCAGCAAGCCCACTCGCGTCTGCATACCACAGTATGTACGGTCACGCGTGCAATACCCTCCCCACACACACCAATGCTCAAGAACAAATGCTACCAATTCCGTTCGTTTGATCTAAACAGGAGCATGTCTTCCATGCATGGTCCTAGCTAAACATATTGTTCGCAGACGGCCTACAGAAAAGCCACCCTCTACCTCCTTCCCTTCCCTAACCACGGGCCCTCTCTGTAACTATAAACAGCACTGCCTACCCATCGCATTTACTATGCTTCCTCCAAACGCTTCCGCATGTCTGTCGTTTCATCCGCTTGCCCCGTCGCCTCTATCACATCATCACCACCTGCTTCCCCAGCGTCTACCTATCGCGTTATCCCGTCCCGGGTGCCTTGCTCTATAGCACTGGCTACCTATCGTTTCCTGCTCGCCACCCCCGCCTCCGCCACCTTCCGGCCATCCCCTGCCCCTTTCCTCATTCCTACTTCCGGTATCTACCCTTCCCACTTCAGCCTCCCCAGCGCCCCTATCGCTTCCTGCTCGCCTCCTCCGCCGCGTCCATCATCGCCTCCGCGAGCACCTTGTCCGGGTTTCGGAGCTCCACCGGGGGCAGCGCTCCAGGGGTGCCGGGCGGGGGCGTGTGGATCTCGCTGTAGGTGCCGCACTTGATGGAACCATCGCTCCACACGCCGTCGAACCTTTGGTGGGTGGGGGAAGGGACGGCAGAGGAGGAGGGTCAGGGGAACGTCAGCCCGCTACCTCCCCTCGTCACCCCATCATCCCTTGTGTACTGTCCCAGCCATCCATGCGCGCAAGGATCAACACATTCCCCGTTCCTCCCTCACAACCCGCCCACCCACGCACATACCCGCCCACCCACCTCTTGCCCTTGCTCATGTAAAAGTACGTCCCTGTGCCGTTCTTGTCGTCGTTTGCCCACAGGCCCTCGTACACATCCCCGTTGGCATACATCATGGTGCCCGGGCCGCTCCTGTGGGCGAACAAGGAAAAGGGTTGGGAGGGGAGGCAAATGTCGTAAGGCGTCATAAATGAGGTAGGTGGGAAAGGGAAAGCGCTGCCCCTCGCCTTTGGCGTGCACCTCTGTGCTGGGCGCGCTCCTGACATGGGCGAGAGGAGAACGTTCAGATGTTGCTGAGGATCACCAGAAAGCACCGGGCTGTGAATGCATGGATACCCCCCATTCCCAGGTTTCAGTTCTGTCCTCCCTGTCTTCCGTCGTCCCTCTCCTCCTCCTCCCTCTGTACGCTCTTACTTGACATCGTCTTCGAAATATCCCTCGTAAACATCGCCTCCGAAACCGTCCACTGGTCGGCCGCCGTACACCGCTCGCCCCTTGCCGTGCCGCTTTCCGTTAAGCCATTCGCCCTCGTAGGTGTCCCCATTGTCCGCGAAGAAGGTCCCGTGGCCCTGTACGGAACGGGTCGTTGTGTGGCCGTTGACGGTTAGTTGCAGGCGCACCAGACCCTGTCAAAGCCCTACGGGAAGCCATTTATGCACGAGTGTTTCAGCTTCTACTGAGCTCTCGCTTTCCCCTTGCCAGCTGCGCCCGTTCACTGCAGATGATCCCACACCAGCTGCCTACCGTTGGCTTGTCATTGCTCCACTCCCCGTTGTATCGCACAACGTACTTGCCCTCACGGTACAGCCAGAGCGTCCCAAGGCCGTGCCGCATATCGTTGGCCCAGTCCCCCTCATATTTGTCGTTGTTTTTGTATACAATTGTGCCCTTGCCTGTGTCAACGAACACATGTGGAGACGCCGTTGTCGGCGAAGGCTTAAGCGATAAGCTGCTAAGCTATAGAGGTGATAAATCAAGGGTTTGTTGGGTCCCAACGTGCCGGACCCACCGTGCTTTTTATTGTCCTTCCATGCACCCTGGTAACGCTCTCCGGTTGTCCAGTATACGGTGTGATGGGGTCCCTCTTTTTGCGCCTACACGCGGCACATAGCATCGTCGCAAAAGAGCGCGGCCAAGCGAAGCGTAAATAGGCATGCTGAAGGGCGAATTTGCTTTCTTTCAGCTGTAAAATAAGAGAAGAACATACCAACTGGTCTGCTGTTTTCCATAGAGGTTCCTTCCGGCGCAAGGAACCTGCTGTGAGAGTTCCCGGAATGTTGGGAGGCATAGCTAAGCAGGTTAGGATTATACCTCAGGTAAGCTGTCCAAGAATACACGAAGTGCAGTTGTTATTAGCTTTATTATTACAATTAAGCGTTCTTCGTGTCCTCTGATCACTCGAAGCAAGTGCCGTACAATAAGCGTTCTACAAACTCTGGTGATGCTTGAAGAAGAGGCACAGCAGCAGTTCTACGATTACTGGAAGCGCCATTCAACCTCACATGCAAAAAGAGGCTGCTGCCAGGTACACAAGTGCAACAGGCATGCCCGGCAATCAGGAATCCAATGCTATAACGTTTGTCCCATGCATGCCCTTATAAAGGCTTCCAATATGTTTGACGGCCATGCATCTTGCAGGTTTGGATTACAGAGTATGCGTAAGATGAAGTATAGCACCCAAGCAAGTGCAGTGCCGAAGGATCGCCTTAAAGCTTCAGTCAACTTACACGCCAGATGGGAGAGCACATGGTGCAGCTAAGCGGAGTAAACGAATCAAGGCCTCTCTCAGCATGAACAAGGCCTCCCCAGCCAGGGGCGAACTCCAAATATTGCTTACGAATAACCCAACCCACATCCTCTCCGGCAAACGGTCAGCCCAACAAGCCTGGAAACCGGAAACCACACAACCCTCTTTCCTGCCCCGCCACATGGCGCAAAAGGAAGGCAGCCCATCCAGCCCACTACCGGTATCGCTCACATCCCCAATAATCAAACAGCAACCCTGAAAGGACGAGTCAGAGCCCTAGGTCAGTCGCTGTTTAGTAGCGCCTGTCACCACGGCCTCCATGATCCCGGTCCCTGTCGCGATCCCGACCGCGGTCACCCCGGCCACCCCGGTCCCGCTCGCGGTCCCGGTCGCTGCCCCGGTCCCGATCCCGCTCACGATCGCGGCTGCGAGAGCGAGAGCGGCGGTCCGACTTGCCACCGCGATCATCACCCCGGCCACGATCGTCGCCCCGGCCCCCGCGCTCATCGCCACCACGTCCGCCACGGTCCCCGCGGTCATCTCCCCGGCCGCCTCGCTGGTCTCCACCGTGCTCCTGCATGCAAGTAGGGGTCACGTCTTCAGCACGGTTTGGCGCGCGGTCATGTCGTAACCCCTAATTCTTCAGAAACACTGCGGTCGTGTACGGGAAAGGACGTTCTCCTCACCCTCCGCTTACACTCGGCTCCCGTGGCCCCGCTTACACCCTCCTCTCACCTCCTCACACGCCCCCTCCCAGTCATCGTCCCCTCAGCTTACCGTCGCGCTGGGTGCTGGGTTGTAGTCTCCACGCAGGCGGGCCAGTGCAGCCTCCTCACGGGCCTTACGGTCGGCCTCGCTCATGCCGCGGAACTGCTTCTTCAACCGCCCAAACTCATCGTACCTGCGCTCGGGGTACGCAACAAGGACAAGGTAAGGTGCACGCAGACGCATGTGAATAGGTGGAACGCACTCAGCCAATGTACACACGCCGGAGATATATCTACGGGGCCAGAAGAACAGCCATACTCCAATCACCCCCAAGTTCTAGTAGAAGGTAGCTGACAGACTCCACTCACATGTCCTGCTCTTCGTACTCCTTGCGCCGCCGCCGCGCCTCCTCCAGCTCCTGCTCATCCAGCTCCTTGAAGCCGCCGCCCTGGCCCTCGCGACGCATGTCCACGGTGCCTGCAACCCAAGGCAACCCACTTCGGTTTGCTAGCAACACCCAACGCTTACCGATCCACATTCAATAAGCACGTTCTTCTATACTACGGAGGTGTGCAGACGCAGCGAAGCCTAGATTGTTCTGGTATTAGGTATCTCTCCGTTGCCTTACCCGGCTTGGAGGTGCCACACATGTTGCACTTGTTGCGACGAGCCCAGTTCACGTTGCCGCAACTGGGGCAGGCCCAGTCGTCCGGCGCAAAGAGCCCAGCAGGGCCCTGCGGTGCCGCCACAACGCGAGGCTTGTCTCCAGCGGCACCAGCCCCGGGAGCAGGAGCAGCAGCAGCAGCAGCGGGAGGGCCACCGGCGGGCGGACCGCCGGCACCACCCCCTCCGTAGCCTCCGGCTCCGCCGCCTCCGTAACCTCCACCACCACCACCGCCGCCGCCGAAGCCACCGCCAAAGCCAGCATCTATAAGGCACCGCAGTGAGAATGAAACCGTAAGGGCTTCGTGTCTCGGAACTGCTGTCGTGTCTCGGTACTGCTGTCACTGGCACAAGTGAAGGGCTGAAACACAACCAACTGGTCCAACACACGGAAGCACTACCGAGACACGAATATCGCTTAGGACTAGTGCCAGACGCGCAAAGCCCATAGCACCACGTACCAGGACCAGCCCCGCCACCGCCGCCGGGTGCCGACTTTGGCGTGTTGCATTTGTGGCACTTCTGCCGAAACGCGAAGTTGACGTTCCCGCACCGGCTGCAAGGCCAGTCGCCTGGCCGGCCACCGCCACCGCCTCCGCCACCACCGCCACCGAATCCGCCACCGCCTCCGTACCCGCCGCCACCCATGTCTGCGGATTGCAACTCATAAGGTGTTGAAACAGACCGCCACGCAATACCCTAGGCATCCCAGGAAAGAGGCACAACAGAGCAACGAAACGGAGCCGCTCGGTGTGCCGCCAACCCACCAGGAGGAGGGGCTGCATTGTAACCATCGCCGTAGCCACCGCCACCACCGCCGTAGCCTCCGCCGCCGCCACCGCCTGGAAAGGACACACCCGGAAGCAAGGTCGATAAGGAGAAGACCATGTACAACTCACACTACCCCAAGCAGGCTGGTCCTAAGGATCCAGGGCTCGTCCTGAACATGGAACAAATGTGTTGAAAGCGCTACCGAAGGTATACATCTACGCACCATAGCCTCCATAGCCGCCTGCTGCTTGCTTTTTCTGCGACAGCGTGACGCTCAGCATGGAGCCTGCAGGGTAGGAAAACCACAGCCAAAGGTAAAGGGACGGGAAACTTTACTGCAAAACACCACACACGACGTGTTCCAGCACCCATGCGCATGCCAGACCGGTGGCAAGCACGAAAACTAGGAAGAGAGGCAACCGTCGCTGGCATGCACATTTTCAGGCAATTTTCGCTGAACCATGAATACAATACCCACGCGGGGTTAAAGCCCATGTGTGATAGCTTACCTTTCCAATCCTTGTTGCCAAACCACTGCACCGCTGACGCTGCAGAGAAAGGGTCATCATACGTGACGGTGCCGTCACCCTTGAGCTCTCCCGTGGCCTTGTCGCGATAAAGCCAAATCTTCGGCTTCTTGGTCTTCTTGTCGATTTTGATGATGCCAATAGAGCCGAAGTACTCGGCGAGATCTGCGGAGCGGCCCGACCGTGGCCTTCATCACCCGTGCGCCTCGCCCCATAGACCCGTTGGGGGAGCCCAGCAATTGCCCAGGGCAGAAGAAGCCCGGCCAGCGGGCATTGGGCCCGCCGCCACACCTTGCTCCGTCGTGTTGGGCGGCAGACCGCTGACATAGACCGTGTCCGTGTCCGGCACGTCAAAGGACATGGTGTCTGGGTTGTAAGCCATTTCAAGTCGGCCTACCGGGCTCAAGGCCCGGGAAAAAAGCTAAAGCAAGCTTTCTTATCAAAAAGTCGAAGAGGCCTAGCGCACCAACAGAAGACTGTAGGATAATAAGCTAAAAGTAAAAGTGGTAAACTTACACTGTGTTACCGCGTGCCAGAAAGCCCTTCTTCTACCGTTATGTTTTGCCCTGAGCTGTACGGCTTTGCCGCTCAGGAGCAGTCCAGCAGATGCGTCCTAGCTCCTTCCTTCTTCGCTTTTTCAATCCCCCCGCATACAAAGGATACATGGTCGGCGTTTGGCTTCTGCTGGAATTTGACTTCACTTGGGCGACAGTCAAGAATTGCTGACCCGCCCCAGTACCCCAGTTGGGCGCAAGCCCAAGATTATTAGGTTTTAATTGAATGCCGCGTGGGGTTAAGCAAGAGCCTTCCGCGCCAGCCGCAACAGAGGCCCCTTCCAAGGGTGAGGCTGCATCCAAGGGAACAAAGGGTGCCAAAGCGAAGCCAACTCTCCTAAGCGTAAGCAAGGCCCCTCTTAAGAAGAAAGACGCCCAGAAGGACGGGCAGAAGCCAACGACCAGCAGTGGCGAAGGTGGAATCGACATCGCGGAGCTAGAAAAGAAGCGCAAAGAGTTATCTGACCAGCTGCGGAAATGCGAGGTTCAGGTGTGTCTGCTCAGCCTCCTCCAGGAGCCGCTCATAGCATGGAGGGGTTAGGGGTTTGGAGGGGGGAAAGCTGTCGTGCAGGGGTGTATGAACTCGCGGCTAGCACCTGGAACCTGCATCCATGCACTCATGAATCCCGTTTCCTAATCTCTGACATCCGCACTCCCTCCCCTTCCTCCCGCCCCACGTCTCTGGGCAACGTCCTCCCTGCGGAACACATGCTTGCCTGCACGTGGCATGTCTGGGCATGATACACAAACGCGACGTTGATCCCCGTTGTACGGCACACGGCTTGTATGGCATGCCAGATCCACCGGCTGGAATCTCAGTACTTTGACACGGCCAATCCGCTGGGCAACGCTCTTAAGGGTGGGTCCCTCCTAGCTCTTGCGCTCTTGGGAGGGCTGAAATCTGGGTCTGGGTTGAAGGGCTGAGGGGCTCCTGGGATGTAGGACTGCCTGAAACATGGAATGAATACCGTAAACCCCCCCTCCCTGCCCCATCAGGATACGACGGGCTGCTATCTGCCAGCGCCGCCAGTAGCGCCAAGCGATTGCCCTTCAGGGGGCAGGACAGAATCTTCTCGGGATCTTCCACTTCTGGTAGCATTGGTAGGGACGCTAGCTGAACGTAGAGCTGGGTTGGGCTGCAGTTGGGCGCATTAGCACCTTGCATGGGGAGGCAAAGGAGGGAGAGGTAGGCGCCTGGCTGATGGCCATCATGCGGAATGGCAGGATACCATCAAAGCCGTTCGCCTCGGCCAGCATTGGCAGGAACGCTAGCTGAGGGAAGCGCTGAGTAGAGAGGTTGGGGCTGGGCTTTTGCCTGGCGTTATGGAGAACATGAGAGGATGATTGTGCGCGCACGAGGCATGCTTGTCCGGAATGTGTGCCGGGGGCTAACCTGTCATCTGCTGAGACCAGTTCCCGAGCTAGGCATGCATCGGGTTTTGCGGGTGGAGTGGTATCCGCATGCGGTATGAAGCCCAGTTGTGCGTGGATTGACTTGAGATGTCGAGCCTCCTTACACCGGATAACGTTATGGGAGCCTGGCGTGGCCGCTGGGCTCTGCTTGGAAGGCCACGGGCCTCCTCTTGCAGCGTCTCCTCCCCCAAAGTATTTTTGTTGAGGTTTCCGTGTGGTTAACGCTTAATTGCTCGTGGAAAGCAAGCTAGTTATGCCGGATGTGGGGGGCAGGGCGTGCAGCTGGCAGTTTAGGAATGCCGGTGAGCTCGCTGGAGTTCCGCTGGACTTGTTCTCAGGCTTTGTAATCCTCCCCATATAAAGTGTTTGCGTGAGTATCTTCGGTCTTCGGTTACGCGCCCAGCTTTGAGGTAAGCATGCACAAGCGTCGGTTAGGAACTAACTATTTTCGGTTCACGCACGCAACAACCTTTATGTATACATTGAGTGACTTGCTACGCTCCGCGGATTCTGTCGGTTATGGTCAGTTATAGCTCCTTACACGATCTAGAAGCGCCGTGCAAGGTGTACGGTATGACGTGTCCATCGCTGCCCAATGGCTTTCGATCGCCACGAAATGTGCGAGTGGCATCCCTTCTATGCAAGTGTAAAGAAAGGGCGCTTAATTTGTAACCAAACTGATAGCCTATCCCACTGATCACAATCAGAGGCATCCTATAGCAGCAGAGAACAAGCGCAAACCGATAGGTTGTTGCTGTAAGATGGCTAGCTGTAGAATATTAGCAGCGGCGGTTCTGCTGGGTCTGTGCGTCGCACAGGCTTCGGCTTTTTATTCGGCGAATGGGCCCGTCGTGGAGCTGACCGCCAGCAACATTAAGTCCAAGGTTAAGAGCGCCGGAATCATGATGGTGGAGTTCTATGCCCCATGGTGAGTCTCGATCATCGCGATTGGGTCAAAAGCTATGCCTATGCGTGCAAGCGGGTGTGGACTGCTATCTACTGCGCTTAACGTTGCATGCTCCCGCCTTCCTGTGTATCCTCGTAGGTGTGGGCACTGTAAGGTAAGACTAAAAGGAGGTTACTTCACTAAGGACGACTGTTACGAGCTTCAGGAACATGAGCATGTCAACCGGGTTTGTTGATAGTTGTTGCTACTGGTTGGCTTGGATCTACCGTTACCGTGTAGGGTAACCCCATTCCTTTGCAGCATCCAAGACTTGCATCGGTCTGCACGCGTTATTGCAACATCTGCATGTCCTGCTCACTGCGCTTACCATACCCGCTCCTCCTTTTCACAACAGGCCCTGAAGCCTGCCTGGGAGCAGGCAGCTAAGGCCCTTAAAGGCATTGTTGCCGTGGGCGCCATTGACACAGATGCTCACAAGGAGGTGGGCGGCGAATACCGCATCCAGGTGAGAAGCCATAGCTTATCCCCGCTACAAATCATGCTGTGCTAAGGTGTGCACGTTTGCTATGTTGCTGCAATATGACGCCTTGCACGGTGTTGTGGGTGCCATGCCATGCCCTCTACTTATCTTCCTCCTCCCCGCCCATTCCTCATGCTTCCATATCAGGGCTTCCCCACCATCAAGCTGCTGTACGTAGATGATGCCAGCGGTGCCATCAAGTCGGTTGACTACAACGGCGGACGCAGCGCCAAGGTAAGGTGTGGGGTAGAAAGAAGGAACTTGACGAGGCACGTAACGAGCTAAGGTGTGGGGGGGGCCTGAAAGGCAGAGGATGGATTCGAGGCCGTGGCGTCCTGGAATGCGATGTGGGTCGCAGTAGTTGTATGGCACGCATGGTAGATATCAAGGATAGGCGGGATATTGTAAAATGGTGTACACTTATGAGGACGCTGACGTCCCTTTCCTTCGTGTTCCCCATCACAGGAGCTCGTGACCTTCGCCCTGGACAAGGCTAAGTCCCTAGCCATGAAGCGCCTGGGCGAGAAGGATTCCGGATCCTCTTCAGGCTCACGATCTGGGTCAGCTGGATCTGGTTCCGGAGCCGGTAGCGATGGCGGTTTCTACGCCGGTACGAGTGTCGTGACGCTAACCGCCGATAACTTCCGTACGGAGGTGGTCAAGAGCAAGGATCTGTGGCTTGTGGAGATGTACGCGCCGTGGTAAGATGTTGGTAGGCTAGCTGGGGTGCGCAAACGGTGGTGGCGCTTGTACTTTAGCCGCTCTTCGTACCGTAAGCCTTCCGGCCTCCTCTTTAGCCGGCCACCCCTCTAAGCGCCCTGTTGCTCCCCTGTGCTGACCCCAGGTGCGGGCACTGCAAGGCGCTGAAGCCCGCTTGGATCGAGGCGGCTTCGGAGCTGTCAGGAAAGGTCAAGATTGGTGCCGTTGACTGTACGGCACACCAGTCCGTTTGCAACGAGTACGGCGTGCAGGTGAGGATGAGGAGGAAGACCTGCGTGCCTGCGCTTAGGAGGCTTACAAAATCACAAAGCACGGGTGATGGGGTTGTCTACCTGTATGTTTGTCTGGTCTCTCCCTGTCGTTACCGGTAACATCGTGGACTTTCCTTGTCTTCCCTCCACATCTTTCATCACGCCTTCCCTCCCTATCGTATTCCCTCTCCCCTGCCCTCTTCCCTCCCCCCAGGGCTACCCCACCATCAAGTTCTTCGGCCCCGACAAGCGCTCCCCCGAGGATTACAACGGCGGCAGGGACAGCGGCTCCATCATCGCATTCGCCAACGCACGCTACTCGGAAATGGTAGGAGTGTAGATAGGACACGGGAGGGAGGCAGGGGAAGGCAGTACGCACAGAAGAGATCAGGTGGATGTCGGTCCTCTTTCCCATTAGAAACGCACCGCACTCGGGAAGTTGGTAGCGGTGTCAGCAGGGTTAGCAGGTTGCCTGAACAGACTGCTCCTGTTGAGTGGCAGCAGCACGTGGAGAGGGCTTGTTTTCCGCGGTTGAGACGGCCGCCAGTGACAATTGCAGCGTGACCCAGATCAGGTCTTGCACTGCTGCGGTTACCCAGATTAGTCTGACGTGTGCTGTGACCCAGATCAAGGCCTGCATTGTTGCTGACCCAGATCAGGTCTTGCACTGCTGCGGTTACCCAGATTAGTCTGACGTGTGCTGTGACCCAGATCAAGGCCTGCACTGGTGCTGACCCAGATCAGGTCTTGCACTGCTGCGGTTACCCAGATTAGTCTGACGTGTGCTGTGACCCAGATCAGGCCCTGCACTGATGCTGCTGACCCACTCCGGCTCCCTCCCTTCTCTCCCAACCCGCCCTCCGCAGCTGCCCCCTCCCGAGCCCGTGGAGCTCACCAGCCAGGCGGTGTTTGAGCAGGTGACCTGGGCTGTGGGCCTGTGGCATCTCGAGGGTCGCGAACCCTGGGCTTGCCATCCGGCCTGCCTACGGTCCGGATCAGTGTTCCATAGGAATTCTCGGCGCCCAATTGCACTTGCCACCCACTCAGTCGCGATATGGGATTGGGACTCCGGTTGCTGCACTTCTCAGCTAGTTTCCCCCACTCCCCCCTTACCCCCCCCCCACACAGGAGTGCCTGGGCTCAGCATCTTCCGGCGCCAAGCCCCGGCGGTTGTGTCTCATCTCCTTCCTGCCCGACCTCATGGACACCAAGGCAGCAGGTGGGGGCTCCGGGGGTTGGGGAAAAACCAAACCGCACGTCAGGACGAGAGGGGCCAGGTGTGGGCGGGGATGTGCGGGGGCTGCTGACATGGAAGGAACGGGAAGAAAACGATGAGAATGTAGTCAAGCAGAGGCCTACATGGGGTCATGAAGGGTTCTTCTCTCCTTCCTACGCATCCGTCTTCGTGCTCCTTCCGCGAACCTTATCAGCTGCAAGCCGTGCTATCTCACCCTTCGCCCCGGCCACCCGCCTCCCCTCTCCCTCGGCCACCCTTCCCTTCGCTCCTCACCCCCGCTCCCCGCACCCCTTGCTGCTGCACAGGCCGCAACCGCTACCTGGGCATTCTGAAGCGGCTGGGTGAGGCCTACAAGGACAAGCCCTACTCCTACCTGTGGGCTCCGGGCGGCCAGCAGGCGGCGCTGGAGGGCAACTTTGGAGTGGGCGGATTCGGCTACCCGGGTGGGTGGTAGCGGTGGGCGGGTGGTAGCGGTGGTGGGCGGGTAAAGAGGAAATGGCTTATGAATCGTGTGGTAAGGCGTGGTGGGTGGGTGGTAGGAACTTGGGACAGCAGCGCTGGTGGTGGCGCTGTAGAGCCTTTGGCGATGCCTGCTGTGCCCCTGTGTCATTCGTTACCCCTGTGTCTACCTTGCGCCGCTCTGCGTTAATTGCTCTCTTTCTGCAGCTGTAGCCCCTTGACGAACGAAGCGCGGCTGACTGTTTTGCTTTCCCCTCCTGCTGTTGCTGCCGCTCTCCTTCTGCTCGCAGCGCTGGTCGCGTTCAACCCCGCCGACAAGAAGTACACGGTGCGTGACACACACATGGGAATACAGGGGATGGGAGGTTTTGTAGGACAGTTGCGGGGCGGTTAGTACGGTTGTTTGGGTTATCAGGTTACGCGGCTGCACCGGTGGTTAGGCTGAGTCCTGTGACCTTGGCGTCGAGCTCATCAACCCTTGACGTCCCTCCTCCTCCCACTATACCTCCCCTCCTCTGCTGTCGCCGCTGCCATTCACGGCATGGTATTTCCTCCTCCGCCAATCCTATATGGGTTAAATATGGAGTTTGCTGCATGCATGCATGCGCCCTCCCGCCCGCTCGCCCTCAGATCTGCAAGACCGCATTCGAGTTGTCGCACCTGAAGGACTGGATGGAGTCCATGCGCATGGGCGGGGCGAGCGCGGTGGCGCTGCAGGTAATAAGGGGGAGGGCGTGGGCGAGGTGAGGGTGAGGGTGAGGGTCTGCTGGGTGGTAAGAAGACTGGCTGCGAGTGCTCTGTGTGTATGCATGGTGCTACAAGCTGATCGCGTCAGGGATCGTATATATAGACCTTTCCGAGGCAGAAGGCTGTGATGCATTCATGTACGGACTGCTGTTTAGAGTCACCGAATACCACCCTGTACAACGGAAGGCTTGCACTTCCTCCCGCCTCTCCGCTTTAAACACACTACCATCAACCTGGGTTGACACTGATGTACCGGTGCCACGTATCCTACATCGTCACCCATCCCCGCCCTTACCCCAACCTCACAACACAGGGCTCGTTGGCTTCCATCTCCAGCACCGACCCATGGGACGGTCAGGACGCCCAGGAAGAGGCGGCGGATGAGTTCAGCTTGGATGACCTGAAGGACTTGTGAGCGAGGGGTAGGCTGCGCTGCTGTGAGAGCGGGGCAGGAGCAGCTGTGGAGAGGCTTGCAGTGGGTTGTTTGGTGGACGGAAGAGTTAATTGTTTGATGGGGGCTGTGGAGGGGAGCAGTTTGTCGCTTGTTGGGTAGATGGAGGGGACCTATCTAGGGAAGAAGCAGGGGTCTCAGACGGGAAGGAGAGGAGGTGGGGAGGAGGTAAGGGATGGCCTGCCTGGTGTGGCGGCTTGTATATGCGTGCATGGAACTGCTTGGGAAGAGGTGAGGTAGTAGCTTGCCGAAGAGATGTTGAGAATTGTGGTGAGCATGGTCCGAACATCGTGACGGTTTTTATGCATGTGCTGTGAGTCATGAAGCGCCTAAGGAAACCGTTTCATTGTGCATTACTTGAAGTAAGCTTTTACAAGAAATGCTGATGACTGTAAAGTCGTTGAAAACCGGTACCGGCAGTACCGGTAGTGGTGCTGGAATACCGGTAGGGTAGGCAGCATCCCTTGGGATTGGGCTAAGAGACCTCTCTTAAGCGACCAGGCTAATACTTCACAGGAAAGGGAAAGAAGCCCACGCTCCCTCTCTCGTTGAGGGAAAGAAGCCAATGCTCCCTCTCTCGTTGAGGGAAAGCAGCCAATGCCCTCGTGAAGGTGAATGCTTTCTGTCGTCAAGGTCAGTGAGAAAGCAGTACGTCCCTCGTTAGGGGCGTTGCCATGCTGGTGGCAGCTTCATGGAGCGCCTTATGTATTGGTTCTTCAGCCACTCCTCATCCAGGTACTCAAACCAGGAAGGCAACAAACACAACCGCAACGGTAGTAAGTACGACTCCACCGCATTGACATCGTACTATTAACATCCTATACTCTGCTCAGTAGACCGATAAACAATGTTTGGCGATACATCCTTTGCGGATGCAACCACAACGACATGCTACCAGACGCATCAGCCATTGCGCCATTCGACATAGCACACCGAAGGTGAAAAGGTCAGCCAACCTCATCTTACACCTTCTCGGCACGGAAAGTTCCCTCCACCGCGTCGCCTCCCCGAATGGACTCAATCATTTTCACCGCCTCCGCCACCGAGCCATCCACCTCCGTCGTAACTGCCTCAGGAACGCCGCCGCCACCGCCGCTGCTCACGCCGGCAGCAGCAGCGGGGATACCAGCAGCTGCCATCTCGGCCGCTGCAGCCTGCGGATCCGGATGAGTAATGCCGTACGGGTCGTCCTGCGGTCCCTCCCTGTCCGTGAGGGGCCGGCCCTCAGCATCTTTCAGAGTGGCGCCGAAGGGAACGTGCGGGTCCGAGGGGTCCAGCTTGGCACCTGGGCGGGCAAGCCAGGTGCGCTATTTAACAAGAACTGAGCTGCGTAATGACAGCCAAGATAAGAGACGTGCGTCAAGAGGCAAAAGCTATCGCGCCCGATCCACTGGTTAGACCCAAGATCCAGATCTCCCCAACTGCGTGCACATACCTGACAGCTCTGAGGTTGTATGGAAGCTGGCATCATGCGCCGCCTCGGCTCGCCGCTCCAAATCCACGGTCGTCTCCACATCCCTGGCGCCGCTGCTGACACCGGCTGTCGTACCCACCACGATGTGTGCCCGAGCGCCGTGCCGGGGCGGATGGCCGCTGTGGATGTCAGTGGAGGGGTGCATCTGCATGGTTGGTTGTAGCACGGCAGCAGCGACAGTGGTGGTTAAGTGCACGGCACGTTCCCGTTGTACGACTCAGCTGAGCTTTACTCGCACAGCACTTGGGGACGAGTACAGCAGTCAAGGACGGTGTGCCGACCCAAGGGTCACTTCCGACGCCTTAAATTTGATACACGCGACTCAAGGCCCTGAACGTTAATTGCTGGTCAGATTCCTTTCGTTGCCTTAAACTAGGCAATTAACTACACATCTTTTTTCCCGTGCTCAACGGCCATGCCTAGCCTTGCGAAGAACGACAAAAATAAGATGGTTTCCGCTGGCAATTGCCGAGCCAAGCAGCCCAGCAACTTCCACAAACTCCAATACGTTGCCTTTCCATATTCGTCTCATGCTTATTAACGTTAAACGTTTAACTAGTTAAAGTCTGCTCACCTGGGGCCGGTTCGAGGGCAGTTCCGCAGCCCACATGACGGGGTTCACGATTGGGGCAACGGGCGGGTGCCCCAGCGGACCCAGACTGGACATCTTGGTTGGGCCTCGCAAGGGTAGACGTGTTATGTAGGTAAGAACAGTAGGAGGGGCCTGGTAAGAGGCTGAGGTAGAGCAAAGCAACAAGAAACAAAAAAACGTTGTTTCGGGCGTTGTTGCGGAAGAGAGCAGTTAACTTATGGAAGCTTGTGGTGATCTAGCTCGAAAACTGGAAATGACAAAGAAGTTTTACTGCGATGGCCGAGCAGGCGGACAGCAAGACTGCAAGTACGCATACGGCAGTTGGGCCAGGCCAGTTGGCGCAAAGAACCTGCGCTTGATGGTGTAAGAATCGTGCTTTCCACAGTTACATTTGGCAAAATTGCATCTGCTTATTTACATTTGGCTGGTACCGGGCATCGTCTGTGGCCCTTGCTTCTATCTGTGACCACATGACGGCTCAGAGCGTGGCCTTCTGGCTTCGCCCCCACTCGCTTGAACCACTATCCGACAACGGACGCCCTTCAACTCCTCAAACGCCAACGAAGGCCCTCGTCACCTCCTCCCCACTCAGCAACTTGCCCTCCCCCATCGGCTCCTCCCCTCTGCTGCCCTTCCCACGCCTTGTGCATTACGTTGTTCGAATGACTCGTACGGTGCTTGATTGTATTAGTACGACAATCAAGTCCGTCAGCCGCTCCTGCCTCTTATCGACTTCTGCTGCGGCTGTTGCTCCCCGGCAACAGGTTGAGCAACTCCTCTGATCCGTCCGCCGAGTCATCAGCAGCAGCTGTAACCTCAGCACCACCACCACTTCCACCACTGATGGTTGCTGCAGCCACCTTATCTGTGGTGTCGACTGCGCTACTGCTGCTGCTGCCACTGCTAGTGCTTTCCCGCCCAGTCCCTGCTACTGTTGTTGCTGCGGCCTCCTGCTGCTGTAGCCGCCGCTGAGCTTGCTCCGCTTCAAGCTTTGCCAGCAATTCCTAATCGAAGAGATCAAATGAACGAACGAGGGAACGGGCCGCAATCGGTGAGTGTGCAGGCACATGCCTCTGGGAATGCCGCTAGGATACAAGTTGCGTTGCACACCCAATACGTTCAACGCCGTCCCGTACATAGTTTCATGGGCTCATGGGGCATTCGCATTGAACTAAACACACAACAGCGAGCATGGAGCTCCGAGCGCTGCTACCTCACCTGCTCCATTCGGCGGCGTTCAGAGTACGGCACAAAATCCTTCTTAGTAATGACCGCCAGCTGATCTTTGAAGACATACACCGCGTCTGTTCCGTCGGGAGGGCATTCATGGCAGTTGGGAACGTGGGAAGTAGGTTATAGGCGTTCGTGATGTCGCAACGGTTGTGTATGTATACGGCGGAAAGTTGGCGGGAAGCCAGGACAATGATGGAAAGCAGGAGACCGTTAACGGTAGCTTATAGACCGTAAATTTAGTAACAGCAAACTATAACATGCGGGCGCAACATCTTCAGTAGGCAGTAGGCAGTGCAACATAAGACAATACGCAAGAGCAATAAACCATGCGAGCACACGACAAGCAAGCTGTAACACAACCCTACAGAAGTGAGCTCGCTGGCAACGCCAGGAGCCATCCTAGGCTGGGTGTAACGTGCCGTATGAGATGTGCCGTACCATCCATCGTACGACTTACCTGAAGCGCCGTAGAACACCACGCTAAAGAAGATTCCGATAACTGCCATAATAGCTGTGACGGAAGCCAGGATGCGGATTAGTAGGCTATCAAACAAGCCACTGCTTGTGCTGCTGCTGCTGTTGCTGCTTGTGCTGCTGCTACTGCCGGTGCTAATGCTGCTGGTCGGGGCCATTGGTGTTGGGGCATTGATGTTATTTGTTGGGGGCGGTAAGTTGGTTGACGAGGGGGCATTCAGAGCCGCTGGAGTGGGTGATGCAGGCTGCGGGGAGGAGGGGCTAGCGGAGCCTGAGGCTGAGGATGTCGCCAGAGGAGAGGAGGGTGTTGGAACAGGCGTAGGGTTTACTGTTGTTGGGGCCGTCGTGCTCTGCTTCCTGCAAGGATGAGCCCAATCACGACCGATCAACGCTATATGTTAAGATGTGTACATTGCCATGGGAAGGCACGAGATGGCTGAGGGCCTGTTGCATAAGCAGCAAAGGGATAATAGTAAGGGGGAGGAATGGATGGTTGTAAAGATGAAAGGGGACGTGCCTGGCGCCTTTTCACTTCGTGCCCCACTTCAACCGCCGACGCGATGCAAGCGCAGGATGACCCCAACCGACGGATTGAGAAACAGCGCCCCCACCTCAAGCTAAGATCCCCCAATCAGTAAAACAATTAACGTTTGTACACTTACAGCTCCTGAAGTTCCCGAAGCTCTTTGCTCACTCCTTTCCGCCTGGCATGGGCCTGCAGGACATAACTGGATCTGCTTAAAGGTGAAGCATCCCATGCTATGTGGTCTGTGACTTGTTGGGGGCAAGGAACGAAAATAAGGAGTGCGTTCAAGGCATCATCTCAATATGCAATTGCCAAGACAATGTGCTAATGCTCCACTATATACCATACAGATAGCGTATAGATTTCGACTGCAAACCATTCTGCTTACCAAGACCAGCGAGCGCAACCCAGATGAGCTCCGTAATCGGCACCCGTTATCCCACAACGACGAGTGGACGTGTCTTTGCAACATTTTCGGTGAATGTAAGGATCCCGTCACCATAAGTTGTGCCGTGCGAAGCCGTGCTCAGATCGTGCGGCCCGCAAGGAGCTGCCGACCCAACGGCCGTACGCTCCGTACGAGAAGTCAAAGTATCGCAAGCAGTTGGCCCAGTTTGTGCTTACTCAGCCATACGCCGTTCTCAAAGCTATAGCTGAGACCAAATCTGACGCACTTAACATTAAAGCTGCTTCTATGCTCACCTTTCCTTTTATGACGCGCTTTCCTGCTTAAGTTAATACGTTTATGACAAAACATTATCAATTGTTAAACACTGAATATCGGATAACTTGACTATGCAACGCCGGCGACACTGAGCGGGATTCTAGGCGGCGTTCCAGGCTGCAGAATGGACCCTGTTTCCCAACTAGGACGCAATGCGTACTATGCACTATGCGTAGCGTTTGCCGCTAAAGACAAAGACAAGCTCTATGCGCCGGTGAGCGGTCAACAGGCTTTTTTCTCGATTGAAAGCTGTCAGCTTCGCGGAACAAAGCGCAAATTCCCCTTTATCATCATGGCTAGGAAACGGATGTGCTTCTCGAGGAAGCTCGCGAGCTGCTGGGCGTCTCAGAAGAGGAGGATGAGGTGAGTTGTTGCCACGCGGGGAGGCCCAGCGACTGCGAACGTTCGCTTATTTGCGGTCAGTTGTCGGCATATACTCCGTTGCATCGTTGTGTCGCTCGGGTTACATGAAATGCACTCTGCTTGCCCTGTGCCTTGCAGGCTTTTCGCGAGCAAATAGAAAAGGACCCTATGATAGCAGCTCTAAGGTGAGCATGAGCGCTCCCCTTGGGGCCGTAAGGCAGTGGGGTGTGGTGGTTGCAGGAGGGGTGACTCTAGGCCATTGCATGCTTCCCCTAGCATACACTAAACATCCAGTTCCGCATGCTGCAGCCACGCGACGGCGGAAGGCCTACACACAACACACACTTCTCTCACCATCACCATTCCCACTCCGTATGTCATGCGCAGGCGAGGGGAGATGCCGCCAGGGGGGGTGCGGCTGCCTGGCGGTGTAGCCCTGCCTCGGTGAGGGCGGGAGGGAGGGACGGGAAGGGAAGGGAAAGGACACCGATCTACTATGTAAAGGCGGGGGTCAAAGGAGAGGCCGCGGCCGTAGGGCTAGCGGGGCGGATGCCCGATTGCGACCGTAACCGTGCCCCGTGATGAGGGTGCGGAAAGGAATGGCCGAGGGACATGGGGACGCCTATACCCCAACCTAGTTGGGAAGGGATATGTGTGTCCGCATGCAGGGGGGCCCTCGTGTGACGCGCATCAACACGATTATTGGCTCGGTTCTCGTCATGCCCCACGCTCTCTCACCCTTGCCTTTCGCCCTTGTCGCGACACACCCAACCCCACACAGGGGCGGTGCCGCCGCCGCTGCTGCTGCTGGGGCGTACGGCAGCGCACATGGTGGGATGCCGCCCCCAGGGGGAGCAGCAGCGGGGGGTGGAGGTGGGGGCGGATACGACATGCCGTACTCGGCACCAGCGGCCATGCAGCAAAAGGCAGCAGCGCCCAAGAAAGGTGCGTGGAGGGGAGGGCAAGCGTATGGGGATGGTTGGAGGTGGCTAGGTGGGGTTGGAGCAGCAGTAACGGCGGGAAAGGGTGGTGGGAAAGTTGCGATATCGGGTCAGTTGCTGAAGGAGGTTAGGAGGGAGGGTAGGGAGGAGACCATCCCGTCGGAGGCACCGCCGGGGTACGGCGGCAATCCAGACATGAGTCATGCGCGCACACGCCCGGGCTCTTGGAGAGACCTCCAAGAGCAGCAGGGTTCCTTCACCTCATCCCCTGTGTCCCCTTTCCACTGCCCGCTTCCCTCCCCTGCAGCCGCGCCCCCGCCCCCTGCCGCCGCCGCCCCTCCCGCCGCCGCCTCCGCCACCTCCGCCCTGCTAGGCCGCAAGCTGCAGCGGCTCTTCCCCGACCTCTCGCCTCCCTGGGTGACGGGTACCATCGTGCAGTTCAACCCCGCCAACGGGAAGCACCTGATCCAGTACGGCCCGCCGCTGCGGAAGGAGCTCTGGGACTGCATTGAGGACT